ACATCGGTCGCATTTTCGAGCGATGGGACAAAGATTGTGTCTGGCTCGTGGGACATGTCTGTGCGGGTGTGGGATGCATTAACAGGTGTGGAGCTGAAGGCGCTGAAGGGCCACACTGACAATATCAACTCGGTCGCATTTTCGAGGGATGGGACACGGATTGTGTCCAGCTCGGATGACAAGTCTGTGCGGGTGTGGGATGCATCGACACGTGTGGAGCTGAAGGCGCTGAAGGGCTATACTGACACTGTCAATTCGGTCGCATTTTCAAGGGATGGGACACAGATTGTGTCTGGCTCGGGTGACTACTCTGTGCGGGTGTGGGATGCATTGACAGGTGTGCAGCTGAAGGAGTTAGAGGGCCACACTTACGGGGTGGTCGCATTTTCGAGCGATGGGGCATGCATTGTGTCTGGCTCGCTTGACCACTCTGTGCGGGTGTGGAATGCATTGACAGGTGTGGAGCTGAAGGAGTTGAATGGCCACACTGACGCAGTCACATCGGTCGCATTTTCGAGCGATGGGACAAAGATTGTGTCTGGCTCGTGGGACATGTCTGTGCGGGTGTGGGATGCATTAACAGGTGTGGAGCTGAAGGCGCTGAAGGGCCACACTGGGGAGGTCACTTCGGTCGCATTTTCAGGTGATGGGACACAGATTGTGTCTGGCTCATGGGACAAGTCTGTGCGGGTGTGGGATACATCAACGGGTGTGGAGCTGAAGGAGTTGAACTTGGGTCACGCTGGGTTGGTCAGTTCGGTCGCATTTTCGAGCGATGGGACACGGATTGTGTCTGCCAGCTTGAATGACCACTCTGTGCGGGTGTGGGATGCATCGTCAGGTGTGGAGTTGAAGGAGCTGAAGGGCCACACTAACTCTGTCACATACGTTGCATTTTCGAGCGATGGGACACGGATTGTGTCTGGCTGGAATGACGGGTCTGTGCGGGTGTGGGATGCATTGACCGGTGTGGAGCTGAGGAAGCTGAAGGGTCACATTGGGGGGATCACTTCGGTCGCGTTTTCAAGCGATGGGACACAGATTGTGTCCGCCTCAGATGACGAGTCTATACGGGTATGGAATGTGTCAACAGGTATTTTGAGTGATGGAGATGTGCGCTTTGCTTGGGATCTGGCGGACTCAGACTGGATTATGTCTTCTCGGGAGCAAAACCCCCTTATGTGGGTGCCAAAGGAGGCTGATTTGCGCACACTTCTCAAGATTCTTATCATTTCTCCGTCTGGCTTTTCTACAGTTGACTTTGATCAGTCTATGATTGGTGTTGATTGGGTTCACTGTTATACACCATAGCTACTTACAGTCACATTACATATCATTCTTCCGCATAATTTAAATGCATCTTTTCTGTCCCACAACTCACCCACAATGGGTTCGTGGGTGGTTGTCGTGTCCGTGAGTGGGGTCGTCGTTGCGTGCCGTGGTTGTTTGTTGTCGTCGTCTGTCGTGGCCGTTGTTGTTGTCGTGGTCGCGTGTTGTCGTCGTCCGTTGTGGTCGTGGTGGGCGACGTGTTCGTGGTGGGTGAGCAAGAGGGTGGTGATGGTGGTGTTGTCGAGTGTTGTTGGGTTTGGGCAAAATTCCCACTCGCGGAATTCGCCGACGTCCTTTCTAGGAAGGAGGTCAGTACGTTGGTATATAGAGCATATAATAATGACCTATAATAATGCCTTTCTAGTGTAACTGGTAAAGTGCTCGTCTCTATACTATTGTCCTGATGTCCATAAGGTTGAGAGTTCAATTCTGTCAGGTTGTGCTTTTTTATTATATGTTATAATAACAACAACAGTGACAAACTGCTGGTCCTACTGGGCTCCCTGTCCCCGGAAATTCCTACTGGACTCCTACTGGACTCCTACTGGACTCCTTGTACTGGACTCCTACTGGACTCATTCCTTAAAAATCCAGTAGAATTCCACAATTCCTGGTGATTTGGGTTCAGTCCGGTAGGAATTTACTAGGACTCCACTAGGACTAGGATACAAAATTTGTATGGTGATCAGCCAACATAAAATGTGTCCCAGTCCTAGTCCAGTCCGGTAGGATTCCGGGAATCCAGTAGGAGTCCGGTAGGAATAGGTGGGGGAGAGTAAAGAGCTCTCCCCGTCGACAATGCCCACCCTTTCGACCTCGAGGGCTACATCACCAACTACACAGGTAAGTTATTGTTCCTTTTCATCTTCATCGTTGTGCTGACAAACGTCCAAGACCGAACTGCCATCGACCGCCTTATCCACATCGCCAGCATCTGTCCCTCAATCGTGACGGAGGCCTTCCAGCTCTGTGTGCAGCACATCCATCAATCACTGAGAAACCTGCTGCATACGGAATGAGGAACGTGTGACGCGCGAGATCCGTAACAGGTTCTGCAGACTGTCTGGGTCTCCGTGTAGGCGGTAAGGGCAACTGTGGACCTTCTCTAGCTTTTCTAGAAGTGGCTGTCTCTCTGACTTTTATTGGTGCCATGGTAAAACGACTTTTGCGCTAGCTTTCGTGGTGTCCAAAAACTAGACTTGATTGGTTTATATTTTAATTACTCAAACTGAAGTCCAAGTAATCAAAACTTGTTCGCAAAACAACTTTTTCAAGCTATATTTATTCAAACAAAACAAATGAAGACCCTCGTGGTGGGCTCCAGATGAGAAACCTGCTGCGCGCGGAATGAGGAACGTGCGACGTGTGAGATGAACTGATGCGTGAACACCAAAACAAACACACACACACAACCTTAACACACACTCCCTTACTATACATGCACAGGGTTTCGAGTTCGAGGTCTCTAGGTATTTTATTAAATATCAGATGCTTTGTCTTAATAAAATTTCAACTGAATTGATTGAATTTTGCGAAGTTTTTATTTTAAAAGTTGTAAACCTTAGCCCTAAAGCTTTGGCAACAATTTGGTATGATAGGGTGTGATTTTGGAATGTTTTAATAGCAGTGCTATAACGGACTTAGGGATCCGTCTACCTTGTCTTGGCTTAACTTTTTGATTTTTAACAAGTTTTCCTTAATTTTCCACAAAACAACAGACTTTTTAACTTTGACTTCGTATAGCCCCCTTGAGCTTTTACAATATCAATATGATCCAATTACTGTCCTTACAAGTTCGCTGTCTTGTCAAGAATTCTTATTTCAAAATCTTCAAATTTTATCAAAACAAAGTATATTGGCTTCAAAGCACGCTGGCTCGACTTCTTACAAAACTTTTATCTTAATCACAAAGAAAACTCCTTTTAATTGATTACACTGTCCACCTCCTGAGTCCTACTCGGAGTGCGACTAGCTGGTCAACGCGGGGACGATTTCTTTCGTTATTACCTGCTTGCGCACTCCTTAAATACTAAAAATCCTTATCTACGCGTTACATGTGTTTTTACTACGGCATAAATATGAAAGCCAAATAGCCAAGGTATTTTAATAGGGTATAATGGTATTTTATAGTCTTTCTCGAAAGACACTACAGATTTTGTAGTGTCCGGTTATTATTATTCAAACACATCAGTATTGATGCGCACGCGGGAAAAGCCGGTGTGCTAATTTCAGCTTTCTTTGATCGCTCGTGTTTTCTTATTCTCACTGGGGGAGTTGGCTTGTTTGTGCAGCGGGGAAATTGTGATTAAAACGAGTATATAATAAAATCTTGTTTTGGTTTGAAGTGCTGGAGAAAACTTGAAAGAACTTAAAATTTATTCTTCAAATTGTCTAGTATTTACTGTCCACTTTTTACCAGAATATAATTACAAATTGTTTTGCTTAAACCATGTAAGGAAAGAGGGAAGATATAAATAATATATCTAGCAGCAAGGCACGAGAAAAAAGCTGATAATATTAGAGAATATTTTTACATTATATGACCCGGATAAATGTCTCAATGGGTTTCCATTTGATCGCTGACTTGTAAGGTGAATATATTCGGATCTTAGGCACTGATCAAAGTGTGGTTAGAATGTGGCAGAATTGAGTCACGTCACACCCCGACGATTTCCAGAACCAGTAATAGGGCGCGCATTTTTTCTGGGCCTTTGTAGGCCTAGGAGTCTTCAGTACTAGTGACCATTTCCTTATTATGAATTCATGATATATCATAATCTAGATTATGTAATGTACGCCATCGCGATCACGTACGTAAGTCATGATCAGATGCACAGTCAAATATTGCGTAAAGAACAATGGTTTTGTGCAACTAGACTTCTGACTTCGCTTATCGCCCTCTGGTTTCTCCACTACTCACCTCCTTCTTCCTTACACCTATTGGCCTTGCCAAAGGTGTACTCGCTTCCCACCTTCCCTCCTTGCTGATATGGCCTTTTGGATTTTCCATGGGTCCATGCTCAGATCAACTTCATAGTCACCCGGCGCCAATTCCTTCCTGGAGAAGACACCAGCTGCCAGTGCGGGGAACCACTCCAAACCCCCGAGCACAACATCAAGGGCTGCACCCGATAGTTGAACCGGCACGGACACTCAGGCTGCAGAAGGACGAGAGCTGGCACTCCTGGAACTACTGGTCAACAAACGGTGTAGCAGCGCCAACAGAACTTGTCAAGGAGACAGGCGCATTTACATTCTCCGAAGAGAAATGCAAACCAAAAGCGACGCCTACATATTTCGACGAGCCGTGACCACCGGACCTGGACTTGGGCTACGAGACAAAACCTATCACGCTCGCAAGCATGCACTGCAGCCACAGCGATGACACAGCCCGAGCGCGCCAGTATTCATTTCTTTCCTAGCACCCCCGTGCACACGTCACCACCTGTTCTTCTGGGCACTTAAACCCATTTCTTCTGTCACCCATATGCATGGCCATTCGTCTGAGTACTGCAGTGGTGGACTTGTTCTCGCGTTCATTGCATCCGTCAATGGGACAGGCGGGACGTTGAGAAGGGCGAGCATAACACCAGTACAGAATCTTCTTTTGAGATCAACGCGACCAGGTTTTTTTACTTTCTTTTGCTATCAATAACGACGCCAACCCTGCCATGCATGCCTTTGTCATTTCTCCCGACATTTTCACTGCCATTTGCTTCGCTGGATGTGACCTAATTGACTCTGCTATTGGACCTGATGGCAAGCCGTTCAAGTTCTCTGACTCCAACTGGTCAGGAGCTCTCACCGCCCGTGGATATGATGCTGGAAGATACCTTCCAGCCTTCTCCTGTTGATCGCGCCAGCGTCAGCGTTGCTGTTGTGACCGTCTTCAACTCAACATCCCTTGGGTCGGCAAGACCTCTACCGACCTTTCTGTTATGATCAATGTTAGCAGTAAGTCTAGTTTCATCAATCTTTCGCTGCTATCCACTCAGTTATATTTCAGCGACCGTTTAGTCCCTTCACAGCTGCATTTCCTCTCTTTCAAGCACAAGACCATTCATCATCTTTTTGGCTCAATTTCATGCAGACTGCCTGGTGCTGGTGCTGGGGTCACTGAGGAGTTTACGGCTACTCCGAGCAGGTGCCGGTGGCATCACAATGAACACAAAGGGCCAGCACGGAGCCGAGGGGCATACAGCTACCTCTGGGACTCATTACGTTGTAAGCTTGAGTGCGTTAAAACGGATATACTAGTACTGAGGCATCGTGGTACGTTAAATCGTTAAGTCATGCCTTGTAAAGTACTCACGGCATAAAGTCAAGAAATCATAGATGTCATCGCGAAACGTAAAGTGTCGTATTGTGGTATGTTCAATCGTCAAGTATCGTCTCGTAAAGTACTCATGAAGTCATCAAGTCATCAAATTGTTTCATCACAATCAAGTGTTGAAGTTTCCAGAAATTTGCTCGTTGTGAGTCGTAAGTTGTCAAAGTCATAATATATGGAACTGGTTTCGAAGTCACAAAACTTTCAGAAGTCTTATGCCTTCAGTCGCGGACATTGGATGCGATTATCGAGTGTATTCTCAGGGGGGAGCGAAGAAGGAGGGTTGGATATAGTTCATGAATCTATAAATTCAAGTCAGCGCATTTCCAAAGAGTATTTTTATGGCTTACTGGAAGATTTGTGTGTTGTGGTTGAAATCATAACTTTGCATCATGGGTCTTACAATGATAGCGCCATCAAGGCGAGTCTGGTCGGCGAGCCACGCTTCATTATACGCATTCGTTGGAAGTTGGGAAACAAAACGTTTTGAAGTGCTAAAAGGACCATCGGGGTTATGAATCCTTTTCCGTGGGTATGCACCCCTAGACTTTGGGGAAAGCATACGCCGCATGATAATGTGCAGGGTGTCGAAGATCTGGAGCCACTCTGAGATTGATGGGTTCCTCCAAACAGGACGATGAACATAGAAAAGGGGTGCACGACGGCGAGTTTGCGGCCTCTGGTTCATGAGTTCTTCCGACTCTGACTCATCTGAGGACATTCCTTCAACACCCAATCTTTGTAACATGGCAATGTGTCGATGTAGATGCGGATGTTGATTGGCAGTATCGAGGCGACGATGAAATAGCTGCGATTGGGTGGGTCAGAGTCGGACGTGAAGAGCGAGAGCTGCAACTTACGATACGTTTTCTTTGCCAGCGTCGGACAGCCTGACTTTGGATTAATCGGCTTCCAACGCTCTGGCTGTGATTACCCCACTTTGCCTTCAAAGTTTTCACTCTCGTCAAAAAGCGCCGTGTAACGTCGTCGAATACGGTTGGTGTAAGCGGCATCCGGTGGAAGGTTGCAAAGTCAACAACAAAGACTCTTGCGGCAGATCGGTTCCAGGGACTACGTGGTGGACCATGCAAGTCGACTCGAAAGTTTGAAATAGTGCAGCAAGCCTCCCATCCCTCACGACTCGGAGGCCAGCGATGATTGAAAGCGGAAACTTCATTTTCCGTGGCGACTCGAAGCCGGTTATTCATGAGCTTGCTGATATGTAATCTAACCGATTTCTTCAAAAATGTCAGCTATGACTATGGTTGTTGAACCAACAACATTCTCACCGCCATAGCAATGGAGTGTGGGGATCGAATTCGGATACCGGTTGTCATCTTGGGACCCCGTTGGGGCTTTGGCTGTACTGCGCTCGGGAGTGAGGTGAAGGAGGAGGCCAAGTTTGATAAGCCATTGGTTAAGTTTGCGTTCAGACGCTCTTCCATTTCTTGTAATTTTCTCCATAGTTGAGCCTAGAAGAATATTACTGCTAAGTTACGAAGATCAAGCAGACCCCATCTATACGCACGATTCCGTCTTCAGCCTCGTCTTCCCCGTCATCCTCATCATCGCCTCCATATTCAAAATTCTCCTCATTATCATCCCACCCCTTATTCTCCTCCTCCTCCTCCTCCTCCTCCTCCTCCTCCTCCTCCTCCTCCTTTTCTTCCTTCTCATCATCCCTTTGAGCAAAAGATGATCCGTTGTCAAAGGCATCAAAGTGTTGTGTTGGCCATATGGACGGTTGGAATCCGTCTGGGCCGGAATCGTCGTAGATATTGGAGGGACGCCTATTTGCGGGACGCCTAGTGGAGGGCGGTGTAGCGGGCATGTATTCTGCTGGAAACACAGAAGGCTCCATGTCATCAACGTTCATTGGATGCGGTCCAGTGGGTGACATGGCTGGTAGAGGTTGATCATCCATGTGAGGGTTGACAGGAGATAGGCGTGACGGCCCTGGACGTGGTGGATGAGGCAAATGAGCGTACCACTGACCACCAGGATCAGAGTGTGTCTTTCGTTTACCCCTGCCTTCATCGGCCCTTCCTTTGCCCTTGTCCTGAGGTCCTGGCTGAAATGGGACTGGACGAAATGTGGAAGAAGGGGCGTTGTTGGAATTGGTAGGGTCACTGGTCCTGCGGCTGGGAGTTGTAAGTGGTGGGGATGTTCTCAGCTGCGGAGAAGTCCTCAACCGCGGGGATGGTCTGAGCGGTGGGGACCGAGCAAGAGGAGAGGTCGGGACTGGCAATGGTGGATTGCTGAACATAGATTGATGCGTGTTAGAGGGAGTGGGATTGGTAGGGTTACTGGTCCTGCGGCCGGGAGTTGTGAGTGGTGGGGACGTTCTCAGCTGCGGGGAAGTCCTCAACCGCGGGGATGGTCTGAGCGGTGGGGAACGAGCAAGAGGAGAGGTCGGGACTGGGAATGATGGATTGCCGAACGTAGATTGATGCGTGTTAGAGTGAGCATCGTGACCATAGCCCGCGTACAAATCAGGGTTTGGCCTATAGTCTTCAAGAACATCCTCAAGATAAGATTTGAAGCAAGAGAACATACAGAAAGCTCACCGTTGACATTCTCATCACGAGAAAGGTTCATAGAGCTTATCTCCGGACTGGCCGCGTTGCTGCGCGAGATTGAGAGATTTTCCAAGTTCACTGAGCTTACATATGGATTGGGAGGATATGTATCGGGGAACAGAGTTGAAGAGTGCTGAAGATTAGGCGGGGATGATGGTGGCGTTGTATTGGGTGAATTGAAACCACCTCGACGAGGCTCTCCTGCTTCCCGAATCAAAATCAAATCATGTTCAATTGAAAGAAAACCATCCTACTGGTGGGGGAATTTCTGGAACGGAAGTTGGCTGAGGGGGAGTATGACGAGGCCATATTTGAAACTCGGAGTGTCAGACTTCGCAATGCTCTTATGAACGTTCATATATCTTCAACGTGGACGTACTTTCACAGGCTGGTCACAAGTCTTGACAATCTGGACAGATCTTAGCCGACCTGTATCGATTATCTGGACAGATCTTAGCCGACCTGTATCGATTATCTGGACGTCGCGAGTCATCGTGATCTGTAGCGGCGTGTACATGTACTGGATGCTCCATGTCGCAATCATGTGCGCTTTGTCCAGGGGTTCGAATTCGCGATCGATAATCATACCTTTTCGATGCGGCCAATGAGCGTGCCTGCATTGCAGTTCTAATGCAAAGGTACGTTCTCACTATCATTAAATAGGTCAATTTTGGGCTGCAAGTTCAAGATATGACTTTCTAATGAACCCTCGATTTTAGGTGCAAGGAAAACAATATTTCGAGACTTTAAATTCCGATACGAGCTTCACTACAGCTGAAAAGAACTACATCGTGGAGAGTTGATACATTCGCTAAAAAACAAAACCAACTTGAACATTTGCAAAGAAAGGGGACTGAAAATTGTTATCAGCAAAGGAACCTGTAGCTTATGGACACACCCACCAGGATCATCTCTGGAGGAGGATATCCGGCGTCGACGGCCTCGGTGACCCTTGATAGGTAACTGTAAAGTGAAGTTATACCGATGGATAACTATTTATTTTAAAAAAATAGGCGTACAGTTGAATGGCTAACTCGAAGGTCTTCTTTCTGGCAGTAGGACGAGAAAGAACCGGAACCCTGGTTCCAATTTGGAACGCCGCCAGCTCTCCGCGCCAGGGTGTACTCGGTTTGACCTTGAGCAGAGTTTGGTTTACTGCCATGGTCGGTTCACTATAGCCGATGATGACAATATTTGCGCCCTCGACCGTGACGCGGGCATGATGAAGTTTGGGAGCGAGGTTGGGTTTGGGTTTGAATAGGCCCATCACATCGATTTGGTCGATGTTCGGGCTTCTGTCGTCAGGAGCATCGTCCATCATTGGAAATGCGCAAAGGCGGCGGCCAGACGTGTTGTACAAGGAGTAAAGATATCCGTATGCAGCGACATTGAGGTGCTCCTGAACACTATTAGCATATTCAAGAGGAGTATTATTGAAAACTAACCCCATCAGTCACGGGAACGGCATCGCAATCCATCTCCACTAGCGTATTGTCCCCCGCTAAGTCAGACCTTGAAGAATGGGGGAGATGGTTGACGTGTGAGAGACGTCCGCTACAACGAGGTGCTGAAGCTGTTTCCTGAGAGAGCTCGAGAGGTTCATAGGATGTAGCGCTGAGGTCGTAAGACTTGTACGCACCATGTTCAAACAATGAGTTTAAAGTGGGTTTGGGATCTGGGACGCGGACATATGCAACTTTTGGGGAATCATTTATATACCTGGAAGCTGTCTAGTCTACGGCTTGGACATGTGTTCACTCAAGGGCCTTTTAGTTTTCAGTCAAGTCGGTCATGATCGCGCATACCTGACATATGCGCACATCCGCATCGATATCTCGACTCTTCTGGATGATCTGCACTCTAACCGTCTTTAGTATATCTCAACACGAGGCTAAAGACATGAGGCTCAGGTCTATAGCTAGGACGCGGAATGTACGAGTTCGAATTGGCAGTAAAGCTAAAGCTAGCAATACTTTTGGTGTCCTTAACCTGGAGAAAGAACAGCCCAATTTTGCTAACCAAGGAGCTCTGGGCTGCAATATCTGCTGGTTGTTATAATTACACGTCTAGATCTCAAGTATTTGTGGCCGGTGCTTTATCAATCGGCCGGCCCGCTGAGCCGGCTCGGCTACGAAAAGGGACTACGTGTTTAGCGCCCCTTACCTTGTCTTCTATTCTAACTAGATCAATGCATGCGCAGAGGGAACTGTCACTGTTTCAAATTCCGAAATTTTTTGGGGGTCTCTGGACGTGAGATTCACTTCGTTCTTGAATCCCCATTCTTGCCTCTCCACCATCCGACTCTCATACTATGCGTTATCCTATGAATCATTTGGGTACCAAGCTTGTAACAACGGATGTCCCTCTTTTGAAAAGTGAAGGACAAGTTAAAGGGAGCGGTGCTTCATTTGGCAAAATCGCTTTCTCGCCAGATGGCAAGCTTGTAGCTATTGGTGACGCTAGTGGCCGCTTGACAGTAAGTTACATCTCCATCATATCCTTCCGGTAAACTCACCAGTATTCTTTCGTAGATTAGACGCACTTGGACTACGTGGGGACTCCTTAGGACGTATGAGCTCGGGTCCAAAATTCGGGACATATGTTGGCACCCCGTCCAGTCAGACACCTTGCTTATCGGCTGTGGGTCGGGGAATTTTTATTGCCTAACAATGGAAGAAGAGGGTGTAAGAAACTCGATACCTCGCCGAACTGAGCTATGCTGATACTGAATGTCAGGAGAAAGTCATTCGTCGGGAAGTCCCCGGCTTTATACACGCCATTGCTCTCAACGACGACGGGAATCAGTTGGCAATTGGCTACAGCGATAATACTTGCGTCTCAGTTGTTTTGCTTGACGACCCTTGCTCAGGTAAACCTATGCTGATCTTTTCAAAGCGGGAGCTAAAGTTGATCATAGATATACAAAAACCTCTCATACCGCTCAAGACCTTGAAGAGACCCAACCCTGAGAACATTCCTCATAGAATATTTTACCTCTCCAATGGCACAGTTCTCATTGCGTATTTCGGTACTTTAGGTTTTTTGTGAGTGGCTTGTTCGAATCCTGATTGAACTCACTGACTTCTCAAAGTGCATATCGGGGGTTCCATCCTTACGACAAGCTGTTTGAAATTGAAGCAAAAAACTGGATGTCAGTCACTGTCGGCCAACGGTACACGCTCACTTACTCACTTCTCATCAGTGGAGGTGTCGCTCTCTCTCCGTCGAAGCTAACTCTTGCAGTTACAAATTTGACGGATGGTATCGACTACTACTCTATTACCCAGCAGCGCTACGCACACTCGATAGGATATGATGCCACAAAGGGCAGCACAACCATTCGTTACACTGAGATCGTGTTCTTAGACAACATGACCGTGGCGGCTGCTCACGTGTCAGGAAGTCTCGTCGTTGCAAGCTGGGACCCTAATTTGAAACCTTCTATCAATGTTCTTCGCAAGAACGATGGGACTCTCGGCCGTAAGTGACATTTTCCTCCTGTTTATCGTTCATAAATGATCCACTATGCATCTCAAGTATCACAAGTACTGGTGAGTTGACCTCGAATCATTTAGTTGTACTTTCCTTGACTACTTGTTTGGCCTAGGCATACAAGCTCATCGATGAGCGGCCGACAATTCTATTTGGTAATGGCGAGGAGGCGCAGACAGACATCATGATCGCCACCTTCAAATTACCAGCATATACAGCTGAGCGGGAGAATGAAGTTGTCATGGCGGCTCACGTCGCTGTCAGTCATTTTCGAGCTATCTACGCGAACAAACTAACTCTCTGATCAGCACAATCAACCAACCATTGAGATCTTACAACGAGGACAGCAGCATACGGCCAATCCCGAGCTACTCCGAGATGAGTCTCATGTTGAGTGGATGGCGGAGCCCATGGCCAAACCAGCAGGCCTGGAAGAAGGCAATCAGCCACAAATAGCGATATATGACCAGCCACCTACCAGTATCGTCACCAGCTCAACCGCAACCACCGACAACGAAGTGCTGACGAGTGCGGTCTCCAGCACTGTCAATCCGCCACCAACCAGTGCCGTTAGCAGAACCATCCCAATTGCAAGTACCGCCAGCCAGCTCCCAGTCACCGCTACTGTTGGGAAACCACCAATGAGCGCCGTCACTGGTACTATCAACCAGCCACCAGCAGCCACTGTCACCGACATTGTCCCAGCCGTCACCAGTACTACCTACCAGCCGTCAGCAGCCACGACTATCATCACCGCCGTCGACCAGCCACCAACAACTGCCATCACTAGTGCCGTCAGTCAGCCACTTACTGATACGGCCGCTCAGCCATATATGACCGTCGACCAGCCACTGCCTACGACCAAAGACAAGCCACCGTCTACAACACCACCATCTACCACGGTTGACCAGCCACCACCTGCCATTGTCAACCAGGTGCAAGCTCAAGCACAGGATCAACCAAAGCCGTCCACAAATTATGAGAGGTCAAAGCTGCAGGTACATTGAATCGACTCTATTACTTGATTATTTGATGACCAATTCAACAGCGATACCGAAAACTCCTCTTTTCTTGTTCTCTCACAGCACTTCTGGCGACAGCTGCTCGGTACATTCCACTCCCTACTTCTATCTACCAATATCAGATAGTCTCTCCGTTGGGCTTTGCAAAGTCATCTGTGGCAGCGACGGTGGCATTATCCCCCATGGGAAGCTTGGAGGAAATCGCTCAAAGCTTACCACCACAAGTGCCGTCGGCAGAGGGGATGGAGTTGTTTCCGACCATCATTTTGACAACTTTGTCTCCACAGACCTGGCCATCGACCCAGAACCCCACAGTAACACAAACAATCACTTGTATGATCACAGAAACCGTGACCTCAAACATGGGGATGACAATCACTGTGACCACTACGGAGCAGGTGACGGTAATTGCTACAGAGCGACCAATGGGGGTTGCTCAGAATACAGAGGTGGTCGCTAAAACCTCTACGGCATGGGGAAGCATCTTCTCTGTTTTAGCAGTTACTCTGGTCGTTCTGGCTCTTATTCCCTTCCTTTCGCAACCAGTTCGCAAGAGAGCATTTGGGGCGCTTTCGAGACGCCTACCCCAAGGCCTGTTACAGCACTACTTTGAACGAGACGTTCCACACGGACAAAGTTCACAGGTTAACGTTATTGCAACGGAAATGTCGGAAACATCGTAACTCGGGAGGCAGATGTAGTTCGCCGGAATGCCAAATTATCGCCTTCTCTATGGTAGTGGTTAGGACTGTTGTACATTTACCAACGTACCTACATGATATGTATGATTGTTCATGCCCAATCACAAAATGCGTATTAATTATTTAAATATCCGATCACCTGATGCGCGATATCTTTATCCTTGACACACACATTGCATATACAACACTCCAGACTTATCTGACTTTAGGACGCATACCAATCTTCTTTGTCGATCATAATCATGGATACAAACATACGGCCGAATGCTGTCGCAGCATCATTAGAAGGATACGAGAGACCCAACTGCAGCCCTTTCCCCTTTGGTTCCCGCACGGACAAAGATGTAGGAACGCTCCAAGCTTTGCCTAGACTATCATGATGACATGTATGAAGCTCCTCGAAGTGGACTTTGTTCACCTCAAGATCGGATCAAGCGCGGGCATCGATCCAGCTGGCTTCTCTGAAAGCGCGATGGGGTAGCTATCACTTTCTGTTCATGTACTGAGTGCTGACCAGACTCGGATGTTGTAGAGCCGCTTTCCCCGCTTCAAATCTGCACGCAATGGGGAGTAGCCATGGCCCAGTCCAACGGTGCGAATGACAGATTCTAACCCAAGTACTTGATCTCATCCGGCTAATCTTACATCTTGCTTCCTTATCAGTGCGTCTGGACCTACAAAGGAGGATCTATCAACGGACACCCATAAGGTCGAGCAACCAGTGCAGTCAATCAAAATTGAAGATTTTGAATTAGCTTTGGAAGATCCGACTCCGAGAGCCTCTAAACCTGCGGGTGCTCTAGTCCCCCCAATCCAAGCCGATCCCAACTTCGAGGCTCCAGATCCTTCTATCGTTAGCAAATTAACACAGTTTCTGACATGCACAGTATCAACATCCGACTCTGAAAAGCAATACAAAGAAATAGCCAACGCGGCTCTACTTCTGGCATCAAGCTCTCCAAATGATGCCTCCGTCATCAAAGCCACCCTCGGGTCGTTGCCTATCAAACCGAATGTTTCAGTTGATACTACAATTGATGCTGTCGTTTCCATTCTTAAGCGTGGACATAGCCCTCCTTTTGCGCAAGCGGGCTATTTCGGGTAAGCGAACAAAATTTATGGAGGCAACGTTGCTGCCCTCAGATAATCACAAATTGACGGATTAACGTAGCACTGCAAGCGCTACGGCTCCTCATTTTGACCACAAGTGGGCGACAAGTTTTCTTACGCAGTGTTTAATCTAATCAAGATCAAACTTAGCTCGGCTGGTCCTTTCGGTACTTTTTCTTTCCAACCTCAAGGACCTCAATTCGGGACGTTCAATCCACACAACGGCAACGTTCAAGGGCCACCAAATGCAATGTATGGCGCGACTCATAGTTTCTCGGCTTTGTGAGCAGAGCATTGGTGATTTTTTTTGTTAATCTGATAATCTGGCTTCAGTGGTCAAGGACCGCAACATAGTGGTCCCTCAGTTGGTCCAACTCAAGCACCGCTGTGAGTAAAGCAGATCGTATACTCCGTTATATATCTAACGCTTTTACCCGAGCCAAGTCCAACCCACCATGGACATCCATCTAACAGCCCGTCATTTGGGTCAAACCAAGCGTTCTCGTGAGCGGAGCTTTCGGATGATATCTTCAACATCTAATGATTTGCCTTAGTCCAACTCCCCAAGGACAGCCTATCAGCCCCTCCACCATCCCGAACCAAACATCGTTGTGAGTGAAATGTTGCGTTTATCTCTTCTTTGATATATCTAATGGTTTACTCTCGCAGCGCTAGCGGACAAACTGAGCAAGAACAATCCCCCAGTGGCCCTTCAATCGGGCAAAACCAGTCATCATCGTAAGTGAAGAATTGAACTTATATCTAGATCTCCTTCCCAGGCCTGACCAACTCTCCCAGTATTCCACCAGCTGCGCCAAAAGAGAAGTAAGTGATATCTGTCATCAATTTCGAAAATCTTATAAATCTTTTAAACTCTTTTTCTCATAGGGTCAAACGTTCGATATACGTTCCAACTGAAGAACACAAGGCTACTCGGAGAGCCAACAAGATTCACGTTTATCTTAAAGACCAGACCATCCAGAGGCAACCAGACCACAACTTCCAGATCGTCACCACGTCAGCCCTATATGCCATAGACCAGGTGCCTTTGGTTTTGGCATGCTTGGACAAGTGGATGTTCCGACCAGGCGATCTCTGGATCAACAAACACCTCGAAAACCTCGCCAAAACCAAAGTCTGGTTCTTAAACACACAAAATCAGTGGGTTGAGGTGACGAAGAGCTATTTTGAAGACAACGCAGCAACCTATCACCCTGTACTGGAACATACCCATGTTCTCACGCATACGAAGAACAGAAGAGAAGAGCCAGCATGGCTCACGAAGAAGCAATTCTTCAAGCGCAGGGATCAGGAGATGTACGTTAACCCACCATGGCCACCAATACCGGGAAGTTCGTCGGAAATTAGGGCTAAGTCCCCCGCTCCCAATTGACAGCACTCGATAATCAGGCTCCAGACTATGCCAACCCACCATCGCCACCAGAACTGGGAAGTAAGTCGCATAGGGAGGTCGGCGTTGAGGTCACTTGTAATTGACATCACTCTTTCCACTTCGAGTACATTGGCGTAGTCTAGGCCTCCTTGAGCTTGCTCTACATGTATTTGAATTCTTCATTTTCTTAATACTTGCGCCTGATCATGATAGCTCCGAAGTATTGTGTGATCATGATCATGAATTCGTGGATGTCGCTCAAGGCTACTACACCACCTGCACCTGTACATGTACATACATCAACTACGGTACATGTACCTGTGCAAGCGCGTGGCGCTCTAGACCTTACGGCCCCAGTCATCTAAGATTAGGAACGAGGTTCGACTCCTCTCGCGCGAGCGTCACTCGCGTGATCTTATCAAGTTTTTTGGGGTGATCATGACAGTGCTAGTTAGTGCTCCTGCAGGGGCTCGGGGTTTTGGACATTCTGATATACTTGGAAGAAAATTCAAAGAGCCAAGGAACGAATTGGAACAATCTCGATGTCACATGTGATTGCTCTTCGCCAAATTCATTCCGACGGCCACGATTCGGAATATTAATATTATGGTGATTTTTGACACATATAAGCTGCGCTATTCCCCACTGCGCTACCTGGTAAAAATAATCCTTCCAATATTACTATGAAGTGTTGTGATTATTTATGTATCATGGGTTCGTTTCACTTGCGATTCAGTTGGAATTCGATGTCACTAGCTTCAGCTCACGCTAGCGCTATATCTCCTTCTGTAGATAAAAAGGCAGCGTGACGTAGAAGCATGGCGCTGACATTTTACCCTGATAGATGATCGGACAAAGCAAAAGCCGATTTGGTTTTGAGATGGCAAGAAAACTGGTTTGACTGGTGAAATAGAACCCGAGGCAGGCGTTGGTGAGGGTACACGTTTTGATGATGCACTAGTACCAGTATGGTTTCATGATCATGGGCAACTTCACGACCACCTTGCACCGCCAGCCTAGGGGCATTTTTATTATTATTCCAGTCGATCGAGGATATCGATCCTGTTAGGAAGCATTCCTTGGCCGAACCCAATTGGGACCATGGTCACGACTAGATGCCAGACCGGCCAAAACAAATGAAGTGATGACCACCTTGCAATTGGAGCCTGCAGGCATTTTTCTCCATGCGAAGTGAGGGGAAAGTTCCTTGGCCGAACCCAATTGGGGCCTTACATCATGATGTCAGGCTGGCGAAAACAAATGAATTTCCTCTTTTAATGGGTAGCGGAATGTGAACCACCACCCAATATATATTTACTACTGCTCACTGATCACACATATGCACGTTATGTAGTAGATAGCTTTATCAAACGTGAAGTTCTAATTTCAAACCGACTATATGTAAGTGATGTTATTTGTGAGTTATTATTTGGACCAACAGGGACCCACAACAAGTCGATGACTTTGAAGCGTAACAAATCCAAACTTCTGGTATACGTAGTTCCTTGCAAAGAATCGAGTTGCACCTAGATATATATATACATGTACATGTACGTCGGGAACCTTCAAATTTGTTATTAGTAGCCATGAGTGTGTATATATATGGCAAATTGGTGCTTACAACCGTCCTAGACCTGCGCACGTAGCATAATCAAATGGCCATGGCCTGCATGCAAGTTTAAAATTTTGGGGTTGATCGTGACCGGAGTGAATAATGCAACAAGGTACCCGACAAGCATATTAAGGATCCGGAGTAAGTTAATTTATTATTAAAGTGCGCAGATGTCGACGACTCACGACCGCCAGAACATCATGACCATGGCCATTGCGATCGATTGGCTCAAGGTATATACGTAGTACTAGTACTTATATATGAAACAAACAAGAAACAAATTAAAACAAAGCTAGCGCTAGCGCTGGACGAAAGGACATTCCCAGTCCAATTGCAAAAGATATATTTTGTTTGTATGATCATGATATATATATATATCTTGAGAATAGAAGTCTGAGCGACGAGCCATATTTGTGATAAACCAGGAATACTTACTGATCATGAAAGTCCATCTTAATCCCATGCAGATTCTATGTCATTACTAGTTGACCATGGGACTGATCATGAATAATCATAATTGTGAGGATCCGGAGAGGAAGGTCGGTCACGTCGGTGTCTGCTCGTTGTTGGCGGAAGAGGACAAAAGCATCTGTGATAAAACCCAGTCATCGCGCAACGTTAACGCAACCACGGCACCACTGAAACCAGTTCTAGATCTAGAAAGATGCCCATGCAGACGAACCAAAGGATGGACGGAAGAATGGTACTAGACAGATACCACAGCCAGGGCATCATACCTGCAAGCCATAGGCCTAGGCCTAGGAGAGGCAGATTCGGAGAAGATGTTGCATACTAGTATAGGTCGATCGAAAGGAAGACTGAGGAAGCCACCCATGGCAAAGCCAAAGGGCCCAAGCCAAAGGCCTGGCATATCTGCGAGCCATATATATATATCAAATATATATATAGGTTTAGAGGCAGATTCGGAGAGGATGATGTGAAGACTGAAAGGAAGACTGGAGAAGGCACCCATGGCAAAGCCAAGGGGCGCCCAAGATAGATCTACTGAAGTACTACATAGAGACGACGTCGAAAGGGGTCGAAAATGGAGGTAACTATTTATAAATAATTAAGGTTGCCATCACTCGGTGCCTTAACAATTGCAAACTCAACATTTTCTCACAAGTTCTCAATCGTCTCTACTCTAGTCTTTGCACGTCTCGGCTTTGCCGAACGTGTTATCCATCCTAGCAGGCCTCAGGCCTCATTCTTTCTCCCCACAAATACATTTTCTAGCCTCTGCACGTCTCGTCTTTGCCGAACGCGCGCGAAGTGGCTTCCTCGCCTTCCACCACAACTTGCCCTTCTGACCTTCTCAGAACGCTGCCTCTCTAGATCTTGCGTCTCGCGTCTCGGCTTTGCCGAACGTGAACTCTCAATATCTCAAATACGCACACTATCTTTTAAGAATCACCTCTCCCTCTGTCTTCACACCCTCTCTTCCAACACCTTGCCTTCTCTCTCTGCGCGTCGCGGACTCACCGAACGTGCCTTGGTCCTTGTACACCTATTGCTCAGCATATCCTCAGCATAGGCCTGTTTCAGCTTCGACAAACATCTCACTGTTTGCCGAACGTTCCTTCGCCCTTCCTCTTTTCCACGCCTCGCTGGAACTCTGACCAAACTCTATCGTGTTGTGACTTCGTGGATTATCAATTGAAATGCCGTGAGTACACCTTTTGTAGAGCGTCGTAATTTGGAACTAATGACTCATGCAAATAGTAAACGTGAGTTCTGGAGAGGTCTTTTCTGGCAGGAGGGCGGATTATCTCAGCAGAGAGTGCCATCGTGCACTAACGAATCCATGTAAGCGATTTCGCTGAATGTCATCGACAAAAACATCTGACATTTGAGCCAGGCCGCTTGACCGCTCCCGTGGTCGACTGATTCACGAGTCTGGTGTGGATTACTATTCGCCAAATTGCTCACGGACGATTCAAGTTCCAAAAGTTACAGACCCCAATAAGCAGCAGTTTCCTATGAATTCGGGATGGAAAGATTTTACAGAGCCAAGATGGTGGACAGACACTCATGGCTGGCTTGCCTTTGTTCCTCGCGAACCAATGCTAGTTGGTTTTCCTTTTGATCGCCTAGCTCGCCTGCCACAAACTTTTACCTTAACATCAGAAGGAAAATATTCACTGCCCCAAGACATTGTTGATTCTTGGACAAGGCTGGACGTCGATTTGCTCCATGTCACCCGAAGACTCCTTGGAGCTTACCAAATTGCAGCAATCGCTCCATATTCTCCTCGGGCCAAGGGTTATCGGGGGTCTTTCAAACAACCCCATTCTATCAAAAAAGCTGCAATGCTTTCCCGAGATTGGTATTTTGTTTGGATGGGTTTACTATCCTATGGGGTGGCTCGAGCAGAGTTCTCGCTAGAGGCACAGAAAGATTATCGACAGCGGTGCGAAGACCAAGGAAAAGATGCCATTCTTGGAGTACCTGACTGGCGATCATTTTTGAAAGAGCGAAGCCTTGATTACCCGAATGAAATTTGCTTTGATTCTACCTGGGTGGATGCCATCTCCGCTTCCACTGTTTGCGACTTCTCAATCAGTAATCCTCGGGCAGGGATTTTCCTTAAGCTACCCAATCAGGGACCTTCTGACTATCAGCCTTCGATTCGGTGGTTCTGTCAGAGAGGTATACCTGTCTGGTATAGATGGGGTCCTGAAGAACATGAATTAGCCAAGCAAAATGATTTCTATCGAGGTCTGGCACCGTTAACAGACAATCCGGGTGTCCCATCCTTGTTCACCGATTCGCAACATGCCATTACGCTCGTTCCTGGGACCGCTTCACCTGTGAGATCGTCTGGTTCAAAGTCATGGCAGCAGTATTTTGCAGACCTCGAAAAGGAAAATCTTGAACGAGCAAAGGTGGAGTCTGCTAGAGATCGTGAGAGACGACTGAACCGCGAGCGCCAACCACCAACCCGGAGTGCCAGGGTGATTGAGTGGGTTGAGCCTATAAATGGCGGAAACCAACTCATTCCAGAGGAAAAAACAGTGGCAGAGCGCGTCGACATTCTGGAGATGTACGAAGACAAGTACAAACGCTATGATTCATTCAATAATACATGGCATATCTGTGAAGAGTTTGGAGCCGGCCAATCAGAAACGTGGCAGGAGTCGGAGGACTATCGAATGTTCCTTGGGGACTACACCAATGAGGAGAGAGAGGAAATCGAACACATGGGGTTAGGCGATGAACCCCCTCCCATTTTGAATACCCTTCGTGCCCCCACGCCACCCACAAATCCTGAACCATATGTTGCGACAGATTTTCCTTCTGACCATTTTCAAGCCGTCAACAACCTGCGTCAGACATCTCTGCTGGAGCTGTTGCAAATTGGCGTCTGCGAGACATTGCATGAGCACTATGGATTGATTCCTCCAGTCCCAATTCCACAATCGCATCCTGAATTCTCTGAGAAGGATGGACAACGCTTTGGCCGCTGGCTTGGTTTGGACACCGATGACAAGCCAGAATTGCGCCGAAAATTTGAGGCGTCTGATATAGCTCGGCTGTCTTTGCAGTTTGTTAAACTATTGATAGCTGGCAAACATCCGTCGAGTGATTACTGGGATCTTTCGCCAAGTAACCGCGAGTCATTGGTGTTTTCCAAACGACTGAAGTCGGTGTCATTATCCTTTTTTGAAAAGATTCAAGCCAACTACCGTTGGATCTTTGTTTTTGACTTCAAGAGTGAGGCGACCGTGCCTTGGAAGCTCGCGGTGACTACTGCTGCCGACGTACTTCTGGTCTGTAGACTTGATCCACGTTACAGGGAGGCTGATATTGCCCGTTTTTTGATCGAGCGTGGGGTACCTTTCCGTACCCTGGTGTGGAAAAGTATGATGCCTAAGCCCCCCCCAAGTATGCCCGTCATCTATCAGCTCCCTTCTCGCGGCCCCAATTATGTTTTCAGTAAGCACGACTTTGATAGCTACATTCACCTCCGAGAAATTCTGGTCCGTCAACCACGCATCCGTGCAGCTCTGCTTCGAGGGGGGATGCCATGGCGGTTAGTCATCAGCTTTATGCATCCTGACAAGGTATTGGGTGGTCCCGTGGGTGGTGGTCCCATGCGAGAAGTTCATCACCCTTCTGGTGAGATGCTTGTTGACGATGACCTCACAGATTTGGAACTGGATTTGTTGTGCGGGACATACATTTGTGACACAGGTATGTAATCATACATTGAGCGGATCAGCCACTGAAAACTCTTATTCTTTACAGGGGAAGGTCCCGTCATAGCATACAAATCTTGGTTCCCACCAGCTTTTTTGTTTGAAAAGAAAGACTGCGCGGAGAACTATGGCCGGTGGACTGATTATCGGGAAGCCAGATATAGGCGTCGTTTGTTGGATATTGAGCAACATGGGGCTCAACCAGAGCCTGTGTCAAGATGGCGGGACCAGTTAAGAGGTTTAAAAGAGACGCGCTTGCTCAATCAAAACATGGAGAAGCTGGCGCTCAAGTTCTTGAACGAACACCGTCCTGACATGGCACACCTCACTTGCGAATGGATTTCAAAAGAGAGATGACACTTAATAGGGATTACTGTATTCTCCATCGATCGCTCAATCGATTTGTTTTCTTGGACTTTATCTTTGTTGATTTCAAGGTAGTCTAGATCACGTGCAAGCAGTCAACTCAATCGATTGTTACAATATTAATTGTTGCTCGTTTCCGAAATCGAAGTTCAAACGCAAAAGGTGTGTGAGATGAAAACTGTTCGATTGCATACTCACATGGGTTGCAAAGCGTCCCTCAATGCATTCAGCTCATGCTAGTTCCCGGAGGTCTGCCCGTCCCAAAGATTGCATTTGCAAGTGCCGTTCGCACTGTACCATCTACAATTTATCAACAGGAGTTTACGAAGGGGGGGGTAACTGGTTGAGTCGCAGTACTCGTGATCAACATAGTCGAGATGATCGGAGGCTAGAGAGAGCTGGTCTCACCACTGGTGTTGACGCTCAACATGTTTCTACCCCTGGCCAACAGATTTCAAATGGGATTCAGCTAATCAGAGAGGAGTTGGATCTTCGTTGCCAGCTCCCCGTCTCTAGCCCTCTGACTCCATTCACTTTCGCCAATGATCCCCTCACTCACGGAGACTATATCTTTCCAGCTGAAGCAGATATATTACGACCCAACTCAGGTGTACATGCACTTAGGCCTGATTGCTATGCCAACGGCGCTTTCCTCGAGACGGAACTTCGCTTTTGTGAGCTTCTCGCCAGGCTAACCAACATGGAATCCACAGAGGAGACAGATATGCTCACTGATCATCTACGTGATGAACTGTGGCGAATGCATCGAGAGAAAGAGCTTCAATGGGTTCAACAGCGGTCGCCCCTTGTGAATGACAAAGTTGTCATCAACACAGGTGAGAACTTTCACGATTCGAAGGTCAATCTGCAGTCTTACGATTACTACTTGTCCAGAGATCCATTTTTATGAATACGGCCCAAAGAATCCTGTATTGAAGGCAGCATCGCTCGTATCTCTCGCACTACAATATATCTATTTCACACCTCGGAGAGCTGTACGAGTTTATCTGGGGGGGTTGAAAGATATTCTCAGATCCACGGGAACCCATCCCTCGTTAATTCGGGAAATTCTTAAAGATCCTCATACAGCTTCTTCCCAATTTCGTTTGGAAGGCGTTACCCATCAGTACATCGCTTGCTCTTCATGTCATTCACTGTATCCTCTCAAACCGGGTGACAGTCCTGTTAACATCAGTCAACTTGCTCTTCCCCGTTGCCCTTTCAAAAAGACGCCGTCCAGCTCGCTTTGCAATACACCTTTGTGGACGCAACACAAAGTTGGACCGGATCAAATACGTTTCAAGCCTTGCAAAAGATATCTTCACCAAGATTTGAAGGCGTGGCTTGGTCGTCTTCTATCACGGAAAGGAATTGAGGAGATTTTAGATCGACCACTGCGTACTCCTCCCGCAGATCTGGATTCACCTATCGATGACATTTGGCTCTCACCTGTCTTTCGTGATTTGAAAGATTCTTCAGGTCAACCCTTTCTTTCTGGTCCTGTGGGTGAGGGACGTCTAGTGTTCAGCTTCGCTATGGACAGTTTCGATCCATTTGGTATGAAGACTGCTAAGCAAAGTGCCTCATCCACCGGAATGTGGCTTGTCTGTTTGAACTTTCCAGAAGAGACGCGCTACCTTCAAGAGAACTTGTTCTTTGCCGGTGTAATTCAGGGACCAGATAAACCTTCAAATGAACAAACAAATCATTACATACAACTGATTGTTAATGATTTGCTTGACTTTTGGGATCCTGGAGTATTCTTCTCCCGAACATATCGATACCGGCTTGGACGACTCTTCAAAGCAATGCTTGTGCCTGTCGTGGCAGACATGTTGGCTCTTCGGCAAATCATTGGAAGCGCAGGTTCTACAACAGCCCACTACTTCTGCACGTTTTGTGATCTCGATTATGATGACATAGAGGTTTTTGATCGGAGCGAGTGGCCTGCAAAAGACGCAGATCACATACGCCATTTTGCAAGACTGTGGAAGGACGCGGCTAGCGAGCGCCATCAAGAAGATATATTCAAAGCATGTGGCGTGCGATGGTCCGCTCTTTTCGATCTTCCTTATTGGCGGCCAATAATATACTCCATCATCGAGTCCATGCATGTTTTGGACTTGAATATCTCCCAGCAGCATATCCGCAATAATTTTCAAGTCAATCTCGCTGCCAAGGGTGGGGATGGCACTACAATCACAGCTCTTCCTGTAAAACGGAAACGCGTCAGTTCAAAAGTAGACCAAGCCTCCCTCTCTGCTTGCATAGAGGCTGTGAAAAAGAATGATCCAGACCTCCTTTACCAGCTTCTCAGATTCAACCGCAAAGTCTTGTTTACTTTCTGCGACGACAACAAAATCAAAGGAGAGAATCACAATCTGTTGGTTGGAACACGATGGGTCCTGGCAAACAATATTGAGCTTTGGGTAAGTGTAGTTGTTCCCTAGCATGGCTTTTCTAAATCTATTTTAGCGTCAGAATAGTGAAAATCCCGGTGTACGGGCATTCTTGTTTGATCGGACTTCCGAAGATGTAGACATGACAATCTACTCAGATGATGAAGACGATTCATCATCTGAGGGTGGGGATGCTAGTCTCGATACACAGCCTATGGGTGAAACTGCCGGTCACGCTGCTTCTGCGGATGTTGACGCGAAATTGGCACGCATCATCCAGCACATTATAGACAAGACGGATGCACAAGAATCAAGGCGAAAGGCGTACCAGCAAGGCAATACCTCAATATTCATCAATCTCTGTGATATCATAGGTGTCGACTACAGCCATATCGATCTAAGTAAAAGAGCAGCAAAATCTACTGTATGGGACATTCTCATCAATGCTGTAAGTCTGAATCGTCTCTTTCTGGCTGGTGCTCAAGGATGTGGGTCATGTTAAAGGTCAACGGAGACCCAAGGAACATCACAAATCTCCAGTCATTCATTCCTGAGAAGAGTTCTGGTGAACGAGCTTTGCTTGGTAAAGATGTCATGGAAGCTATCTGGGAAGATATGTCATTTACTCAACTACCCTCTTGGATTGGTTCTGTTCCTCGCAACTGGGGAACGACCAAAAGGGGTAAGCTTAGTGCAGACAACTGGAGGGTCATTACTACCATCCACCTCCCAATTACCCTCATCCGGCTCTGGGGTCAAGACAATGGACGTAAAAAGGAACTGCTCGACAACTTTATGGACCTTGTTTGTGCGGTGCGAATTGCAAATATGCGCGTCTCTTCAAAAGATCAAATCAAAGCATACAACCATCATATAGCTCGCTACACGAGTGGTTTACCCAGATTGTATCCGGATCAGAAAATCAAACCAGTCCATCACGCAGCTCTTCATCTTGGAGACTTATTAGAACTGTTCGGACCCGTTCATTCACGAAGTGCTCCATTTTATGAGCGATACATCAACTTTTTACACCGAGTGAACACCAACCAAAAAATAGGTACATATATGTTCGATTTCAATTATCATTTCAACCTCATTTACTGATTACTCGTCAAAGGCGATTTGGAGGAAACATTCTTGAAGACGTCTATCCGTACATCCAATCTTTGCGCCATTCTCGCTGATGATGAGAAAGTGCGCCAACTCGTTAATGAAATGATATCGAGCCTAGATGCCATCGCCAAAGAAGACGTTCGAGGGTCTCGGCTTGCGGCTATGTTGGACCCTACTCTGTCAGGGCACACGACTGATGCAGATTCGATACCTTTCACGCTGGGCGAATCAGCTTACCAACTTCTTTGTGAAATCATTCTTAGGCATCGCAACGGCGACTTGGTCAAACCTACTCACCAAGCGATATACCTCAAACAAGTTTCTATTCATGGGGTCTCCTACGCCACCTGCTCATCCCGTGCTTTTCGAAATAGCACCGTAATGTTTCGATTGCATGTTGTCTCACCGTACACACCAGAACTCCATAAAGCAGGGGTGATTGATGCAATATTCAAACATTCACATGGTGGAGTTGAAAGCTTCTATCTGATTGTGCGAGAATATCTCCCCTTGGATCCTACCAGTGGATGCGTGGATCCTTTCCGGCAGTATGGGTTTGCAGGAGGTTATCTTTGTAATCGACAGCCGACAAGTCTGCATGTCCTCGAGCTCAACCAGGTGATTTCGCACTTCGCCCTAACAAAGATGCGACAGGAGGGATATCAACATCTCATCCATGTTCTGCCAGTAGATCGTGTAAGTCTAGCTATCATGATCCGAAAAGAAGTTCTAATCAAGTTCTAGTGCATGTTAGCATTTTCTGTTGAAAACACATCAATGTAGGCCAGAAGTCCCTCAACTCGATTTCGTGGCTGGATTCATGGGTATGGCCGGGGAATGTTAAGTGTACAATGCAGAACGGATGTACTGTAGGCGATACAACCCCCAATTCATACTCTATACCCGCGGCTTGAATTATGGCCGAAACATGTCTCGACAAGGCCGCCTTCTTGTCCGCCAAAGCAGATGGTCGGTGGGAATGCTATGCAACAAGAGAAAGTCAAAACTGTCTTCCAGGAATGGGTGAAGTGTGTTAATGTCAAGCTCACCTTTGTCGTCAACAGCAACACCGCCATTCGTATCAATTTCGATACTCGCTCGGGCTCTTGGCCTCAACAACGCCAACGAGAACACGAAGAAAACGAAGAGGATGGTGACGTCGAGGGTCACAGTACCCCTGCCGATTTGTTGGCCAGCATCTGCTCTATAAGTAAAGAACACTGCACGAAATACGTTCAACTCGGCAATACATTCAATCTCTTGCATGCCGCTACATCTTACGTCAGCACACATCGATAGAGCATCGGGGTGGCAGGTGTTTTGAACAAGTATGGAAAGCGCAGTTGGGCTCGATACCCCGCACTTTGGACCTCAAAACACGTCGATTCTAGATCTATGCCAAATCCTGACCCAAGTGATATAGCTGCACTCGATGAGATACCTACGAAAGCTCGTGACGCCGAGATTGATCAGGTTGCTGAAGCCGCTCGTTCCGAGCTCAGAAGACAAGCGCGAGAAACGACGAAGAAAAGGAGAAGCCACATCGGCCAGACAGCCAAGAGGTTATGGATACCGACGAGGAGAAAGCCAAGGAAGCGATGATCGACCAGCCAAAGATCGTTTCTTCAACGGCCAGGCGTTACCTAATGACTTCCAGGCACTGGCTACGTGCAACAGATGGACACGCACCTGCCGATGACGACTATCCGGGAGGCGTAAACTACGGGGAGATTACACAGGTAAGTCGGTGAATACTCACATAACGACAAAACTGACGTCTTACTATAAAGAGACTAAGCATCTGCACGCCACACATGGCCAAATCTTGAGTGAACACATGCCCCGAAGCTACAAATTCAGAGCATTGTTCCATGCCTGCCCTGCGAGCAGCCTTGTATGCTTCTGAGATAACCAGCGCGAAGGACTTGGGCCGCAAGAAATTCGGAACGGTCGCTTTGACGCGATCAAACCTTTCCTTCAACCATAGTGCGGGTTTCGCTAGATTCGGGAATTCCGCCATTTGACTACAACATAAGTATGAGAGCGACTTTCAAAGGACCGGATACGCACTGGGTCAAACGTTGGTGGACGTAATCGAGTGCCCAACTCCCGTCTCTCAGGTGACCGCACAGGGGGTGTCCCAAGTCGTTATAACGCATGATATGCTTCAGCGGATGCATACAACCTTCCAAACCGCAGTATACCATCTTACCCAAGTTGGGCACATCATATGCGCTAAAGCACCTCCAGTCGCGTCCGTCATTGATCTGTATGGTCGTTTTGCTGCAGAGAAGCTTACCAGACGAATCATACCTCGTGCGCGTGTTCTCAAAACCGGGGTTCACAGCGCTACCCCGTATCTCTTTAGCGGAGCGGACGTTGCGTTGATACCATCTCGAGATGAGCCCTTTGGTTTTGTAGTTGTCGGATTCGGTAGGAAAGGTGCACTTGGTGTAGGAGGTTTGGGATTAATGCTGGGTTGGGTAGGTGTCATATCGTCGTTGATAACGCGTGATAGCTGGAGGGTGGGGATAACGGCCATCTCTCCCTTTGGTAGGCGCTCATGGAGGAGTTCTTGGCTGCTAAGAGAGCTATGCACATAAATCGTCGGCACGGATGCGGTCATCTTTACCTATAATACACTCAATTCAAACAACCTTTGTTTGCTGTGAACACCCCGTGAACGATTGCATAATGTCGGTCTCACACTCGTTGATGGGCAGCCACTGACCCAACCTTACTTGAAGCCGTCTCAACCTCTATGCGTCTCACTATCTACTGCCGTCCTCCTCGCTGGTTTCCGGAGAGATATCAGGCACAGGCTCTGAGACTCGTTCGCCAGGCAATGAGTTCCAGCGTCAAGGATGAACTCAATGCCAAATTCGGGGTCGACGACTGGCTCATGATTCTCCAGTGCGTTTTCGTCATCTAGAACTCTTTTTTTGCACTAACATTCGTTCAAGCGACCCGCCACACCGTTCCAGCTTGAAAGCGGGGCGCGTTCACCCGACAGGCGATCACATAACGCTCTGGGGTTTCCAGCGTGGTTATAATTACAGCCAGTCACTGTTCTACATGCACATCTACGTCGCGAACGACAACGCTGTTGAATGGGGCGAAGATGATCGCAAAGTGTTCAGCCCGGCGTATTACGACTATTTGTGGAGCGGATCCGGAGATCAGGTCGATTCATTTATCCTAGCTCTTCGACATGCCCTTACCTTCTAGTTTTCTCTCTCTCTAGATATTTGAAAACGACGATCACACGCGTATGAAAGATGCGTAAATCTAGATCTTACGGTTTGAGCGACCACAACCCAGATCTACGCGCACGTCGGCATCAACGTTTGCGACCGATTGCCCAGCACTGTTGATATAACACCTACTTGCGTCATTTCTTGCAGCCACAATTCCTACAGTTTGATCATGACTATAGCCAGTATATATATACCCACACCCCACTCCATTCGTACATATTAATTTCGCACTCATAAATTTGTACTGCTCAACAGTTAACACAATTCTTGATATTTACTAGGGATACAACAGGATACAACGTCAGTACTCGTCTTACCACGTAATCTATTTTTAGCAATCGTCGGGGCTGCAATCCTTTTCTGGAAATCGTCGGGGCTTGGCGTGACTCAATTTTGCCACGTTTTGGCCACATTTTGATCGGTGGATAAATTGCTAATATCTTCACCTCTCGAGCACCACAGAAATGGTAACCCAATTGGAAATTCATCTCAGGGATGTATTCTGGTATTAATTTTAATATATTCACTCCCTGTTTCGGTGCCTGTGTGTTGAATATACTGTGATTATCTTCCCCTTTTCTCTACATGAATCAAGCAGGACAATTTATAAATAACTTCCTGTTCACGATCATGGATAAAACCTAGACAATTGAGGGCATAATTTTAAATTTTTTCAAGTTTTCTCTAGCGCCTTCATGATAAAACAAGATTTTATAATATTCTGTGTTTATTCACATTTTTCCCACAGCTTAAACAAGCCCACTCCCCCAGTGTACCCTCAGGGTTTTTTGTCACTGCAAATTGAACATATGCAGGTCAGCAAATTCACGAGGAGAACGGGATTCTTCTTCATGCCAGCTGATTATGTATCCAGAGACTTGAGTTGTCATGGGCAAGGGCTAGAGTGAGGTCGGACGCTGGTTCACTCAAGATCCCTAAGAAAAACTCATCCGTTCTGGGCCAATGTGTGACAAAAAAACCCTGAGGACAACAGAAGCAAACACGAAATTTACGATTCATGTGTGCAAACGGCAGTGAAAGACACTGTACATAACAATAAATTGAATAAAATAATTTTGCCAAGTTACTACGACTTGTGACGTGTTCCAATCAATTTTTCGGACTTGTCCATGAACTTCAACATTGCTTCTCCAAGTCTTAGAGTTCGAGGATGGGACCAGGATGGGAGAGCGTTCTTCAGTTGAAAGAGTCACGTTGATTGTTGAGTTTTGCCCCTCGAACAAATGGGCACGAACTCAGGACCTCCACCAAGGAATTCGTACGTGTCGAGTCAGTGAAAGTTCAACTCCGCCCATTGACCTGCGCGGATTCTCCAGATCACCTTGTGCATAACATCGCAACTTCAAGTTTTACCTTGTTGCACGATTTTCAGAATGCCAATATAGTTACAAAGAATAACACCATTCAAGTTTCCTCCTGACCATCTCCAACACACGTTCTAAATCCGCATGAAGAACACACCAACTGCCTTCAAACAGGAGGCTGGTGAAACCATTCTCCTGCATCCTACTTGTTCTAGGCTCAATCATCCCCACTTTTTTGGTCTCTCGACTTCGTTGATGAATTTCCATTGTTTGACATACGTTCCCATCGACAAATTAGCCCAGAATGTGACGTCTTGCTGAAGGATTTTACCAATCACAGATTCACAATGGTAGACCCCCACCTTGGATTACCTTAGTCAAGGTTAGCACTCCTCATCATCAACCGCATGCTCTTGGTCGTCTTATCTCGTTTCAGCGATTGCGTGGATTGTCACCAGCCGCCCATCCCACCTCCCATAGATATCACCTCCTAGCGTGACATGCTCCCGCCCAGATGGACGTCTACGGCACATGTAAAACTGGTACACGACCTTCGAAGCCGTGGCTGTGAGTGTAATGGTTAACAAGTCTTGCCAAAGTTTTCGGCTACCATTCATCATGGCAAATCACCACATCGTTGAAGGTTCCGTCCGCTCTTGGACAGGGGTTAACCTTCCCGTCGTCATTCATTCATGCCTGCCGTTGTTTTCTAATGCCGTTTTCGTTAGATGATGAATCGGACGCCCACCTTGCTGTCGTTATCGGGCGTGTGAGAGGGTTAACTTCACGCCCAATGTTGCTGTCTGCAGCTCGTCTGTCATTCATGTCTCGTCTAGAAGGCCAGGTGGTGGGGCTCCCGGAATTGACATCTCCCCTCGTCAAAGGGCATTGAATGATTCGGTTCGGCGCCGTGAGCAGTTTGGTTTTCAATAGAGTCTGTGTCGAATCTAGTGGTGGCCCTGACCTATCGTGGTAAGGTGCACAACGCCTCATACCTACGCAAACTGGAACCGAGGTGTGCCCGCCACGTTCGAGGTCATCAGAAACGCATAAAACCAACATGCGTGGCGGCTCCCCGCGAGCGCAGATATCAGCAGAACCCGTTTACCTCGTCATACCAAGCGCTGTGAACGCATTGGTGTCCAAAAGCGGGCCCCGAGCTGCCACATCATTGTTCAGTTCCTCCGGGGTCAGATCTTCGTCACAGGCGATCCATTCCATAGCGACTTCGTCTGGAGGTGTTTCCCCCTCGGGGTCTTCATCCTAGCAAACTACCCTGAGCAGGGATTCAACTACGCCCACTCTTCTGCATGGTATTCCGAATCTGTCGTTGTCGTTCCAACCAATGATTCAATGTGGTTCGAACTGTGGATGACCTTCACGACGTGTCCCGTGCTGTATAGGAGCGGACTTCCTACCATAATCCTCCCAGATTGGATCCAACGTTCTCGATCAGTAAATGGAACCACTTGTATGACTTTCCCTAGGCCGTGCTAGCACTCAAATACCACGCGATCAGATCCTTCGAATCTCCATTTCAAAACGTGAACAGGACTTTGTGAATGGGATCTTCCGCCGATTCGACGTCTCTAAGACCCTCTGCCCCAAGGCAACACAGCTTGTAATCTGGTTTTGTGCGGGCCTTGCTCTAAGTTGCAACCCCACCGGGAGTCCAACAATGCTTTCGCTCTCTACTGTCTACTTTCTTCGGGCCCAAGTTTTCGTGAGTGCCTGTACTCAAATAAGGGCCTCCTCATAACGAGAGGTGTTTGAAGGTTGATACCTTCGTCCAACTGACAAACGTCTCTGGATGGTGACACCTTGCCGAGGGGATTCGACAATCACAATAGTGGGTTTGCCACCCCCGCCAGGTCTCCCGCACCATGACCATGCCCCCTTGTTGTTCATGCAGGCTCTTTGCCTTCCGATGTTACCTCAATTGGAGCCGCGTACATCGCAAGACGCCTACGAAAGACATCTTTCCTCCTAGTTAATCTCTGATACCACAGTTCACTCCGATAGTCCACAGGGCATTGGTGCCCTGTTCTTATCGCAGCCCCAACGATATTTAGGACTGAAACCCCGCAATCGGACATGCTTCTCAAGCTCAAGCCCGAGTATGTCTCAAGCGCCGACATCTATATCACTTGTGCTTGGCCGTATCAATCCCCCGGCATGGATATTCCCCAGCTGCTGCGTGGGACGTGGGTCCAACGTGGGTCCCGCTGATCCATGATCCAACTGAACACGACAGGCACTCGCCCCCCGCCCATCACCACCTCGACTCTTTCTGTTCCAGCACCTGGCGCCTATGACTCAAGTAGCCATTCCCACATAGGCGGAGGTCGCGATATATATATTGAAGCGAAGGGGTGCATAATCTGACTCGGACAACCAACCAGCTCTGAGGTGGCGATGAATAACAACAAGGGTAGGGTACGGGTCGGGGGTGCATTAAGGAAGAAAGGAGCAGCTCGCGGTGTCAAGAAAAGAAGAAAAGACTAATACAAGAACTTGGTAAAAGATAGAAACGATGACCTGACCAATGGGTGGTGAAGAAGGCGCGACCAATAGGATTGGATTGAAACAATGAAAGGTGGGAGGAGGGGAGAAAAGGAGGTACGAAGTACAACATACACGATAATCATCTAAATGACCGTGGAATCACACTACACTTCCTTTGTTTTGTGTTGTACACACACACACACGAGTTCTGGATGAGCCAACGACGAGAAAGCAAGATGGGAAGGAATAATAAAAAGAAACAGCGATAGCACGACAGAGATGGAGAGAGAGGGGGGGCAGGAAGGAGGAAAAGACGTTGGGTTTCGTTTCGGGTTTGAGTGTTGTTCATGACAATAGATAAGGTAGGATCGGGATCGTATGTTGGCTCTTATCGCCATGCATATTATCGGTGTCGCCGAGGTGGTGGGGGTAGCAGACAACGGTGGTGGTGATGGATCTTCTGCACTCAAGCCTAGACGAGAAATCGATCAGCAATGTTCTTAACATCAAAGTTGGACTGGACGAACCTCGACAGCAGCGGCCTCGGCCTCAGCCTCGGGCTCTTCTTCAATAGTTTCGCCAACGGCGGCAGCAGCTGCCGGTTGTTGTGTATCAACCTGTGGACGAGGATGGCATCAGCATCTGGGGGGTCGAAAGGTATGAGGAACCGATGGCGATCTCCATGGACCGACAGGACCAAAAGTTATGGGGAAAGGAACGAACCTTGGATGCAGGCTTCTTGGATCCTGCTCTCGAAGCGGGCTTGGCTGAAGCAGCGCGAGAGGCAGGCTTGACAGAGGCCTTGGACGCAGGCTTGGATGCCTTCGATGCAGGTTTAGCAGCAGCAGCGGTCTTGGACGCAGGCTTAGCAGCAGCAGCAGCCTTGGACGCGGGTTTAGCCTTAGACGCAGGCTTGGCCTAAGAACATTCGTAAGCCAAGCGGGTTGATAAGACCAAACGAAAACGAACCTTCTTTGCTGGGGGTTCGACGGCGTCTGCGCCCTCCTCAGCAGCATCAGCAGCAGCCTCAGGCTCCTCAACTTCTTTGCGTTTCTTCCCTCGAGCAGCCTTGGGTTTCTCAGGCTTGTCGTCCGCGGCGCCCTCAGCGGTCTTCTTCGCCCTAGACTTCGGCGCAGCCTTCTTCACTGGCTCTGACTTTGGTTGATCCTTGATCCTGGTTGAGCGACGAGGCTCTGTAGATGTCTCTGGGGCGCCCTCGGCGGTGCTGGCGGTGGCTTTGCGAGGCATTGCTGGGGATGGACGGGAGCGGGAAGACGATGGGCGGGAAAAAGGGGGAAATAATGAGGGAAAAAGGAGAGACGCGTTTTGACCGTTCCAAATCGAATCAACAACCGTTTGTTGATTAACCAAACAATTTCACATCACGTGTACCGCGTTCATCCACGTGCATGCCACAAATAATTCATCATGCCATGTGCTGTTTCGTTGCCTGATGTGCCTAAGTGGACGCATGGTATGTGTATTTCATGTGGGGGCGATAGGTCGGAGAACACAGACTGAGTAAATTTTTTGAGGCAGTAAAGAGGTGAATAATGCACGCGTCTTGCCTATGGATCTGTAATGTGAACCGAGTGTTACAACAAGCACGTAGAGTTGAGACGCGCCTTTGTCTGATATTCCTTTTGTATAGCGTGTGAACGAGGAAAGAACTTTCCTTACTCCAGTTTGATGGCAGATGGTCCCAAGTTTGCAAGTTGCGCACAGACCATCCATAGCTTGGCGAACAAAACATCAATGTCGCTTCGTCAGAGGCTGACGATCCTCCTCATCTAGCCAGCCGCCCAAACTCGATCGACACGTTGACCTTCCCATGACCAAGCTGTGGAAACAGGGCATCAAAGTACCACATTCCGTCTCTCTTGACCGGAAAATGCAACTTGAGGACTAGAGAATTAAGCTGGTCATTGAATGTGTTTGCCTGGAGCGCTGGCTAAGCCCTTAGGCTAAGCTGGATACAACCCTCCTATCCGGACTGACCCAAAAAACTCATTTGTTGTCCCGGGTTTTGATTCCATAGAGACTGGACTCTGGAGTCGAGTATAAGGCATCACATGCATCACATGCATCGTCAGCTCGCAAAGCCCAGGACATCTCGTCATCGCGTAAAAGAGGTATCACGAACATCCAGCAGGCTCGGCGACTCGGAGTTGCCTATGAAAGAAAAACGCAACCATCTCAAAAGACGGCGGAAGGAGCCTTGGCAGCTCCAGCATAACTTCAGACGCGAGTTGGCCATCTTGGACGCAATACGTTAACAAAGGCGTTTCAGACATTGCAGAAGTTCACGACCTCGGAGGTTCGTCAGGAGGCAAGGGTAATAGGTGTGTGGAATGATATTGGGAGCGTTCAAGTTTGGGTCTGGGAACAGACAAGCGGGGATGTCGAGTTCTTGAAACCTTTGCAGAGCACCTAAATTTAGAAGTCAACCCTTCATCAAGGACCTCAACTCAGCCAACTAATGCAACACCCACGAGGACGCAAACTACGAGTTCAACACCCCACAAAAGCAGAAATAACGGCTATGGGTCGATCATACTCCGCCAGAGAACGTCGGGGGCAATCTTGGAAAAGGGTTTCCACGTCAAAGGTGCTCTTAGAAGGTTCGCTTCTTTTGTTCAAGGTCTGCCACAACATGGTCCTGGGCCGTAGATGACGCGGTGACGTGTAAGTATGTCGGAATGGAGGTTCTGCAGAATTCCACTGACAATCTCCGTATACGAAGAGCCTGTGCTTGGCCATGGTTGGGCATAAGATGGTTGGATGTAAGAGTGCAGTGGGGAAGAATTAATTTGAAGAGACAGCGGCGCGTCCGGATTCAAACCCGGAGTCTTTGGTTCGGCCCTCATTGACAAACAAAAAACTTAAAGAGCGTGAAGGGGGATAAGTACCTTCATATATCGTGAACCAAGGTACGACTTCACATATATCGAAGTCTGTCTACGAGAGACTAATAAGTACCCGCAAAGGTATAGTGATGTCCTTATTAGCATACTTGTCTCAATGGCGGAGGGAATTAACTATTGGCAGGGACGGGCTTGGTGCGTAAGGTTCAAAGCAGTATTGTATTCTGAAGAATTCCCGGATGGTTTACAAGTGATTCCAAAGTGATTCCTACGACAATACTCAAACAGTGATCTCATATCCAGCTGCCTGTAGTTTAGAGATGGCATATTCCAACAACTCGGCAGAGGCGCCATTCGGTTCGAGGGTTGTCCCGTCCTCCATATCTCGGTCGAACTTGTCGATACGTTCAGCAGCTCCTGATAAATGCGCGACCTTGGCGCATGCAGCGTGTATAGCGAGGTAAGTTGGAGATGGAACCGGAAGGTTGACTGTATCTGGCGTGGTGAATGTAACATATTCCGGATAGCCACGTAGGATGGTGGGGTCTGTCGCTTGTAGCGTATATTTGTTCTCTTCATCCTATTAAGTGTCATATACATATTAGTGTAGTAAAACCATCCAAAATTAGATCAGGCGTACTGTTGCAACAAACCAAACCATTAACTCATCGAAATCCGCATGAAATCCAGGGACCAAAGTCATCACGTAACCACGTTTTCCAAACGATGCACTTTGGAACCGTTCAATTCGTCAGGGAGTTTTCCGGGACCAAAGCGAGTCATGACCCACATTGTGGCAGCATGGTCCCGCTATATATGGATACACGGTATGGAGATTTAAGAAAGAAAACTAAATGGGGGAACATACTTTAGCCGAGCCTGGTTCGATGGATGAGTTCGTGGATTCAGCGAATATGTGTGCACACCTCGTCGATTCCCTCCTCAAACTGGTATCCGAACGAACAATGTCGTTCAGCTCTCGAATGTCCCTTACCGAGAGTGAGTCGTATTTCCCAGTCACAACACAGCGATATCCATCACGAATAAAAGCCTGACATGCGTCAATGAGCGAGGATTCACAGAAAGAGAAACATTCTTTTTGGCATCAGCGTGGGATTGAGGAGCCATTAGTACCATGGTTGTCTTGGTCATATCTGCTATCTTATCAAACGAGGGTCGAGATTCATGATTGGAGGGCGTTGGTATGTGGCCTCTGTTGGTTCTAACTGAGTAACCGCGTCAGATGGCATTTTAAATGAGTAGATGTGAGGAACATACACGCCCTAATATAATGATCATAATACATCTTCCCGACATTAAGAAGGGCAAAATCATCCTTGCACGAGGAGATCTCTTCGACGACCGTTTTCAATCCTTGATCTGTCGGAACAAAGTGTATAAGGTAGCCAAGAATTCGAATATTAATCATGCTCTTCCCAACGTCTTCGCCCTTGTCAGCGGCCTGTTGAAGAGACTTCTCGAGTCTTAAGCAGATCATATGCGCTAACGTGCGCGAGATTTCGAAGTCTCTCAGGAACTTTGGTTGGCAGCGAAGTCATGTTTGTGGATTGAGGGAAAAAATCCTGGAAAGTGGGTGGCGTTGGAATGGGAGAGGGTGTTATCAGCAGCTGCTGGCGTTTGCATTCACGGTGATGCTCTTCTCGTTGTTACTGTTCAACCGTTGTATCATCAAATGCTGAGAACCAAACGCGTCAGGTCACATGATAACTGAGTTTAAAAATTTGATTTAGGGCGAGCCGTAAGCTGCCGGACGCGCCGAGAAACTTAAAGGTATCCCGTCGCCTTCTAAATGACACTCCTCCTTTGCGCAGGACGGCCAAGTTCCAATTCTCCCTCTCATAAAGGCGTATAACGTGCTCTTTTCAATCCAAGAGCGGATTCCAAGGAATATGGAGAGAGGTGAGACACGGAACGGATGGTGACTGTTTGGACCCATGTTATATTTTCATGGAGTGAACATACTTACTGATTTTTCATTTTGGCAATGTTTCTGATAATAGTTCATCGAATTTTGAGGGAAAGTTCAGGAGTCACTGCGCCTACAGGTTTTGGCACACGAACTAAACACGACCAATTCATCACGCTAAAAATACTTTCGTCTGTGTCGGGGTGTGCTTCCGTCGGTTGCTGCAATAGGTTAATCTGAGGTGTTGTCCATTCATCCCCGACTGACGCCCCACTGACATGTTGGCTTAGATAAGGTTGGATGAGATATTGATGAATCAAAATCTCGGATATGCTTCCGTTTCATGGAACAGCTGCTTACAGGCATGCACAGCAGGCCCCACATCGAACCCCTTCAACAAGCGAAGCATGAGAAACACATCGAAGGGCTCAAAGACTCATCTTCGAGCATCCCGCTGCTCACCACATGCCGCTGCCACCTCATTTCCGAACTGGTGTCCGACTCGGAAGGCAGGGCCATACCTCTTTGGTTCATACCCTTGGGCGTCAAAATGAGCAGTTGTGAAAATGCTAATGCAAAGCGTGTCATCGCACGGATAGAAAACCGCTTGCATGATATATGTACGGGATATGGACAGACCCCAGTCAAATTCGTTATACCCCACCACCGTTGAAGGTTTCCCCCCGCGAACAACATGTCTGGCCAACTCCCGGTCGCTTCTCCACACTCAACTCGCGATTCATCGGCTTCTATGGCAGAGACCATCAATCCCAACAGCTTCACCGAAGAACATCCAGTTGGCTATTTTAAGAGCGAAGACGAAGAAGCACCGAATCAAGGCGACGATGCTGACTCTGATGATGTGCTTTGGGTAGGTTGGGATGGACCAGATGACCTTGCGGACCCAAAAAAGTGAGTCAATTGCAAAGGCTTCACCCGTCACCGTATTCAACTCTTGGACAGCTGGTCATACAAGAAGAAATGGGCCGCAACACTTGTTGTATCATCATTCACGTTCATCAGTCCCGTTTCCTCGTCCATGGTCGCGCCGGCGACAGAGCAGATAGCGACTCAGTTTGGAATGACGAGCGAGGTGCTCATTGCCATGACGGTGTCTGTTTTTGTTTTGGGATACGCCGTTGGTCCCCTGGTGAGTTCGGATGTCTTTGCGTTTTATATAAGGCTGAGGTCTGTTGGAGTTTCTTGGACCTATGAGCGAAATATACGGCCGTTCTAGAGTGCTTCAACTAGCAAATCTCTTCTTTCTTGGTACGTCACCCCAACGACGAAATACATCTTCAATTTGATCCGATCTTCTTATTGTAGCGTGGAACATTGCGTGTGGATTCGCGCAGAATAAATCTCAACTTATTGCCTTCCGCTTTCTAGCAGGCCTTGGCGGGAGCGCCCCTCTGTCTGTACGTGTCACTGCTTCCTAGCTACGCTCACTTTGCTAACTCTCGTTCTCCACAGGTCGGTGGAGGTGTCCTTGGTGATGTCTGGCGTGCGGAGGAAAGAGGGAGAGCGATCGCTATCTATTCCCTCGCGCCTCTATTAGGACCCGTCGTTGGCCCTGTATGCGGTGGTTGGATCGCGGAACGGTCTACGTGGCGTTGGGTGGTGAGTGCTTCCTGTACTTCCTGTCCTCCCCATTGCTGTATGCTGATGGACTCGTCAATGCAGTTTTGGTCGACAAGTATCGCGGACGTTATTGTCCAAATATCTGGTCTCTTCTTTTTGAAAGAAAGTGCGTTGCTTCCCCTCCTTCAGTTGCGCTATCTTACCCTTTGGTAGCCTACGCTCCATTGCTTCTCGAAAGGAAGGCTAATCGTTTAAGGAAAACAATGGATGCGGAAAAGGGCTCAACTAAGGCGATCAGGACTGTCTTCGATAAGGATAACAACCGAACGTGCGCTGTCAATCATCCACTTTTCGTACCTTGTTTTAGTTATCCTGACCTCCTCCACATAGCTGGCAACACGTGTTCTCGAAAGCCCTCGTCCGACCATTCAAACTTTTTGCAAGCGAGCCAATTATACAGCTTCTTGGACTATACATGGCCTTCATCTACGGCATTTTCTATCGTAAGCCCTCATTCCTCGTTTCTAAAATGCATCTTATAAGTATCCCATGGACAGTCTTCCTCACTACCATGCCTTCCATCTTCGCCAACGTCTATAACGAAGGCCCCGGCATCCAGGGCCTGCACTACATCGCTCTCGGGATCGGCCTCGCAATCTGCTCTCAAATGAATGCCAGATTCATGGACAAAATATATATCTACTTCAAGCGGAAGAATGGGAACGTCGGGGAGCCAGAGTTCAGGCTGCCATCTATGGTCCCTGGGACGATCATGGTGCCAATAGGGCTGTTCCTGTCAGGATGGGCGTCGCAGGCGAAAGTCCATTGGATTGCCACAGACATCGTCAGTCTTCTTAAGCTTAATCCTAGAGTTACTTTTGATTCTGACCGTCCTTTTCACTTTATAGGGCATTGCGTTAGTCGGAGGCGGGATGATCCTCGTGTTCCAATCCATGCAGACATACGTCGTGGACGCGTTCACGCTGCACGCTGCCTCCGGTACGTACCCCGTGTCCACCCTTTTCCTGAGGTTGAATGCTAACGATGCATTTGGGCTTTCCAGCTCTGGCAGCGGTATCATGTTTGCGCGCCCTCGCTGCGTTCGGCTTTCCGCTTTTTGCCACCCCAATGTACAACAAACTAGGCTACGGGAAGGGAGACACCGTCCTCGCATGCGTGTGTATAGCGCTCGGATGTCCCGCGTACGTTTTTTCCTTCCCCTGTGGTGTGAGCCTACTAAGTCTGCTCCTAGACCCTTCTTGTTGTGGAAGTACGGAAAACGGATAAGGATGGGCAGCAAGTACGCGCACAAGTCGCCTCAGCAGCATCATCCAGAGGGGCAAGAAAAACAACCAAAAGCGACTTGAGTGCGCTGTAGACCCTTTTTAAACATGATGCGGGTTTCTGTTTCTGAGACTGTAGCATACTACCCATCGGCATTGAATTTGCATACTAGGTACATTAGCTCATGCATTCCCTTGAGATGGATAATTGGGACATTAATACTAATTCGCATAGTCTGTATATATCAAATTTCCCAATTGAAACTAAGCAAATTGCGGACAAGTACACTTAAAGCCAAAGCATTTCTGCATCTCCTTTCCAAAGCTGTCAAGTTAGTCGATGACGATGGCTAACAGACGAGCATACCCACTGATGGCACCACCAGGCACCACCCCGCCATCTTCTAGCAGACCACTGCATAGGTGGATCTATAGTGATCTATGCCGCATGGATGTGCTTCCGTCGGTATCTTTACCTTGGCTTAGATAAGATTGTGAAAATTTTGTCGATCAAAATCTCGGTTTTACTTCCGTTTCCACATCCACTCTTTTTCATTACAAAACTTTGTAGTGTCAGCGTCCGAAACACATAAAGACTCTTGGTCGCAGCTTTACTTCTTCGACCCACTCTCTGCTCAACACATGACGCTGCCACTTTGCCCAAGCAGCTGGTGTTTCTCACTCGGAAGCCGGGCCATACCTCTACCGGGTTTATACCCTCTTGCCGATTGTGAAGGTTCGGCATCAGTTGTGGAAATACTAATATAAAGCTTGTCATCGCACGGATAGAAAACCGTCAAGATAAATGTAAAGGATGTATAAATTCTTATACCCCACGACGACCGTTGAAAGTGTCGGCCACCGATTCTCGCCTCCTTCGGGAACAACATGTCTAGCGAACTCCCAGTCGCTTCTCCACACTCAAATCGCGATTCATCGGCTTCTATGGCAGAGACCATCAATCCCAACGGCTCCACCAAAGAACCTCCAGTTGGTCATTTCAAGAGCAAAGAAGAAGAAGACGAAGAAGCACCGGATCAAGACGACGATGCTTTTAACTCTGATGATGTCCTATGGGTAGGGTGGGATGGACCGGATGATCCTGCGGATCCAAAAAAGTCAGTATCTTGCAGAGTCTTCACCCATCACCGTATTCAATTCTTGCACAGCTGGTCATACAAAAAGAAATGGGCCGCAACACTGGTTGTATCATCATTCACGTTCATCAGTCCCATTTCCTCTTCCATGGTCGCCCCGGCGACAGAGCAGATCGCGACTCAGTTTGGAATGACGAGCGAGGTACTTATTGCGATGACGGTGTCTGTTTTTGTTTTGGGATACGCCGTTGGTCCCTTGGTGAGTTCGGATGTTTTCGGCGTTTTATATGAAGCTGAGGTCTGTTGAAGTTTCTTGGACCTCTGAGCGAACTGTACGGTCGTTCTAGAGTGCTCCAAGTAGCCAATCTTTTCTTTCTTGGTATGGCTTCCCAACGACGGAAGACGGCTCCAATTTGACGTGATCTTCTTTTATTGTAGCATGGAACATTGGGTGTGGATTCGCGCAAAACAAATCTCAACTTATTGCCTTCCGCTTTCTAGCAGGCCTTGGTGGGAGCGCCCCTCTGGCTGTACGTTCCGGTATATCCTGGCTACTCTCTCTTTGCTGACCTCGTTTCCCACAGGTTGGTGGAGGTGTCCTTGGTGACGTCTGGCGTGCGGAGGAAAGAGGGAGAGCAATCGCTATCTATTCTCTCGCGCCTCTATTAGGACCCGTCGTTGGCCCTGTATGCGGTGGTTGGATCGCGGAACGGTCTACGTGGCGTTGGGTGGTGAGTGCTTCCTGTCCTTCCCATTGCTGTATGCTGATGGACTCATCAATCCAGTTTTGGTCGACAAGTATCGCGGACGTCATTGTCCAAATATCTGGTCTCTTCTTTTTGAAAGAAAGTGCGTTGCTTCCCCTCCTTCTGTTGCGCTATCTTACCATTTGGTAGCCTACGCTCCATTGCTTCTCGAAAGGAAGGCCAATGGTATGAGGAAAACAATGGATGCGGAAAAGGGCTCAACTAAGGTGATCAGGACGGTCTTCGATAAGGATAACAACCGAACGTACGCCTTTCTATTATCCACTTTTCGTACCTTGATTTCGTTCTCCTCTTCCACATAGCTGGCAACACGTGTTCTCGAAAGCCCTCATCCGACCCTTCAAACTTTTTGCAAGCGAGTCAATTATACAGCTTCTTGGACTATACATGGCCTTCATCTACGGCATTTTCTATCGTAAGCTTTATTCCTCGTTTCTGAAACGCATACTTTAAGTATCCCACGGACAGTGTTTCTCACCACCATGCCTGCCATCTTCGCCAACGTCTATCACGAAGGACCCGGCATTCAGGGTCTGCACTACATCGCTCTCGGCCTTGGCCTCACAGTGGCCTCTCAAGTTAATGCACGATACATGGACAGGATTTATATCCACTTCAAGCGGAAGAATGGGAACGTTGGGGAGCCCGAGTTCAGGCTGCCATCTATGGTCCCTGGGACGATCATTTTGCCTATAGGACTGTTCATCTCAGGGTGGGCGTCGCAGGCGAAAGTCCATTGGATTGCCACAGACATTGTCAGTCTTCTTGGCCTTAGTCTTAGAAATCATTTTCGATTCCGACCGTCCTTTTCACTTTACAGGGCATCGCGTTAGTCGGAGGGGGGATGATCCTCGTGTTCCAAGCCATGCAAACATACGTCGTGGATGCGTTCACGCTGCACGCTGCATCCGGTACGTTCCTCGTGTCCACCATTACCTGAGGTTGAATGCTAAAGGCACATTTGGGATTCCTAGCTCTGGCAGCCGTATCATGTTTGCGCTCCCTCGCTGGGTTCGGCTTCCCGCTTTTCGCCACCCCAATGTACAACAAGCTTGGCTACGGAAAGGGAGACACCATCCTCGCATGCGTGTGTATAGCGCTTGGATGCCCCGCGTACGTTTTGCACTTCTTTTTCGGCTTGACCTCCTTCTAACTATACCCCCAGTCCTTTCCTGTTCTGGAAATACGGAAGACGGATAAGGATGAGCAGCAAGTACGCGCACAAGTCGCCGCCGCAGCATCATCCAGAGGGGCAAGAAAAACAACCAAAAACGACTTGAGTGCGCTGTAGGTACTTTTTAAAGCGTAGGTCGACCGCATGGTACGGGTTTTTGAGGCTGTAGCATACGAGCCATCAGATTGGGCTCGGCGTTGAATTAGCACACTAGCTACATTAGCTCATACACACATACCCTCGAGATGGATAATTGGGACGTTAATGCATAGTCTGTATATATCAAGTTGTCCAATTGAAATTAACTAAAGAGTAGATTGAAGTGTCCCACCGTCGGAACGACATACTTGTCCGAGCGTAAAAATTGAGTCTGCGTAAATTTCGTATGTATATGCAGTCCATAAGGTCAAGAAATGAGAGGGAATACACGAGCACGTGTGTAGTATAGTCCAAGGGAATGTGTCCATTCGGGGAAAAAGAGCGGGCGGAATGTGCATACTTATATCATACGGAAAAACGCTGTTAAAATTAGTGTGAGTATGATGTCCGAACACGGGGTGTGTGATAATTCGTATTGTGGGGTAGGAGGGTTGGAGATAGTGTGTTGTTCGACACGCCAGGTGGTTTGAGGCCTTGGGACTCTGGCTCGAGACAGATTTCCAAGGTTAGTTTGTAAAGACGAAAAATTGCTAGATCACAGTCAGCGTGAGCTAATAAAAATGAAAAGAGCGAAAAGATGGCGTACAACGACATAGGCCGCGGGATGGGCGCTCTGGAATTTCGCTACGTCGCCAGTGATCTGAATGTAGCCAGAACCGTTGGGGTCGTAAACGAGATATGTAGGAGCCTTGCCTACGGAAAAAACGGATCAGATAGTAACGGTGGACGCTGAAGAGGTGCCTTACCTCCGTTGGAGTTGACCCATTGAGGGGTAAGCTCCTTGGTTCCAGTGTTGTAGGCCCAGATGGAGGACTCCGACTTGGGCTGTGAATGACGTGAGGCGACGCTCGAGAAAGGAGGGGCAGAAAGGACGCACGAATGATGAGCTATAGGAGTTTCCTACGGTGCTAGCAACGGAGTTGGCATTGACTGCAGACGATGAAATCAGTTTCGGTGGAAAAGGAGCTAGGCGGAAATTTCATACTATACTTTGTGGCAACCAAAGCGTTTGCGATGCTAGAAAGCTTCAGTAACAAGATCTTTTGAGATCTTCAACTTTCAACTCACGAGCTACCCCCCGTCAGGTCATTGCCAGCGAAGCCGAGGTAAGGGTATGTGCTAGAGCTCTGTGGGGTCGTCTTCGGTGAGACTTAAGGCGATAAGTAGGGCATAAAGATCGTACGGTAATGGACACATCGAAGGGATTTGAAGGAGTGCTCGAGAATGTGATGCGCATGGCGCTGTTCTTGCTGCTCGTGATACCATATCTATCCACAATTTTTTTAGTAATTGGGGACGACATATTAATTTTCAAATCCCCCACGCTTTGATAGATCCGGAGACGGTGTCTTGCTTGAGGTAGCCGATGAGGTTTCCGCTGCTCTTACGGTACACCTTGATGTACTCTTGATCGTGGTCCTCGCAACCACTGCGTGCAATTGTTAGTCGTCGAGATGGGTGGCGCGTAGTGTAAGACGTACGGAGAACTTGAAGTGCGAGTTCGCTTCTCTGGAGGAATGAGGGTCAAATTCGCATCCAGGAGAGATTTGGGACGTACCTTGGACGCGTGTGGGATCTCTCCTGACGGGTGGGAGAGGGGTGAGGCCTGCAGACAACCGAGCAGCGTTGGTTCGTAACTCTGGAACGTTCGGCACTTGGCTTTGACGCTTGACCTGAAGACGAGCAGTGGCCGAAGAAAGAGCCAGGAAGAGAAGTACGAGGATACTCCGAAGATGGAACATTAGAGGTATAATTAGGTCGAGGTGGAGGAGAAGGAGACTGTAGAGGAAAGGGTGTGAGGGACAAAGTCGTTAGGAGAAGTATGATACAATCAACCGAGAGCATTGTGCTATAAATGCTTATCACGCTGAGGCACAAGGAATTGGACCTCGCAAGGGTCAAACGCCGAAAAATGACGGGATCAACCAAGATCGACGGAATACAACAATCCATAGATGGGAAGTGACTGATCTGGTAATTGCGATTGCGGCAGTTGTTGTAATTATTGTCCCATGGTCCTTACGCGCTAAGTGGCCATTGTTGGGCTCGAGCTTCAACCAGTAGAAGGCCCACGTTTCCGCATTCGTGATAACAACCAATTCCTTCACGGATGTCGCTCCGGAAATCTATCAACGTGAAATTTCAAAATGTTTGATCAATGTTTGATCGACCACTGGCAAGCCGCCTCCGCATCATTTTGACAACAAATTTTAAAGGGCAGATGAGTCGGTTCGCTCGATGTGCGAGGAGGTGAAGAACGAGTGACAAGAAATCTAAAGTCTGGAACAAGTCTGGTAGGGTAAGTGGTGTCGACGTTGAAGGAGTTGGCAAAGGAGTGTTGTGTTCCCATACGTTTGCCAAACATAAATCATGTGGCCCTCGGGACTCGGGACTCGGAAGTCACCGTATGTACCACACGACCACGCTCTCAGTGGGCATATTCTTCGATTCTGGAACTCTGCATCATCCTCCCTGCCACTTCACCGCAGGGTGTAAGTATGGTGGACCCGACAGAAAGTCAGGCACTGGCAGCGCTCGTAACTGTGGTTGTTTTGGTTGGAATCCCCACCAAATTACTTTGAAATTACTGGAAGATAATATGGACTGGAAGGTGCGCCCTGCATCTCACCGACTCACCGCTGAATCCCTAACTATCTTTTTTGTGTATACCCGCTAGTTTCTGCGATGGTGAGAGTATGTCAAACACTGACCTCAATATTTTTTGTAAAGGTCCCATGACAAGCTTCGTAAAATACACATATTTATTCGCTCGGTACTTTGCGATTGTCGCTCAAACGTGCGCTTTTTCTCTTGCTGCCAACAGCTAGTAACCACCTTATAGCACCTCATAGATTCATCCGTTGAGCCTAGCTTCAATTATATCAGTTTAGTCCTACCCCTCTCTCGGTTGCCGGTTTCAAGTTCAATTTGCAAAAAAATGGTACGCCTACCAACCGCAATCTTTTCGCTCATCTTCGCCTCCACTGATGTGATTTTGATGCTTCGTGGTCAGTTCGCGCTTGTTTTCTTGCTCGGATTCTCCGAGCTATCCCTTGCGGTGTACACTTTCCATCGCAAATCGAGATCTGTGGGTCGGAGTATGATATTACTTCTCGTTTTTCAGACGACTCTTTCATGCGTCTGTGGCCTTCTGTGGCTGTAGTTGAACCATCAACTCACTCGAGTATATATATGATGCGGCCTTCATATCCCTCTCAATTCCGATTAAATTGGGTCCGTATATTCTTACATGGTATCCTCCTCCAGTTTGTCCTCATTGAAAAAGTAGTGTTGGCATTGTCGTATCTCAACTGGTCATTTGGATTTTGACCCTCGTGAAATGCGATTGCTAACCTTGTGCTATAGGACGGGATATGGGCATTTTCACTAGTCCGCAGTATGTCGTTCTCGAAAGAAACTTGTTGAATTTTTCATGGTGGTAATTCATTCTCTATCCAAGATGTTACAACTCAATTGGTCTTTTGGTGCGTTGCATCTCCTGCAACAATTTATTCTCATATATGTCGATTTAAATCTGAATTTAACAAGATTCGGTAAATTTGAAGATCTGGACATCCGATTGCAGAGTAAGGCGAAGCACAGCCTCAAGGCCTCAAACGTTGTTTGTCTTACGTAAGCGCCTTCAAGTTGAACGTTAACTTCTTTTAGATCTGTCACACCAATTCCAAAGGGTACGCTTTTCGTAGTGGTCACTCTTGAGCGTTGGCTCACTAGCGCCGCGCGCGGGCGGCCCTCTATCAGATGGGATCTTCACATTCGAAGTCCAAGGGTTTTAAGGCATCAACAACTGTTGAAGAACCCGCGACCGTCACTACCGTCAAGAAATCGAAGCGTCGCGACCATCCACTTGAATGGGAGGTGTTATACTTGCGGCGATGCTTGCTTTTCTATATTCCCGTTGAGCTGGTCGACCTGATCATCGATCACGCTCAGTATTGGCCCCGGACCTCTTCGTCAGAATACAAGCCTGATTTCAATAGGCTCTCTGCCACGAACGATTCACCCAAAAACAATTCACATTGGCTCTACGTACTGGTTGATTTGGAAGAAAGGGAACGAGAGATACAGGAATTCCGAAAGAAGTTGTTGCCAGTGGGGACGAAGAAGTGGAATGGCTTGAAGTTTAGCAGGAAGGAGAAAGTATCGAGTTTTCTGCTGCCAAAGGCGATACGGAAGGTGAAGAAGGTGGTGTTCAGGATTTGGAGTCATGACCAAGGATGGGGGGCCGAACCGAATGAACCCCATTTGACAGGTCCTAAGATTCTGTTAATAATCGTTCAATATGGATCGCTGACCCCCGTCTTTACAGCTTATGAAGGATCCTTCACATGGTTCGAAGCTGCGATATGTCCAAGCGAAGAATTGAAGCCAGGTCGGCCTTTATGGGAGATAGAGTACCCTGTTTCGGCAGACGTAGCCGACCCGCTCACCCTTGCCCCAAGAAAGGCGGGTGAATGGAAAATTTGGCATTTACAGAGTAATGTTCGTGCTTCGCCGTATGAAGCCCTGCACGAAATTGTTTGGACAGACAGGGACGATGATTCCCAACCTGCTACATCTTGGAATCTAAAAAAGACCGGTAGTGGCGCTGGTACCGGATTCGTGCGCTCGATTCAACCTCGAGATGTAATCGCCGTGGTCGCCAGAGCGAGGGTGAGTCCGTCATATATCATTCCAAGATGCATATTACATATGCTTATGACTTGGAAATGGTTGGATAATATCAGTTTCCTGGTTGGGCGAATTACGTTCGCAGAGTTGAGGTGGAGATGTTTTACACTATTTCTTAGCCAGGAGGATTTTATCCGAGTCGACGCGTATCTTGTCACTGTTGGATTGAGTCCAAGTCAAGTCCAAGTATTGCAGTTAACATTTAGCTTAATCTCGTTGGTTATTACTCATTTTTTCCCCCGTTTTTCAAGCGTTTTACCTCAACGCCTTTCATTTGGACGACAGAATTGATCACCATGCACCAACTTGAACATTTAATCCAGAGATATTTACAGCGTAAAATAAATAAATAGTCGAGTACCTCACACGTCATCTCTTTCAATACCTCGAAGCCTGGCACGCCCCACTGACCTCACAAGCTTCCTTGCCGAAAAAATTATGCCACCATTTCTCCCTCTCCCTCCCCAACACCGCTGATACGCCCTCAAGGCCTCAAGCTCAAGCCTAAGCCTAGACATATGCACATCCAGTGCCCTCACAAGCCCCGCGGCCCATCTGTACCGGACACACAGTATCCATCGCCGCGATGTCGGTCGACGAAGGAAACAGCCTGATCATCCCCTCCGTACACACCTTGACCCTCTGCCACAGAGTACCCATTTTTTTCCCCGCGATAGCCATCATTCGAGCTCTTCGAAGAGCTCGCCAGCGAATTTAATGACTCAGCGAAGCACACAGCCTTGACCAACGTTTTAACTTATTTACAGGACTTTGGGAACTTGAATACTACATAAGCGCCTACAAGTTGATTGATCAGTGACTCCTCTCTTACATCGATTCCAAAAGGCACGCTCTTTCTAGTGGTCACTGTTAAGCATTGGCTCACTAGCTCGAGCTGCCTTCTATCAGATGGGATCTTCCCATTCAAAGTCCAAGGGATTCAAGGCATCAACAACTGTCGAGGAACTGGCGACCGCCACTGGCAGTACCGTCAAGAAACCGAAGCGTCGCAACCATCCACTTGAGTGGGAGGTGTTGTACTTGCGGCGATGCTTGCTGTTCTTTATTCCCGTTGAGCTGGTCGACCTGATCATCGACCACGCTCAGTATTGGCCCCAGACCTCTTGGTTCCTAGGATATAAGCCTGATTTTACGCTCCCTTTCACGAGGCATTCAGCCGACAACAATTCACATTGGCTCTACGTTCAGTGTGGACCGATTGATTTGGAAGAAAAAGAACGAGCGATACAGGTTCGAGAGAAGTTGTTGGCGAAGAAGAAGTGGAGTGATTTCAAGTTTAGCAGGAAGGAGAAAGTATCGAATGTGGCAGCAGAAAAGGAGAAGCCAAAGGCGATACGGAAGGTGAAGAAAGTGGTGTTTAGGATTTGGAGCCATGACCAAGGACGGGGTGCTCAGGAACCCCATTTGACAGGTACCGGTCCTCAAAGATTATGCTATAAATTGCTTGATATTGATCACTGTTCTCCGTCTTTGCAGGTTACGAAGCATCTTTCACATGGTTCGAAGCTGCGATATGTCCAGGCGAAGAACTGCCAAAGGGGCCGATGGGGTCTGTAAGGGATCTAGACTACCCTCTTTTGGAAGACGTGGTCGACCCACTCACGCTTCCCCCAAGAAAGGCGGGTGTATGGAAAATCTGGCATTTACAAAGTAATATTCGTGGTTCGGCAGACGAAGCCCTGCACGAAATTGTTTGGACCGACAGGGATGATGAATCCCAAACCGCTACATCGTGGAACCCGAAAGAGACCGGTAGTGGTGCTGGCACCGGATTCGTGCGCTCGATTCAACCTCGAGATGTAATCGCCGTGGTCGCCAGAGCGAGGGTGAGTCCGTCATATATCATTCCAAGATGCATACTGCATATGCTTATGACTTGAAAATGGTTGGATATTATTAGTTTCCTGGTTGGGTGAATTACGTTCGCAGAGTCGAGGTGGAGATGTACTACACTATTTCTTAGCCAAGAGGATTAGTCGGTGCGTATGTTCAACTTGTCACTGACCTGTTTATCGAATTGAGTCCGACTACTGCAGAACCATTTAGTGTTTTCCCTAAGCGCCTTTTCTTTTGGGAGAGATGAGGGAGAAATGGGGTGGCACAATTGATCACCATGCAATAACATTTAATCCGGTTGTCAGAGATAAATAGCAATACCAAGTTCCAACACAACGAGGATATAAGTATGTCTAATGTACTTATTACATATCGCACGTAAAATAAATAAATAGTTGAGTACCGCCCTCACCCGTCATCTCTTCCAATACCCTCGAAACCACTGACCAAAAAAGCCCACTCCCCAACCTCACAAGCTTCCTCCCCGAAAAAATCATGCCACCATTTCTCCCTCTCCCTCCCCAACACCGCCGCCGCTCCCCCAAGCCTAGACATATGCACATCCAGTGCCCTCACAAGCCCTGCTGCCTTGGCCATTTGTACCGGACACACAGTATCCAGCGCCGCGATGTCGATTGAAGAAGGAAACAGCCTGATCATCCCCTCCGTACACACCTTCACCCTCTCCCACCTCCCCATTTCTTTCCCCCGCGATAGCCATACTTCGAGCTCTTCAAAGAGCCCGCCAGCGAGTCTGATGTGGTCGAGGTTGAGGCCGAGGCCGAGGTCGGGTGGCTCTGCGTCGATGGCGTTCGTTGATTGTCGAAGGTTGGGAAGAGGGGGTGGGGGTGGAGTGAGTAATTGGCGGAGGAGAGCCCAAGCCATGACGACGTCTAGGGTGCGTAGTGAGTCTCGTGTGATGAGGGACTTGACGCAAAGTAAGGACTGGATGATGATTTCCTCCGTGTTCAACTGGGCCGCGGCTCCAGTGTTGACTGACGGGGCCAACAAAGGCCTGGACGCCAGATCCTGCAGGATCTGGGAGAGCCAGTCGTAGAATGGCCCGGGCACATCTTGCGTATTCAATATCCGGATCACCGTCTCCACATACCCCGTTTTCAGAACCGGGTGCCTGTCCTGGTGCAAGTGCAGATAATACGCGGCTACAATGTCGCGTTTTTGCATCTCGTTCGGGGAGAACCGGTCATCCATCATCACTCTGAACGTGGCGTTGTCGATGAGCCCTACTTTGAGGTAGAACTCGGATATCGTAGCTGCCGCAGCAGGAATGTCTAGGTCTGCGAGGGAATAGTAGACGGGGTATATCGCCTCGACGCTTTGTGCGAATGTATTGTTTATCCAGTGGAGGCCATGAACGACGTCGTCGGAATCCCGGGTGGTCTTGGGTGTGCCCCAGGAAATATCTTCGGCATCGCGAAGGTTGCGCCAGCGCATGTCGTATGCAAGCCAGCTGTTGTCGTCGGAAGATTTCAACAGGCGGTGGAACCGCGTTGAATCAAAGGCTGACCATGGTGGGTTGAAGGAGCTGATCAGCCAGAAGAACCAGTGCCCAGCGCGGTAGAAGAGCCACGACTGCGGGGATTTGTAAGGGCACTGGGCAACACGGAGGTGTTTGTCTTTTGTCAAGGCGTGTTGCAGGGTAGGGAGGGCTGTGGTCGCTATCAGGAAGAGCATGACCAGCCCAACTGCTGCGGAGACGCATGCTGCCACGAGGGTGTTGAGGGACCAGAGGAGGTCGAGGAGACCAATGAAGAAGAGGACGAGGGATAGTTGGAGGAGGAGGGGGAGAATGGAGAGGATGTCGGGGACGTGCCATTCAATCAGCCCCTCGTATCGCATTTGACGAAGGGCCACGGCGTCTTTGTGAGGGAGGGCTGCATCGCGTTGGAATTCTCGGAGCCACTGTAGGCACAGGATACCGACTAGCACAGTTGTCAGGCTGACTGTGAGACTGAGGAACCAGACTACATTGATCCGGATTTGAGCTTGAGTGACGGTGAACTCTGGGATGGCAAGGGATGGTGGTAAGGGATTGGTAGAGTTTGCGAGTTGTGTTGCGATGAAGCTGAGAAGTCGGGCTGAAGAATCCTGGGATTGTTTGCCTAGCCATTGATAGGATTGCGTAGTGAAAGCGGTTACGGCTCCTGAGAAGAGACCAGCCTGTTCTGTGTTAGTTTAGCATTAAACCTGGGCATCATAAACGTACGAAGATCAACAATTTATCCACCTCATCTTTCCAGGCATCGCACATTTCGTTGTCGTACTTCTCCGCCATCGCGTTACACTTCTGCCACCCATCCCCATTCTTTGGCATATCATAGCGCCGTGTATCACCGGAGCGCCATGGTTTCTCGCCAGTCTAAAGAGAGGTTTTGAGTGGGATCTGTAAGATGCATGACGTCGACGAACCTGTTCCTGGACCTCCGCCTGAGAGGGGGGAAACGGAGAGTGTGACTTGGAAGGCCTGCTTCGTTTAGAAGAAGCCTAAAATTTGTCTGAAGAGTCAAAAAGGCGCATGAAGACCTTGCGACTTAGAGACCAACGTAATCGTGAGGATTGTCTGCAGGCGAAGCCTGGTCGAAGCTGAATCGGAGAGGAGTCTTCTCAATTGGGTTCCAGTCTCCAGGGGTATAGTCTTCCCCAACTTGAGTGGTATTGGAGTCCATCCTGTTGACCTGTCTTTCCAGGTCAGGACCGAAGGCAGACATGTGGGCGCCAAATCTATAGAAAGGATATGAAAATGAGGAATTACGTCGAGTTAAGGAGATGCGTCTACCTTGAAGAACGCCGACTTTATTGGAGGCGTTGAGAACGATGCAGGACGATGATGGCGCAGAGAATGAAGAAATTCAGGGCCGCTGCTGACGCCCATGTTATTTTCGCACCGCCCCCGTATTGCCAGAAGTTGCAAGGATACAAAGCGCCTTGAAGCTTGAATTAAGGAATCCATATCCTTGTAAATGTAAATCATACCTGGCGTATTGTTAACTAGAAGTGTTTTTCACCATTACAGTGAACCTGGAAATCGAATAGTAAGAGTAGATCTCGATTTTCGATCTACGTACTTTTTGAAGCGGAGTTGTAAATATTGTCATGTGACCGACGCGTCATAAAGTTTTCGCAATTTGAATTATGCATCTCCCCCCTTCCCAGCGCGAACGAGTTTTGTACTATGATACAATTGAAGACCTTGAAGCTTGATTAGGTTTGCAAAACTTGAACCATTCGGTCACTTACATGTACGACTGACTTGTAGCATACAAGGCAGAAAAGGTGAGTCACCCTATAACTTCATGAAAGTTCAGTTGTTGTTGGCTGATATCATTAGAAGGTCTCCATTTGCACAAGGATATATCGCTGCTAAAAAGATAGGGTTGGAAAATTTTTGCGTGAGCTAACCGACGCGTTATGGCGCTGAATGCTTTCAAAAATTAAGTACTCACGTTCTGCGAAGTAAATTTTAGGCTGCAAATGCTATGTGGTTCCGTCACCTCCTGCTGAACGTCGCACGTTTCCCGCAGCTATGAACGCAACCGCCGTTCTGTTCGGGCCGAAATTTTTTCTTCTTTTCTACGTCGTCTTCGGGCTGTCCAGACTCTCCACCCCTTGAGAACAACGGCAATTCCATCCCTTGGTTTTCCCGAACCAAGGTAACTGGGTTACAGCTTCTAACATGGTTCTTAGCGACTTGGAACGTAACGTCACTTGACACTATCGCAAGAGGGTGTGTCTGAATGCAAAACGTCTACATAATACGTGAAACTTTGTCACCCTCTGCCACCACCTATTGGCTATCGCTAACTCGACAATACGACCTGTCCTCGTTCCCCAATTTCAGCTAGGGTAAGCTCTCCAAACTCATCGTCGTCATCGTCGTCATCCGAGTCCTCATCACTCAGTTCATCCCCTACCCCATCCTCGCCCCGCATGGACAAATGATTCCATAAAGCGCGCTTCTCACCTCCCAGCTTTAACTTGCTCTCCACTATAAAAGACAACGGTTTCCCAACGCTCCTCTTTATTCTTTTCTTCAGCATAACAACGTCGTACGCCACCGCGAACACCGTCTGGTCCTCCAAAACCTCCCCTCGTGCCACCCTACGCACATTCCTCCCCAGCCCCCCTCCAACCTCCGCGTTGATACCCAACCCAGCTTGTCCGCCATCCAACGGAATCGAGCCGAGCATCTGCATATCCTGCTTCCCCCACACTGACCTAATCCACTCCGTCTTCCCCGACACCGTCAAGAAACCCGTGATCATAAAACACAGATTCTCCCTGCTCGTCCGCATAAGCTGCGCAACCTCCATCCGACACTCCTCGTCAGCGATCAGCAAAGCAAACACATCCGGGATCTGTTCCATCGCATAACACAAAATCTCCTCAGCTTTGATGCTCAGTGCCTGGCCTTGCTCCGTCCCTGCGCTAGCGGATAACGAGAGCGCACCCATGAGCCCTTTGAGCCGAGCTGCTACTGAGGCGTCGGACGCGGCGAGAGCGACTTGGTTTGGCGAGAGTGGGATGGGATCGGGGGTGAGGCCTGGTGCGATTGAGGATGGAAGTCGTGTTTTGGGTCGGTAGCTGCGGATTGGATTTGAGGGGTCGGTGATGAATAGGCCCATTAGACGGGGGATGTACTCTTTGGAGATTGGAATTGGGAGGATGAAGAAACGGCCAGAGGTGCGGGATAGGCCCATTTTTGGCGGCTGGGGTGCGAGGGTGAAGGTGCTCTGGCAGTTGAATCGCTCTCTGGAGCTGATTCGACGGGAGTGAAATTGTACAAGTCGAGGGGCAATCGTGGTCGCTATCAGTAAGCGGATCCTGTGCAAGCGCAGTCCCTGCAGGCACCGCTGTAACTTCTATTTATGTAAGTGGACCCAGCCTCCATTCTCCTTCCCCGCTTCCACCAGGTTTTCACCCTCCACCTTAATCAAACTGCCCGCGCATGGGTACCACCTCCCATCTGCTGCAAGTCACCAGCCTTCCCTCCTCCTCGCACGATTCTATATCATGGACAATCCAACTTACGCTCAATGGCAACATGACCCAACCCGAACTGCCCTTTCGCATTCCAGTTGATGTTCAGGAAGAAGCGGAAGTGTTTTGGTACCTCGAGAACTACACGAAGTCTCCTTTTGACGCTGACCGCGCGGCCAAAGCGGTGCGTCTGATGAAGAAGTACACTGCCTCGCTTGTTGAGCAGCTGCATCTCGAGGACGTGATTTCGGGATTGAAAGTCCAGGATGGTGATGAGGACCAGAGCATTTTGATGCTGGATGTTGTGGAAATGAGGGAGGACTCTAAAGGGATACATTCGTCGCCTTCAATCCAACGAGTTTTGTGGGAGCTGTTGGAACAACCCTCCTTGTGGTCGACCAAGGTCCTAGTCAGGCGTCGACTTGCGCTTCCCAATACCACCTCGACTCCCCGAAACGGTCACCTTCGACTCTGGAAGCCTTTTAACTCCCCCTCGGAATCACACTATTCCCTCAACCTCTTACTTGTCATTGCACGCGACCTCGACCCTAACAAACCTGAAGTTGACCCAACTATCAGTCTTAAACCACTAATCGCACTACAGGATGAACTCCGAGAAGCTGTTGGGGTCAAGCCGCGGCTGTCCTTGGAAATAGTTCGGCCTGGTACATACGCAGCATTACGGAAACATCTACAGATTGCTACCATGAGGCATGGCAAGGGGTATCATCACCTGGTGCATTTCGACATGCATGGTGTTTTGCGGACGCGCTCGACGGACAAGAACAACGCCTCTTCCTCCACCCAGTACGTTCTTCCCATTAAGCAACGCGAATGTCTGGCTCAACTCTTGCAGGCCGCTTACAGCCGGCCTATCATTTGCCCCTAAGACCCACGGATCCCCAATGGACTTCATCCCCGCCCGCAAAGTCGCCATCCTCCTCCGCGACCACGGCATCCGCCTCGTCGTCTCCAACGCATGTCAATCTGCAAACGCACGAACTGCAGGTACCGACGCCAATTTAGCTCGGGTGTTCATTGAGGAAGGGATTAGCAACGTTGCGGCGATGCAAGCGGACGTGATGAGTGGTTCCGCGACGTCATTCAGTGCAAATTTCTATCGGGGTTTCTTGCAGAGGGGTCTATCGTTTTCTGAAGCAGTCCATGCGTCCCGGGAGGAATTGAGGAAGGATGGGATTCGGAGCGCGAGGTTTGGGTTGGAGGTTGCGCTTGAGGATTGGATGGTGCCTGTGACCTACCTCTGTGGTGCTGACGCGAGGATTATGCCGCCAGAAATGACTCCATCTGAAGACTTTAAAGTTCCAGCGTCAATACTCCCTTCTTTTTTTTCGTCATTGGCCGGCTTCACCACAACTCCCCCCGCTGCCAGCATCGATCTGATTGGTCGTGGGCGAGACGCTCTTAACATCGAGAAAGACTTGATCGAGTCTAAAATCCTCATTGTCACGGGACAGGCGGGTGTGGGGAAAACGGCCCTTCTGCGCCATCTTGCGGGCGTTTGGAGAGCTACAAAGTTTGCGGAACGGGTGATCTATGTTGATTTTGCTCAACCGCCGTTTCTGGTGACCGTTTCCGAAGCAATTGAACGGGCGAAGAGTGGTGGTGGACCTATGACGTCCTTTGCTGGGAGGGTCAGTGGCTCGCTTTGGGGCTGGTGGACACAGGACAAGACAGTTACTGCGGAGGACATGGCACAATTTGTTGAGGATTGTCATGAGCACTCTTCTGTCCTTATTTTTGATAGCCTCGACCTCGCACTTTCTGCACTTTCTCCTAGGGTGCGCTCAGGATCTCTGAATGACGATCGGCGTGCGGAGTTATCAGCGCTTGTCGACCGTCTTGTCAACTCTACACTCAAACAGGGACAAAAGAAACCGATGGTAATACTGCTCGGAAGAGCTGGAGGCCTTGAATACTGGAATAACCGCTTCGAGACTATCAGCAGCCGTGTTTTCAAACTCATGCCTTTGGATCTCCCCTCCGCTGTGTCTTTGGGCGGCCGAATTCTGCAACAAGCAGGCGTGAAGACGTCGAGCTGGAACATCAAAGAGATGGAAATTCTATATAGGTTGGTTAACCTCCTGTCCCGGAACCCACTTGCGCTGGAGGTGGTCTTACCTCATGTGGTGACTGAGAAATCGTTGGCAAATTTTTATGAAACGATTCATTTCCACCTCCTCGCCTCGAGCGATATCTGGAAGTGTAAACCATCTACCCCGGGCGCTGATCGCATCTTGTACGATATCGACACATTTTTTATGCGCGCCTCTTATCAAATGCGGAATGTTCTGCGGTCGTTCAGCCTTTTTTGGATTGAAGGCCCTGCACTTCCCGTTTGTCATACCGTCCTGGCCAAGGTGTTTTCTCCTGAAACGGACGAAGATAAGTTCTGGGACGTGCTTGAGACTCACCTGCTGCTATACGCCGCCCTCGGCGCATGGGATTTGGAAGCCGCCACGAAGGGCATAGTCGAGATTCACCCGCTTTTCTCAATCTACCTCCGTAGCAAACTGTTTGGCTACCTTCCATTTGAAAAGAAGCTCGATTTCCCGACTCTTATCACGAATTTTGGACGGATGTTAGACGAGTCCCACAAATCACTTTCGCTCCAGCTTGTTGGAGGTTCCCTCGACTTTGCGTTGTTATGCAACGTCCACAAACGGTCGTTGGCTAACATTGTGACGTGTCTCAAGTGCTGCTTAGCCAACCGTACTGCGGAGGAGTGGCCTATGCAGACCGTTTACGTTTTCATCGATTCCAGTCGGTTTGCGTTCCGCGACTCCGTCCCAGATCATCTTTTTTTCTTGCAATATCTGGAACCTGCGTTGAGGTATTACGTCCTGCAATTTGGGGGTCCCCTGAAGTGTCTTGCCCCCGAAAATCTACCATTCGCGCTAAAACTGTCTAACCACCTTACTACCATGTACCTGCTCGATGCAGGTTTTGTTCCGGACAAGGCAGCACGGCAAGCGCAATATTCCCTTGAGTTGATCAAAGCATCCGAGGAGAAACACCCACCACTTTCTTATCCCCCCGACATGTTCGAAAAGCAGATGGCTTTTCGTCTGAAGGCTACTATCTCTCTTAGCCAGAGAAACTTCGCAGAAGCGGAGAAATTCTGGGACCTTCAGACCGAGTTGGAGACGTTTATTCTAGGCCCGAATGGCTATCCATCCACCGTAACCGCGGGCATGGCTACCATTAAAAAGCAGTTTGGCGACACTGCAGCTGTCGCAAATGCAATGAGCGTAATCACGAGTAATGCAGACACGGCTACGACGACGTTCCTTCCAGCCCTTGCTGAGCTCCGCCAAAAGGCGTGGTCTGAAATTGTGAAATCTATGAAAAGCGCTGGCCCTGACGAAGATTTGAGGCACAGCATGCGCCCTTACGTTCAGCACTTTACTGATCAGATATCAGGAGCGACATCCGGGGTCATGTCTCGCGTTGTGGACGTATCCAAAGACGTGGGTTACGATGTGGGATATGTTCAAGAGGAATATGATCCCCAAAGCTGGCAAAGCGACCTCGATGAAGCTCTTGATCAAGGCGATTCCGCTCGTGTGTTGAGAATCCAACAAAAACTCTTGACGGAGGATTTGCAATCGGGTAATTTCGCCAGTGCTAGAATCCATGTTGAGATGCTCCAACAGCATCTGGAAACCATTCCTAACCCTCCACAGCGTCCTGTTTATTGGATATCCCTCGTCAAAACCATGCTGGAGGCTGTCAAGGGCATGAGCGACGCTGAACGGTTGCAAGTTGCCGACGCGATACGCATGTTCAACGCCGATGAAGGCTTTGCAAGTATTTTGAAGGATATCGCTGAAAATATCGAAAGTAGAGCTGGGATTAATGGAACGAGTGTAATTTAGGCATTTTAAAGGGGAGTCATGTAAAAAAAACGAAATTTACGGTGTAAAGAATAAATTTATCTAAGGAGCAGTGGGGGAAGGAAAAGGAAAAATAAACGAAGAGTAACTTACTTACGAAGGCGCAATCGAAATTATCAAATGTTTAATCCGTCATGTCGACCCGCGAACCTCAGTCTAACCTTCCCTGCATACTCATCATTCCAGCAACAATAGATGTTTGCCTCTCATCTTTCGATTTTCCTCCCTCGTCGCAATCCAATATCGAGCCTGAGTCAGTACTCTCGATCGAGGCAACGGACAGAGCGCTTGAACTGGAAGCCCGACTGCGAGACTCGGCAGAGAGGAAGGAGGAATCCTGTGGACGATACTGAGCAAAGTTTGTCGCGGTCGGCACGGTGATGGATCGCCTCATGGAAGTACTATCCTTCCCTTTTATGTTCTTCGCAGATCGGCTAGCAGATCGGTACCGAGGCTTGGTGTTGACAAAGGAAGCGTCAATATTATTCGCGGCCTTTGCGAGCTTTGAGCTATGCGACCTGAGAACTCTGCGTGGGGTTGGAGAGCCGTCGAGGGGCCGGGATGTGCGGTGCGACGAAGGGGGCGGGGGTGGTGTCAGGCTCATGCTCACGTCGTCAGGTTGGACCGTGGCGTCTTGGGTCTTGCGCCTTTTCAATGGCCTTTTGCTCGTAAAGATGTTTTCCTCGGCTTCGTCCAAGCATTCAAGGGGTCGTGGTGGACTGCTCAAAAGCGGGAGCAACTTTTCCTGTCTTCGAGAGATACGCATTGATAGAGGGCTAGTCGGCGGTGATGGCATCGCATCCACATGCGCGTCGAAGTCGAACGTTTCATTATCCTCCTCGCCGTTTGTCACTAAAGGTCGGCACCTGACCGCCTTCGGGGCGCCAGGTACAGAGAGTTTTATACCAACGAGAACCTCAACCCAGGCGCGAATGTCAGCATCAGAGACATCCTCTTCGACTCTAAGGCGGGTGACTGGAGGAATTCGCGAGTTAAGCAGTTGCGCGACGCCGATGAGCTGTGCGCGTGACATGGTAAGGAGGTCTTCATGGCAACAGAAGGGATAAGACGGAAGCGTAGAAATGACGATGGCATCGAAAGGCTGGTCATGCTGTTGTATGGCGAGACAGGCACGTTGGCTTTGTGTTTGAGACGCTGGATGCGAATGGCTGGTCGACGCACAGTCGCTCGAAAGGGTGGCTGACGAGACTGCAGGGAATGGATTGACGTTGATCATCTCATCTTGTGGAAGTGAACGGAGGACTGAAGGGTAGATACGGGAACTCCTGTTTTCGCCAGTTCCGGAGGACGAGGATTGTCTGAGCAGTTCCAGCTTGAAGAAGAAGCGACGCATGGGTGTTAATGGGTTCACCTTCGACTTCAAGGGTTTCGATGATCTTGATTTTTTTGCCATAGGAGTCAGAAGAAAGGAAAATAGAATGAGCACGTTAGAAAAAGTCGCCAGTTAAGAGCGTATTTGGGAGGCTGACAGTCATGTTGCTTGATCAATTGTCCAGTTGAAAGTTGGTTAAAAATAGTAGAACTTAAGACGGCATTGAGATGTTAATTCGGTGATCAGTCAAAAATCCTGGCGGCCCGGGATCTGTTCTTGGATGCACAGTCCACCCCGAACTCTCCGGAGATTGTTAGTTCAAGCAAGGTGAGAGCTCTTTGTGTGCCTTGTTTCCGAAGTAACATGCTTGGTTACTAGGCCTAGAATCTGGTTTGAAGTAAACTTGAAATTTGAAATGGGTAAAATCCACCTTCGTGTAAATGAGTCAGAAAGATTTCTTAGGGAAGGCTTGAGGAAATGGGCTCGAATTTTTAGGTCATGCATGCGTCACGTGAGCGAATTACTCATCAATTCTCACTCTTGCGCCTTCAAGTCACGATGGTGACAAGCGTTGTCTACTAGTACCAGCGGGTCCATCGTCCAGCTCAAAGCTGCGAACGTCAACCCCAATCTATGTTGCTACAACCATGCCCTTGAGCAAGATTAGCTTGGTAGAGGAATATTCGACTATAATTGCGAAACTTTCATCACGGCGCACTCTACGCCGTTCTTCCGAATCAAAGCCAGAAAATCCCTCCCAAGCTCATATACCAAATGAGAGCCACGCCATCAAATGCCAAAACGGCTCGCCCAAGCTTACAGACGGTCCGAGAGCTCCCTCGGGTGCATTTCTGCTTATAAATTCGCCAAGGTCACTTCAGCTCTGATCGCGAAGCACGGATCCTCCAGCGCACAATCCCACCAGATTTGTCGAATGAAAATATCCGCCAAGAGATGGAATGCGGCAAACTCATGAAATTGTCGACGGAGGTCAAATGGCTGGCGGACTTATCTTACATTCAAAGGGTTTCAGAGTTTTTCGAATCTTTCCCAAAATCATTCGCTTTCTCAGACCACTTTGGACAATCGGGCTTTCCGATGCAAAGTTTTTTTATCCTAGTAAGTTGCATTCCAGCATTTTCAATAATTCTCTGACCCGACCCAGTCATGACTCGGATTACCGTTATAAGATTACTACAGTGCCTGACACCCATATCGAGGTGTGTTCCATCAACAGCCACACCCACGCGAGACGATCAAGTGTCTGATGAATTTGTACGCTTGCTCATTCTAATAATACACCGTTCGAGTCAGCGCTCAAAAACTTCCCGAAGCTTTGACGCCTCCTCAGAGCTACCATGAAGTCGAACAAACTCGTAATCTCACCCACGGAAGCTGGCGTTGTATCGTGGACCGTAGACATCGCCCTCAACGGCGAGATCATACGCGCCCGAGTCCCACTCAATCTCCCAATAACCAATGCTGAAGGAGATGAGATAGTTTGGTACCTTGAGAGGTATCCGCAGTCGCCCTTTGACGCAGACCGTGCAATCAAATGCATCCGCTTGCTCGAGAGGTACAGCGACGCACTCTTTGAGCAACTAGGGTTGGCGACTGTAGGCCCGATGATAAAACTGGCGGAGACGCCGGGCTGCGAAGTAGAGACGCTTATAGTGGAAATATTTCAAAATCTCAGCGATGGAGTCGGACCTTCCATTCATCAAATTTATTGGGAACTCTTGGAAGATGAGAGGCTGTGGTTAGGAATGGTCGGGGCTGTGGTCGTCAGGCGAAAATTTACATCATGCAGAATTACAAAACATCTCGATGAGGACACCGCCAGCCTTTCCAACCGCGATAAATTGGTACCATGGGGACCTCTTGAGACCACCGCGAAACTCCCGTCCTTCAATGTTCTACTCGTCGTTGCAAGGAACTTGGACCCAGATAATCCAGAAGTCGATCCCATCCTTGGACTGGCCCCTCTTTCCACGCTTTTTCGGAAGATGAAGCAGGCTTCTGGCTATCGGTTTTCCCTGGAGGTGGTCCGCCCAGGTACATATGCTGCTTTCCGAAAGCACTTGCAACTGTCTACAGAAAGGCATGGTCAAGGATATTTTCACCTCGTTCATTTTGACATGCACGGTATTGTCGTGAGCCAACCAACTCGGAGTACGACCGAAGAAGCAAATCCGAGGTGAGCCTCATAACCCACCACTCGGAAGCTCTCTTAAGTTTCACTGCAGAGTTGTGGCTGGCTTACTATTCGCGTCAAAAAGCCACGGCGGAAAATTGGATTTTGTCCCTGCTCGAAGAATCGCCAAGCTTGTTCAGCAACACAGCATCCGTCTCGTTGTCTCCAATGGATGTAGGTCGGCTAGCACGCACGCCCATGATGTAGAGGCAAACTTGGCAGCAGTCATGCTGGAGGAAGGTATCACGAATGTGTTGGCCATGCAGACAGAATTCATGAGCGGCGCGGCCAAACTCTTCATTATACAGTTCTACCGGAGCTTTCTGCAACATGGAGTTTCCTTCTCTCGAGCCGTTCGAGATGCGCGGGAGCACCTTCAGCACAATCCACTACGCAGCGCTCGTTTTGGACTGGAGGTCCCCTTACAAGACTGGATCGTACCAGTGGCCTATCTCACCGATGTTGATTTGGAGATTACACCTCCGAAAGTCCACCAAAATATTCCTCCGCCTCTATCTGAACGCGCCGTAGAACGCGATTCAGAATTCAATGGGCCTGACCTAGTTGGAAGGGATTGCGATGCTTTGAGGATCGAGAGAGATTTGACTGAATCTCAAGTCCTGATTCTGTACGGTCAGGCAGGAGTGGGCAAGACCGCATTGCTCCGACAGATGGTGGACGTCTGGAGAGCCACCAGCTTTGTTGAGCAAGTCTTCTACGTTGACTTTGCGCAATCACCGACCCCAGTGACCATGCACCGTTTTGTGGACAGAATCAACGGCAACGAAGGTCCTGAGAGTGGGATCGCCCAGAAAATGGGGGAGGCCGTTTTAGGGTGGTGGAACAAAGAAAAACCAAAGCCTCCACGTAACATACCGGCGGAGGTTGCGCAGTTAATTCAAAACTGTCGTGACCATTCGACAATCTTTGTTCTCGATAGCCTTGATGCGGCATTGTCGAGCTTGCCTCAATATGCCAAGTTGGGGTCACTGGCCGAGGAAACACGACAAGAGCTCTACCAATTTGTTGAGAGCCTCATTAATTTCACGCCGGCGAAAGGACAGAGGAAACCACTGTTGGTATTAATCGGGCGAGGCGACGAGGCTTGGTGGAATGAGCGGTTTCAGCAGGTTCCTGCTCGATTCATCAATCTCAAACCTTTGGACCTTCCATCGGCGGTCATCTTGGGGACGAGAATTCTGGAACAAGCGGGGGTTGATACGAATCGTTGGGACGTAGGCGAGAAAAACAGCCTCCACCAAATAGTGAATCTCTTCGGTCGACTACCGCTGGTGTTAGAAGTAATGCTTCCAAATGCTCGGAATATGACCCTGGGCGAATTTTATCAGAATACCCATCTTCACATGATCCCTGGGGCTGATGTTATGTGGAAACACAAGCCTTCAACGCCGGGAAGCGATAGGTTACTGCATGACCTTTTTCGTCGGTTCAACTGTGCCTCCTTCCAAATGCGAAACGTTCTCCGCTCGTTGGCCCTTTTTTGGCTAGAGGGACCTGCAATTATTGGAATCCTTGCGGCGTGGCATGAGTTAGACCCGGGAATGCCTAGAGTAATCGGGAAGGATTTTGGGAGTATCTTTAATATCTTCAAGGACGTCGGCGGGTGGGCGATGAACGTCGACACGGAATGCATAACAGAAGTCCACCCTCTGATGACCATATTCCTCCGATCAATGCTCCGGTCCTATATTCCCTTCGAGACTCGGTTAAAGGACGACCAACTTTTCAAGGCATATCGAATCATGGTCGACCGAACGCAGAACCAATTAATGATGCTTAACTTCACTGGGAAGTATGATTTTGCGTTGATCTGCAGGATTCAAAAACGGTCTCTTGTTAATATAGTGGCTGTTATGCAAGATTGCGCAAATGAGGGTGCATCGCTTAAAGCGGAAGATTGGCCCCGAGATAGCCTTGTCTACTTCTTCAGCACCAGCCGATTCGCGTTCAGAGACTCCGTCCCTGACCATCGATATCTCCTGTCGTATCTTGAGCCAACACTCAAACAATATGTCGCAACATTTGGGGGGCCCAAGCAGTCTTTGGCTACGAAAGATCTCCCGTTTGCTTTGCAGATATCGAATCACCTGGCGATCATGTACTTGGCAGAATTTCAGGTCGCCCTTGAGCAAGCCTCACGTCATGTTGACTTTTCCATCGATCTGATCAAAGCCTCCGAATGGGAGCACACACCGCTGTCAATTCCGGCAGAAATTCACGCGAAACAGATTGCGTTCCGTCTCAAAGCTTTCATATGCCTTTTCCAGCGTAATTTCGACGATGCGCAGGCGTACTGGGACAAGCAGTGCGAGCTGGAGATTGTCACGCTCGGAGGAGCTCAGAGCGTTGGTGGCCAACAGGATGGAAGTAACGCGCTTGGGCAGAGTTGGATAGAAGGTGTAGCAAACCTGGGACTGTCGGACTCATCGGGAAGAGTCCAAGTTGGAGATATCATTAAAGAGGTCTCCACGAAATACCTTCCTGCACTGGCTCAGCTTCGTCAATCAGCATGGACCCATATGGTGAAAGCCATCAAAGAAGATGATAGCTCTACACTGGAGGGTGAGATTCGTCCATACGCCCGAACGTTTATGGAACAAGCATTCGGCCTGTCAACACCAGCGATGAGCCGCGTTCTGGACGTTTCCAAAGAAACTTCGTATGATGTTGGTTATTTGCTGGAAGACCATGACTACTCTTCCGTCGACCAATTGACACAAGAGCTGGAGACGGGCCTTGATCGCGCTGATGCAGGGCGCGTAGTCCGAGCAGAATACAAGTTACTCCGCGAAGCGTTGGAACAGGGAAATTGGGCTGGCGCGCAAGTCCACATTCGACTTCTCCTACAACATCTTCCTGCGTTGCCTGGGGTATCCCCGCAACTGCTCATGGGACTGTCTATGCTCGAAGAAAGCTTCAAATTCGAGCTGGGGAGAGACGTAGAAGGCGATGGATTGAGTATGCTTATCAACGCGGTCAAAATTTTGATGGCCGATGGCGAGGCGGCAGTGCTGGCCAATCTAACAAGTCCTTGACGAGACATTGCGTATAAGTAGTTTGTTTAGACGCCGCTGTAATAAAAATATCTCTATCCTACTTCTATCAGTAAGTAATAGCTTGAGAGATTGTATAATAATTCCAAACCGACTGAATTCAAGGTCCCCAAATTTCCCGCGAGTGATTGTTGGTCTCGGCGAAAATCACAATGACGCTGTATGATACGATGAATGGCTCTCCCCACTATCGAAATCCCAATGACGGGTCAGCCTTCCTGGATCAGCTGGTGGAAGGAAGGATTTACCATTTACAATGCCACAAAATGAGCGCAAAGCATGGAAAGACCTGACAAGACGGGGAGTGAAGGGACCAAAATTACATAAAAGTAACACGAACTTGGCGCGTGTGACGTCCGTGACGGACGCGACTTTGTCACGCAGCGTAACACAGCGAGCTCGACCTCGACCTCGATGTCCTCGCCAGCGACCAGCTCGAAACTGAGGACATCAATCCCAGTGAGAGCCATAGCCTCCAAAATAGGCTCCAAGTCGTCTCCTTTGATTCCTCCCGCAAGCCAGAGCTATGATCCACTCGTAAAATCCGTTCTTCGTCATCGCCTCTCCCACATATTCTTGTTTTCGGCATTGCTATCGTGGCTCATAGTGAGCTCTTGGACGATATGGAGGTCAGGCGGCGTTGGCCTGAGCAGAGTCGTCATTGCTCCGTTCTTGCCTTTGACGCTGGCGAGCAGCCTGATGACTTGGTTGAGCACGGCGCTACCTGTCGTCGTTTTGCGAAAAGTGTTCTTCACAGGTGAGTGCAATGGTTCTCTTGCTCTTTTCATTGCTAACCGTGTTTCAGCTACGCGGACGCCCGCTACATCGCCTCTCAGCTCGATAAAGGTTTCTCTTGCAAAAACCAGCACAAAAGCAGCTTTTGCTGTGTACGTGGTGTCCTCACTATCCGTGGCGTTGATCCATGCGACAGCGGCCTATGTTGTGGAACAGAACGACCCAAAGCTTTCTCTTTTCGTCAAATCAAAGTGTGTGGTTTTTTTTGCCTTTGAGACCTCAACTCTGACGGTTTTACAGAAAACATCCACACTACCTAAATGGCCGCCTTGTTTTCTTGCTGTTTACGCAAGTGGCAACGGCGCTGCTTTTTCTTTTCCGCAACATCATGTATGACAGGTTTGTGTACAGGTGGCAGCTCGCAGTAAGTCCTCTTCAATCCTTTCTACGTCTCACTCAAATCGTTGTAGAACGTCGATATCCGCCCGTTTGGCGTCTACCACTTCCTCGTCGCCATCTTAATCTCCATCTTTACCATCACCATCTCCTTGCCACTTGCGGCCTTCCTTTTCGCAATCGCCCGCGTCCTCTTGCCCGTCCTCTACCAAATGCCGATTCTACCCATCTTCCTCCGCCCTTTCACCGCTCATTTCCTCAGGGGATCATGGACGTTGTTCTTGCCTCTCCGGCACTTCTCCCTGATCATCCGTGCGTGGTTCCTGGGGTTCACAACCGCCTTCATTTGGGAAGCCTCGGAATCATTGTTTGAGACAATTGTCTCTGTTCCAGTCACCATCACTCACCTCACGACAGACCCAAACACAACGCTCGTATCGGGCGTCTCCTCCTCTGACGTTACGTTCAAATTCTTCGCTCTCTCCGAGCTCAAAGCAGCTGCAACGGAGGAAACAACAACGGCCAGTGCACGGAGGACAGCAATATTCGGAGATCACGGGAACGGTCCCAATCTATGGTACCAAATCTCCCAAGAATGCCTCCTCATCCTCGAGAATGACTACCAGCACTTTCTCCGTCGTGGGCAGCCTGCACCAGCTGCGGCTATACCTCCTCCAATCAAGACAACGCCACTCAGCGACAAGGTGCCTGCAACTCCCGTCCAGGTCATCCGAGGGCCCATATTCCGGTCTGGCGGGAAGACCTCCCCGACCATCCTCGACGCCTTTGCAGCGGATGGTCCCATAGCGAACGCTGTGGATGCAGGCGCGGAAGCAGTACACGTTCCCGAGATTTTCAGATCGTTAGAGGCTAAATTGCCGTTGATAGCCGCCGCCAAGACGGGGGAAGAGGTGAAGCCAGACTCGGATTCGAAGCCGGGGCTCCTGGCGCGGGTGAAAGCGGAGCTCGACACGGTTGTCCGGTCTACATCTGAAAAGCATGTTCCTGTCCGTGTGAGGGATTTGTGGCAGGAGTGGCGGGTGTGGTTGACGGCGGAGAGAACCAGCAAAGTCGCTGACGTGTGTTTACCGTTCAGAGAGCTGGACGTTGTCGCGGTTGAGGGTAAGTCTTTTCTGTTACCATACAAGATGAAGATGGGTCGTTGATCGTGTGACAATATGCAGTTCTTTCTCACTTGACGTGCGCGTCTTTGGCGGAGGACCGATACGGTGTTGTGCAACGCGATATACCCAAGATTCTCGAGACGATGCTGTCTTTCCTCTCAGCCATCGAGGAATACCAAGTCGAGCTCAACAAGTTGTACGTTCCTCCAAATCCGGAAGAGGAACTTTCGCAAAAGGAGATTTATGAGAAAGAGCGCATCCGGGAGGAAGTGGGGAGGGCCGGGGAAGTGCTGAGCTACGTGGGTGATGGTATGTTGACCCTTGCTGCTTCTCAGAACGAGAACTGATGATGTTGTTGTAGGTCTGAAAGACGGGGTAGCGAGGATTGTGAGAACGTTTGGGAAGAAACTGCTGGCGTTCAAGTTTTCCCCGAGGACGGGGCAGAAGTTGCAGGGGTTCCTTGATTATTGTAGTTGATGTTCCCTACTCTATCTATGAAACAAACTGCTGATTCGCTAGGATGCCTGGCCTATCTTGGACATGTTTTGAATGTTGATGGATTGAAGTCGGGTGAGTAGGGCTGATGTTCTATTGTTCACTGACCGGGTGCATGTGAACACTTTGGCAGATACTTGGGGGTGAGTTTTATGATGTGCGCTTTTGGCGGTGACCTGATTGCATCGACCTGTGCCGATTTTACGAAGCATGAGTTATGTGTGATGTTTCTTTCTGACTTGATCTAGGATTTTCGGTTGATCTCTGATTGGAGTCCGAGATTGTGAACTTCACAAAAAGCGGCTGCTGGTGTCCCTGCGCGGGGTCTGCAATATAGAAGATAGGTAATACCAACAGCTAGTCGCGAACAACCCCCGCCCTGTGGTATAGATTGTGCATTGGTATGTTTGCCTCGTCTTCGGAACGAATGACCACGTCCTGATTATGATGGTCATTGATCAGGGCTGACGCGCTAGCAACAAGGTGTGGCTTTGTGCGCTGTCGACGTCTATCCCGCTGGTGATGCTTCCACCTTCAGTTGAACTTGAAGGCAACTTTCAACAGGCACCGTTACTATACTATAGTCTATCCAAACCTTTGCTCATGATCGTTAAGGAAAAGTAGGTTTTTCAGCAGCTCTTCGCTTGCCGCTCGTTACTCAAGATTTACCACAACAGCGTCCGAGCGAAGTCAATACGTTCATAACGGCAAAGACCCAGATGCAAGTGTGCAATCACTTTCGATAAAACTTATACACACCCGTTTAGAAATGACTTGTGTGCATTGATGCCGGTGTTCACTTTGGTATTTTCGCCTTGAAAAAATGCTGCTCGGTTGAGCCAGCGGCGGAAACCCCATGAGCCCGCCGCTGTGTGGATGTGCTGCTGTGACTTGCACCGAATGTATCGTCTGTTCCCCCAGACTTTGCACAAGGTTTCAGGTGCTCTTGTGAGCTCAAATTCCATTTGATATCCGTCAGTTGCTAATCTTACGCGTTAAAAGGATTCCAGGTTGTTCTGGGCAGCCGTTCTACTAGTACGTGTATGAACTAATGATGCGAATCAGGCACTGCACTTCAACTATACCACTTTATTTCACCTCCTTTGATCGTCCACTTGAATTAGGGAATTGACGCATCTCAAAAAAACGGTATTCCCCAGAAAACCAAAATCACTGCCGCTACTAGTACTAATCCAGTAACCCTTAGCCGCAAAATATCTCTGGCATGTTTCCGTCCATGTGACTTTTTACCTCCGCTCCTAATTGTGATCTCAAAACGTGTTCACAGCGCTTGGTGATTCTTTATTCTGATCTCCATTGTGTTGATTCCATAGATCTTTACCCAACTATAAAACTTCTCATCCGACAACCCATTTCCAGATGAGACTTGCATCACCTTGTCTCCTCGCGATCCCTCTGTCGTCCTCCATGATCGTTGCACTTCAGTCCTTTCCACAGCTCCTGGTACAACGCCGAGAGGAAAAGGACGGTTTTTGTACGTGATTTCTTGTTTCCCTGTTTCGTGTTGTTTGACAGAATTGGAGACGTACCGCAGAGCAGGACTTTTTCTGCGAAGACGACTTAGCCTTTCCTATTTCTCGACATGGACGACTCATTACTGCCACCACAAAAGCAAGGCCTTGAAAGGCGGTGTCGATAGGTCTGGCATCGTTTCGCGATACGACGTCAAGCGCTATAGGCTTGCTTCGCGCCAATAGAGTAAAATTCGACACAAAAAAAAACAGAGGCCCAAAAAGGATCGTGGGGGATTGATTATCGTTGGACGCGATCTCACACCTAGTTTTCGAGTTCCTCCGCTGGAGCGCTGGCGCTGATCAAAGCAACTGTGAATTACCTGTCAATTACGTCCGAACGGTATCTGGTCCAAAGTATGGAATTACACCTCCGCACTCACTGGCAGACGAAGACTAATTGAGATATGTATATCCGTTCAGGCCAATTTCTGTTTTCTTCATACCTACTGTATTTTACCGCAACAGATTCTTCGTCAACTAAATTCATTTTTGACCTCTTGGTTCACCATTTTCTGTAAATAAAACTAATACTAGTTAAAATTGAAATGCCTCGAACCAGGAGTCCCCTCCATGGGATCCTGACCATCCCAAGGAGAAAGAAAATCTTGTAACGGCCACTCTGCGTATTTGATATTTACAACAGTAGATAGCTTGGTGTTGTTTGATTCAGGGTGAATGACAGCGCCAGCCAAGTTCCGCTGTGAAACTTTCATCCCGATCCCAATAAGCGAATTAAGGAATTCATCGAAGTTTTTTGGCTCACGGCGATCATAGAAAGTGACGTCTACTCGTTTCAGCACTCCAGTCAAGACAAATGGGTCCCGTTGCATTCAAGTTCTTCAAGCATAGGGCACAAACTTGCTTTCACTTCAATACTGCACGTGGAGATGACGGTACGTATCGTTCAGACGGAAATAATATTAATGCCGCGGTTCAGTTCCATGCCCGCCGGCAAGTTCAGCATTTTGTTGCAAGTAGAGCGTGCGATGGAAGGGGTCGGTCAGTTATCTTATCCTGCAAACGTTCTTGTTGGAGTGATAAGAGCTGACGCTCGTGCTTTGTAGGATTCCAGACCGGACACCCACTTTAATACGTCAATGAGTGCGATAAAGATCGGTGGTCCCACTTGCCTTATAGTGGGATATCTAGTGCACTATCGATATTCCTCATTTTGTTCCTCATGGCGGTTGTAGATACAAGCACGCACCAACGTTCCCAGCGAGAAAGTTCCAACTGGATGCCGTTTCGAGACTCGAAGCTCCTGAATTTTGTTCCATCATATTCTCGATGGCCTTCCTCGGTTTTTTCGAGCGCTTAAGCGTTGTAAGTATTTTAAATAATTACTTACACCCGGTAGCCGGCGATGAACGTTCGCTGTGGCTGTGAAACCGGGCCGAGGCTCCCCCTCTAACCCTCCTTCAACCTCTAAAGAAGTCCGAAAGGATCAAAGTAAGAGTAGAACGTGCTCAATACAAAAGATTAACGAGCTGAAATTACCAAGAGTAGCCCCCTCTCCTCAACAATTGACCGACGCCTCTCAAAAGTCCGTTTGCGAGGGTTTTAAGGCACACGTGCGGGTGCACAGTGTGGCGGTTCGTGACACATTGCGACCCTTTATGCCCTATATATCTTAGCGAACGCGGGTTCTTTGGGGATGATCAGCCTTGCGGTAACACCCACCATCGACGATGGTTGGCGCCAATGCCTCCACCATAGCGTTCACTCAGGATTTCTCTCATACTACTCGTCCTGATACCCTCACACTCCTCCTGCTCTCCTTTACGACTCTCAGCGCGTCATATTACAGTCTAGCGCCGCGATATGGCACGCCCAAGCAAACCTCATGGATATTAACCACCGTCTCCAGCGCCGTCATGACCATTGCCAGTCTTCCTTTTTTGTATGATTATTTCTCGTACGGCGGCAGCGTCAAGCACGTCCGTACTCTCCCCATGCTATCCATTGCTGCTACCAGGTTTTTCCAAACTTATCTTGCTGTGTACGTGTCCTTGTTCACTCGTGTGAAAACCCTGTCACTGACTCTACCCAGCGATCTGGTCTTAGGATCTGTACATTACCCATCTCAACTTCAACTCGTCACCGGCTGGATTCACCATGCCTTGTATATCATCATAGTAGAACTCACTATCAAGCGGTCTTGGACCCACATTTTCTGTCTGTGCGCAGCCATGGAGGTGAGTCATCCATCCATAGTTCAGGCAGTGGGCAATTGTGACTAACACTTCTCCAGATCCCTACGTTCGTTCTCGGATTCACGAATCTATACCCCCACCTTAGAAGTAACGTCTTCTTCGCGGTCTCCTTCTTCCTCACACGAATCCTATTCCACATCATCCTCGCCATTTCTTACCTCCTGCCACACAACAGGCACCACACCACCGGCGGCTCTTTCCTCCCCGCCGGCCTCCTCGCCATGATCTTCCCCATGCACGCCATGTGGTTCCGCGGCTGCATCAAGGGCTTTCAGCGGAGAAGAGCGGAATCTAGAGCAGCAAAGGCCCCACCACCATCTGTCATTGAGCTTGACATTTATCCGGAGAAGAACAACTTGAACGAGTCACCCGCTCCGCTAGAGTTTTCAACGCCCTCAGCTAAGCTGAGGCAGAAAGTGTATGGCAGTGAACTACACTTTAATAGCGTCGACGCTCGTTCGGGAAGGACTACCAAGACTTCAGTCGTTTTGACGCGTATTTATGGATCCATCCCTCCAAGGGAGGTTGTTTACGATTATGTTGGTCTGGGGAGACTTCGCAGTAAGCAGGCTCAGTAGGGTACATGGTATACCTTATCACGTTCAACACGTCGTAGATAATATACCCATATGTATTTTCGCAGAGGTGTTGCTTCAGAAATTTCAAATTGCTGAAAGTGCTTATGTGTCGCGACGACCTTCAAATATTTTCCCAGGGGCATTACGCGTTACTGCCGATTTGATCCAAATGATACTACTTAAGTACCACAGGAGGACCGCCCGAAAATACAGACAAGAGTCTGGAAATCGGCCATTTTAGTATAGCATTTTGCAGGATATTCGGGGGGGTCCTTCCACAGGCATGGGAACTCCGCCCTGCCAGTGCCAAGAGGTGTCAAGTAGTTGACGGCATTATGGCATAGGGTCACTTTGCTTCCTGTCAACTTCCTGTAAGTATGGATCTGACACCTCTTCCAGCCTCTTCCTCGTTTTCGTTATCAGCAGATCAACAACGCACAACACAGCACAACACTTAAACCAGTCCTTTGCGGTATTACTAATAGGTTTATAGATAGCAGGTTGTCGTTCGCCACCATGAGTGCCCCAGAAAAGATGGGCTTGCCAGTGTTGCACGGGTCGGTTAAAAACCTCGCAATTCGATTTCAAAGGTTCGTTCACATCGAGTTCAAGTTGATCTTCAAAGACGATATGATATGACTTTCATAATCCACAGGTCATTGAAGCTGGTTCTCACGATTCTTGTCGTCGTTACCGGTCTGTGGTTGATTGCGCACTTGTTGGCCATTAGCACCAGCCTTTCCTTGTTGGGGTATATGAGCGAGCATGGTCCAGGTGGTGTAATACCAGAAACACACGCTGGTAGATATTCAACGCTTGGAATTCGCACTTAGAAAACTGATTTCATTCACAAAAGCCCATGTCGACGCCCCACGAAAGCAAGTCGTCGTCAGAACGATACCTACCAACAGTGCCGGACTCGGCTCTGTGGTAGCGCAGTTACGAAGCAGCGCAGCGATCGCGACGATGCTGGGAGCCGATTTTTCAACATTTAGCGTTATCTCGACCCACCTCACGCAATATCGAGCGGCTTCACTCCTGAAAGTCGACCTCCTAGGGACAGAACTACCCAAGGGGTCGAAAGTCTGCTCTATCGCCTCGTCGCCCCACGAAGCTCGCACAGCAGAGCTGATGGGAAGTTGGTGCAACAACGTGACACACGAGGCATATGCCCAAGAATTACAGCAGCTGTGGAGCGACTGCAACCTCATCATAGACGACCGGGCATGGGACGTGCGGTACGACATGAGTAAATGCACGTGGAAGTGGGTCAAACACGTCTTCACTGCGCTCGGCCTCAAAAAGCGGCGGGGGGGAATCGGGCTGCACATCCGGTGGGGCGACATATCCGTCCAGACGCTGCCGCCCGAGCGATCCACGCCCGTAAATTTGGCGGCTCAAATGATAGCCAAGATGCGAGAATGCGGTGTGCAGGACGAGCTCAGCGTTTACATGGAGTGGCACAACGATACGATGCTCAGTGGCCTCGGCGAGCCGTACCGCCTCGTGGACTCGGGTGATTCTATCGACGATCTCCTTGATCTGGCTGCCAACCGGGTGTTGATATTAGATATCAGCAGCTGGACCGTGTTGGCGCACCAGATTGCCGAGGGGGGTATTTCCCTCGTCCCTAATGTTGAGGGATATGATGGGTATGCTATTCCCTGGGACGATAATGGGATGAATCGGGTCTTGCGATGGAATGAGTTGCTTGATATTTCATGCAATGAATTTTCCCTTCTACTTGACTCGGACTTTTAGCTTGCAGCAATGACTCCCATTAACTCTACACGAACTTTACGTGATTGCTATACCTCAAACTTTTATACGGATAGTCGAACTTTTATGTGGATGATAGCACAATCTTTTCTATGTACATAGAAGATCATGAACTTTTTGGAATGGAAACAAGCTTGTTCAAATAACTATTTTTAGGGGCCGTTTCAACTCCTTTCGAATCTAAGTCTTATAAGTGGAACAAGAACTCTGTTATTCAACTACTTAGCCCGGTATCCCTAATACTTTTCTGTGGCTGGAAAAGGGGTATTGATAAAAACTTGAATACGGAATCTATGGACACAAGAAAATACATTGGGGTTGTGCCCTCCCTGCCGTTCACACTTTCATACATGCAATTGGGTTGTTGGTTGCAGATTAACAAAAGAGCAGTACCCATGTTGTACGGCAATAAGGTACGAAGGAAGGAAGGTATGAATGACACGACTATATTAAATACACGGGATGAGAACGTTAAGCGGATCCGTCAACGTGTTGGCTGCTCCTGGAGGTAAAACGACAATGCTTTGTGACTTCTTGAATAATTCGTTCAGCAAGCGAGATGCCGCACACTCTCACAAAAGAAAACAAGCCACACACCTCGTCGTACTTGTCATACGGAGCAACGTTCCTCAGATCCCACGCAATCAAGCTACCACGCAACATAACCCCACTGAAACTATATTCCAGAACCTGCTTGGCAGCGACAGGTCCAATACCCATCGTCTGATGTCATCAAGAAGCCTGTGGGTAAGGTCGAAGGCTACACCTCCCGAACGGATGTAGGCGGCGTGCAAACACACTCCGGAAACATGTTGGTAGACCTCCATGAGCTTTTTGCACTCTTTAAAGAAAGGGGTGAGACCACTAACGTCCATGACGTGTGTGAGAATGGCCATGAGATCTTTTAGGTTGGGTAAGGTTGATTTGCGGTGATGCGAGAGCAGATAATGGCTTACGGTTAGGAATACATGTTATTTCGCCAAAGGGAACTCGGATCCATTGGGCATGGGCGGGCGCCTCGACGTTCTACCGCTAGCGAGTAGCAGAGCCCGTTCGTCACTGCAGTGGAGCTGATGAAAGAAGAGAAGAAGTGATAACATACTAATTGAAATGTAGTCAGGATGACTGACATCTCCACATTTGCTGCCCGACCGATGTCTTCTTTGAGTCGGTCCAAGGGTGTTCACACTCGCGTACATGCAATTGACGTGGATGGCGAGCTGGGTAGGCAGCAAGTAAGTAGGCAGTAGCGAGGGCGCGGAAAGGAGAAAACCCTGGGCAGGAAAGTGCCGAGGCGTGGGGAAAACCATGGGCTCAGGAATGCACCAGAGGGCATTCGAAAACCCTGGAAATGACCAATTTTCCGACGCGACGCGACACATTAGGTCACGTGACTATATAAACAGCTCTATCTGTGACGGTAACGGGGACCCCATCAAACGGAAGTCGAAGGTCCGACTCGGAAGCAAAGGCAGACCATGTCTTTGTCGGCAACGGTAGACACCGCTACGACGCCTACCCACACCCTCTTATCTATATGTCGCGTTAACGTCGCATGCACACTCCCCCTCACGTTTTGTCCCGTCCGTTTCGCCTCGTCTGGGAAACGTTTCTGACCTGTTGCATTATAGGTAAATGTATAAAACACACCTTGGAATCAATCATGATTGTCCTAGTCTTAGTTCGTCTAACCCGATAATTGTCACCTTTAGGCTAGGAGCAAACTTCGATGACGAAAAACACTCAACTCGCGCTTACAATCGTGTGCGAACCACGTTACTCAAAGAAGGTCAAAGCGAATCTCCTGTTTTGACCACGAGGACATGGCCAGGGCCATGGCCACATGTCAATTCACCAGCCACCATGGATTCTTTCCGACAAACCGCTTGATTTCCCGATTGGAACTTTGTGGGCGGCTAAGCGCGGTCAATGCGCGGGCCACTCGATATCAACGCAACGGGGTGACCACTGCGTCCGCTCTTGCTTCGATTGATTGATTGAGTACTACACTGGCAGTGGATGCCGACTTATGAGCTTTGTTTATTTCTGGGGGAACTTCCCTGTCTTGTTTCTTCGCGACAAGGCCTTCCAAGTTGACTGGCACAATTCTTTCTAGACATCTGCTGGGGCTACTAATGATTTTCAACTCTCACAAAAGGCGATCTTTCTGTGCGAATTTATGAAGTGTTCGATTTTTCTAATGGAACTTGGTCAGTCGTGGCCACTTTTTTGGGGAGTCGACAATGGCCCGGAGGCAAAGCCACAATTCTCGGAGACACAGCGAGTGTCCCCAGGCCACTATTTTCTTACGTGGCTTGACGATTTATGGTTCAACATTGTTTTCCAAGGCGGGTTCGGTAACCTTTAAATACCAGCAGCGCTTTCATTCTTCACCCACCAACTACAATGCTCTCTCCCATCCTCATCGCAAGTTCCATGCCTGCTTTTGACCTGCCACTCAACCACCCCAACATATCCACTCAGAGCGTTCATTTCTTCCCCTGCCCCTCTCCCGAAGAGCTGGCTTTTCGCGCCCCTCTCCCCCCCAACAATTCCCCGGCCTCTTCTAGTCCCACCTCTACCATGGGGTGGCTTCCTGATGCGACCGAGTCTAGCGACGCGCACAACGCGAGTGGATTAGAGGAAACTCCCGCTTCCTCCGTCACTGAACTGGATTCTTCCTCAGCCGCCATTTCGCTATGCCGCGGAGAGTGGCTCAAGGCGATGCAAAACTTCCCCTTCGCAGGGACCAGGGCGGGGCGTAAGAACTTGGTGGACGATGACCGCACCGAACGCTCCACCTTCACCTCCATTAGCGAGGTGAGCTTCATCCCGCTTAGGGCCGTGAGGCGGTCAGACCCATGTGAGGAAGGTGTTCGTGGAGAGGAGAATTTGAAGGAGGGGTCCACGGGCAAGCGTATCACTTGGCCTTTGTCGCGATCCATTTCCACCGCTTTCTTGAGGCGAAACACTGTCGGGGCCGAGAGCAACCCTGCGACTTCGTTGGAGCCTCTCCCATCACCCTCTTCCTCGATGTTTAGATTCGGATCTGTGAGGGGTGCTACTGTTCGCCGAGCCTTATCTTTACGCGCAAGGTCGGGCAGTTCTGCGATTCAGCACCTCGCTGAAACTCTTCCCATGAGTCAAGCGGAGGACGGAAAGGGGGAAGGAGGTGTTGCCAAAGAAGGTCATGATGATGACGATGAAGAGCTGGACGAGGCCACTGCTGAAGCCCAAAGGGTTGCAGAGACGATTAAGAAAAATTGGGAATTTGAGGAGTATACTCGAGAAGAGGTTTTTGAGCACCGCTTTTCGCGGTACTCTGATAGCTTCGACCCCGAAGCACTTGCCTCTGTTACTGACTTGCCGCAATTGTGATCTTATCAACGGTTTGGATATCTCGTGCTGCATCCTATGCCACCATGCCATCCTATTTTATTAACTTATGCTTATTTTTATCCCTATGCGTCTCTAGATCCAAGTTCATCATGCATTCCTACTTTATTCTAAATATGCCATTCATTTGCCGCAGCACTAGAATCCAAATTGAACTGTATGTAGTCCTCTTCGTACGCTGACAGTCTTGCCAATACATCAATTTACTCATGCGAAGATCATCATCATGAACCCCGAGATGACTGGCAGCCAACCCAAAAAATTCCAAGAGTCCACTCTCCCCGCCGCATTTCTACTCTGCGTCTGAGCCGGAAACAGACCCGTAACTGTGTAAACAGGAACCAGCTTGCGGTTATACGTTGTGGCGGAGACTACGGTAAGCGTCGTGCTCGTGTCATTCACCACCTTTCTATTGACTTCAACGCAAACCCCTGTTTTCTGCGAGGCTGCAAAGGTGCAATTCTGTTCCACGGCGTTGAATTTCCCAGAGTCATCTGGGCTGCTCATATAAACCCAGGAGTCTCCTTCAACAAACGTTGCTGAACGAACTTCAGTGATCATGACAGCGTAGTTTGAGTAGCTGAGTACGAACCTGTCTCCGTTCTGACGTTCGTAATAAGCGAGGTGGTCGGCGGCGAGGTATAAACGACGTTCAAGCTGCTTATAAGCTTTTGTTCGATGTATGTCGTCCCTCCATCTTGCCCACTGGCAGTGCCAATGGCGGATACGTTTACGCTCGCTCCTTGAGTTGGAAGGTTTGCTTTGGCCCGGTATATTGTTACATCTGCTGAAACGTAGCTTCCTGAAGGAAAAATAAACTCCATCTCAGAAAGAATCCGGGACTGAGCTCACCAAGAACAAAGAAGAGAAGTGCCAGCGGTTGGAGGGGGTTCATCACTGCGTAAGTACCAAAGGAGCCTTGGTTCGCATTTTATATGAAGAATCCAGCAAGGATGGGGTCGGCATCATATCGGACGAAGTGTGAGCTAAATTGTGATGCAGTGCTGTGCCAAACAAGTACCAAAAGACAACCATTGAACCAAACATCCGCGTCTCTTCAAATCAAGCACGTTCCGCCGGGTTCTAACTCTCGCCTCCTCAACTACTAGCAAAAGAGAAATTTCTGACCATTGTCCGACGTGATCGATTTTAGTGGCTAATATCAGTTGCAAGCTCGGCCGAAAATATTAAGTAAGCTTAACTCCGCTTACAAGTCCGCACTCAGTGAGCTTGAGATGATTGTCCATGTCAATTCCCAACTTGTTCCCAACTACAACCATTGCGATTGACGCTTCTCCAAATTTTTTCGACTGTAAACCAATTTTCCAATACCTGGTACGTTTTCCAAGTTCGCATCGCGTCATTTGTTGTCTGATCAGGTCGTTCTTTTGTTAGGGCATGCGGTTAGCCATGAGGCTGGCATGGCCACTGCGCATCGCGACGAGCCACTCTCCAAACGTATATATATGTCCGTGAGTCCAGGGCCACACGAGTGGCTAACATACCAGACATCCATGCCGCTTCGCAAACCACCCCGTCGTTCCTACTCCACCAGGTCATGTCCGAGTAATGCGTCGTCTCAGCACCCCCCATTTCGCTGGTCGGAAGACCAAACTTCAAAGGGGCTTCTTATCAGGATAAGGCTACGCCTTGGCCTCAAGGACGCCACTGGCTTAAAGGAGGTTTCGCCACTTTCTCTCGTCCAGCACCTACCGTCCCCAATATTAGCCCCCGAGATATATAGAGCAATCGTCGACGCTCTTGATCCTCAAGTTGACTTGGACACCCTCCTCACACTTGCTCCCGTGTCAAAGGCCTTTTATTCGGAAGCAATCCGGGCCATCTATTTCGATGTTGGCGGCGACATCTCCATGTCCACAAAGCGTCACATCGGTTTCTTAAAGAGCGCAGGCGAGAGTCCAAAGCTCGCGCGTCTCGTCAAACGATACCAGTTCTCAATGTATGAGAGTGACAGAGGCATGGCCTCCACGGTTTTAAACCTCCTCCAGAGAACCCTTCCTAGATTGATCAACCTGATCCATTTCTCCTTCACCGGCAATGGGGTAACCCCCGCGGGGCGGATTCTCCCGTTCTCCAACTACCACATGAAGAGCTTCTACTGGCGAGGCGTTCCAGCCGACGAGAAGGAAGTGTCAGCGTTCCTCCTCTGTCAAGAGTCCATAACCAAGGTCGACACAACATGGCACGATACACCACTCCACGAGAACGCGCTCCCATACCTTGAGCAGCTTCGGGGGCCGGTGACCACCGTTATTGCCTTCCTCCGCCCCAGGGGCAAGGTCAGGGTGTTGCATTGGATACCTGGCACGGAGGACCATCGCATTATTCTGGCTTTGATTCGAACCACGCTTCCTGCGTTCTCGTCCATCCGAATACTCTCTTTTGGGGGTGACGCCGTTGATATCTTGTTGTCTGGGATGATGAAATACCTTCAGTCGGTGGAAATTCTGGAATTGATCAGCGCCAAGGTCATTTCTTCTGTTCACTCACACGGCACCCATGTTCTCATATTTTTTTTATCAAGGGTCTCGACCTTCCAGGTGACGCCTGGCGGATTCCAAATCTCAGCGTACTTGTTCTTTCCAAAATGCGTGGTTGTATCTGTTCGGTGGTGGGTACCAACCACTTGCAAATGGCCAAGACGATGTTTGAGAAGAACCGTATTTTGGATCGAATCGACATCGTGGTACGTAATCATGGTCAGATAACTCTTGGAGAGCGTGACCTTATGTATGAGCGTTGGTCGCGGTATTCTTTGGAATCTGCCATTGTCTCTGGGGCGGAGGCTCTGGCGTGGAAGTACTCATCATTTGCGAAATAGCTTGCAAGAGTAGATGACACGCCGATGATAGTATAGTTATTGTATGTAATATTAAATTTAAACAAGTCCGACAACGTCCGTCCGCATCAAGGTATCTATCTATCAATGAATGCGGTGGTATAAATAATGCAATCTGCGCGAGAATAAATCTAGTTACATAACATATTCCCTTAGTATTCCTGGTGAGAGGACAAGGATTCCAAGCGCACGCCGGCGTAGTCGCACAGGGGCCTGACGTTTTCAGATGCTCGACTTTGTCTCAGTCATTGAAGCCGCGACCCCGACTCGTGTGGGGTGTTTGATAAGTGATTTCGCATAGTTAGTTCAGAGTCGGTTATGGCTTCGCCCCCATTTTTTCTTCCTCTTCTAATTCTTTGGCGATGACGAGATCCTATGGTGAATTATGAGCATACCTCCAAGAGACACGCTAAAAAACGGGGCTTACAAAGCAAGGTGCAAAGCTGCTGCGGCCGCGAATCCATGCACCATACTTGTAAAAGAGGAAGGGCGCGGGGACGAACAGGAGGCCCAGGAGACCGACGAGGGTACATGCCCAATTGACGCCGAGCTGGATAGTAGGCGTAAGTTAAGGAAAGTCGCGTTCTAAAGGTGACGTACGTTTGTGAACATCTGGGTTGTAAAAAGGGGGAAAGCGGCCGCGATGGCAGATCGGACCATGGTGTTGGCGGCGAAAGCGGAGGCGCTGTATTGTCTAGATGCGAGTTCAACAGGATATCGATGAGATGGGAGGTGGACTTACAGATATGTATCGACCAAGAAGCTCTGTAAAAGGGTGATGGTCGGTCAGCGATGAGCAAGTTGAAAAAGAAGGAAGGAAACTGACGAGGAAAGACACGAAGATCAAAGCGATCGCAGCGCCAATAGCAATAGTGCTGAGACCTGGGACGTACCAGGGGACAGAGGCATACTGCCCAGTCCAGCCTAGCCAGAAGATGCCGATGACCAAGAGTGAGCTTCCCAGCATGGCGCCATAGAGCCGCTCCTCCGGAGGCGGAAAACCTTTCCATCTTTTGATGAGCTGAGGGTAGTGTCGAGAGAAGACCCAGTTAAGGAATGCGCCTATGGTAGTTCCAATACCGATACCGATGAACATCAGACCATCATGGCCGGTAGTGAAGTGGCGAATCGTAATGAATATAATGGGGAAGGCTTGGAAGACTGCCGAAGATAGTCAGTAATGAACTCCGAACGGAAAGGCAGGAAAGACACACGAGCATAGAGGAGGCCGTAAACAATGGATAGATATATTGTAATGAGGAAGAGAATGGGCTCCATGAAGAGCATCTCAAACGGACGAAAAAGGGTTCGCTTAATGACACCCCAAATCGACCAGTCCTGGTTCTCATGCTCTGCGTACAAGTCCTTGTACTTGACAGGATCTTGCTTGCGCAACCGCTTGGCCTTCTTGAGAAGAATAACTGGGGCGTATGTTTCTGGGAGAGTTGGAATCATGATGGCGGTACAGACACCAGCGAATATCATCATGACCCAGAAGATCCATCGCCACGAAGCGTGACTTTGGACAATGCTGATAAATGACGTCAGCGTCAAGAGTTTTAAAATGGGTTATCGGGGGACGTACAACCCAGCGACGATAGGACCCAAGACCGGGCCAAGGAAAACACTGGCAGTGAACATACTCATTGCCGGACCTCTTCCCGCAGCTGACCAGATATCAGCGACAACGCCTGACCGTGCCAAGATCAATGCGACGTTCTAATAGATATCAAGAGGGACACTTACCACCACAGTTCGTCACCGGTGCGACAGCAAAAAAGCCTACGAAAAATCGAGTGACGAGGAGGGTTTGCATGTTCTTCGCGAGCCCTTGCCCGAGATGGAACAGGGTATACAAAGTCATAGTGATGATGAAGATAGGTCTTCTCCCAACGAGCTCACTCCCCGGTCCCCAGAACATAGGCTGGATGAGTGATTATTAAGGTTAGGTGTTTTTAGAGCCTGAATGAGAATCGCACGTACGCCGAACACGTAACCGAGCAGAAAAACAGTTGTGACGAGGTAAGATACCTCCTTGGAGGTATGAAACTCCTGCATGATTCGAGGCGCAGCGGAGGACGGTGCTGAGGATGCGAAGGTTCTACGTCACAAGTTTATCAGCCTATGAAAGTGTAAAAGAAAGCAGGACTCACACGTTGACCGTCATTATAATACAGACCACCGTGATCATCCATTTCCTTCGTATCGACCAATTTTGAGGATTATGTGGATCGTCCGGGCCATCCCAATTCGCCATGTTGGGGTCTCGCTCAGGTGGGGGCAGTAAAGAGGGTACGCCCCCCAAAGGGGACTTCGGACGGGGTTCACGTGGATCATCCCCGCCATATCGTTCGATGTCCTCCTCTTCCCTTGCGAGTTTTTCGTCTAGGGGCGATCCGACGCTTGGAGGTCGCGATTTGGAGGTGTCTTGGCGCGATGGATCGATGACAGTGAAGGAAGACCGAGGGGTGTTTTGCACGCGCGTGTTCTCCGCGGTGGGTTGGTCAACGGACTGCGACATTGGATTGGTAAACGGGCGACGATGGAAATTATTGAGATCTTGTAAGTTTATGTATCCTCAAGATCCTCGGCTTGTTACTTTACCCGGCCTTCCGGAGAAGACAGTCACCTTTCTTCAAATCTCCAACGATTTTTGAGATTATAAATGATCGACCGGTGACCGACCACACGGAGTTTTGGAGCATGCCCATGCGCGTAATCATTCTTCAGTCAAATTAGGGCTGCGCAAAATTTATGTAGTTGGGGTGAAACACTCACATTTTAGACGCTTATAGGACAATTCAAAGCTTTTCATACACGAAGAACCTCGCAGCGGAGGTCGAGGGAGTTGAAGAAAGGCAAAAATTTGACTGACGTGATTTGTCAAGTCGACCAAAGTTCGACACAGCCACTCTGCAAATCTTTCTAGAATATCGACATAATAATCTTCCTCTAGATCTTTGATGCGAACGCAGCAGTGGTCTCCCGCGGATCTAAAACACACACATATAGGTCGGTCAGTACTCAGTAATCAATAAATTTTCTTGACGTCAGTACCAAAAATATGAACTACTGTGTCATGAAAAATGTTGTCAACGGCGCCGTTTCCGTAGGGCAATAAATAAGCAATACATACATACCCAAGCGCAATGGAACCATCGACGCTGACTCAGACGTGAGTCTGAATAGGTTGTTGGAGCCCAAAGACAGAAGCCCTTTTTACTTAGTCCTAACCAAGTCCTAACATACGGCAACCGAAAGGGCCCTGGAAGTACTTAGTCTCTCCTAGACAGACTTCGATATATGTGAAGTCGTACCTTGGTTCACGATATATGAAAGTGATAAAAATCTGATCATGTAGTAAGTCCTTTCAAAGAAGTCGGCCGGGGCTTCAGGCAAAGAATGAACAAAACCCTGTAAAATGACGCTCGTACCAACAAAAGAACGTCTGAGGGACTTGGAGGATTGCGGGCTAATAATATGACGTCGGTCAAACGTCGGTTGGTTCAAAATATAGATTTGAAATCTCTTTGGTAAAAATTTGAACGCAATCACATTGTAGAATCGCATTCACCTAATTATAAAGGTGGGTGGTAACAGTAAGTACATGTGATTAGTGATGGCGGATGGCACGGGAACCTGCAGGAAGAAGGTTAATATTTATTGGAGTTTCATATAAAGAAAAGGAAACATTAGTCACATCGAATTCATTTTTGCCAAGGTTGGTTCAGTTGTAAGAAGGAGTTGAAGCGAAGGGTGTGCATTGATCGATATTGAACTGAAAGTAAGTTGTAACTCCGACTCAACGTCGGATTGAGCCGCTGCCAAGTTGGCTGCACCGTTTCTGCGGCACGAAGCACTTCACAAGTTCATGATATCGATTCAGTCAATCATGCTTCGGTCTTGGAGAAACTTTCCGCGTCTCTAGTAGTACATAGTAAGCTTCATCTTTCTTTTCTACTCGTTGATATTGATCGGAGTCATATACCAAAAGTCCTGGTTCGCGGTGTTCGCAGGAATACTTATCGTTATCACGACGCCTCCAACCTTACCATCATCATTCCCGACGTTGACGGGTGTTTTGTTAGGGAAGTCATCAATGCATCAACACGTACTCTCAGGAGCATCTGCGGCAGCAACTCAAGTACACCTTCGCTCACATGGAGCTTTAAGCTACTGATGGGCATTATAATTTATGGGTTTTTTGCATAAATACCCCCTTCAAACACCGATGTCGCTGGCCCACGAGTCATTATGAAGTCCTTACCAAACGTCCTCTCAACACTCATCTGCTTCTTTCTTCTCCTTGGTGTGTTCTGCTACACAGTTTCACCGGTACCATTGTAGTCTAACATTTCCCTCTGATCATGACAGCCAGAGCGGATGTGACGCTGTACACGGTTGAAACGGCCTCAACCAACTATACCTCCCCACTGGGAACCCCGACTATCGCTCCCATTGGGGTCGGAAAAGACGGGGCGACCACGTATGCTCAACAAGTTCTCTACAGCAGCGTTGAGGTTGTGTACAGCACCCCTCCAGTGACTACAACCCTCACCGACGTCAGAACTGCTACAGGTAAGAAACTTCCCCTCACCGCTCTCCCTCAATGACTAACACTGCACACCTTGTCTAGAAACATTCGTTGAAGCTGCGTCATATATCTTCGTCAGCTACGCGGACGGCTCCAATGGAAACAACCCTCAGTTCAACGGGTACGAGTCGAACTGCACAATTTCGTCGGAAAACAAGACGGCGGCTTGCGTGCAAGTTATCAAGGATATCATCAACCAGACCACCACGACGTTCACTACGGCAGTGACGTCCAGCTACACAGGGAGGCTGGTCCCGGTTGCAACCCTCACTGGGACCTTGACGCCGCCGAAAAGCGGTGCGAGTGGGCGTGGAGAGTGGTCCATTGCTACTTTCATTTTTGTGCTGGTTGCTGCTGCTGGGATGGGGTTGGTGATTTAGACTTTCTTGCTCCCGCCTTGTCGGTCGTTGGAATCCTTTGCTTTCTTGCCCCCCGTGGTTGCCCGGTTTCGGCTCTGTGACTCTCCTCTCCAACGATCGATTTGTACAATGATCCATGACTCCACCTGACCAAGTTCTTCCGAGTGCCTTTTTCAGCTGGCGTACTCCCGTGCTTCCAAGGTTTGCGGGGGATATTCTGCTACTATTGGTAGTATATAGACTTGAAATCGACACCTTCCACTGTAAAAGGGGCTCTTGCGAGGTCCCATTCAAATCGTTAGTGTTCAGGGCTGTAACCATAACCCTAGTGGCTGTACATGAACACCTGCACGTCACCAGCACCTCCCCAGTGACTCCTCAGCCTCTCCTGCCCCTTCTCCTACCCGCATTAACAGTTCAAACTGCTTCAAATGTTGCCAGACACTTGAACGTTACCCAATTCTCACCTCGAACTGCCCGAAATCATCTAGAAGCACCACGAAATGTCCCATGACACCCACAAGGCCGATCAGATAGCATTTCACTTTTATACGAAGCTTTTCTACGTTCTGAATGATGCTAGGGCGACTTCTGAGCCCAGAACTCAGCCAAAGGTTGATAAATGGGTGCGTGCGTTTGTGTTGTGCTACGGTGTGCTGTGTTCAAGACCCGCCTAGTTCAACCTTGAAACACCAGACTCGGATCTCTTTACAAAGGAGGCACGAGAGCCCTACCGCAATATATCTCTTTCAACACCCCCAGGTCCTCCACCACTCGAAATACAGGTCCTACTGTCGATACCCGAGTTCACCAACAACAAAGTTCTCGTCTATATCTCACCCGACTCTTCTCGGATTCGAATTGAGCCCACTCCACGGTTCATACTTTTGGAATCATGGACATTGGCGTTTACCGCCCATTCAGAGGGCGACGATGATGGCGTCGACGTCGCTTTGCCCACCATATACAAGCACGGTATACCCCTCTTCCGCAGTCTCTTCAGCTTGCTGAGGGTCTTGCCCACCTGGAAGCTGTATAAGCGCCTAAAGAGACGCACAGGTGGCATTGTTAGGAACGGTCACCTGGGCATCCAGCTGCGTGTCCGGGCGAGCTCGGAATCCGAGTACGACGATACTCAGATCATGTCATTCAGTAAGTCGTGCTTCTGCGCAGATAATTCCAAATTAAAACGTCATCCAGATACGCGTCGCCTGCCATCTGCACTCCCAACGCAATCCTACACCTTCTCCGCAGTGCCCCACCCCCTTGGCTCACTCACACTCTCCACTGTTTACCTTGAAACACCCAACTTTCAGCTCGACGAGCTCGAGTCCCTCCTCTCCTCACGCTTCATCTCCCTCGACCTTGGCTTTGTGCCAACACTCACCAAGAACCACCAACGCGACTCTATCACGGGTTCCCTCCCCAGCAGCAGTGGCATCCCCTCACGCTCACCCCCCAAGCCAATCGCAGAAGGAGGAATAGACAGGTTCATCCTCCCTGCCCTCGGGTCCAGCACCAGTTTGCCGCGGAACACCGCAATACCCATGCGGACCAGCTTGTCCACGTCAAGCAACCCCCACGCACTCCCACCGCCGTCCGGGCTCGCGGTTACCCGTCTACGTAGGGAGAGCCTGAACTCTTCCTCATCCTCCGACCTCCCATCCATACCCTACCCTAACCCCTCACTGTCATCCCTATCATCTTCCCCATCCTCAGGGCCTCTCCCCATCAGACGGCCCAACATCAATCCTGTGCACCCATTCAAGTCAAACACGATTTCTTCTGCATCAGGCTCCTCGCCGTCTCTTTCCATCAGGCAAGGCGTCGTTGGTGGAGGATCTCCGCTCTCATCGTCTGGCCACACGCGACAAACGTCGTCTCCTGCCCCTCGTCTCCCTCCCTCCCCAATCGGAGGCGCGTTTGCGTTTGGAACGAATAAGCCGTCTCCGTCGAGTTTAGGCGATAAGCGGAGTACGAGTAGGAGTGGGAGTGTGGGCGACAGAGACCGGACGAGGAGCATGACTGGGTCTGGGGAGGGTGAGGATCGCCCCTTCCCTCCGAGGAAGAGGTACTCTAGCAGTTTTGGGCATCGATATGTCGGGAGTGTGGGGAGCGTGAGTACTGGGGGTGCCGATGGGAATGGAAGTGGGAGTGGGAGGAGTACGCCGGCTGGTGCTGGTGGTTTGGCGTCCGAGTTGATGCAGAGGGAGAGAACGCACAGTGCGGTTGGTGTGAGTGTTTTTCATTTTATTGGGTTGCTTTTCCGTGCTAATTTGTTCCTTCCCAGAGTGTAACGTCGTTTTTGAGCAACACGACGGACGATGATGATATTTCGACGTTTGTGCAAGACATTGACTCGCGTAAACCTCTCAGCGGGCGAGACAAGGAACGGGAGAAGGATAAGGAGTCGCGACGTGCCCCAGATACGCAAACACAGGGTGGTGCTGCGGATGCGAAAGGCAAAGAACGGGAGAGGCCGAGAGAAGTTCCAATGAGGAAGGGAAGCTCGACTGGGAGCTCGACAGTCAGAGCATGGTCGGGCCATTCCAATGACCCGGATTCGCCCTCAACGAGCGGTTTCACACCAGAAAGAAGGGGTTCGACTTCTCCTCCGAGATCTGCATCACCCACGTCCGTCGCTGCCTTGACGTCTGTGTCTCCTGGACGTGGGCCCATGTTGACGAGCCAAGGAGAGGTTGACGAGAGGTTGAAGAAGATGAATGAGACGTTTATGAAGAGTCTCGAGGGATTCAGTGGAAGCTCGAGAAGGAAGGATAGGAAGAGGGTACAAGACGATGCTAACGAACAGCAGCAGCAGCTACAACACAGACGGGCAAACACAGTCCATGAACCTACGTCTTCCAGAGGTGGGACTATCGCTATTGCTGGGCGAGGATTAGGGCTGGGAAGAGCGCATGATGTGGATTCGGTACACTTCAGAAGCAGAAGAAGTCCGAGTCCTAGCAGCGCTTATTCTCCTGGACGGGGGAGGGGGCGGGATGGATCTTTGAGTCGTAGCACGGGGTCTGAGGAGGTTATGGGCAAGATGGAGCTGTATGAGGAACGAAGGCGGAGTGGGTATCAGTCGTAGCTACGACGGTGGGGCGTTGTAGCTGTGACAATGGGTGCGTCTCTGAGATGGCCATTGATGGAGCGGGCGCCAGGCTGACCCTTTTGAGGTCTCTTTTCCCGATGCGGGCAAATATGTTGCATGTTAGATATTGGTATGATGTATTGTATTACCAGTATGTTTCCTTCGGATTTACATTTTACGACGAAGATGGACAGAATGAGTATATATTACATATGTGGGGCTTGCCAGCCAGCGCCTTGTAAGCTGTATCTCCAAACTAGATTTCTGCGAGACGTTTCTCGACATATGTTCTCCACATCACTAAACCATTAATACATAAAGCGAAGTCGAAATGATGATACATGCCGTTGCGCAAAGGCTTATGAGGTGTAACATGGGGGCTCCGAGGAGGGCAGTGGCTCCGCTTGTCGCACTTGACGTCGGCAGGGGATGAGTTGAAGTAATCGTGAAAATGGGCACAACCGTCCCACTAACAGTGGTCGTGGATGGCGTGGCGGTTTGGGACGGTGAAGCCGTGTTGTAGACGATTACACACGTCCCCAACTCGTCCGAACCGAAAGTGCAATTCTCCTTCACATACCCATCTTGTCCAGACACCGTTTGTTGTATGCCAGAAGGACCAGCGACGGTGTTACTATGTAAGAAGATCATCATAACTTAGTACGTTAAGAGGAAAATCAAAACTGACCATATCCAGTGTCGAGTTTTGAGATGACCGTCGAAGTGGAGGTTGGATTGGTGACGACGACGAGGCTGTAGATGATCTCTTCAACTACCGTTGTCGCGCCTTCTGTGTTCACGCCTCCGATGTAGAAATTGGTAGTTGCGGAGACGATGGGCGTATAAACACTTGAGGTTGTCGTTGGCATTTCTAAGGCTGAAATACCGTAGATTGTGATTTGAGAATGTGCTACGTCGACTGTCGTCAAGTTGGCCCTCCAGTCTTCAAAATTTACAGTGAATTTTTTACCAAGTTCAGCGAGGAGGATCACCAACAGTGCCCAGAGATTCCAAACGGCCGTCATTTTAGCGGCCAGTACGCCAACAATGTCGAAGGAAGAAGCCAATGGTGTTGTGTTGAGGAAGTGATGGTAGAAGCGCTCGATAGCTGATCATTGGAGATAAGAAATGAACGTTGAACGAGCGCTGTGACATAAGTATAGCACAAGTTGAATACAAGGACATGCCTCACCGCCAAAGCTTACGCCCGTTTTCATAACGATAAGTATCAATATGGGAACAATTCCAAACAACCCGACGGTTACCCTGGTGGATGAATGTTTGAATGCTCATATACGACTTCCAAAACTCATCACAAAGCAATCATCATTCAGACACGATTACTACAACACAAGGGATTAATCAATTACACAGCGGACTTTAACGAAAACGCAATAATTAGCACAAGTGCATTTCGAAAAGTGATCCTACTCACAGTGGTAGCATTGGCGGCAGTTGACTCATCCAACTTGTGCTTGTGGAGTCTGAGGAGTTTGTGTTTGCGGTGCTTGCGCGCATTCTTTCCGTGCTTCCCGTTCTTCCTGTGCTTCCTATGCTTGCGCTAATCCAAAACAAGTCAGATGATTATCAGATCCCCGTGTGACACTATATACGTACGTGCTTCTTCTTGGGGGTACCTGACGCCGACGCGGATGGGGTAGCGGGTTCCGGGTCACTTGTGGAATTGGCCTTCAAGTTGGAGGGCGTGGTCTCCTCGACTTTGGTGGCGTGCTGGTTGCGGGATTTATCAATGGCTCGTTTTTTTCGTTAGGAATCACAACGTACCTTCTTCTTTCCGAGTCCGAAGAGAGAGAAAGGCTCGGGCTCTCGGGCGGCCAGAGCAGGAGAGGCCTCAGTTGAGACGGTGGTGGGAGGAGCAGGGTTCTCTTGGGGAATCAGAGCTGCTTTCTTGGCACCCTTGCGGCCGTGCTAGATATGCGAGCATCAGTTATCTGAACCAAAGATATTATTTGAAAAGACGTACGCGGCCCTTGCCGTGCTTGCGGTGCCTCCTTCCCCCCTTGCGGTTGCGGTGTCCTCCATGACCATGGCGGAAGCCCTTCCCTTTGTGATGACGGTGCTGTTGGACAATGAATAACCTTCCAAAGATAATCTCTGTAAAAGCATACCTTGCGGCCGCCGGTGGCGAGAGAAGCTCCAGGAGCACCAGCGCCGGGACTCTCTGGGGTGGGGGTCGTTTCCGTTGGGGTCGTGCTCTCTTGGCGAGCAACGAGCTCATCTTCCCAGTCGAAGTCACGCGCGTCAAGGTCTTCGGTCTCAAACATGCGGGTCTCGAGATCGAAAGACTCGTCACGCTCAGCAAGGTCGGTGTATGAATCCTGCAACGATGGTTAAGACAGTGTGACTAATGGGCATGAAGGAGAAGAACTTGCCATGGGAAGGGCCATAGCTGTGGCGCCGAGGGCGAGAGCAATCAAAGCAAAGCTGGTTGAGGAACGCATGATTTATCGTAGATCGTAATAAGTTGAGTGGAATGAATGAGAAAGGGTCCGGCCCTAGTTGTCTACAACAAGGAGTAAGTACCAGAACATTCAATTGAACCCAGTGCGCTCACCGTTTGTGAGTTGTGAGGATGAGGAGGATGCACCAGGCACTCTGCAGAATCGAAAGTGGGGCTCATGGCCTTTATATCTTCGCCCGCACTGCCTCGAGGCGTTAAAATTACATGACAATTTTGAATTCGCCGATCTGTTGGCCGATAAGCCCACCCGGTCATATCCGTCCGAAACTGATGGTTTATCCTGGAAACGCTCCACAAACTTGTCGACTGGGGCTGTGACGGGCTGTCCGCAGGTGCACAGATTCCAGCGCCCAGACATAAGGCGTTTACACATTACGCACACGCAGTGAGTGTGGTCGTTCTTGGCTGGCGAAATGCTGCGAAGTGGTGTTATCGGAAGTCCGCCGAGGACCTCGTGAATAGTACTCGTGTCGATCGACTAAGCTCCCTGTCGTCGATATATAATTGATGCTCCTGCAATCGGAAGTACACACGTACATACGTACAAATCAGATAATAATCTCTCTTGTAATTGTCGCAGGTGCCGGAGTGATTAAAAACCTCGCAGATACTGAAATGAATCGCCAAAGTTACTAAATACTAACTGATCACGGAACTCACCTAATTACCAAAACCCAGAAGCATCTCATATAATGCTGGATGGAGTAAATGTGCTGCTCTCCGCTGGACCAACGCATACCGGCAATCATGGAGGAAGGCGAGGCGCAGTATCAATAATATTAATAGACATTCTCGCTAGTGCTGGGTTAGATTGATATCGGCCGGTGTTAGTAACGTTAGATTGGTTTGGGCCCCTGCGCGAGGTTAGATACTTGTGTTAGTAACTGTGAGATACCCCCGTGGGAATATTTTTTCCACACAGTTAATAACGTGTTAATAACATAAATATGGGGTATCTAACATGTTAGAAACATGGTGTGTGTATGTCCATGGTTATTCAATAGGGGAGGAGGGAGCAAATTTATCGTTGTGTTGAGACTATGCTGCTAATATATGTTGAGAGTCAGAAGTTTTTTAGGGGCTGTGCACACCTGTGGCCAAGCAGTGGTCAACCAGCTGCCAACCAGCACAAAAATCAAGCCAATAACCTGACTCTTTAGCAGAATTCCCTCCCTTTTCAAAAAATCAGGCAAGCCTAACAGTGGACCCTCAAGGTGTGTCGCACAAAAACTACTATTGCCCCCCATACTGATATAGGGTATATCACAGTATATCACATCGCATTTTGGAGCCCCCCTTGTTAGATATGTTACTTACATGTTACTAACGTGTGATATACCCCCATGTTACTAACATCCAAGTAACAAACCCTGCACTAATTCTCGCTGCTGAGGAAGGTATTATTCTTATCAGGAGAATTCCAAAGATATATGGGCCTACCAAGGGCCTACGGCGCGCCGCGTGTGCGCCAAAGCGTTTGGACTGGGTTTGCAAATTTGATCGACGAGCATGCATATGCAATCAAGGGTCACAGTCTCATCTGTCACAATCACAATTTGCCCAACAACCGACATCGATATCGAGTGCTCAGCTTACCGTGTGGAAACACCTTATAGTTCCACCTTCATTTCAGCGAGAGGCGCGTGTCCACTATGAATCTGAATCCAACATCATCGCCCACCACAGGCATATCCACGATCTCCACATTGCCCGACGAGATTCTCCAATTAATAGTCGACGACCTTGACAACCTCTCAACTTGCCAACTGAGCATCACCTGCAGAAGACTCCATTTTTTTGCCCTACAGATATTTTTTGAACGCAATGGTCTAGGGAGTCTTGGGGAAGGAGTTTTTTCGTGCTCGAATCCTCCCAGGGAGGCGATTCAAGCTGCGAGGGTCGCTTTGTTCGTTCAAAACCTATTCGTCATCGACTTTTGCTTCAGCGAGGATTTATCTCGGCTTTTTTCGGACTCTATCAGCTTGCGACGCCTGATATCCCGTGTCTCTCCAACCAAGCGCGTTACATTGCGTTTTAAAGACACCTTCACCCAGGGAAATATTGACGTTCATGGATGGGAAAAAGAATTTACTAGTCTATTGGACACGATTATGGAACAACCATGCGAGGCCCTGGAAGTGATGGGAGGGAACAGTCTTCCTGGATTTTATGCACCAACCAACGTAAGATTTCCACTCATTGGCCTGAACACCTTTGACGTCAATCAGAACGCGAGAATGCTCACTCCATACCGACCGCCGGCGAATGTTGACAATACACATAAGATTTCCTTCCACTCAGCCATTCTCTTTACTTCGCCCTTTGTTTTCTGGACCACCGCTACTCTACAGGCTCGATCCAATTCAATCACTACGCTTTCATTGGTGTTTGCAGGGATCTCCTGGCACATCTGGTGCGGAATTGTAGCACTGAAATTTGACAACCTCCAGACGCTGCAACTCCGTTTCACGGACAACCCGGGAGAACGCTCATATTCTGCAAACCTACTCAAATTTCTTTCACGTCATCCAACAATCACTTGTCTGACCCTTTCTCGCGATTTCGTCCCACCCCCTCCCCCCCTCAATGCGACGATCCTCCCTCTTTTATCGAAGCTTACAGCACATGCGACTTGCGTTGTGTGGCTTATGAGTGGGCCCAAGAATTCATATCCACAACTCAAGTCGGTGGAAGTCACCTCCGAACAGCTGCATCGAGGATATTATGTCCCTTACACGGCCTTTCAGGTTGACGGGGCTCTCAAATCACTCGCCTCCGATCCCCATGACCGGACAATCATTCTCAGCTTCTTTTCTCGAGAAGGTTTGAAAGTATGGTTTCAAAAACACATCGACAGAGGCGACGCTTCTCTCCTCGCGTCCCTTCACAACCTCAAGCGCCTGGGGTTGAAATTCAATCCGTGCGATATTTTCAAAGAGAACCCCACAGATATATTCCCGCGCTGGCTTGCTTTGTTTCCTGGGCTCGAGCAAGTTGTTTTTCAGGACGATTTGCAGGCGCTCAGTGAGGTTCCAAAGATGGAGGAGTTTGTCACTTCTGTGATCCGCGGGAGTCCTGCTTTGAAGAGCGTCGCTCTAGGAACCTCTGTGGCGGCTTTGAGAGGGGACGACGATGTTATCCACATTTCCCGCTCTCACAACGATGTACAAATCGCGTGGCGGGGCTTCTAAATCAATACTTGAATTTATTTACATAGCGTTTGACCCTCGTCCCCTTCTCCTTTGTAAACAATATTTTTGATTAGGCGGTGATCTTTTCTTTTTTTAAAAAAAGTTTATTTCCTCTTTCGTGCCACCATCACCGTCATCGTCGGACAATCACCCCCAAGCCTCGAAAACAACCACGGAAAGCACTTCAAGAATCAAGATAACAAAGCGACATACTATCGCTCCATTCACTAAAACTCGGTCGCAATGAGTCGAAACATTATGCCAACTGCCAGTGTCCACCCAAAACAGCCATGCAAAGCGACCAACCAAATAGATTCACCATATGCATCCAATCTCCACACCAATTATACCCCTACGGAATCAGAAATTCCCCAAATCAAGGAGTTTTTGACCGATCCGCTCAAACGTTTATCTAGCCTTGACGCTGAGATCGAAAGGGTACAATCAATTCTTGATGAGCTACGGCACGAGCGTTGTGCTCTAAGTGATGAGATCGAGGCTCATCGAGCGCTGATCTCTCCTATTCGCCGAATCCCCTTCGACGTGCTCGGGGAGATCTTCGTTCATTGTCTCCCTGATGGTCGCAATGCCGTCATGAGCTCTCGGGAAGCTCCGATTTTGCTGGGTCGCATCTGTAGCGCGTGGAGGTCTATCGCACTGTCAACCCCGCGGCTTTGGGCGAGCCTTCACATACCGACACCTATGGAGATCTCTGAAACTGGGCAAGTCCTTGCTCAGCCAGAACCCACATTTATTGCCAAGATGGAGAGGCGCTGCGAGGGGGCACGGGAATGGATCGGCCGTTCAAGAGAGAGCCCCATCTCCATCTCCATCTGCATTCCAACGCACGTCTATTCTTACGAATTGCAACCCTCGAGCATGAAGACTTTTGAGGTTGCAGTAGCGCAGATACTCGCTTCCAGCCACCGATGGAGAAAAGTCGATTTTAGGGCAACGAAAGACTCATTTACTCGTCTCCAACAGCTCGCAGAGGATGCTGTACCACTGCTAGAATCTCTGGTGATCGCCGGCGGGTCTCTGCGAGCATGGGATCCGCTCGCATCAGATTCGAGTGGGCGCTGGACGAAATTCTCAGGTCTTCTGTCAGCTAGGAAGTTGCGGAAGCTTTCCTTATCGTATCTCAAAGAGGACCTCCTCTCATTGCCAGTGCGTTGGTCGCAGTTAACTCACCTCAATTTGGACCTCGACATCCCAGCCAAATTCGGAAGGACTTCGAGGGGTCTCAGGTATAGCGATATTATCAAAGTGTTGAGGAGATGCCCACTGCTTGTGAGCTGTGGCTTGAGTCTGGAAAGCACAGCATTTGACGTCCTCCTACAACCCGATCACGAATTGCCCCTAGCCGAATACACCCTGACACTCCCCCTTCTGGAGAACCTTCTTCTCAACCTCAGCGGCAGATGGGATGAGTGTCATTTAAAGCATCTCGATCTTCCTAGACTCCGTCATTTCGAGATTAAATTTCAGGAAACGTTCTCCGGCAGTCAGGCGAGTCGGCCCTCATGGGTACCCTTCCTTTCGCGTAATGGTAACTCTGTGAAGCAATTGATTATAGATATCCCTTCATTGACTCGGGATGAACTTATTGGTTTCCTCGAATCGGTGCCACTCCTTATCCACCTCCATGTCAGCAGCGCCTCCAGTTCTTCATCTGTCGTCGATCCCGAAGTCATTGATCGCCTCACTGGCACTCCTTCCGCCGAAAATCCCGATTGTCTGTGCCCTCTGCTTGAAGAACTTCAATGCAACGGGACACATTGCGCAAGTTTTTCCGAATCCCAATTGTTGTCTTTGGTGCAAAAGCGGAGTGATACTGAAAAGGGTGGACTGCTGAAACGAGTAGACGTCACGTTCCATGATCGCCGCGAGCCAAAGAACTTCGATAAATTCCTTGATTCGCTTATTGGGAGCGGGATGAAAGTTTCTCAGCGGAACCAAAGCGGAACTTCAAGGCAGGCGCCGTCATTCACCCTGAATCGAACAACATCAAGCTATCTACTGTTATAAATATCAAATACGCAGAGTGGCCGTTCCCCTTCGGACGGTCAGGATCTGGAGGGGACTCCAGGTTCGAGGTATTTTAATTTTAATTAGTATTAGTTTTATTTACAAAAGACGGTGAGCCAAGAGGTCAAAAATGAATTATTGAACGAATTGCAATTTTCCTTGTCTAGAATCGAGGCGGCGTCTACCAACAAAGACATACATTCATATTACAACAAGTCGTTCCGATATCGGCCGTTGAAAATCATATTACAGTAAGTTGCCAATTGGCAGGGGCTGAAACAAAGAAGGTTTTCCATCCTCGAGATCCTTTGTCTGGGAGTCGAACCCAGCTCTCACCCCATGCCACGGATTCATTTTACATATGCAGGCGCGTACTTGCCGATGTATGTACTAACAAAGACATATTCATCAACAAGTCAAGCGCGTTCTTGACGAAAACCGAATAATCGGGGGAGAGCATCCAAATGAAGCAACGAACCTTTTCAAGAGAGGGGGTGTGATGAAGCTCAGAGATTGCACAATTCCAAAAAAAAATCCCATGGCATACGATGTCAGTTTTCGTTTGGGATTCGAACCCAGTTTTGGTCCCCCACGGTGAAGATCGTCTCGGTTCGGAGGTGTGCTTACCACTGAACTAACAAAGGTATGTTTTGTACTTGGTCAAGCGCGTTGTTGACGAAGAATCCGTTGCAGCGAAATAGGTATGAGAAAAAAAGAAATTGGCTTGAATGGATAGTATAACTGAAGTAGTCTTCGTCTGAGGGCGGACTCGGTGTAATTAGACATACATAGAGATAAGTTTGTCTTCGCTACTAGAAGAAAAATCTGCCGACTATGCTGGATGTATTCAAGAATCAAACTCCCTTCTTGGATAGACCCACACGCCTAATAATCCATACCGGAATCATCATCATCATCCCCTTCCTCTCCCTCATCCTGCTGCATTGCGATGGACGCCTGAAGTGACCTTAACAAAGCCACATCACCAGGAGCCATCGACCCAAAACCACCTCCAAACGCAGGCCCACCCAAAATGCCACCCGCCGCACCCAGAAAACCCCCCATCTTCCTCTTCACGAGCCCAAACTCCAAATCGTTGGCGCATTTTGGTAACCGCCTGAAACTATCGTCTGTCTCATTTTCATCTTCGTACAACTCCTCGAACGTCCCATCAATCAAACTCGAGGCCTCCTCTGTGCTATTGACTAGCGCATCGATTGCGTATTCCACTTTACCGCCTTTTCCAAAGTAGAAGGCCGCGCTCGTGTCTCGATACGCCAAGGCTTGAACGTCTGAGATGGTGGGTGCTTTGTTGACATCGCGGAGAATGATGTTGAGAGCCTTGAACAAGTTTATGAAACCGAAGTAAAATGTCTTGGTCATGTTCGCCCGAACATGCTCTGGGATGCTATCAAACTGGGGCGGGAGTAGGTCGTCCAACAGCTCCCCTACACGGAAGAGGGGGGCGCAGTCTCGCATGACGTCGGAGCAAAGCGCAGATTCATCTACGCCAACTCAGCTTGATTTTGTGTTTCATGGAAAAAACTCACAATCAAGCCGGAATCTCATTCTTGGGGATAACCACCCATCCGTACACTGATCACACGTGCACCCCCATTTCTTTTTTTCAGCATAGGTTTCGTCGCTCATCCCCTCAGGAAACACCCCCAGCGCGCGTGTCAGCATAGCCTGCACCGCTAGCTGCTCACCCGAGTACCCGTCCCACTGCTGCAGCAGCGTTTCCGAGAACTCACGCTCCGAGCGCATGGTCTCGTCGATCCTCTCAAGCGGCGTCATGCCTTCCTTATTCGCATAGTTGTTCAAATCAGATGCAGCGCCCAATTCGAGCAGGGTGCTAACGGCGGGGGCGTTTCCCTGCGCTGCGGCTAAATAGAGCAGAGTGAACCCGTCTTGGTCCTGTTTGTGGATCAAGTTTGAATCAACAGCGTGGAAGGATCTGATGGCATTGGGGACTTCCGAGCGGGGGAGGTTGATGAGAGCGAAGTGTAGAGGAAATGCTTGAGCCTGGTCGGTCGCTGAGGCTGGACCAACCGATTGAGTGAAGAGGGCTTCTGCACTTTCTGGATCTGCGTCTGCGGAAACGCTGCGTGAAGGATGCGAGGGGTTTGGAGAGTAGCCGAAGAAGGATGTTCGGCCGATCCTGCGGAAATGATTCTACGAAAAGGTGTCAACATAGTCGCTTGTACGTATCACAGATGGTAGAATCTCACCTTGCGGAGGAACGAGATCTGTCGATTCTGGATTGCCTTCCACTCTTCTTGCGAGGGAGGCTGGTTGCTGGGAGTGGGCCAACAGATAACGGTATCGGAAGGTCCAACATGGTGGGATGTCAAGAATTGTTTCAAAATCCAAGACCCCACCCCTTTGCCCCTGTACTTTGGCAAGGTCAGATGAGGCAATAAAGCAAGATAAATTGGAACGTACAGGGTCGTTGACGTTGATATCCTTGATATAAATGAGTTCTCCAGTGTTTAACTCCTCGCCCCAACACCCCGTGCCACTACGGTGACCCTCACTGATCAAGAAAGGTTTGACCTTACCGAACTTGTCGAAGAGAGCAACAGAGAACTGATGCATCTCGTCGCTCTCTTCGTCCATGACGTCGAGGAATTGGCCTTTGCAAAATCTCCGCAAGATTTTTACGGCCTCTATGGATGCCACGGGGCCATGATGGGCAGGATGCGTGGCCATTACTGTGATGATTTTGAGAGTCTGGGGATTCTCGTCGTCGTCCTGAACGTTGAAAGAGACATGGCAGTCATTTGGGTGAATGTCCATGGCAGTTGGCATGGTGTGTGCGGTTTCAGTTGCAAGCGCCAGATGAAACTATTCCCTCGATTAGATAAGATGCCAGATGAAGACATGTTTTCAGAACTCCTTTTTCTCCTTCTTAATCTATGAAAACGCTTCAAGTTCTCGGACCTGATGTTTGCAGTGAGAGTTCGAATGATATGCCAGTGGTTGCCTGTGAAGAAGGGTGATAAGATTAGATTTGCCACGTGCCTGCTGATTTTTTCCCCTGATCATAAATTTGATAAAAAAAGCGTCAGAGCGAGTTCAAACGTTCACGTTCACATTCGATCTTCACAATTCAACGTTCGACCTAGCCCAGGACTAGCTGGGGGGATATGAAGGCCTTTAAGGCGTTTCTCGCAACCTGCTCACTCGTCTGTGAGTCACCACAGCTTAACAGCATATCCATGCGTTGATTTGAGTCTTACAAGGTGGCATTTTTGCCTTGGACGTTACGCTGTATGGCGTTGAAGCACCTCAGCCTGTCGGGAACTTTGCCACGACTGTCAGCGCTGGTACGGTGCTTGGAGCTTCGCCCATAGGCGTTGCAAATGATGGCGGGACGGTCTACGTTATAACTGAAGTTCAAAGCTTGATGGTCTATCAGAACACGCAAACTACCCAAACCGTTCTGAGCACGCCCACAACCATCACCTGTGAGTCCTTTTGTTTCATCATCTTGCCCTTCGATTCTCAAGTGATTCCAGATAATTTTAAGGCAGACTCCACGAAAGTAGAACAGGACATTGCAGTCACGTTCTCTGGAGTAGTGGGTCTTGGGCGCGCCTCGTGTTTACTTGATGGAGACGGCGGTGGGCAGTGCGGTGCAGAGATTATTGCGGATTTGGCTGGCGTCAACAACCCTATGACGGTTCTTAGCACGAGCTACACAGGCAAGGCACAACCGTTCTTCACCCTTAACAACGTCCAAACACGGGGTATGTCTTCTCTGGGAGACTGGAGCTTCTCCGTCCCATCCCCAGCGAGCCAGACAACGCCTCGAGCCACAAATTCGTCTGGTTCTTCTTTCAGGCCTCGGGCAATGTGGTTTTTTATGTGGACGTTCTACGTGTTGTACGCCTTGTTTTAATGGATAGGGTCGTACCACTCGAACTGCCTCATGGCAGGGATTGAACCCACCATCAGGCGGAGATACTCAGACGCCTTGCTCTCTCAAAATCGTTCATTTTTAATGAACCCCTGACCCGCTTTCAAAAGATGCCTTCCTCAACGTTACTGACCTCCGGACCTTTGAAGGGCCAAGTCCACATGGGCGCCAGTTGCCCGTCGTCGCTGTTGCGTTACTATACGAAGTCAAAATCTTCTCCACTTCTTGGGCTGATCTTTCGACTCTTACCCAGGGTTCATCGTCTCCGGATTATTTGGAAGAGTCGGACAGTTTCATAATTGAGTGCGTGGACGACTTCGAGTAGCGTGGAGTGGCTAATACCTATCAGAAGATTCAGCCCTTACGTTATTCCTCAATCACAATCGACCGCGCCTTGAACACGATAATATGTGAGCTCCGCCTGCTTGTCATCATTCATTGGAAGTCCAAGAGTTCATCAGTGCCCCTGACTGTTATCTAATCTAAGAGGGAGCATTCCGAGACAAATGTCTTGTAACCGTGACATCACTGAAATCTGCTTCTGCTCCCTCCAAAATGTCCACAGCTATTACGCCAGAAGGTTGCAAAATTTCCTTCCAGCTCAGCGACGAGTGCGCCCATCCTCGGGTATTCAAACTCGTAACCGGAACGGTCACGCACCCTACCCACGGCGATGTCGCTTCCATCCGAGCGGTCAAGATTTTCCGCCACTTCTGCAGGGGTCATTTCTTAGATGCGATGGATGAAGGTGACGAGGAACTGCATGAGCTCGCAGATACGCTATTCGACAAGTTCGGCGTCATCAGGCCTTGGCTAGTCAGTGAAGGGTACCGTCGCGGCACAGGATCATGGGGATACGAGCTTAACAGTGGTGACATCGTCTATATCAAAGATATCGATGTCAAAGATCCTGTATGGCTCATATTTTCCCAAAAGTCCCTCCGTTTGGTTGACAGTTTCTTCACTGATAGTATAAGGGACATGGACTCGGCTCGTGGACTCTCCAGAAGTTTTTGGCGTCGGGGCGTGTTGAACGCAATGATACGGTTATGTGTCGTCCGAAGTCTCCGGAGGGTTCTAATCCTGAGGAAGACGCCAGGGTCCAAGACAGGCAGGCCGCGTTTCTTCGCAAGGTGAGTTCGTTATCCCGATTTTGATACGCTTCAATTACTAAACTATATCTCCAGAATAATTTTCGGAGGATTGGACGCACTCGCTTCTTTGGGTATTCTCCAAACCCCGAGCATCCTTCACGTCTCCTTCCAGCCGAAGCTGACGCAGACAGGTCGGAAAACGAATTTGTTCCAACCAAACCTGCGCCTGCCGATAGGGATGACTTTATGAGGACCTACCCGCTCCACTTTGCCATCATCAATCTCCCCAAGCAAAACGTCGCTTCCGTCATCGAGGCATATCACACTCAGGATCCATCCACAGTCCACAAGCAGGATCATAACGGGTTCACTCCCCTGTACGTTGCAGCAGCCTATGCGAACGCATCTGCTTTGAAAGCCTTGCTTAAATTTGGAGCGGCGTCGGATTTGAACAAGCATGTCAATAAGGACGGGATGATCCCACTTGAGAGGATAGAGGATACTATGCGCTCTACGCGCGAGCTCGCCGAGCTGCTCATGCACAAGTGGGAAGGGTACTCGAGGAACGAACTCAAGGTCCAACTTATTTTGAAACGTGAGATGGGGATATCGGTCCACGGTCAGACGGATGAGGAGTATCTTGAGAACAGAAAGTGGGGTTGTACCTGTGGAGAATGTGATGAGGGCTGGTTGTCTCCGCGCATGCGTTTCCGCCTTGAAAGTGCGTTCCCCTTGTATTTGGTGTTCCTTATATTGAACAATATCGCAGCTGAAGCGGCCTTATCCAAGGAAAACATGACCGTGTTGGCTCCCCAGTTTCAGCGTGGCCAGCCACTGCCTGAAATCCCTGGGCTTGCTCACCAATTCGATTACCTCCCCCCTAACCTTCGCACAAAAGTCTACAAGACTTTCTACAACGGCTATGTGACGATATTTGAAAACTTATACGTTCTCCTCGACCAGACCGAGGGAGTACCAAGCGTCCCTCGTCTTAGGACTCTCTGCAAGGGCGACAGAGACGTCAATTTCTACTTGAAAAAAGGCGGGAAATTCGAGTACGCGCTCGAGTCCATGGTCGAAGGCGCGAAGAGTCAGTCATGCCTCGGCGATAGTATGTTCGAGGAAATATGGGAATCCGAGAACGACACTGACGATGAATACCGTAAGCTCCCGCGGTGCGCGAACGACTTAGAGTTCGACTTCGTGAAACGGATGATTGGAGTTCCACCGAAAGGCCCTGTGCTACCACCGGAAATGCTGTCATCAGCAGTTGACTCGGAACGGGGGCCCACCAGCTTGACGTTGAAGATGCTTGTGAATATGATGAGTGGGGTGTATGAAGACGAGGACTCGGAGGACGAAGAAGAAGAAGAGAACTATTCCGACCTCCTCAATCCACATTATGAAGAGGCGGCGGCGGGGAGGAGGCAAGCGCGTTTGGACGCTCGACGCGCTGCGGCTGCGAAAGCCCCTGAGAAAAGGCAAGCTGAAGCCAGTAGCGCTGGTCCTGACCTTGCGTTCCAGAAACTACTCAGTTTCTTACCTCAAGGTGGGGTGCGAGCCCCTATTAATTAGCCGCCTTGCTGTTATAAAAATCAATGTAAGCTCTCCTTTAGTCTAGTCCCATAGTTTCTTGTCTTTTTTCTGTACGATTAGCAATCTCGTTGACAGTAAAGTTCGTCGCTTGTGATCATGAGGAAGGGGGATGAGAACCACGTGACTTCACTTGGTTCCGCGCCTAAATATGGTAAGGTCCAGACATTTCAAATCGGCACACGACCATAAATTCTGCACAGACCACTTGTTTTTTCCTTCTGTCCTCCGCCGCCGTCGTCGAGCATGACGGTCAGATGGTTCTTGCCGCTGTTGATGGGCCTTTCCGTGCTCGCTTTTGAGCAGCATGTCCTGACCAACGAAGACACTCATACCGGGGTATTGCGGAGGTTCAGCGTAACCGGATCTTCCCTTGAGGATATTTTGCGATTGGCGAGCGTAGCTACCATTTATTCTGTCACCACGTACTTTGGCGCTAAAAGAACTGTAGGAACATGATCTTGACGTCTGGCAAGTCGCCAGATCGCACGTCGACATTTACTCGTCGCGGGATCGACTCCCAGAGGCGCTCCAACGCGTTTCTCACACCACGACGCCCGTTTTGACGCCGCCACGAAGGCGGCAGGGCTTGGTAAACTCGACTTGGGACTTTGGGACCCTCGAAAACACGACATACCACGATGTGTATCACCCGCTCTTCGAAATCGATGAGTTCTTACGGCAACTTTCGAAACTCCACCCCAACACTACCCGCCTTACGAACCTAGGACATACCGGCCAGGGAAGGGAGATGATGGCGCTGACCATATCGAATACAGAGCATAATGAGACCCAGACAATGACGACTAAGAAGAGAAAGAAAGGGAAAAAGAACAGGAATGGGGATGGAAAGCTTGGGTTTGTAATTGTTGGTGCCCAGCATGCACGAGAGGTGCGTTCCTTCCCATCTATACTCCTGGGTTGACTAACTCTATCACAGTGGATCGCAACCGCAACCTCTCTCTACCTCGCCCACGCCCTCCTCTCCGATCCCTCCTCACCCAACTCACTCTCCCACCTCCTCGATGTGTTCGATTTCCACATCATCCCTGTACCCAACCCAGATGGGTACGACTACACCTGGGAGTACGACCGCTACTGGTACAAGAACCGCCAGGTCACCTCCCCCAGGGCCAAGTGCGTAGGCCTCGATATGAACAGGAATTGGGGGTACAAGTGGCAGCCCGACGTTCCGGCTAGTGCAGGCAACTTCACAAAGCCGAAGGAGCCCACAGATCCGTGCTCACATTGGTATCCTGGGTCTAGGCCTTTTGAGGCGCCCGAGGTGAACAATATTGCGAACTTTGTGGCTACGCTTCCCGATTTGATTGGGTTCCTCGATTTGAGGAGTTATGGACAGATGCGTGTGTTCGTTTCGTCGTCGTCTTAACTGTTTGCTGACAGATTAGCTTGTAGTATCGACGCCGTATTCATACTCCTGCAAGAGAATACCAAAAGCGGCTGAAGATCTCACTGAGGCAGCGTTAGGTGCCGTGCAAGCTCTAGGTTTTGTTCACGGAACCACGTTCCAAGTGCGTTTCGGTCTTTTGCTATTCATCCAGATGTTCAAATGAATCACAGACGGCCACTTTGTGCCGTATGCTGTACCGGGCGCCGGGGAACATCCTTGATTGGATGTATAACCGGGCTGGCATCAAATTCTCATATGTCGCACATCTCAGGGATACCGGAACCGTATGTCCATTCCCTACCGTTGCCTCACACGTCGCTTATTGTGTGTCTCGTAGTATGGGTTCTCCCTCCCTGAGAGGGAAATCCGCCCTGTCGGGGAAGAAACTGGTAGCATGGTAAAATACCTTGCGACCTTCATTGCGAAGAGTAACCACAGTGCGTTCCAGTTCCCTTCCTTCGTCCCTTTTCTCTGAGATTAATCATTTTGTAGGAAAATTATGATGATCTATAGTGGAGAAGCGTAAGTTGACTGTTGTGTATTTTTATGAGTTAGTTGCTTTTATGTTCAAGCTTTTGTCGATATATCGAAGCACTAGGAAATACCTATTCTCAGTTTCACCTGCAGTGAACTGTCCTTGCCGTTTCTTCAGCAGGTTTGTTCCCCTTAGCTGTTTGCGAGTTGGCTTATCATCATTTCTACGTATACGATAATTGTAGGACTTCGTGAGGAGCTGAGAGGACACAATAACCCGAGTCAAGAGCATCGGGGTGGAAACGTGATGTAACAGAATGCTGCCGACAGCCATACACTCAATTTCGGATACGTTCGCTACACAGACACCCTTCACGATATCTTTCCACGTCTCTTGAAGAGTTCCTGCTTCAATACATGTTCAAGATTATTCACTAGCAGCTTACGGTAAGTAATCTATTGCTGAGCTAGCGAAGTGAATGCTGAAACCGCTGGCATGTGGACAGATTGTATTCTCCTGGTTCAGTGAAGTGACAATTTTAGGACCGGAAGGGAGCCGAGCCAGCTGTTGAGGCTAACTTTAAAGAGGACGATTGCTTCTAGGTAACTCCAAACCTTGGGCATTATGAATGTCGTCAAATCCATCGTCCCCGACATATATTTGACCGTGGCATGCGTTCCTTTTTCATTCCTACTTGATCTGTCAAGACACATTTGGATCTGTGTTAAGTGGTATTCCCGTCATTCGAGAATCGATTCCTCGTTGAACTTCCCTCAAACTTCCCTTTGCCAATTTGTTTGCCAAGAGTTGCAAAAAAACAAAATGTAACGGTCATTACAACATTCCAGTTGTTTTCCGCAACCCATTCGAAATAAATACATATGATATCGATCTGTTCAGTAATAGGTCAGTTGTTCCTTGGTTGATCCTGAAGTTGGTGGCAACTTGCAAGAACCCGTTGTGTGTAGATATTTGGCCAGTTCCCAAGTTGACTCCAAACATCGTCCAGCTGTTCAGCTGAGTTTGTCTTGAGCGCCTCACCGATGGATCCTGAACAATACCTCCAAGTCGAGCCTCCCCGCCGCAGTCTGATGACAAGAAACTTCGTTGCCGTAGACCCATTTCGTCCTTCACTATCGTTAGGCATTAGGAACCTCTTCGGGAATTTTCAGACTGGAGCTACCATCGATGACATTCCTATTCCTGTTGATGTCATGTCACGCCCAACCCATCGCAATGGTTCTGAAGTCCACCGCCGAAGGGACTATCGATCACCAAGTCCAATGACACGCCGCTCTCGAACTCGGGGTCGGAGTGCAAGTCGTAGATATGTTAGGACGCAGCACGCCGCTGATAGGCGACACACACGCCCAATATCCTCTGCCAGCAGCTCTCGAAGTTCCTCCAGATCGGGTAGAGGGATACGCGATAGACGACGCAGTTCCCTCACAGGTAGATCGTCCGCACCCCTTCATGACCATCGTCAAGTTTCAGAAGATCGCCCGGGGGTCCCCAATGTTCTATCCCAGCTTGATCTTCTGACATCAGCCCCTAGACAGAGAACGAGGGGACAGGCGCTGTTGAGTGTTATCTCAGAACAGGGTAACGTTGGCCAGCTTGTCGGAGGCGTGTAGTGCTCACTACACTTCAGTAGAAAGTTCAGCGTCTAGAGCGCCACTTTCACAAAGACCTGCCATTGACGAGAGGAAGAGTTCGTTTGATGCGATGGTCGAGGGTAATTTACATGGTTCACCTGGCAGAAGTTCATCTACTAAGCTACGTCAAGGGTCTCTTCCGAGTTCATCTTCAGGGTTTGATATCGTAGTAGAACCTCCGGTATTTTCAATCTCTTACTTACTACTGCCGGCTTACAAAAACGTTTCAATAGTCCAGGCCCCCGTCCATGTCGTCTTCTGTGGAACCTTATACACATGGCGTAGCTTTCCTGGAACCTGACGAGAGAAATGATGAGTCTCCTCCCCGGGTTATCGAGATCAACGACGATCTTCATCTTCCTCCAGCAACAAATTCAGAGGGTCATCCTGTTCAGCCCAGACATGTTGAAACCCCGCCAGATAATTGGATTCCGACAAAGGACACTTCAAACAGTGTTAGGCTACCGCCACCTCATGAGCTGCAACGCAATAACGATGAGGGAGATTGGAGGGGTCGAGGGAGGGACCGCTCGGATAGCCCTCGTCTTGGATCACGCTCAAGAAGTATAAGCTATCCTCGGCCGTACTCCCGAACTGTCCCTCGATTTGACGGGCGTGTCATAAGGTCTCCCTCTTCAAGTTCCAAGAGGGCCAAAAGGCATCGCGTACCATCTCGTTCTCATGGCCGCTCAAGAATCAGGTCGAAATCACGTTCGCGCAGCGCGGCAATGCGCCGCAGGTCTAGATCACAATCTCGACACTCGGGATTTCACTCCCATAGGCAAAGGCGTTTCGCACGCAGGTCGGGATCTGATTCAGCGTCTCTTTCGCAAAGCCCCCGCCGATACCGGTATCCGCGAGCCACCACTGCCAGCTCTCCTCACGCTCATCGCCTCCCGGAAATCAAACCACATATCAAGAGTGCTACGAACATAGTACAAGAGGAACTGCTAGACCCAACGCATTTCAACGAGACTGCACCATTGTCAACTTACATTTTTGTATTTTTCATTGATACGCTACCACGACAGGTATATCTCTATCTCATGCTACGTCTTCCATCACTCTACTTTTCGCGTGTCACCCGCATTTTCGAGGACGCCGAGATGAGTATGCCTGAGATCAAAAAGATGGCTTTGGAAGCGGCAAGTCAGTGGAAGGATCCTGTCCGGCATCTGAAGAAAGGGATTATCTTCGAGCCGCAAGCTATCTCGCATCCTCACGCGGATTTGCAAAATTCTTGGCAGTCTTTCATTGACTCGTTGATGAGGGAATGGAAGACGCTCAATATCGTCTCGGTTCTACTTTTGTCGTACGTATTCTCTTATTGATTCTTTTTCCTAGACTCATTGACGCTTTGGCGTCCGTTCATAGAGCTATTCTCACTATTCTTCAAATACAGGCAGCGGCTTCGGATCCATTTACTCGATATTTTGCTCTCTTATCACTGGTTTGCGCACTCATGAGCCTTTTATACGGCTGCATGTATATTGTCAGGTTTGGGACTATGCGCAAAACCTACAAAGCCGCAGAATGGGCGACGGTACGCATATTGCTCTACCGCTGAAAATTATTCTTGCTCATCAACAATCAGGAGGCGCAAAAGTCACGCACGGGAATATTTTGGAACGTATGGGTTCTTCTTGCCATGCCTGCGGCATGGCTAGCATGGTAAGACACAATCATAAGGCTTCGCCCTGCATCGAAACACCTCCCACTAGGTCCATGATTCTATACTTGGCGTGTATCATGTCATTTGTTTGGCGAACTGGAACAACCGAAGATGCTAACATCGTCCCGTTAACACCATCTGAGGCCAGAGTCCCGCGGGCGCTCATAACATTTGTGTTGGCCCTCGGGGTGATATATTTTTTCTTGATCGCGGCTACATTTAGGCGATACGGCGACAACATGGATAGGGCGTGGCAGCAGAGGATAATTGGATGGACCCAGGAGAAATTGGGTCACATGCATGGTTCAAAATCATCCTTCCGTCTGGAGAAATTTTCGACGCCGAGATTTGCAAGATCTCCCGAGGGGCAGAAATCACTGAGAGCTTCGACTCCAAAAGCTGATCATACCACGTCGTCAGGGAGTACGAACTCCAAGCCGCTCAGCCGGCCTTCTTCTGTGCAGATGGCGACTTTCACTTCACTCCCGCAACATTCTTCTGGAGTTCCGGAGGACCTACAAGCTTTACCACTTGAAGATTTGTCCACGTCTTCGATAACAAATGTCCCCCTATCGCATTCGTCGATTTCTCAAGGTGGTAATATTCTCGCTGGGAACTCACTCCAATCGCCTATAGCGACACCTCAAAATGACGCTCCGCGACATCCCTCTAATTCTAGTGTCCCTGTGGCCCCGAATTTCCAGCGTTCCGCATCTGTGGATGAAATACCACCTATTTCCGCCAGACGGGATGCCATATTAAACATGAATATTGATACTAGATCCGGAGCGCGGTCTAGATCTTCCTCCCTGGATAACAATCCATCCTTCCCATATCTGAAGGAGGATTTTACAAAGATAAAGGCGCCACCTTGTCAGATTGAATTGGTCAAGGTAATTGTCATAATAAGTTGTGCGATATAATTTAACTTTTATCCTGGGCGTTCTAAAGAACCACAGGAGTAATCACAAAGGAGGAGGAGAAGCCACAAAGGAATGCCCGATCGGCTTGAACGCAAGTCCAGCTCTCGCACACCGAAATCGCAATTTTTTAGGCGAGCCATGTTCGGCTCAAGGAATTTTGTGCTGTCATGCGGATAACGCGCAACTTACGCTATTCGCCATAAATGCTATTGGATACGATACCGATGATGGGAAACCAAGGGGGGAAGTATTGTCTGACGGACTCAGACCATATCTTTGGGCGCCATCGCTAACAATACCCCCTGGGACGTTAAATACGCAGAATGCTCCGTAGTCAGTACGGAACAAGAACAAGACCTCTAGAAACAAATGTCTCTCGAAAGGATTGCATTGAGCAGGTTGCGGCGTCAAAATCCTCGCAGGATTAAACCAGCACGGATCAGATTTATTGTAAGAACGAAAGAAAGAACATAAAAGCTGAAATGGATCGGGCTCTATTGGCGGAAATCCTAAATGGTGAAAAAGAATGGTCACAAACTTCCAATTTAACAAATGTCTGGTATCCACGAGATCCACAAGTATCTAGTTTTCTCCTAGGCTTCCTGGTCGTGATTAATTCCTGCGGGTACCCGAGGGCAATAGAGATGCACGAGACGACAAAGAACATGAGGGGCACTGGGGGATAACTTATCTCAATCCAAAAAGCTGGTCGCCTACATGCGCACCCTTTGTCCCCAATTCCTCATCTCTTCAGTTGCAGCAGAGGTATGTGCACACTACTAACTTCGCGATCCAGAACCCTGAGTAACACAAGTACTCATACGTTACATTATAGTTCAATGGTACTCCACATGGTCAATTGTACCTATGTACCATAGAGCTACCCCAATGGGGCCAATGCTATCTACACACTATTGAATAAATTTGGGCCCAATGCATGCTTTTACCTTAAGGTGAGATGGTGTGGCCCAATTGTGAAATATCCCGCAACATTGGGCCCAATTGCTATTTAACACATGATCATATGGTGGACCGACGAAAAAGTAGGCCGAAAGATATATCTGAAGACAGGGGGGGGTCACTACTATGGCACCAATTTCTCTGCCTTCTCAATCCTTGCTTTGATCCGAAGCTCCTCTTCATTCAGCATGATCATAGTATCCAACTGCCTCAACTGATCCTCTATGTGTGCCATTGCCTCCAAAAGAGCATCTCGAGCTCTCAAACCCACCTCATATTCCCGATGCAATACCCTGTGGGCTATTCGGGCTTATTCCAGTGGGTTGGTAAGTCTTCCCACATCAGGCAACACGACGTCAAAAAATGAGGCCATCTTCGGCTCAAATTCAAATCCGACATGTTAAAACCAAAGATTTTGTCAGCTGGTAGTGCCGAAATCCTTCCGGAAATATTGCGTTGCCTCCCAAAGACTATGTGCACTCAATAGATATTAAGACCGAGGATTTCATCCACTGGTTGTGCCGAAGTACCTGCGGAAATGTGGTGTTGCCTCTCAAAGAATATTTGCACTCAACACATGTTAAAACCGAAGATTTCATCAGCTCATAGTGCCGAAGTACCTCCAGAAATATTGTGTGGCCTCTCAAAGAATATGTGCACTCAACACATGCTAAAACCGAAGATTTCGTCGGCTTGTAGTGCCGAAATCCCTCTGGAAATATTGTGTTGCCTCCCAAAGACTATGTGCACTCAATAGATATTAACACCGAGGATTTCTTCAGCTGGTAGTGCCGAAGTACCTCCGGAAATATTGTGTTACCACTGAGAATATGTGCATTCAATACAAGTTAAAACCGAAGATTTCGTCGGCTCGTAGTGACAAAATACCTCCGGGAATATTGTGTTGCCTTGCAAAGAATATGTGCACTCAGCACATGTTAAAACGGAGGATTTCGTCAGCTCATAGTGCCGAAGTACCTCCAGAAATATTGTGCGGCCTCTCAAAGAATATGTGCACTCAACACATGTTAAAATCGAAGAGTTCGTCGGCTTGTAGTGCCGAAATCCCTCTGGAAATATTGTGTTGCCTTGCAAAGAATATGTGCACTCAACACATGTTAAAACCGAAGATTTCCTCGGCTCGTAGTGCCGAAGTACCTCCGGAAATATTGGGTTGCCTCTCCGAGAATATGTGCACAACACATGTTAAAACAGAAGATTTCGTTGGCTCGTAGTGCCGAAGTACCTCCAGGAATATTGTGTTGCCTTGCAGAAAATATGTGCATTCATTACATGTTAAAACTGAAGATTTCATTGGCTGGTAGTGCCGAAATACCTCCAGAAATATTGTTTTGCCTCTCAAAGAATATGTGCACTCAACACATGTTAAAACCGAAGATTTCGTCAGCTTGTAGTGCCGAAGTACCTCCAGGAATATTGTGTTGCCTCCCAGAAAATATGTGCATTCATTACATGTTAAAACCGAAGATTTCATGGGCTTGTAGTGCCGAAGTACCTCCGGAAATATTGTGTTGCCTCCCAAAGACTATGTGCACTCAATACATGTCAAAACCGAAGATTTCATTGGCTGGTAGTGCCGAAGTACCTCCGGAAATATTGTGTTGCCTCCCAAAGACTATGTGCACTCAATGGATATTAAAACCGAAGAGTTTTGTCGGCTTGTAGTGCCGAAGTCCCTCCGGAAATATTGTGTTGCCTCCCAAAGACTATGTGCACTCAACACATATTAAAACCGAAGAGTTCGTCGCCTTGTAGTGCCGAAGTATCTCCGGAAATATTGTGTTGCCTCCCAAAGACTATGTGCACTCAATGGATATTAAAACTGAAGAGTTCGTCGCCTTGTAGTGCCGAAGTATGTCCGGAAATATTGTGTTGCCTCTCCAAGAATATGTGCACTCAACACATGTTAAAACCGAAGATTTCGTCGCCTTGTAGTGCCGAAGTACCTCCGGAAATATTGTGTTGCCTCTCCAAGAATATGTGCACTCAACACATGTTAAAACCGAAGATTTCGTCGGCTTGTAGTGCCGAAGTACCTTCTGGAAATATTGTGTTGCCTCTTGGAGACTATGTGCACTCAAGATATGTTAAAACCGAAAATTTCGTCAGCTTGTTGTGCCGAAATCCTCCGGAAATATTGTGTGGCCTCCCAAAGACTATGTGCACTCAACACATGTTAAAACCGAAGATTTCGTCGGCTTGTAGTGCCGAAGTACCTCCGGAAATATTGTGTTGCCTCTTGGAGACTATGTGCACTCAACACATGTCAAAACCGAAAATTTCGTCAGCTGGTTGTGCCGAAATCCCTCTGGAAATATTGTATTGCCTCCCAAAGACTATGTGCACTCAATAGATATTAACACTGAGGATTTTGTTGGCTGGTAGTGCCGAAGTACTCCCGGAAATATTGTGATTTTGTCAGCTGGTAGTGCCGAAGTACCTCTGGAAATATTGTGTTGCCTCTCCAAGAATATGTGCACTCAACACATGTTAAAACCGAAGATTTCGTCGGCTCGTAGTGCCGAAGTACCTCCGGGAATATTGTGTTGCCTCACAGAAAATATGTGCATTCATTACATGTTAAAACCGAAGATTTCATGGGCTGGTAGTGCCGAAATATCTCCGGAAATATTGTGTTGCCTCCCAAAGACTATGTGTAGTCAATAGATATCAAAGCCGAAGATTTCGTCGGCTGGTAGTGCCGAAGTACCTCCAGAAATATTGTGCGGCCTCTCAAAGAATATGTGCACTCAACACATGTTAAAACCGAAGATTTCGTCGGCTTGTAGTGCCGAAGTACCTCAAGGAATACCGTGTTGCCTCCCAGAAAATATGTGCATTCATTACATATTAAAACCGAAGATTTCATCGGTTGGTTGTGCCGAAATACCTCTGGAAATATGGTGTTGCCTCACAAAGACTATGTGCACCCAATACATGTTAAAATCGAAGGTTTCGGTGGCTGGCAATGCCAAAATACATCTGGGAATATTGTTTTGCTTCTCGGAAAACATGTGCACTTTCAATAAGTCAAAATAGCTGTGAAACCCAAAGATTTCAGCTTCTGTTAGTGCCGAAATTCTTGTTTGATCTCCTGGAAACATTGTTTGATGTTCCGGGAACATTGTTTAACCCCCCGGGAACATTGTTTGACCTTCCCAGAACCTTGTCTGACCATACGCAACTGTTGTTTCACCTTCTGGGGAATATTCATACCCACCATCATCATTGGTTGATCTTCTGAGCCGCCATGTAGTATAAAAGAAATTGTTGAAAATTCACCGTAGTGAAGGTTATACCTAACCTTTTGAGTTCACACACTGGATACATATCAATGTGGTTGAACAGAAGTAAGTTTACCATCTGCTTGCAACTCCAGAAAAAGACTGGGGGTGAGGGAGACCATTCAGTCTCTTTCTTGATCCATCAATGCGTCAGTGAGCAGTTACTCATCTTGTAGTATTATCATGAAATGCTTTCAAATCTCCAAAATTTGTCTGCCTTGAAATTCATCTGGCAACACGATATTTCTGGAGGCATTTTGGCATTACCAGCCGACGAAATCTTCGGTTTTAATATCTACTGACTGCACATAGTCTTTGGGAGGCCACACAATATTTCCGGAGGTATTTCGGCACTACCAGCCTATGAAATCTTCGGTTTTAATATGCAATGAATGCAGATATTTTCTGGGAGGCAACACAATAGTCCCGGAGGTACTTTGGCACTACCAGCCGACGAAATCTTCGGCTTTGATATCTATTGACTACACATAGTCTTTGGCAGGCAACACAATATTTCCGGAGATATTTCGGCACTACCAGCCCATGAAATCTTCGGTTTTAACATGTAATGAGTGCACATATTTTCTGGGAGGCAACACAATATTCCCAGAGGTACTTCGGCACTACAAGCCGACGAAATCTTCGGTTTTAACATGTGTTGAGTGCACATAGTCTTTGGGAGGCAACGCAATATTTCCAGAGGGATTTCGGCACAACCAGCCGACGAAATCTTCGGTTTTGACATGTGTTGAGTGCACATAGTCTCCAAGAGGCAACACAATATTTCTGGAGGTACTTCGGCACTACCAGCCGACAAAATCTTCGGCTTTGATATCTATTGACTACACATAGTCTTTGGGAGGCAACACAATATTTCCGGAGATATTTCGGCACTACCAGCCCATGAAATCTTCGGTTTTAACATGTAATGAATGCACATATTTTCTGGGAGGCAACACAATATTCCCGGAGGTACTTCGGCACTACAAGCCGAGGAAATCTTCGGTTTTAACATGTGTTGAGTGCACATATTCTCAGAGAGCCAACACAATATTTCTGATGGTACTTCGGCACTACCAGCCGACAAAATCTTCGGTTTGAACATGTGTTGAATGCACATATTCTCCAAGAGGCAACACAATATTTCCAGAGGTACTTCGGCACTACCAGCTGACAAAATCACAATATTTCCGGGAGTACTTCGGCACTACCAGCCGACGAAATCTTCGGTTTTGACATGTATTAAATGCACATATTTTCGGGGAGGCAAAACAATATTTCTGGAGGTATTTCGGCACTACCAGCTGACAAAATTTTCGGATTTAATATCTATTGACTGCACATAGTCTCCAAGAGGCAACACAATATTCCCGGAGGTACTTCGGCACTACAAGCCAACGAAATCTTCGGTTTTAACACGTGTTGAGTGCATATATTCTTTGAGAGGCAACACCATATTTCCGGAGGTACTTCGGCACTACCAGCCAACAAAATCTTCGGTTTTAATATCTATTGAGTGCACATAGTCTTTGGGAGGCAACACAATATTTCCAGAGGGATTTCGGCTCAACCAGCCGATGAAATCTTCGGTTTTAACATGTGTTGAGTGCACATAGTCTCCAAGAGGCAACACAATATTCCCGGAGGTACTTCGGCACTACCAGCCGATGAAATCTTCGGTTTTAATATCTATTGAGTGCACATAGTTTTTGGGAGGCAACACAATATTTCCGGAGGGATTTCGGCACAACCAGCCGATGAAATCTTCTGTTTTAACATGTACTGAGTGCACTCCAGGAGGCAACACAATATTCCAGGAGGTATTGACCTTTAAATGCAAAGAAAGTGTCCTTTATACAGCATGCCTCATGCTATCCCTGCATACAGAGTGGCTGTCACATGTCCGGCTATTATCTATTACCCGAAATGAATTCAAGTGATTAACAGGATTCTAGGCCGATATGGAAATATTGATTTATGGCCTACCTGTGTGCTACCGATGGTTAGTGTTCGCAAGTTCAGTTCAGTCCGGTTTTTTGCCCCCAAAACGCGCAACCGTGGACCGCAACCGGTCTAGGACCAACCCAGATATTGAGGGAACCGAACCGAACCACCTAGGACCGGTCTATTTCGGTCTATGGAGCCGGTTCAGACCGATCCAGACCGGTTTTTTTGCGTATAATTTATTATACCAATATAAACCATTTGTATCTTGACTATTATTACTCTGAAAAATAAACGGGTTATATGAAATAGTAAAGCATGTAAATACCCGTCATTCTACCAATTTTGAAGAGATTTAATGAAGATTTGACATAGCTATAACTGAAACCGAATTACATCTCGTAGAGACTCGGGTAAAATATGGATTTGGTTATATCTTTCTCAATTCTTAACCGTTTTTGATGAAACAAAAACCCAATAAAAGGTAATAAACGTGGTTACAAGGGTATGTAACGCACGTGACCGTTTAACCGGTTGCAACCGATCAAAACCGGTCTTTGAACGGTTTTAATATATTTTCGAAATGAGGCAACCGGCAACCGGACCAACCCCAAATTGGGGCAACTGCAACCGAAAAAAAGACCGGACCATGGTCCGGTTCAGTTCGGTCCACCGGTTTTTTGCGGTCCTATGGACTGAACCTTTAAACACTACCGATGGTATTTGCAAAGTGTATCCCATTTTGTGCTGGAGGTGATGTCATCCGACTGGATTTCGGCTAGACAGGGATTACCAGGGCTAGGGTTATGGTTCCGCCGGATTCGGCATTTGTTACACCGAGCATTGGGCCCAACAATGCAATATAGCCTAATTACATATTGGGCCCAACAATGCAGTATAGCCTAATTAATACCATTGGAATATTGGGCCCAACCTTGGCTGTTGGGAGTTTATCATGGGCCCAATTCTTTTTGTGTATCCCTCATTGGGCCCAATTATGCTTCTCATAGTTTTGTTACCTTGGCCCCAACAATGCCAGCTTAACGTCTCACAGACATTGGGCCAAACTATGCCCAAATGGTGCCAACTACGATTGGGCCCATTGGGGTAGCCCTATGGTACATTGGACAATTGACCATGTGAACTACTATGGTCCCATTGGGTATCTACTGAATGCCCTGTGAGTAAGACCTGACTTTCGTTTCTAGAGCTTCGGGCGCGCCAGGCCCTTTGGGTTGAGATTTATACCCTTCACGAACGGCAGCATGTGTTCTGGAAATCGTTCTTTCCGCGGAGCTATATCGGAATACAGGGTTAGAGCTTCGAAACACAGGGATAAATAAAATAAGGCGTACACCAATCCACCTTGTCATCAATCGTCCCGAAAGTGACGATGGTCAAGTTGTTATCCTTTTGTTCGGACGACAGGAGTACGTTCGATCCGCATTTGGAACAGAAATACCGTCTGAGCGCAACGCCGCTCTCTGTATTGGTGTCTCGGAAGCAGCTTAGCTGATCCTTCCCTTCGATGACCCGGACGTTCTGAGGAGGGTGGAATGGTAGTCAGCCCAGTCGTTATACATAAATTATACTAGACGCTGGGAGTGTCTTGGTCGCTAGAGTTGGAGGGAAGACATGTACCTTTTCGAGAAAAAATGTATTTGTCATGAAGGCAGAACCAGTCGCTTTCTTGCAGTTCTTGCAATGACAGACGAAAAATGTCAGCGGCTCCCCCGTCACTTGATAACGAACTGCTCCACAGAGACAGGAGCCATGTCGGATAGCCGTTTTCGACGGTGCATTGGGGGCCATCATGGGAGAGGAAGAAAGATTTGATCATTTGAGGGAGTGATTGATTGATCATGATCCGGGAACGGCTCTAAGTATACCCGGTCAAAGTTGATCAATTCAGCCTCACATTGCACAAGATTGGGGAGGCTGCTCTGCCTTGATAAGCAAGTTACGAGTGCGAATATGAAGTCTAGATTAATGCGAATGAAGGTGTTCTAAGGTTTAGGTTGTGTGATTTTATGTAAACTATGCGATGTCGAATAGCAAATTCTTACCATGTAAATTGGAAACGAAGAATAAGATATCGAAAATAAAAATGAAATCCAGTCAAACGGCTTCATCAACGTCACTTTCGTTGACGTCTCCCGCGAAAAACTCCTTTCAAGTGTTTTTTTCTTCTACCTCTTCCTTCGCCTCCTCGATCTTGACCCCGACCACAAAGTCACATCGGCCACGTCTCTCCATGAGATGAAGTACGGTGGTTAACCTATCGAAATCAATCGGATTCGAAACGTTCTCGCGAATTCTTTTCTCAGCCTTATTGACTAGCGAATGCCATCCCGGGTATTTGTCCGACAAAATTGCGGTATAAAGCCAGGTTGAGCCGTTTACGTTCTCGATGTCAGGTATCCAGAAATTTTCGGTAATTCTGTGCCAAGAGAGTCTGCCCGAATCTGCCGTCATTAAATCGTATATGTCGTCAACAACAAAAAATAGGAAGAGAAAGGTTGAGACGAACGCGGAAGTGATATCTCCGTAAGGGAAGGGCAAGCTTCACCCCAAGAGGTGATTATTGAGAAGTCGACGTCCATGCGACACGCGAGGTTAGCTATCCCATAAACGTCCACGCAATTCAAAACGAGGCGTTGTAAATTCTCAAATCGTTTGAGATATGTCCAAATTGCTTCAAGATAGGCCTAATTGCACATGAAATTGATTGAGGAAAATTGTAGACGCACAACGCACCTCGGTGGGATAGGAATCGACGACGACAATATTGGCGATGTGGAGGGAGTAGATATACGGCAGCCGTGTAGAGATCATGTCAATGAGGTCGAGATTCCATCCCCGCCGTCGACAAGTAATTACATTCAAGCTGTCGCCGCTATGGCGTTCAAGAACTGCGATTGCTGCTTCGGGAGAGCTATCCACCGCGCCCCAAGAAAGAAATGCCGCACGAAGGGAAATAGCGGGGCTCATCGCACTGAGATATTCGCCGTTTCCTGCGAAATACTCAAGTTCGGGAAGATAGAGAGGGGGAAGGATTGGTTTAACAGAAGAAATAATGTCCTCATGGGGGGAAACTTCGAGATAGTTCACCGTTGGATGACGATTCAAAAAGGAAACGAGGGGTGATGAAAGAATTAAGCGACATGCGAAGTGTTGCAATCGAGGCAGAACAGAATCCTTGAAAACGAAAATTAAAGAGGGATCTTCAACCAGTAATCTGAGAGTTCGAATCTCAATCAAAGATTGTAAGGCCTCCCGTAATGAAACGTGATATGACGAAAAGTAATTTTGATTTGATTTAACCGGTTTGTTCGGTCTGGAAAGGAATTAGTGGCGACTTCAAGATTGAAGATGGAATGACTTACAAATGATTAATTAAAAGCGTTCTAACAGACGAGGAGGCGGTAGAATTGGATGATAATGTGCGGCAGCATGCGATGACTGATGAAGGGGAGCCCAGAGAGATGTCGCGGTATAAAGAGCGAATTGTTAAAGAATGAAAGATTTTAGAGACGCTAGCGAGGGATAGCCATGTGGTTGTATTGGAGGCACTGATGCACGCCTCGAGGATTTCCAGCGGTAGGAGGGCCGGACCAGACATAGCAAGGGCCCGCAACGACCCTCGCGGAAAAACAGCTAATTTTTTTGTGTTGAGAATGGTAAGTTTTGAATTGCAAGTCATTCTGGGGCGCAAAACTCACCTAAGCTTCAGTTCTCGATGCCAGCAGTCCTCAATGCCAGCAGTAGTCGGAATGAGCGCCTAATACCACCACTCCCTTCAGAACAGATTGCCAAGAGAAAGGGTAGACCTCCTATGCACTAGAGATCAATGTGGCAGCCGGCTTGTCATTGACTTCGTCGAGTTGTCTTGGAAGATGGTTGGGGAAACGATGGTGGGGAGAGTCGGGATATCGTCAATATTTTATATTGTATTTATAGGCAGTGGGCGTTGACAATGATGTTTCCATGAGATTTTTAGCCTAACTTCAATTGTTCTTCCCCTTCTACTTCGATCAATCTCAACCGTCATATTGAGCGCCTAATTTGACAGTTTCTGACTCAAATCTTGACAGGAAATATTTGCCGATCTTGCTCATGGTGTGTAACCATTGGGTGACTTCCCGTTACATAAACGAGTAAATCTGACCCTTATCGGAGTTTGAAATGAGTACCCTGGCTTGCGATTTAATCAAGCAAATAAACTGTAATGCTGGATAACTTCCCATAAGGTTTAGAAACCTAGATTATTTTTCTAAACTGACGTGCCGCCATGCCGTTTGCCAAATGGGTCACAATCTGTCAAAGTTGAACTCCGCTTGTCATCGAACACCCTCTTCTAGATTTTAATCTAGACGAGGCCTCCCCCCCCCTCTTCTAGTTCTAAATCGCTTGCATAAACCCTTTTTTCATTGTCCGACAATCAATCCCTGAGCATCCCGTCCAAATCAAGCAAGGCATCAAGATCTATCAAGATGCACCAACCTATGTAGCTGGTCTCCTGAAGAACTATTCACTACATCTTTCTTGTATTTCTCGAGAAACAATAGGGAGTCAACAGTGGAAGACAGACAAGTCATTTTTCATTTGAACTGGGTTTTGTAGGACAGTTTTTTTCATCATGTTGACGATGTATGCAGCTCTCCTTCAAACCACACACCCAGGCATCCGATTGCACATAAGTACAGCTTGTCTTCATGTTATTGGTCAGTTCTCCTCACTGAATTCTGTATCAATTGAGGCTGGAGGCGCAGTGGGCACGGAATGAGGTTGAGTAGAGAGATCTTAAATGAGATCCGCGTCACCAAAGAAGAATTGTACAGATTTGTGTTGCTTGGCTTATGGTTTAGAAAAATGACTGAATATATTTTTGAGCTCCGCCCATCAAACATTTAGAGAATAGTCTAGGTTTCTAGACCTTATGGGAAGTTATCCGCTAACTGATTAGATTTATTCACCTGACATGAATAAACTTTCTTCCCTCTCATCTGAGCTGTTTTGAGGACACACAGGCCCATGGATGGGTGCATTATAGTTGATGCTCAATCATATCAGCCAGAAAGTAGGACATATAATAAATGAAGCCGAGAAAATGTCAACTTGAGCTGAACATGCTGTGGTTCTGTGAGTTATGTGCTGAGAAGATTGTTTGTGGAAGGAAAAACAGCTTCGGAGAGGAAATTTTGGAACCAGAGGACGTTAGCACTACTAATAAACTCTGTAATGGCTTCAAATTATAACGAGAGAGCAGACTGCCCTCAGCCGTAGGAGAGTAGAGAGGGCTGAGGTAGAGCTGACTAAGCGAGGTGGGAAGAAAACGTACCCAGGAAGGAAAGGTGTCATGATGGCAGGGTTGATTCCAGCGTTTGAAATCTATTCGAGGGGTCTGTACCCTCTGAATAGATTAAGGTTTATAACTGGGTGCCAACCAGGGCCTCCATCAAAGTTGAACCCTTACAAGACTCGGCATCCCGGCAAAAGACCCTAGATCTCGTCGATTTATTTAAATCTAGCGAATTTGTGTTACGGGAAGTCACCCATTCACATGCGAAATGAAGTACTCTGCAATAACCTGCAATAACCCAATGAGAGACTCGTTTATCTTCATTTAATGACTCGCCTTTACTCATTGAACCGATCGAATTTCAAAACTCATGACACGCGCCAGGCACATGATTGGACAAACACGGGCCTACATCGCCCAATTGTCTATACGCCTGGCGTAAGTATATGACGGCTACTTTGCTTTTTAAAACACTAAAACACCAATCACCTTTGAGATCAACAACACCATCCAGGAGTATCCAAGGAGTATCTGATCACGGACGCGGTTGCGAGTCTATGGTCGGCTTAAAACAGAGGGACACACCACTCACCAACCGCGTTAAAAAATCAAACAGACAATCCCATAAATTGGGCGTAAACCAGCAGAAGCTACGAACTTCGAAGACGGGAACAGGTCACCAATGATTATATAATGTACCAAGTGCAAATCTAACACGTGCAATCGCAGTTACATAGCCTCCTTTTTTTTCCTCAGCAACAGCGATCTGGAGCTTGGCTTCCCCGCTGCGTGGTTGGAGAGTCCTAGGGGCGCCACTACTGCTCACTAATTCGTACCATGCTTACTTGCAGCAAAAGAACTCCGCGGATGCGTCTGGCGGAGCTGACCAAGAGCTGACGCTGGTTCCGAAGGTACGCGCAAGCTACCGAGACTGAAAGCGCTCAAATAAATTGCCCTAACCTCTGGCCACGCGGATCCATTGAAACCCCACCCCAATGCTAACACTCTCAGCAATCCGAGCCGCCAACGCAGCGGCTTTCTCCTCCCATTCTCCAATTGCCGTTTTCGTCGGAGGCACCTCCGGAATCGGCCAGTCAATGGCGGAAGCCTTTGGTCGGCATACCAAGGGCAATGGACAGATCATCATAGTAGGCAGGAACCGTACCGCAGCGGATTCCATCATCGCCAAGCTCCCTCAGTCGAGCTCACACACCCGACCCCACAAATTCGTTCAGTGTGACGCTACGTTGATGAGGAACGTCCACGCAGCTTCGTCCGAAATTCTTGCTGATCACCCGAAGATAAATTTCCTTGTAATGTCCCCGGGGTTCATGACGACGAAAGGTCGGGATGAGACCGAGGAGGGGATTGATCGCAAGTTGGCTGTTCATTATTACGCGAGGTGGGCGTTCATCAATGATTTGATGCCTGCTTTGCAGAAAGCCAGTGAGGACGGTGAGGAGGCAAAGATATTTTCCGTTTTGGGCGCTGGAAAGGGTGCAGAGATCGGTGTGGAGGATCTGGGCCTGAAGAAGTCGTATTCAGGTCGAAAGGCTGGTTTGGCCGCACCGACGTATAATGACCTTATGATTGAGGTGCGCTAAGCATGACTTTTGAAAACCATCCATCTTTATCATGGCTCTCTTAGGCATTTGCGGAGCGACACCCCGATCTAACATTTATTCACGCCTTTCCCGGAATGGTTCGGACCAACATTCTCGCTGCATCCAGCACCCCTCTTCTGAAAGCCTCGTCGGGTATCCTCAGTTTATTAACCTATCCGCTTTCGACCGCCCCAGAAGATTGCGCTGAATACATGTGGCACGCGTCGCTGAATCATTCCAAAGACGCGTTTCGGACAGGATCGAAGGGTGAGAACCTGAAGACGAAGAATTATTTTGGAACGGAAGAGCAGCGGAGGAAGTTGTGGGATCATACAATCGAAGCTACAAGTACGTGAATCCAGTGCGCAAGAATTAGAGCCGTCGTCTGTGACACAGGGCCGCGTTTCAGGATGTGGGTTAACTGGTGCCAGTAAATGCGACACAGTGGGTCCGGGCGGGTATAACGGTTGACAGCCAGCGTTGCTAAACTATTGCCCAAAGGGGCAGTGAAGGACCCGTGAAGGACGACCAAACACTGAACTTCCCTTGTAAGATCGTGACAACCTCTTAGATGGGATCCATGCAGAATCTTTTGGGCGGAGAAGGTGCCCTGGATCCATTCGGGCTATCTTAGTCATGAATACATCAAAAACATCAAATCCTCACCTTGTTCATTGAAGAATTGACTTATGGTGACTTTTTCAGACTGCGGCTTCTACGACTATGTTTTGTAAGCTGAACCTTTTTGATCCTGCCACCATCTACTTACTGGAGATTAACCTACCTCACAAGAGCTCGTGGTTCGAACGAACTCGAACTATCGATAGCTCGAACGAAAGATCTGGAGCAGTTCAACGTCAGTGTGAGATTTCCCAGATGGTGGGCACGAGATGGGAGATAGGTTCAATACAGAGGTGGCGTAGTTAAGGGAGCTTTTGGGGAATACTGAGGAACGACGAGGCACGGATTCAACTTACGTTCATCTTGCCAGGAATGCCGACCGGAAGTTTGCCGCTGTTTACGACGTTCAAGGAACCGGACGCGAATGGCTACGATGGGAATACGGCTGAGTGCACCCGAATGGCAATTTCCTTGGAGAGTTCATGGCGATGTGATCATCATGACATGATGAATGGGAAGCTGAGAAAGACGCGCGTTGCCGCTGTGCTCGTTAGACGTTTAACCTTCCGTATTCGACGAAGGTTAGGTAAAGGTGACTTGTCGTAGGTGGGCAGATCGTTCATGTCCTGCCTTTTTTTTCCGCACGGCTAACGAGTACTTGACAAGGCAGAAAATTTAATTTTTCTTTATCTACGGATGTAAATCTATAATTGGGAGAGATCTACATCATCCAGGGTCCTCACGTGGGAAGTCCGTTTATCGGGCCCCGGAATGAATTATAGATCACTTGTTTTGCCATTCAGCTTGCGGATGCTCATCCTCTTCACCTGCTGGCTTTCTCAGATGGTCGTCGCCGCCACTTAGACTAACGATAGAATTTGACAAGTTTTGGATAGAGCTCAATTCATGTCCCCGCCCCCCCAACCGCCGTCACCGCCACCTTTCCCTCCTCCGTCTGGTCCACCACCGACTGGTCCACCGCCTTCGCTTCCTGTGCGCGAAATGGATTTATAACGTATATTTTGTCACTAAGTGAAGCTTCAGGATGTTCTCACAGCGTGTGCACCTGTGCTATACACTTACATCGATAACTGTGTCGTCATAGCTGGTTTCGCAATCCTAGTAAGTGGTTCTCTGCCTGTTTACCACGTAGCTAACAAAAAATTGCATCTAGGTATACGATTATTTTTGCACCTTGGAGAAGGAGGTAACTATGAAACTGATCACTGTGATCAGCCCATATGCTTGGGTATTGACGATCCACGACAGGTAACATATGCATGGTCATGCCCACGGTCTCTTGGCCTCATCCTTTTTTATATGAATCGTTATCTTCCGTTTATAGACCAATCACTTGTCCTTTACAGTAAGATTTCAATATCATGTATAATTTTCTCTGACATCATCGCAGTCAAGTTCGCTGCGATCCCTCCAAAGGTCCACCCCTCAGACAGAACAAGACTTTACCCATACTGATTTGAACATGTTAGAAATGTGTTATACTCTACGGAGTGGCAACGGGTTTGTCGGGGGTATTTTTTGTCTGTCTGTTCTCAACTTGAACCTTTTCATAGCCTTAATCGCTGTTGGATTATTATCTGCCCAGAGTAAGATTTCACAATCACATATATTCTCGACAATTCATTGTGCTTCTTTAGTTATTATAACGCTGAGAACATGTGGAATGTGGGCAAGACGGCGGTGGGTGATGGTGACACTAGGGGTACTTACGCTGGTATGATCAAGCCCGTCTATCTTTTTCATCACTCACACTCAACTCAGATATCCCTCCTCTTTGGAATCTGCATAACATTCTACCAAATTAAATTTGTGAACGGCGCGTCAACCATTTGCTTCCGAATTACATTGCGGCTGACCTAGAACAGTCGAAATGACTCCTCTGGGATACTCTCTGATTCTTTCTAGAGTCCCAACGCTCTGCGCATTCATTTTTTCTTTTCTGTCTGAGTCAGGTGCGTTCTAGAGAGCCTTGTACTGTGACAAACGGACGCAAACCGTCGCACAGTGATTGTGATACTGACAATCATCAGAGCATACCAATATTGTAAGTGCGGTTCTGACCATAGACATCTTCACTCTGACCCTCGCTTGTGCAGTTCAGCAATCAAGATCTCCATGGGTAGTTCAGATATATAAAAGCGGTATGCAATTCCCCATATTTTGACGATCATTTCCTTAAATCAGCTTGGATAGGAATTATCTACTGCATCTTTATTATTTGTACGCGCAGTGTCACCTCTTCACCTGTCCGAATTACCCCATGATTTTATTCTCTTTAGGTTTGAGCTCAATCAACATCCTCCTTATGGCCGTTAGCACGGTACGCTTCAAAGTCTTCTTCTTTCGTTTATATCCTTTACACTCATTACAGCTGGGAGCATATGGAAGCATTTTTAACCTGTGCGTATCACTTTTCTGTACTCTTTTAATCCATGTATAACGGATCAACAACAACTAGTCCAACACGTGTCTTCCATTCCATCTTTGGGAATCGAATAATGCTTCTAATTCTTCGGTACCGACATCAGCGAATGCAAGACACCCATGAGAGGGATAGTACTTCAAATGTATTTCTTACAAGTTTTGAGGAAGGGACAGACTGGGGTGTCTCTCAACACAGTGATATTGAGTTGGTGGAATGTGCTGAGGGGAGAGGGGAAGAATCCATTACATGACTTTTCTTGCTTAAATATTGTGTGCTGTCTTGTCAAATGACAGGCTTGAATGGCAGTAAGCGTCGTTTAGCTGGATGATAATAATGAAAGCCTGGCATGACAGCGAGGCAGAGGCATTCAAGTTAACTTCTTGGTCATCTCGTGACCTTATTGTTTACGCGTTCGATTTGTTTGTATTATCATATTTACAGAGAACGTTTCATAGTATGTATCTACCCTAGTTCCGAGGATTGTAAGGTCGGAGACAAGCCAGACGTTAAATGAAATAAATATTAATCACAATACTACACAGTAGAAGCAAGTTCCCTGTCTAAGACAGTTGAGGCAGGTTTTTTCTCGGCCACAAACGAATCTGACCCCTCCGCCATAACGACTTCTTTTGGGTGAAGCCCGCATCCGTATCACTCTGCTCAGTGGTTAAACCCTCCAAGGTAATTGCCTCAGTTCGATGCGCACCCCTCCTCCAGTCGTCTTGGATTTGAATCCGAATCGTAGAGAGCTCATTGGTTTCGAAGGAGGCGAGAGGTTCGGGTCCTCCGTCGCAATATGAAAGATAAACGTGATGATAGCATTAAAATTGCAGACAATGGCGCTGATGGAAGACTTGCAGATTATCGTTGAGTATGAGCGCGATTTCAAATGTTCGGTACGCACCTGCAAAAGCGATGCCAGTGCCTCGGTTAACCCACCACCGTTCAGCATCACCGTAAACGCGTGATTAAGGCTTACAGCAGTCATGATGATTGTTGTAGAAAGGATGGTTATGATCCGAATTTTTTGGGGTTTGGACAGCGTCGTCCTCCATACCAAGCGAATGGCATCACCCACAACATCCGCTAATATCGTTAACATTAAAAATGGAGTCGAAATAAGCAAGGTAGTAAACTACTCACTTGTCAATTGTATGATTGCAATCCTTGTTGGTAAGACACACATTGAATGATCCAAACTCCATTTATTCCTTGCCTGGCACGTCCAAACAAGTTGAACTGTAAGGGCAATCCACGTCACCATGAACGCAACTGCAATCCAATTAAGAACTTGACGCACGGTTCCGACAGATATGCGTATCACTGTGAAAAGGATGGAAATCCTGGACGCCCTAAATCAAACATGAGTAGAGCAGTGATAACGGAGGAGGACCTTTATTACCAAACCGCAGCGATGTAGCCTCTGCAAGGTATTGTTGGCCAACATCGAGGTTTGTCGTTCTATAGCATGACTGACAGGTAATAAAGGGTGACCTTTGTGTGATCCGAGTAGTAAGCTGTGGGGGAAAGTTCGTGAGGCTTTACTCGACGATTTGCGAAAAAAAATGCTACGTACTAGAGTCGCGGAACATAAGCTCGAAAGTTGGTAACCAAATGATCATGATGACTGCTGTCAAGCCCGCCCATGCGTCATCCCACCAAATGTGAGACGTGCGGTCTCTGCGCCATAGGCGAAACATTGTCGTCAAAATGCTGAACGGAGTGAGTACAAAGTTTGTGACTGGAAAAATTTCGTCAGTACTACAAGTTGAAATCGCAAAAGGGCATGATCGTGTACTTCTCATATCCAAAGTGGTGGGAACGCGGAGTGTCATCTTGAAAGAACTTCCTTTGCGAAGCGGGGGTTGAGAGAATGTTGAAGGAGGGCGACATGGTCAGAGATATATGATGCTGGTACTGGTCGCTGAATTGGGGAGGACCCTCCGCGCGGTCAGGACCACAACATCGAAGGAAAGTTGAATGCTATATTCACCAGATGACTTGATACCTGGGTCAAGTGAAACTACGAGTCGTCAATGTGGGCGAACAAAATAATTCAATGGTTGAACCCCGAATTGACTTTGAGGGATCAGCAGCAGGGAAAGCGGTGCATGCGAGTTTCCATGCGACCCTTCCGTTTGATGTGTATCATATTTCCATAGGTGGACCGTGGGTCTCGGAACCCGAAGTAAACCAATGAAATAGGCAGGGCGAAAAAAAATAATTCACCTCACTGATCTTGGTTGTTAGCGGAAGAAAACCATTGAGGGCTTCGGGTTACACCGAGATAGGATCGCAAATCAGAAGCGGTCGTGGTCGTCATGGGAGATCACGAGTCCCCACAGCCCCGTGCAGCGCGGAAAAGATCATAACAATCTCATTCGTGAAAAAGAAAGACACCAAAGGAGATAAACATGCGTTTCACCTGTCGCTCTTACTTTATTGGTACCGAACAGACCTAAAACGCAAGGGGGTCTTAGGATTCCAAAGTCCGACCGGGGGTTGGGTAGGTAGGTCAGCCACAGGCTGAGAAAAAAAAAATATGGAACCCTCTACAAAATGATCTAAAAACAGTCCTGGAAGGCCATCCCCTGTGAATTAGTAGTGCTAGTGCACTCCAAAGCATGTAGATCAGTCCGAATTCAATGATATTGAAGTTGTATTGAAGCATTATATAATATTTCTTCAAGCTTATCTAATCTCCACCAAGTGTCAATGTCACAAAGCTCATCTTGAAGGTGGAGAAATGGAAGCTGGCACAACCAAAGAAATACAGTCACTAAACATCACTTACAAGTTACTGGCAAGTTGTTTAGAAACTTGTTCTTGATACCAATTATGTAAAACACCACATGCCCAATGACATTGATATGGGAAACTTTCGCCGAGTTGAAAGAGAAGATGGAACAGTCGTGCACGTGTCACGATTTGTAATCGGCTTTCTCCGTGTCTACGACGTTTGTGCGTCTTTGTGGTATTGATCCCGTAAGTACTCTACATTTCTGCACTGCTGATTGTCCCTTCATCTGTTTGCTCTCACACTAACGCCTCCTGCCGCTCTGGCTCCACTGTTCGGAGACAGTGCCCGAACAAAAACCCTCGCACCTTTGCGAATTCGTACACTTACGCGCCGCGGCGCAGCGGTGGACGTTCCCCGACAGTGGAAGAATTTGCAGCGGATGCTTCCAACTTCCACCTTTCACGAGTTCATAACACAGACCTACTTGACAGAGGTAAGTTTCTCTTTGAAATTCAGCTGTTCGATAACTATCGTTACAGTAGTAGGTGTTCATAATTACTTCTCAGTCGTGAAGCCACCGTCACGAGCTGTTTGTTGCCGGATGCAGTCTCACAGTTGCTTACAACAATCATTACGAGACTGGATTCGGATCTTTTCGTTCCAGGTGTCAGTCACAATAATCAAACTGGTCAAACTTCGAGCTTCAGACGTTCACGAACCTCCAGAACCTCACGCGTGCGTCGAATGATCTGATCAGAGTCGAAGGAGCGCTTGATGGTGATATAAAGCTCAAATACGACGGCCACTTGAAACTAAACCTACACCTCTCAACTCAGCATGTGGTCCAACCTCAGACGTTTTTTGACGCCTCTTGGTCTGGCAATACCGTTGATCTCGTCCGACTGCGCGTCGACTACGTCCATTCTTAATAGGACGGCCTTCATCTTTACATTGTTCGTGTTGCAGAACAGTTTCAATGTGATTCTTGTCTAACAATTCCATCCATTTAGTGGGGACAGGTAAGCATACTTCTGATTCCGTCATCCTAACCTTTCTGATACTCTTCATTCAGCTATAGTAAGTAAAATCTATGCAAATTACTATCTCGGTGTGCGATGAGCTGCGGTGGCTAGCTACGAACGGATGGTCCGGTCATGGCAACCCTCTCGCCTCTCATAAAATCGAGTGCACAACCGCCGGTCCCAACTGGGCCATCTCACTTACCGATCTCGTGGGACATTCGACTCTTATTGATGTTCGTCTCCTTCAACCCGGCAATCCGTTTTTCCTAAACTCTTTTCAACCAGCTTGCAGTCAGCGGTGCCGTCTCCGATTCAGACATCATTAAATCACAACCGGTTGATTTCCGCGGACAAACAACAGCCTTCCTGAACTACGTCGCTCGCTCCCGCAACGTACCGTGGACAAGCCGCAATTCCATTTTTACCATCACATTTGGAAGTGAGGAGGATAGTTATTCCGAATCACGATCACGCGCTGATTTGTTCACAGCCAATGACGTGAACCTCTCCTTCAAAAACGCGCAGGGAAACGGAACCTCAGTCTATTCGAAAGATCTAACATCTTATTTCAACACAGTCGATAAGCTTTACAACGCAGGCGCGAGGCAGTTTGTGTTCAACAACGTCGTTCCTTTTGACCGAGCCCAGATCGGAATCGATCAAGGCGGCAAACTCGCCGCTAAACTCAAGGTACCTATCTGTCCGCCCTATCAAAGCCGCAATTTTTTCATGTACTCATAGGACAACATCAACGAATTCAACTCCCAACTCGCCGCCAAAGCTGCTAGCTATTGCTCTTCTAAACGCGATATCACTTGTCAAGTCTTTGATACTCGTGAGTCCGCCTTCGTCTTCCAAGCATATCGACCATCTCAATACGTTAACAAAGATACGACTTTCGCAAATGTGATGGACAACTATGCTGCTTATGGATTCGCAACTCCCTCTGGGTACTGTGCCGCATATGCTAATCAGCGAACTTGCAATGTCGTTTCGCAAGACCGGTCTTGCCTTGGACCCATTTCTTCGTGTAAGTCGTGTTTGTGCTTGCGCGGAATTGGAATGCTTACTTGGTTAGACGTTTGGTGGAATGATCTGCACCCTTCATGCGCCGCGGACCTCGTTTGGGCAAAGGCGTTGAAGGTTCAGCTTTCGTATGTTTCTTGAGAGCGATTGATATTCGATAAAGTTTAAGTATGTTGGATGATGTTCTACGTGTTCAACCGTTCCAGGTACAGGGCAGATATTCCTGTATTTCATGTAAAGACTGGCCTTGATGTCAAATACAGTTGATTTTCAAATACTAATAGCTTGCAATAGCAAGAAAAATCCCAGTGAACGACGAAGGAGCTGAATCTATTTAAAAGGTTGCCTTTCCCGGCGATATTTGTTTTTCCGAAAGTCCTGGTACACACGAATCGAGGCGAAGTCAAAGTACGCGTCGGTAAAAGCGGACGCATTGTAATTGACGTAGTCTTTACAATGAACTTCAGTCATTTTATGGCAGCCGGGGGATTTGGCGAGAACTCACCAACACAGGTCGAGGGGCATCCAGTGCCCTGACTATACGTAGAACCAGCCCAGTCCCCACCTACACAGTTTATAGTCATGGTTACCAGCTCGAGGAAGGCACTTACACAGAGTGAGATTGATAATGATATTCTGCGAAGCAAAATGGGTCGAGAAGTTGCAAAAGGTGTTGGGGAAGTACGCCGCAGGCGTTCCCTGCTCGCAAATCAAAAACTCACGGAGATCACAGACACATAAAGGCACCTACCCATGCGTCGGGATTGACGAATGAACGTGCGTGAGCTACATCCGATGGTACATCACAGTTGTTCCTCGACCAGAACCAAACTTTGAAGTAAGTCTGTGATCGTTCCATAGCATACCTGTCGGCATCGGCTATACGTAACATACATATGAAGGCGCAATAAAAGGCGAACCATCCACCTCCATTCGTATTCAATGCTGGCCCAAAACTGGAAGCCGTTGGAAACTTGACGCCGCATCCCGCATTGAAATTGAGCGTCACGTCGCATGTGTCGTAGGTAGGAGTTCTGGATTGGGGATAAGTACCCAGTTAAGATTATGCTGTACTCACCCCGCCATCGTACGATTAGTTGACATCACACAGTCTGTGATGATATAGATGGGGTGATAAGTAACACGATTCAAGTCGAAGTATTCCTTACCAGGACTTGTATGTAATGTCGCTTGATTAGTTCCTTGATCGTTGACACCTTCCATGATATCGATTTCCCCCTGTATCATTAGATCATTAGTGAGGCTGGAAGAAGCATCAAAGTTTTACGAACACCATTTGGCCAGTTCGCTTCAAGAGTTTCCCATATAGCTGGCCATGTCCTGTGAATATCGTAGCAGAGGGCAAGATATGTTTTTGGGGGGGTGAACGTACCCGCATCCTTGCGGTATGTGTCGTACGTCAAAGCTAGCGAAAATTCAGGACGAATATATAATTAGCGAAGGATAACGTACATCGCAACGTGAGAAGTGTACGTCTTCTTTGATCGAATCCTGACCGAGTTTCTCCCAGGACCGTTTGGATCGAGCACAGTTTTGAAATCCGTTCGAAGGATGAACGTATCGGAGGTAGCGTAAGTCAGGTTTTGATGAATTGAAGTTAGCTTATCGACATAGGTCCTGTATAGCTAAGTATCTCGGGATGGACTAGATAAAAATGAGATTACTCACACTCTTCCATGCGTCGGGTCCTCAATCGCCTCCCATTCAAAGAAGCGGTAGAAGCCTGGGCCGTAAACCTCATCGGAGAGTGAATAGATCGCCCCGTAGGCGCGGGCAGGAATCAAAAGGATGGTGAGGGCAATGAACGTGTTGAACCTCATTGAAAGTTCAAGAGGGGGGACTTGAATGCACCTTTCTTCTTCGCTGCTTCGTTATAAATATAAAGGAACTTCGGCAGAGCCTCGGACACCCTAAAAAAGCACTGAAGCGAAAATGGCATCGATTTTTCCTGTCAAAAAAGGACCAGTCAACGGCGTTATGTAAATCCTTGATCCCCACCAGAAATAGAGCTTGGGGCGTTGTTTCTGAAGTGGTTTGTGGTCTGATGCAGAGGATTAAAATGACAACTTACCTTCTCATTAACAATAAATACATTGCGAAGTTTCCATGTTCCAACTTCCGCGCCTATGAGAATGGCTCTCGAATGCAACTCGAATGGGTAGAAAAGTTTGAGAAAAGTACTTGAGTTACCAGCGGTGATAATGCTGGCATTCTATAATGGGAATCGGGGAATGGACGAAGTACTCACCCACTCATCTCCTCACTTCAAATTCTGCCAGTGAAACGTCTGACGCTTGTGTAGAGATTTGAGGCCTGAAACCCTTGAACTACACCTGTTCAAACGTGTTGGTTGTAACGTTACCGTAGGAAAGACGAGTCACGACCAGAAGTCAGCTTTCCGAAGGCCACCGGTGACCCATAGCCCAGCAATTGGATATGAGAGTTTTCAAGAGACGCGCACGACAACTTGAAAGTTGGGTTGCAAACCTTGTGGTCACGGGTTGGCACAAACGTATCACGTGTTAACGTCGCGTCAGCTTTGCAGGCCAATAGCCTACGTAGTTTTTGTAGCAACAGGCAAGATGTGGGGGGGTGATGCAGGGAGCAAGATCATGATGTATGAAAAGAGTTTTAACGCAACCAAAAAGAAACTGTGCAGAGATACTTATTGACCATGGGGCCCGAACTAACTCTGAAACGACTCGCGTAGTACTTTACGACTGAATATACTGGATTCAGAATAGATTTGCTATTATATATGAACATTTTTCGAAGGCTATAATTCCGCCCAAATTGAGAGTACATATCGGTAAGATATAGCTACTCATTCTTCGTAGATTCCCAACTATGCTCCCACAACTTCTTCCTCTGTGCCTCAGTTCCAAAGTATCTCTTTTTGCCGAGGTTCTCCCCATGCGATCCGATTCTGAACGCGCCTTTGGTGCTGTTGAATATCCCATGCCACATATACTCGGCGCAATCTTCAGGGGCCGTCGAGACGACGTATGTCAAGCCATTTATAATACCTGAGGTCGCTCGGAGGATCGTCGATTGAGCGGAGGATAGAATGTTAGTGCGTACGAAACCTGGGTAGGCGTGGATAAAGGTGAGGTCTTGATTTCGTTCAGCGAGTTCCTGCACAAATTTTGAGTACTCAATCATGAGAGAAAAAATGTCACACACCTCCATCATAAGATCGGTGTAAGTCGGCGAAGCAAGCGCGGCTTTGGCCACAGAGAATGATTTTTTCAATCCCAAATCCTCAACGTCAATCTCCCCACCCTTCCCAGCGCCCAACACCGAACACACTTTCGCGTCCTCCCCATCTTCCTTTGCTCTCTTCAACGCAGGCAACAACCCATTCGCAAAAGTCCACCTGGCATAATAATTCAGCGCCAACTTCCGATCAATCCCCTCCTCCGTTTCATCTCGACCCTTCAACGTCATGTACCCAGGAGACATGATGAGAAAGTTTATCTTCGGATGGCGCGAGAGGATTTCCTTGGTCGTAACGTGTACGTTCTTCATGAGTGTCGCATCGCATTCGATGAACTCGTGAGTGACGCCTGGGGTCGTTGGTTTGGGGAGTTTGGCGATGATGGCGTCAGCGGCGGCGCGATTCCTCCCGGCAATGATAATCGTTGCGTTGCCTTGTGTGTATTTCCCCAAGGCTTCAGCCATGGCTTGGCCAATTCCAGAGGTGCCCCCGACGAAGAGGGCTACGGGTGGGTAGGACGGAGAAAAAGCGGCGTTTGAAGATCGGATTGAGGCGAGAGATGACATGCTTGATTTTGAGAAGAAGGTGGTGGCCACGGCGAGGAGAAGAGGTAGGAGGATGAAGGCAATGTATTTGGAAGATGGCATTCGAAGAAGAGCCTCTTCGCACACGGCCTTTTGTATGGGGCTAGTGACACGCGTCTTCTCGGCATAACAATGAATGCCGGCAAACGCGTCGTCAAATCACGTGCAGCGCTTACTCTAGGCTGAGTCCGAGCTGATATTGTAACCTTCCTGGCAATTGTTCCTTGCAAAGTAGGGTTGGATAGATCGGTATGATATGTGGTGGTGTAGATGATGCTCTGTTAAACCTTCATGGTAGAAAAAGCCGAGGACAGCTTGGACGCGAGAGAACTGAGAGCATTGTCATAATCGACGGGATATCCTCATTGGAGTGGTTTTGAAAAGAATGCTATCGACGTGGGCCGTTGATACAAATTTGGGTCCGCTCATAAGCCATTTTCATTAGACGCAAGTGCTGTGCGCCGTCGGTTTCATTTGTGGGAAGGAAATTGCCGGGCGATCATCGACATGAGGAAGAGCCCGGTAAGGATGGCGGGAAAGAAAAAATAGTAGAGGCGTATCGTCATGACCGCGTTCATTGAGATCCAAAGATAGGAAATCACAGCGCTTGAAGACAGCTGAACTTCAGTGGTTTCCGGCTAATTCCAATGAAAGGGATGATCGCTGCTCTTGAGTGGCCAACGAGTGGCGATCATTCCATTACCCTGATCGTTGGTTTAGAGATATTTAGGTGGACGAAGATGGAAACCTACACCAAACATATTGGTAAGACGAACTTCTCCAATCACTTCCAGAGACTTGCACAGAATAATATTGAGAAGGCGAGCAGATTTTCATCCACCGCCGTCAAAACTTAGTGGTGCGAAAAAACGCAAGGTAATGCATTCAATAGGAGGCAGGCGAGAGACGATAGACCGCAAGCAAGAAACATCGGAGCGAAATCGCCCTCTTTAGACTCGGAGGGATGAGAGCACCAAAAAATTCTTCCAAACGAATCCGTTCAAAGAAGACCTGCGGGCGTGGCAGAGACATGGCGGAGCGATAAATTGTTGGATAGTTGACGATCAGTAGAGAAACCTCATCAGGAACATTTGAGATCATGTATGATTGTGTTTAGGTTGTGGTGGGAACACTAGTGTGACTGGACGATCATGTGGTGTGACAATCGCCTTGATAAGTTATCATGTGACCCTCCTCTTCACTTTTGTTTACTCTGGCTCAACTCTGGCTTTGCGTAGACTACATATCATTGACATATCAAGGTTTCAACACCTCGAGTCTTCGGCATAGTATTTGAGTCACCCAAAGTCAATGCAAGGTTTGACCAAATACTTATCTCCCTTGCAATGTTTGCAGCTCTTGCGTAGGGGTAAATTTCTGCTCAGGCTCAGGTTCCGAAGCGTGCGCTTCAACTTTCTGGCGCGAAGGCTACTATATTCAACGCGTCGTTCGGCCGACCGAAGAAGTACCTTACAGCAAATGCCAAGCAGGAATTTCGAGTAACTTTTCCATTTCCGTGGCCGATCTCAAGGACAAACCGTTAAGCCTAAACTTGAAGCACGCAATTCTTCACTGCACTAAGATTACGATCTGGTCTCCCATTTTTACAAAGCAAAGTTTCTATTGTACAAAGACGTTATCGTAACAGTATATGACCGCCGTGAATCCAAAAAAAAAAAAAGCGAAAGAGGAGACAGAAATATATAGCATTACGTGATTACAAGATACCCTTTTCGCGCTCGTCCATATGTTTACTGTCGGTAGTGTGGACATGCCCCTCATCGAGGTTGTTCAACTCATCTTCCCTGTGGTCGAGGTCGCGCACTGACCACCAGAAAGCGAGCCCCGATACACCAGCGAGGACACCCATAACGCCGTAGTTCCATACTAGCAGAGGGTCGGAGGAAAGGGCTGACGAGACATTAGTGCCGTGAAATAAAAGGGGAGAAGGGGGTAACTCACAAACGAAGGCTTCTCCAATAGCACTTGACAGCGCGCTCATAAACAGGAAGACGCTCATAACAAGGGACCTCATGTTCTTCGGGGCTTTAGTGAAAGCGTACTCAAGCCCAGTGATAGAAGCCAAAATTTCGGATATGGCGATGAGGACGTACGCGCCCGATTGTATCCAGACGTTCAGGGGAGAGACCTGGTCGGCGGGGCATGAGGAGGCGAGATACCCGCAGGGGTTGGTCTTGTAGATGTAGTGCTGAAGGACGGCAGCCCAAACCATGGATGCGGCGCCGGTGTAGAAGCCAAGGGTGATCTTCTTGAGGGCGGTGAAGTTAATGCCTACACGACGAAGGAGGGGGTAGACCTAGAATTGGAGGTGAGTGGAAGCGTGGCAGAGACGAGTGGGGAAGCTCACGATGAGATCGCACACTGGGATCAGGATTAGGAGAGCAAAGGGGTCCAAGTTGGAGAGGACGTCATTGGGCACATTGTGCGTAGACATGGTGGCGGCTTGTGATGTGAGATTGTTGTTAAGCTGGTTATACGTCAACCCTACAAGAACGTCAGTTGCGTAAAAAAACAAAGGAGCATCGAGAGACGTACAGTATAGGGGGTACCAGCAGAACACTCCGCAAGCCTTGATACCTCGCTTCACTTCATCAACCCAGACGTCGTCGAACGTCATCCACGAAGGCCTGTTCTCGGGGGTATGGTTGCTCGGCTTGGCCTTGTCCCAGAATCCATCAGCATTGAAGTTCCTGTACATCCTCACGGGATTCCAGCTCCATTTTCCACGAGCAGCATACGCCCATAGACGAAGAGAGGAGGCAAGAACGGAACCCGTTGGTGGAGAGCGCTGGTACTTATTACGTCCGATCCATAGGACGACGGGGCAGAGTAGGAAAACAAGGGTAGGAAGGGTATAAGCAAGCCAAAATCCGACGTACTAACAAAAAAAATATCAGAGTGGGTTGTAACGCGGAAGACGAAAGAAACCCACTTTCTCAGAATAAGACATCCCAATTTGGCCAACCAAGGCACCGACGTTGATAAACATGTAAAAGTACTGAAAGGGGTAAGCGTATTGCCCGATTCGGTTGAAACGTGTCTAGCGTACCATGTACACACGCGACACCGTCAACGCAGGATCCACAATGACACGCTCGCCGTTCGGGCGGGTGATGACGAAGAGCTTTGTGCGTTTATACTGCTCCGCGACGAGGGGGGATATATTGGCCTTGAACAAACCCGTTCCCAAGCCCATAACAATGAGGGCAACGGCGAATGCACCGACGGCACTTGATTTCTCGATGATGCCTGGGACGGCGGCGACGACGAGGATAACGTGTCCGACGAGAGCAACGAAGACGGCGATACAGATGGTGTTGAAGCGGCCGAGGTAGGTATCAGCGATGTAAGCCCCAAGTAATGGCGTCACGTAGCACCTGGAAGCGTGGTGTTGGTGAGATAGGCGTTGGCAACTACGATCGTGGGGACGTGCTCACCAAAACTGATAAAAGGTCGTGAGACCAGTGGAAGCGCGCTGGCCTAACCCGAGAGCACCCGATTGATACTTGTCGAAGCCTGCACCCGTATGGGAGCCAGGGGGAAGAGGTTGTTGGATGTAGTTGGTGAAGACAACGCTTGAACCGTAGAACTGGTGTAATGGAAGGTAAGTCACGACGACAAAGGGTGAAAATGAGCGAAAGGGTCGTACAGAGAACCGTTCAGCCAATTCCACGACAGCGATGACTAAAAATAATTTTTGAGCGAAAGAAGGAGGAAAAAAATGGGGTACGACTCACGGTAAGCGTTCCAGGGGATAGTATCAGCCACACGTCTTAGCGTAGCCCTCTCCTCGTCTGTCGGAAACTCAAGACCATCGTGAATGTCATCGAGCTCATGGCTGTTGACATCGGAGCCGTTGGCATACGACACCTGCTCGGTGTCTTTCTTCATGTCGCCCATAGCCTCGAAGACCTCGTCGTCGTGTTGCATGGCGGGCAAGGAGTGGAGGTGGGTGTGGGAGCGTGAAAACGCTGTGTGGGGAGCGGTGCGGAAGGTGCACGTAAAAAGGAGAAGAAGACGGCTGCCGGTCGTTTTCGTGATTTCTTTCCCTCATTCTTATAGCGTCGGGCTTTGATAGGCCAGTGACTGGCTGCACATGGAATCATGGAGAGATCGCGAATTATTTTTAGCTAGGTAGAAAATTGCGTGACGATCGATCGAGATCTGAAGGAATTTTGCCGGGGCGGACCGTTGATCGGTCTGGGCTTGTTTTGTGGGTTTTGACGACATTATTGCTTGTGGTGAAAAGAGTCCTGCAGTTTGTCATTAGAATTTTTTGAGGGGTACATACGCCTGACGTTAGGATTGAGATATCGAATTCTTGAATGACCCCGGGCCGCAGCACATTTGCGGGGACGCCTGGAGTCAGCCGGGATATAGTTGACAAGCTCCCGCCCACAAATTTCTTCAACGCAACTCATTCCCGACGAGAAAAAAGTTTCGCCCGACGACCGCTATTTTTAGAGAATGAGCAATTAATCCGCCATCCCGTCGTCCTTGGCATCGTATGACTCCGAAATCGCCCTACAACGGGTTTGCTCAGATTCTGCTTCCCTCTCCCTTCGCAATGATCGCTCGCATTCCCTAGTTTAATTAACGGCATTGTGTCTGACGAGTTGATGAGTTCTTACACAGGACAGTACCCTCACGCGACAATCCAATTCCAGGTCTCCATGCACTCGCATTCTAAAAATAGACTCCCCCACCAGCATGCTTCACTTGACGATAATAACTTTTCATATCATCGGCGTTCGAAATCCAGCTCGGGAACGGGCATGAGAGATACCGGAGACATGACGTCTGGACCTCGACAAATTGTTCTCCACACAACGTGTCCCTCCCTGCCGTTTTCCCCAGTTCCTTCCGGTGGTTATGATTGAGGGATACGATTCAGGAGAGATAATTTCACTTTCCCCCAGGTCCGTCCGGGAGGGACCCAAGGTTCCCCAGATTCGTCTATAAGAGGTGTGGTGGGAGCCGTATATAGTAACGCGGCAAGTAGGAGGGGACGGGAGTATCGAGCTTGGATCCCGCGCGTGCGCTTATTTCGTCTCCATCACGGACATAACACCTATCACGTCTTATCGGTCCCGCGTCAGATAGACGCGACATGTTATCACGCCATGTTGTCGCCAGTCTAGTGACAGATACAGGATTCGGAATCCGGTTAAAGAGAACTGTCAAAAACATACCAGGAATTCAACATATCGGCATGGAGTAAACGCATGCAAGGGGGAGCATCTTACGTCCACCCCCGCGAAGCATATGGTGCCCAATGTTCCAAAATTAACAATTTCATTGTGGTCAGGCCCAACTATGATAGGAAATCCTGAGCGGTGAAAGCGATTCAATATAAACACTGAGGAATAAGCTGAGATTGACGCACACATGACCTTAAGAATACCAGCGGCAATAAATAGATTGTGGTGGAGTTTATACATAGATTCGAGGGCGTGGGCGAATATATATGGGCCCCTATGCGAAGTCAAGACGATATGCGAAATCTTTTATGTAGGTGCATGAGAGTTTGAGGTATGTTCTAGGGCACTTGCCGAGGCACATTGTCCACTCGACGACCCTATATTTTTGAGCTGCGATGGGGTTTATAATACAGGTACGCGGCGTGTTTGATGAGCCGCGATAAAGCATACGTTCCTAGCAAATGAATTAGATATGCACATGCAGACAAATGACACAGAGGGGATGTACACCAGGAGACGCATTTCCGATGGCATCTGTATCCGTTACTCAGATGATGATGAAGAGAAGGGCGGTAAAAACTCAACAAGATTGACAGAGTTGGGCACTTTTGTCCATCATCTCCTGTTTTTCTTGCCCTTCTTCCCTCCAAAGGCGCCACTGGCTCCATCGCCGCATCTCCTCGTCCCCTCCCTCCCACTCTCCCTCTCCCTCTCCGGCTCCCGGTCTCTCTCCCTCTCCTCCTCCCGTTGCCTCGCCCTCTCAGCCTCCCTCTCCCGGTCCACTCTCTCCATCCAACCAACCAGCCACGCCAATCCATCATTCCACAGCAACGCAGCCCCACCCATGATGAACACAAACCCACTTTGGAAGTAATGAATGTAGAAGCCGAACCACGCGACGGCCTTGAAGAATATCCATGTCCACCGCACGACGGGCACGATGATTTTGAAGAGAAAGTACCCAGTGATAAGGAAGGCGATGAGGAACCGGCTTTTGCGGTGTAGGTAGGAGATGAGAAGGAGGACGGACAGGATGATGAGTTGGGTTTTGAGTGAGTATGCGTGGATTATGGGGACCGTGATGGTGGGCCACATCGTCGTGGTCGACGGCGTCAACAGTGCACAAGAGTCGAGGCTTATTATGTAATATGCAATCTCCTTTCAGTTGATTACTTTCCGCCGAAAACCTTAATTCTTAAAAAGGAGCGCCATGGGCGGTATTTCTGTTTGGGATACCGACGGACGCCGAGGTGGTTTTGAGTTACAGGGCTTGTGACATTGGCTTTGGGCGAGGTTTATGGGTGGGGGAGCTGGTGAGACGCAGAGAGATCGTTGGTTTATTTTGAGTCGACGTCGCGTCAAACACGGCATGTTCCCAGAGGTCAGGTGACGTTTAACCATTTCGAGCATTAAGGTTTTCGGCGGAATCTCAAAAGTGTCTCCTTTGTTTGTCGAGAGCTAAGTCACTTCGCCGGGCCCTCTGAGACATTGTTATTTTCCATCATGCCTACGCGCTCATACGCTCAAACTACCTCTAAGCCTCTGGTTCCAATCTCGTTTAACTATGTCGCTGAAAGACCTGAAATGATTCAATCACTCACAATGCCCCCAAGGACCATCACTGTGTCGGGCGCGGCATTCTCGACTTCTGCGGGTGCGCAAGAATGTTTTGATAAAGGCGACAAATCCCTGTTGCCCCTCAGCACCTCCGGCGATATCACTGAATACCAGGTAACGGCCGTCGATGAAAACGGCGTAGAGTTCAAACATAAGTTACCGTTTGGCGAGGTATGTCAGCATCATCCAGGATCCTTGCAATGTCATCTAATACAGTTCACAGAGGAACGAGAAGTTGAAATTAGATAACAAGTCGCTGCTTGGACGTGTTGAGGTTCTTACGCGTCGGGTACATGATCTTGAGCAGACGCAGCAGAGGCAGCAGGATGCGGACAGGGTCATCCATCAATGGCAAATGGCATCGACAGCAGTAGAAGGTTTCATTTTCCCTTATGTCCCTAATGATCTGCTGACCCGCTCTCATAGCCTACGAGCGCCTCCTATTAAGGGAGCCCCGTGCCGTCTCCAAGGCCTCACGGACAGCGATGAATAACCACTCTATCAGAGATGGTATGTTTGTATGCTCTCCCCTTTCACTCCCTTGCTTACCCTTATATTACAGTATCAGAGCTACGTTATTTGAGCATACAACACAGGATGGACGAAAATGAGCGTAGCAATCGAACTCAGGCCGCGTTAACAATCTACAATTCCATCCCCCTCCACTACCGACAGATTCTCGATCGCCTTGTGCGCGCAAAGACTGCTCTCTCCCAGGATAGGACACCTTTAGCTCACCCAGCGGTGAAAAAGTCGGAGATTGCGGGCTTCTTGGCACCTCATTTCGGGCATCAAACGAATCCTGCCACGGAACTGCTAAGAACTGTTCAAGACGTGCGGGTGTTGACGGGGTCTGGGGAGTGGGTTCCTATGTTTGTGGAGGGCTAACTCGATTGTTTTTGTCCCTATGACTATCCGTAATCCTTAGAATATCGACATAATATTAGATAGGTTTACTACAGCTACTGTACCTTCTACCGGGCACAACACTTTTGGCGTGCCTCGAGCGTGCAGGAGTGTGCACATCGGCGTGCTTGCACGCCAATTTCTGCACATCTATAATATCAGTTTGAGGGGCCACATATCACTGGGGAAGAGGCTTGAAGCTTCCCAGTGAGAACGGGATCGGAGGGAGGCGAAGCTTAGCAGTAGTATTTTTGACGAGACCGGAGGAGAGCGGTTGGGCAGAGGACAGTTAAGATCCGATAAGGGCGGCTTACGACCTAGATTTGCCGCCCATCTGAAATAAATATGGTGCCCCCATTCTAAAGCTCTCAGAGATGGACAGAGGTAGTCTCTACGGATTTCATCTGATTCCTTTGGGACATGTTCAAATTAAATAACTACCGAATGCTACAGAAATATCTGGGTTCTACGGAGAGAGTCTGCGGTTATCTGAGTATCTAAGCGGCTCAGGTCCTTCTCGCATACTGTACACTTGTCTGTTCAAGTCAGTTGAAGCCCGTGTCGAAGGAAATCTATGAAGTCCGCTAACGTGTTAGTACACAGCGAGAGGTACTAGAATATGGGGCACAGGGCCTGATGTCGAAGGCAATAAATTACGGATCCGTGCATCCCCTGCCTGCGCCGCAGTGACGAGAGCTTTCCCGGCCTTCCTCTCGGCTTTCTTCGCCTTACATAGCTGTTCAAATTCCAGGAGAACATTATGGATTATGGAAACAAATAAAGAAGAAGACTTACCTTGCGTGTTGCTTCGTCAATGTTACCCCAAAGAACCCGGTATTGTCCTGTCGTAACATGAGGGTGGCATTTCTTGTACTCTTCCGCATACAAGTTTATATAATAAACGAATCAAGTAGGGGACGAGAAGTCGACGTACCGCGCACTCAAACCCTTTCCGATGGAAAGCTGCTTATCGTCACCTTTTGAGGCTTTCTTAGTGGTTTTTCAAGCTAGCGCTGGTGTCGTTGGTGTTTGCCCAATGACTGGAGCTTCCTCTGGGGGACGCGGAACAACTAATTTTTGTCTTAAATAGAGTTAGTGATCTGTTTTGTCGAGGAAAACACTCAAAGTACTTACAGAGGGTCAATCTATTTCACCATAACAATGAATTAGCAGAAGATCGTGTAAAGGGTCAAAAATAAATAGTACCTGACGACGAGACCGGCAAGGAGCATTTTCCACTGGGTTGCTTGAGTTCACGACTGCAGGAGTAAGGTCATCATCCACGGTGGCGACAACAGGAGCTGCAGGCGCAATGATCGCCACATTGGGCGCAATGACAGCCGCGGTGGGCGCAACGGTAGCCGTAGTGGTTGCAGGTGACGTAGCTGCAGTGGGTGCAACAATAGCCGCGGTGGGCGCAACAATAGCCGCAGTGGGCACAACAACATTACTGATAGAGGGAGAGGTGGTGGTGCTGGTAGAGTCGACTGAGCGAGTTGAAATCGTTGAGGATTCGCAATCTTGAGACAATGTAGAAGGAATGACAATGGGGGAAAGCGGGGTTGAGCCAGTTGATGTGAAGGGAGTGGTTGTCGCAGTTTGAAGGGCAGAGGGCGAGGGTGGGTCAGCGTGAATGTGGTCGTCGTCGTCGTCGTCAACGTCAATGGGTGGGGTTGACAGGTGGCAACGTAGGTTTGATTTTCTTTCACTTGTCTTTGGACGCGAATTTGACTTCTGAGTCGTCTTCGTGCTTTCGTTTGCCCTTCGAAGGTTTCTTTCTGGGATAATATCTACGTTGAGAATTGGAGACTAAGATGAAGAAAAACGCACGCAAAATGGTACCGGGATTTCGAACTTTAGAAGACCAGCTAGGGTAACGGGACTCACAGGGCCGTAGTGTCCGGTTCCAAGACAATCGCACGATACCTGGATACCAAATGTTCGGCGGACATCCCTGCCGTATTACCTAGAGGGACGATACGAATCCAACGCGCCGATTTAGTCTCCAAAGTTGAGTTGTTAGCTCATAGTTCTTGAGAGTTCTTGGTTGCTGATGGAGGATCTTATCTCCCTCCCATCGGAGCTTGCCGATGTTGACTGCACAATCTTGGCAAACATCAGCACATCGAGAATTTGTCGAGAATCGCATTTTCTTTTTCCCAAGAACAATCAGGAATGGACTCCACGATTTCCCTCTTTTCGAACTCCCTGTTATCGAATGCTCCGATTTCTTTCTGAATGTCCTTGAAATCAAGTGAGTGCCAAGAAACCCTTACATACAGCACTAAGCAAAACGCACACAACTCAGATAGGACTTTGACGTGACATGTGAAAGGGTTCAATAACGTTCAGGGCATTAACAACGATGGGTCTCAAAATCCCACCACCTCCTCCTTCATTATCTCCTATTCTTTCCCGCCATTGAAACACCCGTACGCTCGGCGTAACACATAAACCGCCCAGCAAAAGTTTCGGGTTCCCCACTTACCCCACCATGCTAGCCCTATCGCTCTTGAATCATCCCATAATCCCTGCTACTTCCTTCGTGGTGCGCGAATTCGTAATCGTCGCTTCTTGCTCGTACGCGATGGTGTCTATTGTTATCTGGGCGCTGTTCGAGTCTCCTATGGAGGTTATGTCGCCTTTTAGGCTGCTGCAAGTTGTTTTGGCGGTTACGGGGTGTGTGTTTTTGACCTTGGGGGTTGTTGAGTGGGTTTATCGGCAGATGTTCCCTGTGGAACGGGGGAGGGATGTGGAGAAGGTGCAGGGTGAAGGGGATGTTGGAAGGGATATGGAGAAAGGGGCGGTTTTGGCGTAGAAGTGGAAGGCGAAGCTAACATGGTACGTCTCGTGTTATTGGATGGTGCTTCATATAACTGAACGACCGAAGCGTTCCCCTCAATCCCCCTTTCTGGTGCAGTTAACACTCCTTTTACGCGGGCTGGCCTCGTATCACTCGCCTGTGCGCTCATTACCACCACATCGTTTTTCCGCTGTTCTACCCCTTCTTTACTAGAGATCGAACTGGACATTCCTCTACATTACTCAGCATAGTAGTTCACTCCTCCCCGGAATCCACAAAATGCTACTTGTGCATTCATATCATTCCTTCCACATATACGCCTAGTTTGTTTAAACGACGAGTACTTTCCGTGCTCTTTCTATTTATGTAAAAAAAATCGAGATTATTTTTGGCTTACGTCTTGTACCGCTCCTCCATCCCCGACATGAGCTTTACTTATGCCAAAGGGTTTCGAAATTCAGAAGTCTTCTGTTCTCACGCATTGACACGATGATCTATGACCCTGATTAGTCCCGGCGCTTAGGTTTGTTGAATCAGAAGTCAACACAACTTTTGTTCTGCCACCAGCACAACGACGAGACTCGAACAACTTGACAGTTATGCAGCGTTACCCTCAACGTCCCCGTGTGGATGGCGCATTCGTGGCGGTCGACCCATTCAAGCCTTCCGTATCACTCGGAATCAAAAACATCATCACTGGGCAGAATGACCCAACGATCGACGACATTCCAGTTAAGCCCCAGCAACAGTATGCCATACCTTACGAAGGGCAGCCTTATGTTCAACCCGGAATGTATCTGCCCCAGCCTTACTCGCAACCAATCTATGTAACTCAGCCTCCTTCCCAACCAATCTATCAACACCGTCGTCCTCATACCCAACCCATTTCTCAACCAGTCTATCCATATCCGCCGAACTTTCGACCACCCTATCCAACCCAACCTCCAGTCATTCTACCCCAGCCTCCAGTCATTGTGTCGCAGCCTGCAGTCGTCCCCGCTCCTTTTATCGCACCATCCAAAGGAAGCAGTTCTGAGAGCAGAAGAAGTTACGGGCAAGGGCACCGTGGACCAAGTAGACGTCCTTCACAAAGCCGAAGTCCGCGCCGTTCACCAATCAGAAGACGTTCGCGAAGCTCGAGGAGAAATGAACAACAATATTCCAGAAGCCCACAACGGCCATGGCTTAGCCGCTTTTGGAGAGGCCGAAGGCATCGCGTTCATACGGGCACACACCAGCCAAGACGTGACTCTGAGCGAGTCGATTCCGCACCTTCCGCGTCTGAAGTTCGTGGGCGCTCCCGCAGTCCTAAACCTCTGGGAGCGAAGGAGTCTGATGAGATTGAAAGTGCAAGTGGGGATGGTTCTTCTTTTCGTTCAGTAAGCCGCAGTCGCCCAATCGCATCTGTATTGCCGGTTCCGCCTATTGTCACTCCGACCATTCTTCCCCACTTTTCCCCTCCTCCTGCGCGTGAGCAGCGTCCCCGCTCTCCGCGCTTCTCTCTTACCTCCCCGCGCTTCTCTCCTACCTCCCCGCGCTTCTCTCCTATTCCACCCCGCCATCCTTCGAATTCTCCACATCGTTCTCGTACTTCTACACGCTATTGCTATTCTGCGCCTTCTCATGAACCTCCCGCCGTACCACCTCCTGCATCACAAGGCTCAACCCGGTCATCTGCAAGTCGGTCGCGGTCAAGAAGCCCCCGAAAATATCCTCTCGATTACCGTGCACGTCCTGCCTCAGGAAGTCGACGCTCACGGTCCCCACCATCTCCTCCTGTCTCTATCCACAGGCCACCCACCGTTATCATACCACCGCCTGCTGTTCGTCCTGCTTGGAGACAACGATCACGCTCACAGTTATATCATGATCGCCGATCACGCCGTAGCTCTCCCCCTAGGCAGGCCAGAAGACATAGCAGGTCCCACTCAAGAAGTGAAAGAAGGTCTTCACGACGAAGGTATTCTTGGGACGAGCCCCAAAATGAGAGAGATTACAGGGAGCGACTGCCTCCCGTCGTTATCCTGCCAGAGCCTGACTATTGGAGACCACACTGGGACACACGATCTCGCCGTCAGTATAGACGGTCGCGCTCCCGTTCTTCTTCTAGCTCCTCCCCCTCCCGCCGTCGTCGACGGAGATCGCGCTCTCAGCCTATCCTAGTCCCAGTGGATACGTATAATGCCCCTTTCGTTCCCCCTGGTTCTAGGCCACATACTCCCATGTACACGCCTCCAGCAACGGATGGTTACAAGCCACAACCATATGTAGTGGTCCAGCCTTTAGCGGGAGAGGACAAAGAAGAATACTATCCGAATTATGCCGTCCAACCGCGTATAACAGCGTACGCAACTGCTTTCCTGCTGGACACGGTTCCGCGTCAGATCTATCTGCATTTCATGCTTCGCCTCCCCTCCTTGTATTTCAGCAGGGTGACACGGATATTCGAAGAGGCGGAAATGTCAATGCCCGAGATCAAAAAAATGGCACTGGAAGCCGCAAGTGGGTGGAAAGACCCCGTGAGGGATATAAATCGAGGGTTCAACTTCGAGCCTCAGGAGCTGACGCCGCCCTACGCGTCTCTGCAGAGTTCTTGGCAGAGTTTCATCGACTCGTTAATGAGAGAATGGAAGACTCTTAATATTATATCGGTTTTGCTCTTATCGTGCGTATACAGACTTTTGTTAACTGGGTTCATTGATACAACTCTCGTATAGCGCCATCTTGACGATTTTGCAAATTGACGTAGCGGCTGCTGATCCATACACGCGATATTCGGCCCTGCTGTCACTTGTTTGTGCTCTTATGAGCCTGCTGTACGGTTGCATCTACATCATCAGGTTTGGTACGATGCGGAAGACGTATAAAGCGGCGGAGTGGGCAACGGTATGTAGCGGGATGCTTCAACGACGGTCACTTATTGAATTGGTAGTTTGATAGGAAGCTCAAAAAACTCGAACGGGTATATGGTGGAACGTCTGGGTTATGCTTGCAATGCCTGCGACGTGGCTAGCTTGGTAAAAAAGCTTCTTTCTTTCTCATTATTGTTCGGCATCATTAACCCATTTTCTCGCAAGGTCAATGATACTCTACATATTTTGCATCATGTCGTTCGTCTGGCGAACTGGGACATCTGAGGACGTCAACATTCATGCGATATCGCCGAGGGACGCACTCGGTCCCAGAATCGCCATCACAGTTGTCTTTTCTTTGGGTCTGATATATTTCCTTCTCATAGTCAGCACATTCAGGCGCTACGGCGACATGATGGATCGGGCTTGGCAACAGCGGGTTTTGGGGTGGGCCCAAGAAAAATTAGGATATGTGTATGTTCCACCGCCACGACCCTACAGCCCATCGTATGCTGACAAGCCACGATCGTACGAGCCAACCACTAGATACCCTACTTCTTTTGCGCAGCATCCCGTTCAAACCGCGTCATTCGGGGCATATCCTTCTTACCCTCAAGCTCCTCCCCGTTCCTCTCCTCCGCGAGATCCAGAGAATCCCACTGTGAATCAACGTCGTAGCTTGTCCAAGCCCGGGGCACACAAACCCAGCTCTCCGTATTTGGATTCATCGTTCCTTGCTCAAGTCGCACCCCCACTCTCCTCCCTCCTCCATATATCACCGAAGCGCACACGCTCTCCGTCTCTTTCCCCTACCCGCCTCAGAGGCACGTCGAATCGTAGGACGGCTCCTTCGCGTTCCCCTTCGCAAGACAAGAAAAGATCAAAGTCAGAATTAGGCGAGCAACGTTTATCTCCAATTTTGGCCGACATAGTACCACCCCCCATTTTCGCTCATTCCCGGTCGAGGTCGAGGTCGCAGTCGATAGCGCGGACTAGTAGGGTGAGGTCGAGATCACCCGCTCTGAGTCAACCTCCACCCGCGACGGATAAAGACGTCCAGACTTTGAAAATCCTTTCTATTTCTACGGAGGGTGTGTTTCGTTGGAATGAGCCCAGACAACTTTTCACGCGTGGTCTTAATTATGCGGATTGGGCGAGATTCAATTATGTCGGTTTTTGTTTTATTCAGATTGGTTGATGGTCTGAAGGGAAACTTCGTCTACAGGAATCTACAGCAGGCTGGCACGACAAGATAGATACCCTACGTGATCCAGAAAGGTTTGCGGTGGGCTCTGATTCGCCGCAACGTCGCCTGGCGCAGGTTCTCGATTGGTGGAATGTTAATTTCTTCCGTGAACTTGATGCCGAAGCCATTCTTGGAGAAGAATCCGCTGATAGCAACGCAACAGCAACTTTTGCCGTTTATCTTGTCATTGACGGTCCCTGTCCTCTGACTGATATCGCCACTTGTTTAAGGGGTTTGCCCAAAGGACTGGATCGCACATATTTGTATCGGATCAACCAGATCTCGGACTTGGAAGCTGTGAATTTGAGAGATGACCTTTTGGATGGGGAGCCATAGATACTCTTTTTTTTTTTTTTTTGGGAATTGAATATAATTTTATGTAAGGCGAGCCAGCTGAGCGTACTGACGCAAAAAGGTAACCTGACTTGTGCAATCATACCATCAAATTTAATACATAACTGTTTTTCTACAAATCCAGAAAAGTCCTTTGTAAGGACGTACAGAAGAACGCTTGAAGAACGCATTCGAATCTACTTTACCAGGAGTTGTTGACGTGACTTCATTGGCTCTACTGTTTGTCTACTGTATTAAATAAATCAATTCGTCGTACAATGACCTGTGACCCGCGCGACCAAATATTATTTCGTCGCGTCGTTGAGCTTGCGAGATTCGTCGAGCTGTAGGCGTGCGCAGTTGGCCTGTTTCTCCGTTAAATTTTTACCAAACCAAAAGCTGTTATAAGCAAGTTATAAGTACCGGGAAACGCGAGAAATTTGATTTTATCTATTCTACTGATGTCTATGCTGTTCAATGTGTACAAGTATTATTTGTTGCCGCGTAATTATTTCTGGGCTCCGCGTTTTTTTTTTCGGTGACGCGTATTTTTCCATAGCGCTTCTTGACGCGTTTTGTCTTGGTTGGACCCTGCTTTGGGCTTCCCGGAGGTCTGATCGACACTAGATACAGAGGACAAGAGCCGAGCACATCGTCGAAGTCAACGACGAGGCCTAGCCCATAACCATGGGCTGTGATGGCGCGATGGGTTTCTATGTCGTTCAGTTGTGCCTGTGTGCTCGGGCCATCTCTTCGAGTCTGACTCTGAGGTACCAGACCGGCCTGACGTCACGTGGACGGGCGACGTCTATGTAAGCAATATGTAAGCGTACTTGTAACGTACTGTCTAACTTGGCCATTTCAAGATTACGAAGTCCATTTCTTAGTGTCAGCTGTCGCTATGCAGCTGCAAACAATGAAATTGCACTGTGCTAATGACTATTCATGTAAGTACTACTAAGACGCAAAATGGATGCGTTATAGTGTTTGTCGTTGACAGCCATGCGGCATATGGGTAAATTCTATCATAAAGTTCATCCTTAGGACATAGATACATGAAGCTCCGGTTTCATTTGAAGGAGGCTTGACTCGGATTCACGTACACACTGGTCATTCATCAGCGCTCGGCAATGCCCGATGAATGGTCAGGCTACTGATGCAGGATGTGAAAAAATACGCAGAGGTTGAGAAAAATACGCGGGGCGAAGAAAAATACGCGTCGACGGAAATGAAAATACGCGTCAACAAATAATACTTATACACATTGAACAGCATAGATGTCTATGCCACTTTGGAAATAGAATTGGCGGCCGACAATTATTTCTCGAAGGCGGTCAACCAGTTGGTCGGATTTCGTCAAGCTTCTCCTAGGGCTGACGTGTAAATGCCCGTGCCAAGATAACGGTGTATCACGATCTTCAGAAGCGTTGATAAAATTGGCGAATAAAGACCCAAGACCCTGCTGCAAACCATGATTCTAGAAACCATGAATGAAGTCACATGAATCCATGGGGAAACATCGCAAGAATAGAGTGTTCGGAAGACTGAAAACCCCATCTCGAATTTCTTGCTCTTTTTCTCATGAATTGCCTCATCGCCGCGGGTACAGATATCAGCCGGGTTCATGATCGATAATCGTGATTGAAGCAAGATTGACATGTGACAAAAAAATTCAAGTGACACATCACTTGGTCGCCTCTTGTGAAGTTTGAGCGACTCGCGAACGTTTGAACGTTCGACATTAACTTGTTCAACAGTGAGTACATATGTCTCCACGAATTTGTTATTCACGACAGGGATTTAGAAGTGTTTACCGGCGTTTCCCAGATTCTTATCGAAGCACTTGTGACTTCGTGCACTTGCCAGATTCCCAGATGTTCCTTGACCACTGTGACTGGAAGGAGAGAAGAAGCTTCTATGTTTCCCTCGCCACCGGTACTATCATGGCTCCTACATCTGATTGGAATGCCGCTCAAGGACGTGCCCTATCAATGGAGAACCGTCGAACCCACAAAGTGGAGCGACATTCACGGTCCGAGGGTAAAAATTGCCTCTCCAACTGTTGATCGACCACTCAACAGCCGCCGCCCACATCTGCGCCCTAAAGTCAAATTTCCCGATCGGGTGTGTGAGGCATATTTGAGTGGTAAACGGTGCATGAGGCATTAACATTCTCAGCCCTGCATTTTGAAGGCACTGCAGCTATGCGAGCGCTGAGGTCACCCGCTCAATTATCTTGATCAAAAGATGTTTCATTCTCGCTGTCGCATCCATTTCTGATCTGTCTCTGGTAATGATCAGGTACCAAGTTTTGGGAGTACAACCCATGACTCCAGACTTTTCGCATACCTCGTCGTTATCACCCCAAGCACCACCTGACGTGAACGGTAAGGCCTTAACCGGACCAACAATGGGACGACAAGCCAAACAAGAGTATACTCTTCCAGTCATATAAAGACGCGCCAGTGTCCATCCTATTCTCAAGGAATTCATCCTTTACATTGCCTATCTAGCCTACACTTGCCGATCATGTCTCGCTTCGTCATTTCTGGTCCTGGTGGAGGTGCTCCAAACCGCCTCGAAATCAGAACGTTCGTCCAGCATGACAAGTATTTCTCGCTCTACATCCAAGCTCTCCGTACGTCGAAAGACATTTTCTGGTTGAATAAGCGAACTAACGCCCAGCATGTCCATCAGAGCTTATGTATACGAAAGAGTCGCAGGCCGCTCTCCAATCTTTCTTCCAAGTCGGGGGCATTCACGGCTTGCCGTATATCCCTTGGGATGGCGTGACTGGTATCCCGAACCCTACTTGGGGTGGATACTGTACTCACGGTTCGGTTCTCTTCCCCACTTGGCATCGCCCTTATGTTTCCGCGTTTGAGGTAATTTTAAACTACGCGCTTATTTCTTAACTTCTAAATGGCATATCTAAGCAAATTTTGTGGACCCGCGCACAAGAGGTTGCCGCAACTTACACAGTCGATCAGGCGGCCTGGAAGGCAGCTGCGACTACGCTTCGTCAACCTTACTGGGATTGGGCAGTCAACTCCGTACCACCTGATGAAGTGATCGCCAAACAGACGGTGTCCATCACTGGTCATGACGGAAAGAAAAAAGACGTTGCTAACCCTCTTTATCACTATACATTCCACCCAATCGATCCTTCTTTCCCCACACCTTACAGTGGCTGGAAAACGACTCTCAGGCAGCCCACGAGCTTGCAGCCCGATGCCACCGATAACATTGCAAGGCTGAGATTGTATGTTCTTAATTAATCGATTCAAAATGACCCAACTAAGATGTTGTTATTTCATAGGGTCTTGAAGAATGCACAGTCCAATATTCGCTCAAACACTTACAATCTGCTGACCAGAGTCACCACTTGGCCCGCCTTCAGTAACCATACGGTTGGCGATGGCGGAAGCACCAGTAACAGTCTCGAAGCCATTCACGATGGCATTCACGTCTACGTCGGAGGTAACGGACAAATGGGCGATCCAGCCGTCGCAGGCAAGGTTCTCCTTTTGCGCCAAAGTTGCATCTAACTCACATGGTGATATTATAGGCTTCGATCCCATCTTTTTCTTGCATCACTGCAACGTTGACAGGCTGCTCTCTCTTTGGAGCGCACTCCATCACGGTGTTTGGGTCACACCAGGTCCTTCCCAACGTGGGACCCTCACCATTCCCGCGAACTCTACCGTTGACACGAACACGAGTATGTAATGCCTCGGTTCACCAATTTATTGATCTCATTTAATAATCAGACCTGACGCCTTTCTACCATACCCAAACCGCGTTCTGGGCCTCTGCTGGCGTTCCCGACACTACGAAACTCGGCTACACGTACCCTGAGTTCAACGGCCTCGATACATCTAACCCTGCAGCCGTTCAGAAAGCCATCGCCGCTATCGTCAACAAGCTTTACGGGAGCGCAGTGTTCGGCGTTCAATCCGCACTTGTTCAGGAGCCCGCCGCAGCTGCTCAGCAACCCGTCGCAGCCGCTGCACCCTCCGCACCCTCTGCAGACGATCATCACCCAACTATTCAGCACGCGGGCCACGGCTACCCTCGGGATTGGACTGCGCGCGTCGAGTTCAAGAAATTTGAGACTGGCCAGAGCTTCTCCGTCCTGCTTTTCCTGGGTTCGGTTCCCGAAAAACCCGAAGAATACATCACCAGCCCCCACTTTGTCGGCGCTCACCATGCGTTCGTCAATAGTGCCGCAAGTCACTGCCAGAACTGCCAAAATCAAGCGGAATTGGTCGAGGAGGGTTTCGTTCATCTCAGTCGCGGAATTTTGCAATACGGAAAATTGGAGTCTTTGGACGCGGAGGTTGTTGAGCCTTACCTGACCAAGGATTTGCACTGGAGGGCTGTTAAGGTTCGTGAACATACATCCATTGGATATTGATCTGACTTTGCAATTACTCCTCAACAGGCCGACGGTATTACCCCTGTTGAAATCCCCTCTTTGGAGGTCAGCATCTTCTCGACCCCATTGACTTACCCACGTGGTTCAGCCTTCCCCATCGCTGGGAACACTAATCGCCACAGCGGGATCACTCATGGTCGTCGTGGAGGGAGTCGCGAATTGCACCCTGGCAATCATTAAACGGTGTTTGAATGAAAGTGTTGGGCGGACGTCAAAGAAGTGATCCTAAGAAATCTGTACTTGTATTCGATGATATTCATTACGCCGCAGCTTCGTCAAAGTAGTTTGTATTGCAGAGAATTTGAAACACGAACAATTGTCTTTTCTTGATGTCGGAAAATAAGTACAAGTCGAGATAGCTATTTGGGTTTAAAATAACTCCCCAAAGTAGCTTGCTTTATTACTCGAGGCTTGGGTAGCCTTTCGGGATTTTTCTTGTCGCAGGTCGCTTGATCCGCTGGAGCTGTCGTGTTCTGTCTCATGGAATCCTGGGAAGAGGGACTGTCAAGCGACTGGACAACGGGGGCCCACAAAGAAACTGACCTTGCTTTTGGAAGAAGACGCGATGCTTGGGATATCCGATAGCTTGGGTGGTACCATCTCCGAAATTTTCTGAAGAGCAACATTGAGAGAACATCCAAGGGACGAAAAACGAAACAACTTTACCTGACGTTTCAGTAGCGGCTCCATGATTTCCTGGCGGGGAGAAGGCACAGAAAGGGAAGGACTTGACACGTTAGCATGGGCAGCGTTGACGATGGCCATGCACTCTGCGATCGCTGTACGGTCATGCGCTATCCCAGCTGCATACAAAGAGCCGTATGGCGCCGCTTTGCGCTTCTCTCCCGACTTTCCCTTGCCTGCAGCCATTTCGGCTTTGAGCCTCTCTTTCATAGAATCCCAATCCTCGCCCATTTCAACCTCTATCTCGTCCCAATCCTCTCTCTTCTTCTTCAACGGTTTCTTCGCTGCTTTTGCCGCCTCCTCCCTCTCGTATTCATCGATAATGGCTGTAGCTTTCGCCAGTGACATAGGCCCAGCATCGCCTGCAAGTTGTCTTTCCTTTCGCCTAGCCTTTTTTCGTTTTTGCTTGTCCCTGCACTGCTCGCAAGTCAGGAGGAGCTGGGTCTTCGGCACTTGACGTGTACATTGAGTGCAGGAGCGAGTATTTGAACTTGGATTAATCTTCGCCAGCAATAAAGCCATCTCCATGTTGGAAACGCGAGATTTGGAAGAGGACATGTTGGAAGATGGGAGAGGTGCGAAAAATCAGGTGACCGTGACAAGCGTGAAATCGTGACAGCCGCAGGAATCCCTTTCGAAAATTTACCCCTGTATTATTATTCCAGGAACGCAGCGTAACATACACACTGTCTTTTCCATTGCATGAACAGTGATATATCATATATGGACGTCCATCTTGGCCATTTTTGGCTGATAAATTTTGCATAACATCCATCCTCCTCTCCATTGTATCCCTGATCATCGCCAGTCCACTTCCCCTTCAAACCGCTTGGCCTGATGGAATCTTCGTCTCGACAGTCCCTTTTTGACGCCGTTAAGAGTCTCTCAGGCTGTTAACTAAACCATTCTAGCCCGTCCTTCCCCATCATACCACCAATCGCTATAAAGGACGCTTAGGACGGCGAAGACGCCCATCACATCGTCGGTGAATATTTTACAGTATTCCAGCAGGCAAACAGACATATAAATCTACATCCCAACAGCTCACTCAAATCACAACGACCTACAACCCCCTTGGCGACCGTGAGTGATGGCACCAAATCGGCGCTTTTCAGCAGGCACGGGAAAATCAGAATCAGGAGGATGGATCATGCGCGTCGCAAAGATGCAAACTTCCAACGAGTTGAGCTGTGCAGCAGACTCATCCTTCTAGATTCCGAGTCACCTCAACGCGGAAATTGACGTTAGTGAGAAAAAAACTAACCTTTTGCACCCTCCAATTCAAATTTCTCTTGAGATATGGTTCAACTGCACTGGGCTCCAATGATCCTAAATGGCTTCGCTCCGCAATTGCAGTGGAAAGATGTACGAATCCTTCCTCGAGTACAGGACCCCTATTCCCACCACTACCGCTATCAACTATTGCATGATGTGCGCCAACGAATTGGGGGCAGATAAGCCAATCCATTGGATCTTTAGGGACCTCGCCCAAGAAGACGATGACGGTGTAGCTCTGGCCGAGCTCGTATTTCTCGCATTCGATACGTGCGGTCCAATCCCAGAAAGACATTGTGTGCTTAGATGCGAAATGGATCCTTGAATGGTATAGTAAAATTCCAAGCTTCGAGTGAAGGGCGGACAGCGAGATGGGCGTTCGGGTGCAGGTGTCGTGTTGTGGGTAAATGAGTCTTACTTGGACAAATCTATGCAAACAAGGAACCATAGGAGCATGTGCGTCACTTTCGCTGCGGTTTTGTTCATGGGTTGCGGTAGTAAATATAGATCCCCACTTCTAGGGCGTCAGGCACCATTCACAGAAGCGTTGACGGTTGAACCCCAATTACCCCAGCTGACCGATCTCCACTGTCCAACTGATTGTTCGAGATAAGAACAGATACACATCTTTAGAATCAGAGATGTTCTTGTCACGACAGAGGGAATGGACCAAGATCCGGGATCTTCCTCTTCGAGGAACTAGACTGAGCAATCAGTACGGTTAACGCCACTGTCCTATTAATGCCTCACGGACTCGACGGTTCAGAGGCACCTAAAAAGCCAGCTATGATTCTTTCAACTACCCCATGTCCGCTTCCCGATGTCCATCCCAAGACAACCCACTTAAATATTTTCTTTCCTAAGCAGTGTGTTCCTGATCATACTGGGCGGCCTGGACCTAAGGAGAAATAGGCGGTTTGGCGGCAGTTGGTGGACAATCGGCCGACATTCGGTGGGGCTGGACCTCCCTTCGATCCGTGAATCGAATTCGAACGACGCAATCAAATGAAAGCATCGGTGAGGATGACAAAAAATCGCCAGATTCGCTCATGTCAAGCTCATGTGCTCCTGTGGCACCAGCGTAAGGATTTTTTGACGTCCGTGGAGTTCGAACAACTTCATAGAGCGATGTGAATAGAATCAGGCAAAGTATCTCGCCTGTAAGTACGATCGTGGATACACACGTTTGAGCAGGACCGTAGTCTACCAGGCCCTTGCCTTTATCAGTCCCGAGAAAGGCGATCAAACAACCTCTGGACCCCAAAAACTAAGAATCTTGGAAGGGAATGGTTGAAAATTCACGTGAGTTGTGAGCGGCCATGAGACTTCAGTCCCTCGTTTGAAGAAGGAAAGCCTGGAAAACGAACGGCGTTATCGTTTTGAGTGCCAGTCGTATAACGGAATGTGAACGTTCCAAACGGAAGCTGGAGAGACGATTTTGATCTGGTGTGAAATGGATCTCGGGACGAGAGTCCAGAGAGGGTATTGAGGTAGTCCACCCAACAAGCAGCGCGGCAGACAGAACGAGCGCAGCTGACATTGACACTTAGGATTATCCCTTCCCGTCGCGACCCAAGTGAATCCAACGTTCACTGAGGAAGGCTTTCCGCCTTAAATTCGAGGTCAACGGGACCGCCGAGCTAGCTTCTGTGCCGGGCAAAGGGCGCTGACAGAGCACTGCTCAAGGAGCAAAGAGTGCTTTCGCGACTTCGAATGAATTTCTTTTTGAACAAAAAGGATCAGAGGCTAGACGTCACGTATCTTCTCGATGACAAGTAGTCGGCTCTAGACCCGCGCTTTTCGTGTATCGTCCTGGTACGTAAGTTCTTCTGAAAAAGTCAACACTTGCCCCTCACCAACGCTGATCAGCTTCATGAATAACATACCAGAGACCATCGCCCACTGCCCTTAGCAAAACAAACCAAGGAAGATTGCTTTCGATCCATCGCTTTACCGCAATTTGTGAGAACTTCAGCCTCACCAGAACAACTATAGAAGATACACTCAACAAAGATTTTTGTCGCTCGACGCTGTTGATTGCTCATGCCGCATTCTTGTGAGATTTGAATTGGAGTCCAATGTGCATCGGACGCTGCTTTTCCATAGACAGCTACACAACCAGATTCTTGCAACTAGAGGATCAAGAGGTTGACGTGAGGGTTGTCAGCCGAAAAAAATGACTGTTTGGACGCGAGGTCACGAGGTGGTTACCAATTACCGCGTGCAGTGACACAAAGCTAATCAATCAGAACGCGTGGTTACGAACATAAGCCCACAGTGACAAGGGGGCAACGATAAAAAGTTACTTTAGCAAGGAATGGATCGGGCCTGACTGGGAATTGAACCCAGGACCTCCTCGAAACTGATAAACCCCTAACAAGGAATCATACTAGTACTACTAGACCATCAGGCCAGTGACATTTCATATGATTCTGAAGGCTACACCGCCAAATGACAGGCATGTGAGAAAAACCTGAGAGTCAAACCCTGTGTGGCATGTTTTCCCACCTGTCAGGCAATAATGATCCGAGTCCACACCATGATCGAAATCCGACTAATAGCAGGGTGTGCCCAGGTCGATCTTGGCACTACCTGTCTGGGGCAGCTGGGGACCAGCTGGCAGCCCAGCCTACGTAAATTCACTATATTTTCAATATTTCTCCCTGGCCATATTTGTACTAGGTGTTCATGTTCTTATTTAGTCCATAAAATACAAGGGGCAAGGAGAAGTATGACGTTGGCCACATTTTCATAAGCAAGGATTATAAACAGGCTGCATAGTACAAAGGTATAGGGTGTATGGAAGGATGTGAGAAATGAGGCAGCTCCAATTACTACCTGTGTCTGCTCTTCCGTTCAAAAAACATTCCCCCACCCGACCACCCTTTGCGCTGTCCGCCGAATGCGCAACCACAAACAAGGCACGTCAAAGCGGAGCCTCTGGCTCGTTGAATGAGAGGAGGGTAGCGGAGGGCGGATACCACGTTGAGACGTTGTCTGGAGAGCCAAGCTTGGGTTTGATGATGGTGATAGGCGCGCGTCTACTGCGGCTGCCGCTACGTGGCGCATGCGAAAGTGAACCTGTCCAGGAGAGTCAGTATTAGCAAGTGGCCACTTGTCGGGGAGGAACTACAAAGGGGCAATGGGCAGGAACAAAAGCCCAGAACAGTGACAGGTGGTGACCGCGCACAGACGCACGGGTGGGTAACAAGGACAACCAACGGAACAACATGAGGAGGATTACATGGGGCGCAGACCACTTGGTAGTGGAACACAGATGAAAACAAGAAATAATGAGGGGAGCAAGCAAGCAACTGGGCGAGAGACGGTTGTGGTGGAGAGGAAGGTGAGTTTGGTTCTGGTTGAAGTTTGGAAATAACCAAACATAGGGCGGAGTTTAAACGACTTGGGGAAATTTTGGAGAGTTTCTCGCACGGGCCTTTTCATGTTGAGCTCAGGATTCCGTGTCTTTTCTACCTGTAAGAACTTGGAAGTGCTCAATGTATCATTTTATTATCTTACTATGAATAATTTGTATCTCAAGTACATCATTTCGTCGCCCGAAGAAAATTGGCGGTACAGGTCTTCCTGAGCAGAGTTGAAAACCTGTGGGTCAGGTGTCGAGCCGCTGGCTCTAACATTTACGCCCCAAGCTCCGACACACCTGCCCTCCATGCCAGGGCGACCTCCATCAGTAATCTGTCAAGCGGAGATTCATGCCAGATCCCATCAGCATTTTGAACAAATGGTGGTGTATGTACTTGTTCTTGACCTGTTCCGTTTGACAACCACTCATCTTGCCCTCATCACTCATTTTTTTTGATTGAATATTTACATTGTATTTCACTAGCGTACCAACTTACCAACCAAACTATATATCTTCCAAGACCATGCCTCATCTCAAAAAGAATCCCAAAGAACCCACGTACACCCAATCAGCTCGTTGGAGAAATGCTTGAAAAATGTATATAACGGGAGCGGAACAGAACACAAGGTTGCCTGCCACAGAACCGGCTTTGCCGAAAATTGCAAGCACCGAGAACCAAACGGCGAACTGGTCATAGTTGATATGTACCAAGAAAACGGCGGCTTCAGGAGTTCAGGCGAATGCTATCCAGTATTTTTTCAACATACTTACACGACATTCTGGAGCATAGACTTTCTGTTTTCTTTTCTGCTTTTTGCATGTAGATTTTTCTGATCTCCATCTCTGCTCCATCTTCCATTTTTGATTATTAAATAATTTAGATAATCACGCTCTGACCAGGAAATACGCAGTGGAAATTCAGAGGGAGATGGAGCATGTGGTGAGGGTGATTGGATCACTGAATCTATTATTAGCTTCTGTTGAGCGTAAGTAGTCAAGGTTGAAATGCTCAGGTCGTTGTGAGCACTCGGACTGAGTAGAAATTCTCGTAAACACGCCAGAACGTACAACTAGCTTACTAGATGCACAGCACATACAATCACCGTCACATGAAGGGCATGCGACCTCCGGAATAACAGAGGAGTCACTATGGAATAATGCAAACGCTGTTTACTTGGCCGGGATCCGCTTCAAATAGTCAAGGTGCCCTCCTCACCCTCTCTACGATAATTTATGAGCCGCGCGCACTCGTCTTGCCTTGGTGCAAATTATCAGTTTTCAACGTCACATTGCCGCCTGCCCCCAATAATGACAGGCTAATGAGCCAAGTTTTCGTGCTCTGCAATCTGCCAAACGCTCGAGGCGAGTCGACGACTTGGAAAGGAATTTCCAGACCATCATCAGGACGCTTCTCTAGTGTAAGGATAAAAAGCTTTTTAATTTCTGCTAGAGAGATTAAGGAAAGGAGCTGAAGCCTGATTCGGAAAGTTAAAACACGGCAAGACCCGGAGAACCGGCGATGCCTCCGTATTTGGAAATAGAACACCACTTTTTCCCTCCTCGTCGTCGTCGACGACGACGTCTTCCACCTTCCCTTCATCGTCGTCGCTGTTGTCGTCGTCGTTGGCTGTCATATGGCGAACTCATTGCAATCCCAGCCCACGTCTCCAACATCTCGACATGCCCCTCCCAATACCACCGTTGCAGGTGGGGCTCAATACGTCGAGTACAACGACGCACGTAGCCCTCCGCCATCACGTTCGGAGGCGACGACACCGTTCGAGGACTCCCAACTCCTTCCCCGCTCACCTCCACCCGACGCACAACGCTCGTCGTCAAGGATGTTCACATCACCCCTCAGCCCGACCCCACCAGTGACAAACCCCTTTACGCGCTCGTCGTCCGCGTCATCTCGCCCCGTGTCCAGGAGCAGCAGCACCCACCCTTTCGTCTTCTCAAAATCCCGCGACGAAGGCCGAAGTCCTGGGAGTAATTTTACACCATCCACAATGGCAGGTCTCGGGCTAGGCGTCGCTTCCAGCGGCCTCCCGTCAAGTCTAGGACCGCGCGGCGGCTCCATGGTGCTCTACCGCCTCGCAGACGACCCTGAGACTCAAAGAGGCTCACTGCTTCCACCAAAGTTCAGTTCGCGACGCAACTCGATGGTTTCATCATCAGGCGACTCGGTCGTGTCCTTCCAGTCCGACACAAAGTACCCAAGCGAGATTTCAACCATCAGAGGGCTGGTACCATATGCGTACGATCCAGCGTCGGACGAAATGGAGCCACCGGATGCGGAGGATTATCTTCATGACCCGAAGAGTAAGGGTGGATTCAAGGGGGACAAGGGCGAGTTTCCGTGGAGAGGCATTTTGAACGTTGCGGTGCTGCTGCTGCTCGTTCTCGGGCTGCTCATTCTTTTTATATTTTATCCAGTACTAACGTTTTATCGGAATGCGGCGAGGAATAGTGCCATTGATGGGAATATCAGGATTAATGCAACGGGTACGTCTGCTCTTCTTCTGCACCTTTCGTCGCTTACGCGTCTGCAGGTCAATCACCGGTACTGTTCCAAATGCCAGAGATTATCGACGCAGAAACCCCTGCCTCTGCACGAACACACATTGGCACTGACGGAAGCCAGTATGAACTCGTGTTCTCGGATGAGTTCACCGTCGACGGTCGAACGTTTTACCCTGGCGAGTCTTACAACATTCTCCTTTCTGTCTGACTGACCTGTTTCACAGGTGACGATCCATTCTGGGAAGCCGTCGATCTCTGGTACGGAGCCACGGGAGACCTTGAATGGTACGATCCACAGCAGGTGACGACACGCAATGGCTCGCTGGTGATTACGCTGGACTCTTCCAACACAACTGTTGCCGGTCAGACGCCAGGTGTGTGTTGTTTCGGCTATTCCTACTCACTCACCTACCCGCGAGTACAGGTTCCACGGCACCTTTTACTGCCGCACAGAACCACAATCTCAACTACCGCTCCGGCATGCTTCAGAGCTGGAACAAATTCTGTTTCACTACAGGCTACATCGAAGTGAGTGTGGTACTCCCCGGACAGGATTCCAATTCTGCAGGTTATGTGAGTTTTCCCTCTATGCTTTGTTTGTCTTTTGCCGCTCGTGTGCACTTTTTTTGATGCGGGGGTGTCAAGCCTTGTCAGCCCTGCAGGGATGCATTTATTCCCCCACTAGTCAAGCCCTTCATTCCGGGGCATGTGGCGTTCCCGTTGTTCCGAGCTTCCCACCGTCCTCAGTCCCCGACATTCCGCGACGTCGAAATGTTTGGTTTTGACACTTGATAGATGCTTTTTTTCTATCCTCTTATCCCCGCCTTTCATTCGAGTCGTTCCTGACATACACACCTGCAGTGGCCTGGAGTCTGGACGATGGGAAACCTTGCAAGACCTGGATACCCGGCGACTACGGATGGCATGTGGCCTTATACGTACGCACACTCTTCGTCTTTGACGCCCGCGTAGCCTCAGACCTCTCTCATTCTAGCTACGACTCTTGTGATGTGGGAACATTTCCGAATCAGACGAATCTGGACGGTCTTGGACCTGCAGCAGCGCTTCACTCTGGTAGCTCGAGAGCACAATATAACTATGAGTTGAGTTGGTTGAGCGGGCAGCGCCTTTCGTATGTCTTCCCTGCTACTTTCTCCTTAGAGACTCATGTCACTGCCAGGGCTTGTTCATGTCCGGGCGGCGATCATCCAGGCCCAACGTACAACAAAGGTCGTGGTGCGCCTGAGATCGATATTTTCGAAGCCTCCAAGAACAAAGTGTCCGGTGTAGGTCAGACTGTGTCGCAGAGTGCCCAATTTGCGCCATTTTCCGCCGATTATCTTTACCTGAATGCGACCCCGCAAGAGTGGCAAAATTTGAACGCTCCGAATACGTGGGCGAATACGTATCACGGTAGTGCTGTGTGAGTGCTCCCTCTTGCGTTTGGACAAACTTATGCTTATGCCTCATCGGTGACGGGCAGGCAACAGTCGGTGTCTGGCGTCACGGTTCTTCCGGACGATATGTTCCAAGGTTCTGGGAACAACTACAAGAAACTTGGTATGTCTCTGTGCTCGTAGTCGGTAGTTCTGCTGACATCTTTGTTCGCAGGTTTCGAATACTGGTCAGATCCCAACAGCCGGTCGGATGGCTATGTTCAGTGGATGGTAGACGGGAATCCTACGCACCGGGTTGGAGCTGCTGCTGTCGGCCCCGACCAGGGCTCAAGTGGCAGTGGCGTCGGGCAGAGGTTGATTCCAGAAGAGCCCATGTCGATTGTTTTCAACCTGGCTATATCACGTGAGCACTTCATCTTTCGAAAATGGGTCGTGAATTCATTTTTTACTCAGCGAACTGGCCGCCGATGGATGTTTCGACGTTGATATTTCCGGCAGAGTTCAAGATTGACTACGTTCGGGTGTATCAGAAAAAGGGCAGCACTAACGTCGGTTGTAATCCAAAAAATTACCCAACGGCAGATTACATCAACAGTCATCTGGACGCGTATCAGAGTAAGCTGCTCATAGTTTGCAGTGCGTCGTTGTAGGTATTGACGCGCATTGTGATAGACGTGAATATGACGACTTGGAAATGGCAGAAGCCTAAAAACTCTTTGGTAAGTTCCACTGCCCTTACTCATTGGCGTTGCTGTCTAACTTCTCTGTAGTACGAGGGTGGATGCTAGCTGCGTCCGCCTCCAAGGGATCATGCCAATCTCACGCTGTGCCGTTGTACTATAGCCCTCGCCCCATCAAAACCAACCAGTCGTCGCCGCCTTTCAAAACATATCCCATCATCGCATCCCACTCACTCATTAACCATGGTCATCCTTGCCTTCTTATGCCAGGCTCTGCTGCCACATACGTATCGTATTTCCGCTTAATTGGCCCTCGTCTCTCCCCCCGTGGAGACATGCATGTTTTGGTCATGTACCCATTCGCGCCGCCTTCCATAGTCCGCTTGCGGACCTTTCGCACTCTGTCATTCCTCGTTTAACTAAAGCCCCTGTTCAGGCAAAGCAAGTCTCCTCCACGCGGATACGCCGGAGAAGCAAGCTTTAGGGGTTTCGTACATTACGACCCTCAGATACCTTCTTCACTCCCCTTACACCATACCACATGGACTTCGTGATTAACCCATGCACTTGGAAAACCCATCCGCCCCCCCCCCTGCTTCTGAAGGTACAATCATTCATATACTCAATCCAACATCTAAACCGCATTAAACGCTGTCGTACCACCGCTCTCAATTACCTTCGTTCTGCTTTACGTAGTCAAGCTAGTTGACCCCACCTTTCCTCACCCCTTCCTTACGTTCGATACCACCACAATCTTTTCTCGCCATTGGACGCTTGCATCATCACCGTACATGTCTGCTCTCCTTCTGTGGAGCCTTAGTGTAATAAAGATTCGACCTGACTTATTCTTCCCTGTGCTTATTCCTTTTTATATTTGTTCGCGGTTAAAGAATACAGAGGTTAAGAAGGTGCTTTGCCAAGAGTCAACGTTGTAGTTCGCGGGTTTCGAGTGGTGGATTCTCGTGGTGGGACTTTGACAGTCCCTGCGAAATCAGTATGTCACAGTCGCTCGAAGTTTCACCGGCCTGATGGTCTAGTAGTATGATTCCTTGTTAGGGTTCTTCCATTCGAGGAGGTCCCGGGTTCAATTCCCGGTCAGGCCCAAAAGACGTCTTTTTCCTCTAGTACTTCAGTTACATACAACAACTCAACATCTGGTATCTTCGACAAAATGGGCGTTGAGGCGACATTTTGTCCGCTCCGCGCAGAATAAATGCATTTCCTCGTCGAGGTATACGTATTTGTGGACTCTTCGAGATAAACCACGGAGGAACGATGAAGAAAAGTGGTTTGGCTGATAGGTAGCTATGTACGCCGTAGAATATGCATATGGGCAACATATGGGAAACGGAGGATCCTTAGGAAAAGGGTGCTCGTGCGAAACAACAGACAAAGATTCCACTCATCTTTCACCGGCCTGATGGTCTAGTAGTATGATTCCTTGTTAGGGAGTATATCCGTCTCGAGGAGGTCCTGGGTTCAATTCCCAGTCAGGCCCTCAACTCATCCGTGGTATGTTTTGCTTTGTCACTCAATGTTCGTAAACGCGTCTTGATTGATTGGCATTGTGTACGTGGTAATTGGCTACCTCCTCACGTCCAAACAGTCCTATCTTCTTTTTGACTGTTTGTCCAGAACTTCCATGTCAATCCCTTGGCTATCCTCCCGTTGCAGAATCTAATCTCGTATGATGCCTCCGAGTCGCTACGAGAAGGGTGCATTGGAGGTCGATGGTATAACTCAAACATATAACAGCTGAACTGACAAGATCCCGACACGGCTGGTTGCGAGCGACCACGATTATCCAACACGACTTGCCTTATTCCCTTTTGTTTCCAGCTGTTTGCGAAATCGTAAATTGTTTTCAAATCTTCCCTGGATCGCCCTTGTTTATATACAACATGCACTTTTTGCGCTTGGCCGGACGGTGATTCATCGCTCAATATGCTCCACCGCCCTTCTCTTCGGTTGATCTGTGGTGCAAAACCCCATTGGGTGTCAATCCGTGTCATAATTGTGAATTTTTTGTGAGCCCCACGCCCGTTTGGTACCTGCCCTGTCCTACTCACCTTCCAAATGTAGGTGTTTGTGTACAAATATGCGACGAAGGAAAATCGCAAAAGGTCTACGATATTGAAAACAGTTGTATGATCATCTTGTCTCATCCGATCTCTGGCAGTGGCCGCTATGGGGCACCGAAATGGACTTGATTCCGGGCGTGTTGAAGGCAGACTACAATCGGGTGTGTCACCGCTATTGGAGCGACTTCCAATTTACTCCCATTCACAGTGGTAAAAATTGCTTTAATTTTGAAAACGAAGTGCAACGTCAAATAAAGACTTTCAAATCAAAAACTCCGACGGGTACATCTCCATGTCAGATCATAGGGCTCGGGGTATCATGACTCATCTCTCTGGAAGGGAGTATAGTATGCGGTAAGAGAATGTCAGGGGAAACGTGGTTGACTTTTGTTGGAGTAAGCAGAATATTATGCATTTCTCGCTATATGTACCTTGCTCAATTGCGTTTTGCAGCCCTCAAGGCGGATTACTCGCGTGACGTCATCATGAGGTTGTTGACGTTTCACCGAACAGTGCCAAGACTGATATTGTGCGGCACGCGTCATTTTCTTGTCCCATTGCGTAGAATGGGTTTGGAAGCGCTCCAGTGACCTTTATTCTGACGCCATATAAGGTACGGGAAAACTTCGGGGGAACGAAGGAGGATTCGTGACGCCTAGAAAAAGCTGAGGAAGTCCCCCAAATAGTTGTGCCAAATTTCTGGCGTCTAAAATATATCGGGCGGAATTTCTATTGGACGATAGGTTTGTGCCTGTCGTTGGCCTGTCGCCTGATACTAGTCGGTGCTTTCGGCAGCGCTGAGATAGCTTGTCAAGTTGTTGCCAAGTAACGCCGCTAAGTACACTGGTAGGTGAATTGATAAAAATATTCTCTCGAAATTCCACCCAGTGGCATAGAAGATCTTGCAATTGGTTTGTCGCTTAGGGCGACTGTGGAAAGCAACTTGAATTGAACACTGGAATATACCAAGATGTAAATACTGGGGTCGTTGTCACGTGTGCTCTGCAAACTTCAACTACCATGCAAGGCGCTTGGTCTCCAGTTAAACCAACATTTCTGGTCGTCTTGTGAGTTTCTGCCGGAGATGATGGAGTTCTCGTCGTAACCGGGAAGATAAGATAAGATTGTTAGGGCATCGTGGGAGACCCTGTGCCTTGAGTCTTAGACAGGTCTGTCACCTTGCGGTCAAGTGCTGTCGCGACTTGCCCTGGCGCCCAGAAACGCCTTTCTCCTCCTCCCCCATTGTCGTCGAAATGCACCAAAATGAACAGACCCGGGACTCCATAACAAAATCAACCCGACGACGAAGTCTCAAAACACTCTTTCAACTCCCTCTTTCATCCAGATCTCCCGATTTCATTTCTGCATCAACTGCAGAAGCTGTTGGCTCGATTCCAGCGGACATTGTCCGTGAAATCGTCGACCTTCTGACTCCTGCAGATGTCCTCAACATGAGCCTTACAGTACGTCGTTTTCTTGGTTGAGTGGCGCAGGCGCTTAGTTTTCATCAGTCAAAGCATCTGCGGTCGATGTTGTTGCCAGCTCTTTATGATACAGTCATCCTCAAGTCCAGCAGAACATGCAAAATAACGCTGTCGATGCTGGCCCAGCAAAGACACCTTTGCGGGCTCATCCGGAAGCTTGCCGTCCGCCCCAACTACTACCTGTCGTGGCCAAGGCCCGATGAACCTCTTGACGAGCGTTGGGTTGTGGATATGATCAAAGAGATTGCGGATGGTCTGACCTCGATGCACACTTTTGACTGGGATGGGTTGGAGCTGCCCAAGGACTGTCTCTGGGATTCACTGCGACTACGGTACGTCATCGTCATTGTTGTAAATACAATAACATTACAACAATAACCCTCCCTTAGTTGCCCCCAACTCAAGAGCGTCTTCTCCAACGTCGGGCACTGGGCTCTGAACCCCAATAGTAGCCTCTTCAAATTCCGAGGCCTCACCAGCTTCTCACTCATCATTCGGCACGGATTGGGAGGGTCAGGTACGCTTCTAAGCTATCATTCAACGTAAATTACCCATCACTCCGCATAGAACTATTTCCGGTTCCAGAAGATCTCCCTCCCCAGTTCTGGGACATGCTCGTGAACCATTGCCCCGACCTCCAAGAACTCGCGATCTGCAGCTTCTCCTCCTCCTCCCGCGTGTTCGATTTCGAGCGCATCGCAGAGGGCCACTGGCCGCGCCTGCACACACTCACACTCGGTTCTTTCGGCTACCAAAGCGACTTTTCACTCGGGCCCCATTCTCTGATCAATGAGAATGCATTATCAAAGTTTTTGGAAACGCACCGCGAATTGAAGTATATCCGATTCTTGTGGAATTTTAAGCGCTGGATGTCCCCGGATGAGATACCCATGCCTATTGCCCCGACTGCACTTCCTGCGCTGGACACGTTTATAGGGGTGTATCAGCAGCTAGCGGAACTGCCTCATCCCGAAAAGGTGGAGACGCTGGATTTGACCTGCGAGCCTATCTATGAAACGAGGCTTGACGCTGTGTGTCCACTTTTGAGCAAGCTGACGGCCCTCACGTCGTTGGATATCTGGACACACGTGTTTGATCCCCACCGCGACCATACACCGTTCTTCACTGCTATTCTTGCTGCTTGCCCGAATCTCACGGATTTCCATTTCATGTGTACCACCTCTTTTACAGTTGTACGTCCTCGTTTTCTCTTCCTCTGTCCCACCCACTGACCTGCTGCTGTCGTTATAGAAACCACTGAAACAGCTCCTTGCCCAACTCTACCGCCTCCCCTCTCTAAAACGCTTCTCTCTAACAAAAGGCCACAAATACCTAGACGAGAGCATGCTCTCCACAGCCATGCGGATCCTGAAACACACCCCGGCCTTGAGGCAAGTGAACATCCGCTGGGCACGTGAGCAGTGTCCGAACCATTTGAAGCAAGAGGGGTCGTATGATGTTGTGCTTGGGAGGGACGCGCGCCCAGAGTCGGTGGCGGTGGTTGAGAGGGGGATACCATTGGTTGGAAGGCCGTTTTGTAGGCGGTTTAAGGTCGGGATTGGTTTTGGGAAGTACAATGAGCCCGAGGAGCGGAGGGAGGGGAAGGGGAAGAGGACGAGTTGGGTTGGAGGTGCTTCGTTTGGGGTTGGGTTCAAGGCGAAGAGTTTTGGCGAGAATCGGACTGTGGATTCCGCGGATGGTCCTCCTGCGGTGGAAGCGACGGCTTTCGATGCGATATCGAGTGCTGATTCGATACCTGGATCTCCTGATACCTCTGCGTCTTCTGGATCTTCTTGGTCTTCGGCTTTGTCGTCGGGAACTCTGTGACCCTCGACGATCACCACAATCACAACTACAATAGCTACGCACATCACGTTGAGAGGTCTTCCTCTTGCTATCACACTTCATTCTTGTTATCCTCGTTGTTTTTACTCATCTACTATTGTCTCTATGCTGACTGTTTCTTGCGTTGTATGTATTATTGTACTTAGAAGAATGCTGCGTGTACTTTTTATCTTGAATACGTCCTGTATGGCGTGTAGATCGAGTTGAATAAATGAAAGGCAGATAGAGGAAAAAAACTCGAATTCTGAGTCGATTAGGTATCAATTGCGGTTACATTACAGGGTTACATAGTCTGCATTATACATACGATAAAAGGTGGTACATAGATTCCGGATGCATATCTAGCTTGTCATGAAGGCCTACGTCGGAATCATCCAGCACTCGAAGCCTGAGGAGGACTTGTCACCTTATTGTCCGGGCTATAAGCACCCGGAACAACCTGCATATAAACAGGGGACAAAATCTGTCCCTGCTGCATCTGGCCCTCCACACTCGTCTGCGTCATCGTAGGTGAACTCTGCAGTACATACATCTGCGTCTGAGGCACAGGAGGGGGTAGTGGTGCGTGCATGGGTTGGTACTGCACGTATCCAGCTGGATGCGTCGTTGCTTGACGATGCGACCGTGGGCCGCGGGGTGATTTGTGTGTAGGTGGAGGTGGTGGTGGTGGTGGTGGGGGCATATATGCGGGAAATGCATATGGGTACGAGGGGTATGCGTAGGGATAGGCAGTGGGTATGATGGGGCTTGCTGATCTGGGTGGTTCTTCTCCCTCTGTTGAGCGACGGGGTTTGTGTCGTCGATGGCCTGTTGATTTCTTGTGGTGGTGGTGGTGGTGCTCGCGAGAGGTGCGTTTGCTGCTTCGGCCTGAGACGGGGGACATGGGTGATCCGAGTGTTAGGTTTGTTCCTACGCTGGTTCTCATTGATGTTGAACCACTGCTCAAGAGATCTAGGTCGGCGGTTCTGCGCTTTGCCATGACGTCGCGGTACCAAGACGACATGGGTTTTTTGACCCTACGTTTCCCATCCCGTTTGGCGCGGCTGCCTTCGCCTGGTCTATAGTCGATGGTGACGCGCTCGTGCGCGATCCAGGGGAGGTGATAGAGGGTTTTGAAGAATCTTTCGATGGGGCTGAGGTCGGAGGTGAATGAGGGGTCGTAGTAGGATGTGGCGGTTGTCATTACGGTGTTACGTGATGTGGGTGACGGCGATAAAGTCATTTTGCGATAGTCGCGTGTGTGCCCGCTCACGGCGTTGGCGGCGGGGGATTGGATGTTTGGATCAGTGTCGTTCGTCTGTGCCGTTTGTCTTCTGGTAGGAACCAGATTCAATGGAGGGATGGCTGGGGATCGGGATGGGGTGTGTGTTGGGGTATGGGCACGGGAACGCGAGGGTGTGTGGGCAGATGGAGTATGTGTGCGAGAACGTGCTGAGGAGTGGGATGGGATGACCATTGGGATAGGTGGCGGATCGTTGTGGTGAGGTTCTTGAGAGTCCTGATACATCATGACAGTTGGGATACGTCCCTTGGTGTGGGGACGAGCGGTGGAGTCGTCTTCGTCCACAAAGTGTGACTGGTCAAGGGGACGGTCTTCGTATACCTGCGGTCGACTTGCATATTGTTGGTCATAAACCTGGGGTCGACTGTCATATTGTTCCGGATGCTCGTCATAGAACTGCGCGCTTTCTTCGTTGGCGATGCTTTCAGAAGGAGGGGTTACTCGGAAGCTAGGTCCCCGAACGCGTGGGATGGGTGCGCCTGGAGAAAAAGAGGGGGCAAGGACTTCTGTGCTAGGTGCCATTGGTGTGGGCATGTCCATAGCCTGAACATATTTAACGTTCGGAAGCCCAGCTACAGGTGTAGGTGGGTTCGAAGCGTATTGCGGAAGAGTATTTCCAGTGGTCATACCAGTAGAACTTTCCGTCGTGTTGGATGTTGGTCCTCTGCGAAAGAACCTCCTCTTCTCGCCGCTTCCTCCGGACCTCAGCATCATCCGCGGAATTCGTTTCATGCCGCTGACGAACCCCCCGACAAATGACTTTCCTCCTCCTCCTCCAGAATCCGTTTGCGAGAATGAGCCAAACGTCTTGAGTTTGTGGCCTTTCCCTACGCCGTGAAGGTAGCCAAGTTCCAGCCCTGGCCCATTTGGTTCAATGTTCATGTATTCTTCGTCCTCCTCATCGTCAAATCCCTCAGTGGGGTTAACGGCATGAAATCTCTGTGGATGGAGTTTTGGGTTTGGGAGAGGACGAGGCGGACGGATGGAAGAAGTTTCGAGGAAAGGTTCCACAGGAGGAGGGGGTGGGGGATTCTGTTGTGTCGACTGAACCCAAGACCTGGTGCTGGCGCTAGCGTGACTGGCGTGGCTGAGATGGGAATTTCTTGTGAGAGAGCGATTAATGGCATCCCCTGCTTCTGGGTCCGTTTGTCTCAGATGAGAGGGCTCTCTACTCATTTGTCGTAAGTCGTAGTCGGCCATGAGAGAAGATGAGAGGATTTCACGACGAAAAGTGAAGTTGGAGTGGGTAAGCTGTGCTCAGCTTGGAGCGTTGTCCAGCTGATGACATGACTAGGGCACACCGGATTTGCATGGAAGATTGGCCGGACCAAGTAGGTGCGTGGCCGGCCTCAAGGAAGCCTTGAGGCACAAGGCTGATTCGTAACCAAATTGGGGTTCGATCCCAAAGTGCATATAGCACACCTATAAAATTTGACTGAAAGTCCGCTTTGAATGGGTTTGTTAGGCATCAGGATGATAACATTTGCGTAAAATCAAGGGAATAACAAGGGAAAGTGGTTGGATGGACAAGAAATTGGCGTGCAAAGTTTACTGCGAACTTGAGATCCAAACATCACGCAACACTCCAAATCGGTGATTTGACATGTCTGTGTTAAGTACGCCCCAACTACCAGTTCAAACGCTTATCTCACTCCATCTCCACGCTCAAGACACTGGTACATGCCCAACTCAATCAAGAACTTTAGATGATCTGTGAAGCACAAGTTTACCTCGTATCGACGTCCCCAGGCTGGCTCCTTGGGGCCCTTTCCTCGGTTGTTCCTCGGAGTATCCACATGACCTTGACGGCTTCCAGAAACCAGCGGGATCCATGGTACACCTCGCTTTGTCTACCGACAATGGTAGACAGGTTATATTCGAGCTTACGGGGTCGACTCGTTTCTTTCCGAAACCAATCAAGCCCCGGGCGTCTATTTTTTGCCCTCCCAGTGTCTCACCCCAGATCGGTCTGATCCTTACCCAAATATTTGAGCAAAATGGACTCTTGGAAGTTCTCGATTGAAGGTCAGAAAGACGTTCTTTTCAATGTTGTAGTTTGAAGCCTCTAACTGATTAGACAAAGCGCGTGTCTTTTTTGGAGGTCAACCGCACTCCGGAAAAATTAGGTAAGTGGTTGTGCCACGGTATGGGTATCGGTTACATTTTGTTTGAAAGGTTTAGATCTCCGGCAGATATGAATAGCAAGAGAACTGTACGTGCTGCGGCTTCCGATAATGGTGCGGGCTTTTTAGCGGGGGATTGAAATACAGATCACAAGTGCAACAAACAATTGACGTACTCCTATCCCCCCAACCACCGCTCCATGGGCTCCATCACGATATCATAGTACGTTGTCAACTTTCACAGCGGGTGTGACTTGAGGTGATATCGATGTTAGTCAAAAAAACAGGCGCTTCAATCAAGTTGTATCACAGTGACGACGGTGGAAGTTGAAGTATCTTGTCAATGGTACTTAAACCCGCCGAAGATGGAAGACCTGCTTCTCTCGCTTCTCTGCCGCCCCATGACACAGGTAGTATTTTGTCGCACGATCATTTGCTCTGCTGATTTTGGCAAGAACAGTGATATTTTCATCTTGCCGATGATACACATCGCGGGGGCCGAGCGTATCATATATATAGGCCCCATCCCTTTACCCCACAATACGTTGTTGGACATTGTAGTATCGACATGGGGGTGGGTTGTTCCACTTTGACCAATAGCTCATGCTGATTCGTATTCTTGTCATTCCTTACAGTACAACGCGAAGATCGCTTCTAATCCGGTGTGTAGTTGATGTTGCATTTCGATTTCGCGAAGATGGTCCGCTAACATCGTCCTCAGTATGTGGTGGGCTCGTTTGCATGTATCGGGGGAGGCCTTTTCGGTCTCGACATTTCATCAATGTCGGGCGTGCTCAACGTACGGTTCATGTTACTCTCGTCGACTCTTCTATGGCTAACTAAAGTCCAGAATGAGGCATACCTGAAGCAGTTCCATTTCGTGGGTGTTTATTTCCCTGACATCAATCCATTGGAAAAGGCTTAGATGACTGCCAGCCGGGTCCCTCTGCGCAGGGCGCTATTGTCGCGGCGATGCCTGCAGGTTCTTTTTTGGGTGCGCTCGCTGTCACTCAACTCGCAGATAGAATCGGCCGTAAAAAGACCATAATTCTCGCTGGTATAGTTTGGGTCATGGGCTCCATTTTGCAATGTGCTTCGGTGGTGCGTGTCGCAAACAATCTGTCTCTCCATTAACGTCACCACGTATACAGAACCGGGGAATGCTCGTAGTTGGCCGGATTATTTCTGGTATCTCCGTTGGTCTTGCTAGCGCCGTCGTTCCCATCTACCAATCGGAAATTACGGCTCCTGCTATCCGAGGTAGAATGGTCTCGTTGCAGCAATGGTCCGTAGCGTCTACCTTCTGGGTTCTTACGCCTTACTTTGAATTTCAGGTCGATCACATGGGGCATTCTCATTCAATATTTTGTCCAATTCGGATGTTCGTACATCGATGGTGTAGCCTCCTTCCGCATACCGTGGGGCTTGCAGATGATTCCTGCTATAATCCTAAGTTTGGGAATGCTCTTCTTTCCTGAGAGCCCTCGTTTCCTTCTTGACACAGGCAGGTCTGCATTTCGACGTTGCATCTTACAGGACGGGATATTCACTCATCAAACCTAGAGATGAAAAGGCTCTTCAAGTACTTGCGGACCTTCACGGCGGAGGAGACAAGACTAACGAGCTCGTGGTTCTAGAATATGAGGAAATCAAACAACAGGTAAATCGCTTTCTGTTGTGTTTCGTTCGCTGGTTCTGAAGAAGTTTAGGTGCTCTACGAGCGCACACAAGGTGCCAAGTCATATCTCGACCTTCTGAAGCCCGGTAACCCCCGGCGTGTCATGCTCGGCATGTCTATTCAGATGTGGTCTCAGCTGAGTGGAATGAACGTCATGATGTACGTGTTCTGCTTCGAAGTCTTTCACAATTGCCCAATAATGTTTATAGGTATTATATAGTTTACGTGTTCCAAGGTGCCGGCCTTACAGGTCGTCGCAGCAACCTCATTGCCGACGTATGTCCTTCAATCCGCTACTCTTCCCGTTATTTACTCATTAGATTCCTAGTCTGTTCAATATATCCTCAATGTTGCCCTCACCGGTATGATTTGAGCGAGCACCATGATTGAGGCTAAGAATTTTGTGCCAGTTCCCGCTATCATATACATCGACAAGTGGGGCCGAAGGCCCATGCTTCTCACTGGTACTCTTCTCATGGGCTTTTGGCTGTTCCTTGTTGGCGGGCTTCAAGCGCGATTTGGCCACTGGGGCGAACTCAATGGAAATAGTAAGTTCCAAAATTTGACTGCTATCAATCCTGGTGTTAATGCTCGGAAAGGGGTCTGGGCTATAACCGACAATTCTGCCGCAACAAGAGCTGTCATTGTTTGTTCATACCTCTTCGTGTGCAGTTTTGCTATAACGATGGGACCGGTATCGTGGACTTACCCAGCTGAACTCGTTCGTTTCGTTCACATTAACGTCCAGCCTAGAAGAATTTTAATCTTCCTCTAGTATTCTCTCAAAGTTCGAGGTAAAGCTGTGTCACTCGCAACCGTAAGGGCTAGCTCAACGCCATGGCAATGACACTACTGAAGGATCCCCCACTAGGCTAGTAACTGGGCGTTTAACACGGCGCTCGCCTTTGTGGTTCCACCCGGTCTAAATACCATAGCGTGGAAGACCTATTTCATTTTTGGAACATTCAACTTTGCGGCGTTCATTCACATTTTATTCATGTACCCGGAGACCGTGGGTAGGTCCCTGGAAGAAGTTGAAGAGATTTTCAAGCAGGGACACACATTCGCGGCGTGGAAGATTGGAAAGGATGTCGGGAAGAAAACACTCGAGGATGTTTTACCTAAGACAAAGCAATCACCAGGGGTGAGCTTTCCGAACCATCCCCGTCAAAATCGACCTTAATTAATTTCTGTAGGGCGAAGACTCAATTGACAAGAAGTCGGAGAGCGCATGATTCGGTCCCATATGCACGATTTCTCTACAGTTGAGGCAATAAATTGAGATTGGAATAATCAAGACAGGCACCGAGTGAGTGGGCGGCATAGTGCTATTTACAACCCAACTGTATGAACCTGTATCCGTTACATCTCTTCTTCATTCAATTCGACGTAGAGGATGGGCCGCTTGTGATTTGTTAGGAATGCGGAAACGCGCAGGATTCCTCTGGCGGAAAGGAATGGGAAAGATCGCCGGACTACCACTCCATCGCCCCCGACTTCCAGCGACTCCATGTGGAAGGTAAAAGAGACCAATCTGAGTTTTTCAGGCTGTGGTCGAGAGAGTGAGTTGTCCATCAGCTTACACATTCTTAAGCATCTTTTCCAATCAACAACGGATGCCATGCTGATGTAAAACTTTGTGCTATCATGTGCGCTCGTATTGCCGAAACGAACTGATACGTGAATCTCGTTCAAGTTCGGACAATCAGACAACACCTTGCAAAGTCCTTCGATGACTGGATTCGTTGTGTGCTGATTTGAAAGTTTTTGCAGCTGGTGCCTCGATTTCCCGACCCAGGCCGTTTCCCAGCGCAAGGTTAAGTTGAAAATTCTTAAAGAAGGCAATCCTGACATACCCCCCAACTGCAGCGGGCGTAGAGCTACGATCGACAGTATGAGAATGACGATCAACGAGAAGTGAGGTCGCGCTTACCGCAACTGGAACAAATCAAATTTTGAAGGGTGGGAGCGCAGGACTGAATGATATACTGAAGAACATCCTTTTCCTCTTTCGAGGATCCGTCAATCTTCAGTGTCTTTAGACGCGAGAGGTTGAGGATGTGTTTCGCCATGAATTCCTTCAGGACGTAGAGCTTTCCTAGCGCAAGGTCACGCAACTCCAAAGATCTCAATGGAGGTCCGACGAAGGACCTCTGTATTTCATTTGGACTTTCCAGCTCGATTGAGCTGATTACCAGGGCCTCCAGGTTGGGACTATGAGCTAGAAAAACGCCGGACAATTTATATACCGTGGAGTAATAATGCGGCGTGGAATCCAACTCCACGATCAAGATTGTTGGAAGTGAAAGTAAATGTAGGAGAATTGGCTTTAAGTCTTCAAGTAACGAGTCGCCTTGATAGGAACTTGCACGTTGAAAGTCTAGCTTCAGACTGTGAAGTCTCTTGAGTTGGAGGAGTGATTGAGCGTATTCAACGACGTCTTTCCAACTGCCGAAAGCAAGCGCGAGAACGCGGACCCAGCTGGCAATATGCGAACTCTTTTCCAGTAAGTCTGCGAAGCGACGAACCCGCCATGCCTGTTCAAGACGAATTTCGTAGAATATCTGGCGCTGACATAAGGGCGACGCAGCCTTGCATATGAGAGAGCAAGAACGAAGGGAGGCTTCATCGTCGAGCTGTTTAATAACTTCCCCCACGACGTCGTATGGAAGTTGCACCTTCATCCTCTTGTACGGGGCAGGATGGCTGCGATTTCTTGATTCAATCGAGATATGACGCGTCTGACAACAATTTTGCCTTCTCTAATGGCCAACTTCCAAGTATAGATCGCGAGAATGGCAGTTGACTGTGAGGAGGAAGCGATTGGGGTCCTCTAGGCGTCGTGGTGGCATGGGATCATGTGATGGGCGACTCCTGGGCGACTCCAATTTGAAATTTTATACAAAGGTACCGGTAAGTCTTGGCGAGATCTGTCGGAAGCACTCGAGAGCACTCGCCACACCTCTCTCTTTCCTTCAACCTGCATGCTCGGGTCGCCGTTGCATCGCCGTTGCACATTCGCTGGAGAGTGTATGTCATTCGCTTAACTGCCTGTTTCCTTGCTGTTTCCATTGAAAGGTGTTTGAAATATTTGATTCGTCGTGGTCACGTGATTATCATTTGCACGTCATCAAATTTGCAAATTGCTTTGAACGCCGCGCACCATCCCAACTTGTCCTTGGTTGTCTTTGGTTGTTCGTGAGCAAAGGACACTTAGGTCCTTTGAGAAAAGATTGCGACTCTCTATCTTCACCGTCCCCTGAAATGACAACCCTGTTAGATGACTGTGCAGCTTCCATACGACGAGGCTTGTGGGCGAAGTCTTGGGCGAAGTTATCAACCACCTCTCTGACGATAGACTCTCCCTTTGCGCGCGTCTGCTCCCTCATCTGCAAAGCTACAGTGCCCTTATGTCAGCGCTACATATTCTCTAGTATCTATCTACCAGATTCTCAGCAGGTCCGCCGCTTCGCGAAGCTCTTGGGGACAAGTCCAAAGATTGCGGACCGCGTTCGCATTCTTTGGATCAATCTCGGTGATTTGACAAAAGAAGGCGGAGCCGTCGAATGTTTTGAACTCCTTCTCAAGATCAGCAGACTTCACACTCTAGAGCTTGAATTTGAACATGATAGTTGGGAGCAATTCATATGCCATGGAGATCTCGACCCGGTTCTGTTTCATCTCCTTTCGCTTCCAACACGCTCGACCCTCGAGATAAATTGCGAACCCTACCCGTTTCCCTACGTCTATGTAACCGATTGTCACAACCTGGAGGCCCTAGTACTCAATTCGATCGACTTGGAAAGTCCATGGCCAGATGAGATGGATACATCCTTCGTTGGACCTCCATTAGAATCTTTGCAGTTGCGTGACTTTGCGCTAGGGCGACTTGACGTTCTGAAGCAATACATGGAGAAACGCTTCCTCAACCTCCCGCGTTTGAAGACATTGGAGATCGACGCACCTTCGAATGAGGAAATGGAAGTTTTTCAAGATATCATTCAGTCCTGCGCGCCGGGCACAGGAAAATCTGCGTGCCATCTGCGGACACCTGCGGACACAGGTTGCGTGCCAGTTGCGAACCGAAAGGAAGTATCTGCGGTCACTTGCGTGCAGACCAATCCAGTTGCGTGCACATTAGACCTAGTGAGCCGAGTATCTGCGGGCATCTGCGAGCATCAGCGCACCTTGCTGAGATTTCATATTTCTTGAGATTTCTTCAATGAGCACCATAATTATCCTTCTAGTTTAACGTATCTGAATCTCTCTTATTCTTTCTGACTTGTTGGTTTGTACCTATAGGTCTGTACTAAGACCATTTTTATGCTGAAATGTACAAGTAACGCAGTGTCTGAGGCTATGACTAGTCAGCCACCGGCTTCTTACCACTATTTTCCTTCTTTATCGGACGTGATTGTGGTCGATTTTTTTCCAGAGACTTCGGGACTCAATAGCCAATGTCTGCCATTGGCGAGTGATGGAGTCTCACCTCTCGTTCAGACTCGCTCTCTTCTTCCCATCCCAACTTGATTCCACACCAAACGAGGGACATTAGGGAAAACCAACTTTGGAAATCGACGAAAATCTCTCGTTATTTCCCGACTACTTCCCCAGAAAACCTGGATTCCGGTGTTTCCCCCAATTTTCTCGATTAGACCGGTGTCAGCGGATTTGAAGGAAATTCTTGGGACATTCATAATGTATTTCACTGTCATTTCCCTCACTTTTACAATGTATTTCAATGACATTTCCCTCACATTCACTAATTTTGGAACCATTTCATTCATGGGATTCATAAATTATACTGGCGACATATATTGCTCTACGAAATGACCAAGATGTCCTGCATCCAATCAGCATTCCACCTGCGATACACTTGCGTTCAGCTTGCGGTACACTTGAGATACATCTGCGACACACCTGCGACACATTTAAGATACACTTGCGAGAGTTAGTATCCATTGCGAGACTTGCGTACACTTGCGTGCAACTTGCGCATCACTTGCGATACACCTGCGAGACCAATGCGAGACACACTTGCGAGAATCTGCGCACAAAATGGATGTTTGCGAGCCTGCGGTCAACTTGCGAGTAAGCATGAGTAAATAAGAACTAAAACTCTTGTGTAGAAAATTGAACACTGTATTCCAGACTCGTATCGCATAGCAGTGGCCACATTTTAAGTTCTCAAGTGAAGATTACATTTCTTTAGTTTAAATTTACTAAGTACTATGTTGTAGTAGACTATCTATCTGCGTGACACCTGCGATACCTGCGATCCTTTTTGATTATCTGCGAGACACTTGCGGTCACCTGCGAACGGGTGGTCCGCAAGTGACCGCAAGTGGCACGCAGATTTCTATATGCCCCTGCGCGCCCACCCTTCAAAGTTTGACATGTTCCAGTTGCGGTAAGTACGGCCTTATAATCTCGCTTGATTTATATTCTCATATTTTCTTTTGTAGCATTATCTCCTCTCCAGTTGGGGGGGATGCCAGGACTGCCTTTCCTAAAGATTTTCAACTTAACTTTGTACTGGGAAACAGCCCAGGTTGATGATTCGCTTTTTTGGCTGCGAACACTTGAAAATCACCACGTAACGAATACGGAAATTGAGGCCCTTTCCAACGTGTTATCTGATTGCCCGGAGTTGAACGAGATCAATGTATCAATCCGCTTCGGCAGTACGGGCATAGGAGAGGCCAGGCATTTTTTTGACAGGGAGGTTTCCGACATTGACCGGGAAGGATGCTTGAAGATGTGCAGAGTGATGGACAAGTCACTCTCCCGATTGCAGTCCGAAACGATCAGGTTAATTTCTTTTACATTCAATATGGAAGAGCTGGGAATCGAGGGGGATGAGGTGATTGTCCGCAGATTTTTTCCATTCCTCTCAGCCGGGGGAATACTCCGAGTCTCCGCGACTGTTAAATGCTACTAGGGTGTCTCTGCTTACATCCAACCCAATCATGGTACAGTCTGGAAATGCTTTTTCTGATCGTCAAGAATGCCATTTCCTTAGATGAATACCTCATAGATCCGTAGGCTTTACAGCGCTAAGCTACAGAACAGTGCCACCTTCTTGTATGAGCATGGCGCCTTACGTTACGTGGATTTGGCGTGTGCAGTTTAACTACCCACCTTCGCAGAAGCAGAAATACCGTAGACTCGTTTGAGTTGATAGTTGGAAGCGCTTAGTTTGTACAGTCCTTCCGCTGACCACTACAATGGAAGGCAATGCGGCTCAAGCGTTAAGATAACAAGTCAAGCGCGAATTTAAATAGATCTCATGAGAAACGACACGAGTCAAAGGTATAAGTTCTATTTTTGCACACAGTCCAAAGATCGGCGGTTATAATTAGTCCCAACCTTTACCTCCTAGGGCTGACTACGGGAGACTAGTTAATAGCCTTGTTACAATTGTTACGATTGACCTATCTACGACATGAAATCTAAGTAAGCGACCGAAGTAACTACTCGATAGGCTGCTCGATGGATTTATTAAATTGTTCGCGGAACATGCCAGTTTACACGTTGTTACTGCCGTTTTGCATAAATCAGTGAACATGAATGTGACTGTCCTTCAAGATACCAGGCTACCACCATTTGCGCCAGATCATCAGGGATTAATGCATTAACGAGATATGCTTATGCATGTCACATCCTGACTTGCGGGGGAAAATCTGCACACGGAGTACTTGAACCGAAGTAATAAGTCCCATAATCGTTCGTAAATGAAGTAATGTCTACTCTCCAATCAAGGTATAAAGCCAAATATAAAGGTGCACCGACAAAGAATGAAGTAAATACGTTATGCTAAGAGTTATGGTATACGTCCGAGGATATGAATGTAAAAAAAAATGGTATGAAAAAAATGAAAGGAGTGTGGTATGTTATCGAGATGAGATGAGACCGTCCGTAATGATATTGGGCTAGAGTAACCGTCCGCAATAGTGCTGAAAAGAACGTCGTTAGTGTTTGGATAGTGGGAGCACAATGGTGGGAAGAAATTGATAAAATCAGACGGGTGGTGGAAGCGACTGGAAGGCGAGAAAGAGGAGTAGCTTTTGGGTAGTGATGCGCGGGAGAGGGGCGAAATAGAGGAGAATGGGGAGTTGAAGAGGAAGGGGGTACAGAAAGAGATAAGACTCACCCAGCTGTGCATTCATGAACCAGACTGTACTGGATGACGATCAGCTGCTGCCGACAAAGGACAGTGGGAATACGCACATGTAAACTTTTCTTCCCCGTTCTATAGCCGCACTGGACGGACGTGAGAGTTAGCTACGACGCGGATGATGAGATTGGGCTAACTCACGATCAATCTCCCACAGGCCTCTCGAATCCAAGGTTGCCTGCCCCGTCGCGTTAATCCTCGTATTGCGGGTGATCATCTCATTGATTCCAGTGTCCGTGAACGCGCGATAGACGGGGTAAACGATGAACAAGCAGAGAAGGGCCGCTATCAAGGCGACGAGGGCGGAGACGTTGATAATCCCTCGCCATGAGATGGAGCCGTTTTCCTTCCACTCCCTTGGATCGTGCATGTCATCCTCGATATCGTCGTCGGTTGAGGGGTCGTACGCATACGCCACAAGGCCACGTTCTGTCATCATTGAACCTGCTGGGTATTTTGAATCACTTGATAGGGAGACGATGGAGTCGCCAGAGGTGGAATAGACGGATGCACGTGGAAGTATAGGTGGCATGAGAGAGCCGTCTTCAGCTGCAGGCAGCCTGTAGAGAATCATTGACCCTCGAGAGCCGGCAGTGCTCATGGACAACGGTGAGCCGCCAATGGAGAGGGCACGGCAGTCTTCGGAGGGGATACGGTTGATATGCGCACTTCCTCTGGAGCCCGGACGGGCGAACGGGGAAGTGAAGGCGGGAGAGGTTGGGTTGAGAGGGGAAGAGGCGAAAGATTTGAAGGAGGAGGAGCGGGGAGAACGGGCGGTTACGGCGGTTGTGTTGGGTGTGTCGGAGGAGGAAAGCGGAGGAGAGACGGAGTCGGAGAGGTTGTACGTTGGGCGGCCGTGAAATGAGGAAGGGGCTGACTGTGTTGCAGGTGGATCTGTCAGCGTGAACACAGGGCGGCCATGTGACGACTGGCGCGCAGGCAAGACATCTGCTGGTGGAGCTGCTGACGGCGAGGCTCCGGCGATGAGAGGATGTTGGGGTTCCGGCGAAGAAGTGGATGTGCTCGGTGTCGAATCGAGAAGAGTCGAATCTAACATTCTTTCCTGCTCCTGTTCTTGCAGATGTGAGGGATAAGCCAGGAACGCAACATCAAAGTCGACGTCGTCATAGTTTTTCACCCACGAATCTCGCTGGTTCGACATGGAGGGGAGAAACGGGGGCGGCGGCGTCGAGGGAGAGGGTGCGAGAGACGTGGGTGGTGGTAGAAGATAAACGACGGGTGCCAGCCGCCCGTTGCTGACCGTTTTCACTGAGAAATCAGGCCCGAAATAGGCTTGTCACTGTCCGCCATCAATCACGTGGCGTCTCACGTCACTCTTTCTTCGCTACCACGTCCATGCGATCCTTGTGAAACCGTGATCTTTGTGAGTATATTCGCCGTATTTCCTCATCTACTCTTACCCTTTGCTTTACAGACGAGCACCGTACATTTTTGTCTCCCCTCTTCTCTCGACACTTTTTCCCTCGGTTATTGACTAAGATCTGCAATCAGCACCGCCTCCGACCTCGTTCCATCTTCCTTGTCTTCCGGGATTTTAAAATTGCCCACCCAGGGTGCACAGGAGGCGTGCCTTTGCCACAAAGTAACGCCATGAACCAGCATTGCACGACGCAACTTATCCTACGCCAACAACATACTATTGCGGCTGTCTCTGACTTTTCATTCGGTCCGATACAGCCGACGACCAAATGGCTTCTGTATTCGAAATCATAGAGTGCGTCGTAACTCATATCGTTACCTAGACCTTCTTACCAAGTTCCAACATCAGTTAACAAATACCTCCACCCACTTCGGTGACCCACGCCGCCTTAACGACGACGTAACGACGACTGAAACTCCTTCCAAGCCGTTCGCGTCACAAGAGATATCGTCAGCGATAAGCCACTATTTTCAGCACACTGCCAATCGGGGCGTCTATCGTTTAAAATAAGTCGGCTCTGACGTGCTCACGTTGGCGGGACCATTCCCATGAGCTCGAGTCTGAAGTGACTTCAACGCTCCACGCTGACGATGACGATACCTGATGCCGAATGATGGCCACATATGTCATAAGATCAAGGAGATCACACCATATGTTGCACAAGGATCGACTCGACTTCGACTTCATGCCCCACCGGCAATCGTTCGGCTTTGGTGCGTGGGTCTAGAGCGCGTGTCGCGCAGTGCGCCATCCAGGGTCCAGGGGTATTGAGGTCGATGACTCTGTCATAGTGACTAGGTAAGCCTTGGTGAAGGGACATACGCCTCTTATCTTCGGGCAATTTTTAATCTTACCTTGCCTTTGGACAGATAAGATAGGCGAACTGCGGCAGCTTTATGGCTCTTCGCTTCATGACGTTTCTTCCCCGAGCCTCCCGCAATTAATGAGCGGATGGGCCGTCTGGAAGATGTACCACAGTGGAACGGACACAGATTCAGCCCTTCCCTGCTGGATTTATCGCCCTTCAAACATAATTTTCGCATCAAGTTTCTTCCGCGAACCTGCTATAACGAGCGGAGGGATCGACCAGGATGAATGGAAGATGTACGTCTCTTCTGAAAAGTTTAAAGCAACGTGAACGCAGATCTCGATCGCCCTTGAAATGGCACCCTCTCCGAGTCAAATTTCAAAGCACGTCTTTCAAGACTTACAACAATGCTGCCTACCGATGCCTACCGACTCTCAATCAAGTAAGACGGATCCGTATACCACCGGTAAGATTGGATTTTGATCGTGAAGGTTAAGCTTGATAATGAGTACGCGATATCGTCATTCATTTGCCTGACTTGTAATTGATAGCATGCTTAGAAGATGGAGATCAAGAAAACATCGGTCCTTCATTACCATTCATTGAAACTAGCTCCCCGAAACTGTCTAAAGTCTTACACGGAAGGGTTGGCTTCATTTGGACGGAATCCTGTCTATCCACGAGCTCCGGTTTCAGTTTCTCATTCAGAATTTCACTACCGACGGCGGCGAATCAAGGTCTCAGGGACTGGAGAGGACGTGCTGACTTGATCAAGATGATGCGACTGATAATGGAGGGCTGTCATTGATATATGAAGAAGCGGATGAAATATTATGTGAAGATGAATGCCAGTGGTCAGAGTCACCGCAATGGGAGCGAGCTAATCTTGTCTAAAAAGTTGCAAATAAGCACGTAACGCGTGCAGCACTTGCCCATGTGTTATTGACTGGCTGGAGTTGGGGGAAATTAACGTCGCAATTTGTTCATGTGATACGAGTAGACGGGAACTTCAAGCCAGGGTGGTTTCCGATGTTAGCTAGAAAATATGCGCAAGGTGATCGACGAATCGCTCTCTCAGCTACATTGACAGCTCGACTGAGTTTCTTTCACGTTGAATATTGAACGGCTGGACGTTAGGGGGGACGGCGTAGTCCGCCAATTTCTGCCTTTCCTCTCCGAGTCAGCTAGAGGCATACTCCGAGTCTCTGCGATTGTCGAAGAGTTCTTGAAGAGTTTAAGAGTACCATTAAAATCGACTAAAATATAGCGCTCCGGAAATACTTCCTCGTGATCGTCAAGAATTCCATCTTTTTGAATATTGTCCGGGTGAAATACGTCACAAAATGACGATAGAACGGCCGGGCTGTCGAGAAGTCAGAACTTTCAAAGAACTATTGAAAAAGGCACCGTGGGAAGCAAAGTTGGCTGCATTTATTTGTTTGTCCCGATTTGAAATTTTAAACGAGGGACCATTGTCCAAACGTTCCACCCTTGCCAGCCCTTGGCCTTGCCACCCGCCCTTGACCCACCCTCATTAAAATTTGCTCTTCATATTTGACCGCCACCATAGCGACTTGTTTTTTTCGCGAGCCGACGGATTCTCTGCTGGAGATAGCATTGTGAGATGCGCTCGATCTCTACTGTTTCCTGAAAATTGAAATCATAACCAATCTAGATGACTGTGAAACTTCCATACGACGTTGTGGGGGAGGTTATCAACCACCTCTCCGACGATAAACGCTCCCTCCGCGCCTGCTCCCTCATCTGCAAAGCCACCGTTCCCTTATGCCGGCGCCACATATTCTCTGAAATTAATATACGGAAGGAGGTCCGTGGCTTCGCGGACCTTTTGGATAGAATTCCAGAGACTGCCAACCGCGTCCGCACTCTTAGGCTTGCTTTTGGCGATTTACAATATGAAAACGATGCCGTTGAATGTTGTCAATCATTTCTCAAGCTCAACGGACTCCATACTATAGAGCTTGAATTTCATCATTCTAGTTCCTGCGAGGAAAAATTCCTGGAAGACATCAAGCTGGTTCTCTTTCATCTCCTTTCGCTTCCATCAGTCTCGACCCTCGAGCTGAATTGCGAAGGCCATTATGACAGTACTGCATGCCGACCGGCGTTCGTTTACCTGGCGCGTATTCGCAATCTCAAAACCCTGATACTCAACTCAGACTCCTTTGACATCCCACATGGGGTACAACCATCATTCACGGGACCCTCTTTGGGATTTTTGGACTTGAGCTACTTTCCGCTTGGAAAACTACATATAGTGAAGCAATACATAACGAAACACGTCTTTGATCTCTCACTTCTGGAGACGTTGAAGATCGGCGGGCGTTCAAAAGACGAAAGGGTAGCAGTTCAGGATATCATCCAGTCCTGCGTGCCCACCCTTCGAAATTTGACTTGCTATAGTTGCGGTAAGTAAGACATTATCCTCTCGCCTAGTACATACTTTGACACTGTCTGTCGTAGCCCCATGTCCTCTGCAGTTGGAGGGTATGCCGGGACTGCCTTTTCTCAGAGTTTTCAACCTGGATTTGTGCTGGGAAACAGCCTGGGTCACGAAATCGGACCTTTGGGTGCAAAAACTCGCAAATCAGCATGTAACGACTGCGGAAATTCAAGCCCTTTTCAATGTGTTATCCAATTGCCCAGAGTTGAACGAGATCAACATATCAATTCACTTTGGCAATACAACCTCTCGTGATCCCAGGCAGTTTTATAACAGCGTCGCTTCCGTTGTTGACTGGAAAAGATGCTTGAAGATGTGCAAGCTGATGGACGCTTCGCTCTCTGGGCTACAGTCTGAGAAGCTCGAGTTGGTTTCCTTTACACTCCACATGGAGTCGCTGGAAGTCGGAGGTGATGGTGTGGTAGTTCGGCGATTTTTCCCGTTCCTTTCCGCCAGAGGAATTCTGCGCGTTTCTGCGATATCTGAGGAATATAGGCGGCCCATTATTTACGTCGAACGGGATAAGGCGTAGCTTTCTAAAAATTCTTCTTCACGGTTGACAACAATGTCATTGCCCTATACATGATACATCCGTCCACGTACACCTTACCATGCTACACCACAGAATTGCCCCTCTCTTGGACGAGCATGGCGCCTTTGATCATCAAGAACAACGGAATCGCTAAAGAGAAGCGTCAGACATGCGGTAAGAGCACACGTATGAGAGGGCCCACCTGTAGAGAATGTCCAGACGAGACTCCTGCGACATACATAGATAAATTCCGTGACTGTATAATAGCTTAATGATACGTACCGAATTCCTGCTTGACCCTCCGATTTCTGTGTAATATAAATGTAGTTATAGATCGCTCGTAAGAAGATGCTGAATAACTTGAATTGGCGAAATGAATAGATTATACTGCAAAGCACTCACTACAGCCCAGAAGCGACGTTCAAAGTCCGTGGGTCCACGCCTGCTAAGTTCGCTACCACGACCGCTGCAGCCCAGACAGGGAAGTTCTCCAATCCGTTCTATCATACACTGACGTTAGGAACTCGGGAATAAGACCAAAAGCGCACTAACAGCATGAGCTCCTTCCATCCGCTTCAATTTTGCCAGTAGCTCCGGCTTGATGTCCTTGCGCGCAAGACGGTCCATATTTTGTCGAGGTGCAACGCTAACGTCAAATTTTGTGAAATGAGCATTCCAGGGCATACAAAACGGCGCGTACTTGTTGAAAGCAAAGTGACGACCAATGGTAAGGGACTTGAAACCACACATATCGTCAATACTACGTGGAGTTCATTTACGCGCCTACTCACCTTGGCGAAACCAGGGATGTAGGCCAGCAGCCACATCGCTGGGATGGAATAAAAGGACAGTCCGGGGCTTGATAAGGTTAAAGTCATCGAGTAGAACGTTGTGGTTGTCAGAAGGATAAAAGCAGACACAAGCTGAGATGACGGTGACGTGTCCGATATTCAAGTTCCTGACATTGGCATGTGGAAGATATACACATGGAGCGGGCCGACTTGAAGCCGGCCAGCCGGTCGAGGCTTCAGGTGTGGTGGCGAAAACCAATTTGAAGCCTTGCTGACCTCCTAATTTGACGGCGTTTGATTCCAAAAATGCAAAGAGGATAGCGTATTGAAGCCGTGGTGGAGACATCAGGCTCCGCTTGGAACGCTATTCTTCGTTTAACAACTTGTCATAGATTTGGAAACACGTCAGTTCGAGTCCAATGAAGAGGTGAATAAGAGGTACCTTATGGCAACATCCAAAGAATACCCCCGCCCGCCATTAAATTCACGTCTGAACTCCCGATCTCGCAGGATGATGGAACAACCGCGTCCAGGAATAAGTACGTTGTAAGTACGCTCAAAATAAAGAAAAAGCCATAGATTAGAACAAATGCAGAATTTCCAGTCTATTGTCACTCGTCGAAAGACGGAAAACCAGTTGAGGGTAAAACGTACGCGTGGTGGCCGCAAGTAGTTTTATAAGGAGAGTCGCGTGCGCGAAGTCGCAGAAGGTTTGTTGGTCGTGAAATTCAGGTTGTTTGTGTAAGGGTGTGTTGCCAAACAAAGCTCTAATTTGCATCATCCAAAGCATCAAGAGTTGGGACGCCGTTTGGTTTTCGTCTTCCACCACGAGCAGGCATGTCTCGACGCCCGGCGCCCTCCACGTCTCTAGCAGATAGTTTTTCGCCGCTGAGAGCTCCTCCACTACGGTCTACAGAACCTGCGAACTCGGTGCCAACACCCACGTCATCGACACCAGAGAAGCACCCATTTGCGAACACAACGTCGAAATTGGAGGTTGTAAGGCCCTCAATCTCCGGGGATATTGACGTCGAGGAGGAGGTAAAACTTTACGACGACCTTTGTTGTAATTACGAAGCGGAGACGGACAACGTGAGTGTAGTTGTGTCTGCATTCGCGGTTTAGGGGATGGGACTGGATGGGGGGTTGATCAATGCTGACCTGACCCCCAGTTTATTGCGTCATGTTCATCGTCACCTTCGCGCTTAAAACGAAGATCGGCGCCCACACCGCCGCCAGAATCCATCTTCTCCGCCGAAATTTACCTGTCAGATAATACAGGGAAGTCGCACCCTCATGCGTTTGCTAGCGACGTGCAGGTCACTGGTTGGACGACTGTCGCTGGAGACAAACCACCTTTTTTCGATGGCGGCCAGGGGAAGGGTAAGGGAGCGAGTATGGTTGGTTTAGGAGGGGGCGCCTACGTAGGTGAGTTTGTTTCCTCGAGCGACCGGTAAAGACTTCTGGATTGACCTTTCATCATAGTTTACGATTGTGTCATAACAACTAAAGAGGTGCGCTAGGTTCTTGTTTCTCCCCAAGTGGCGGACTTCATGGTCATTCTAGGGTACCTCGTTCCATGCGCTTAAACGTTATACGGCATTTGAAGACCTCGATGCCACTTTGCACAAAATACTGCCAGTCCGTTTATTTCTCTTTTTACTCGACCGCTGCCTCATCAGTCTATACTTTTGCAGCGTCGACTGCGTGGCCTGATTCCTCCATTGCCTCCGAAAGCTCCTTTCGCGAGATTTCGGCCCGCGTTTCTTGACCAACGCCGTCGAAAGCTCCAATTCTACCTTGCGAGCATCCTTCTGAACCCAGAAGTTGGTGGGGAGGAATGTGTCCGGCGCTGGGTTATCAGGTCGTAAGCTGTTTTTCGCTTCATACATGATATCATTGCGCTACTAAAAACCTATCGTATGTACTTACTTGACGTAATTTCATTGCCTGATCTCGGCTGATCTTTGGATTTGTGCGACCCTCTGCTAGGACAACGCCACCTTGAGTGATCTTTGAGGAAAGGTATTCTCAACGTCCCACGTCTAAAGAAACTGAAGATTGGTGCGTCTCATAAGGATGAAAATGATGCCTCTCAGACGATCAGTCACCATCTCACAGGCTCGAAAAAAATTCTACCTCTCCTTTCCCGTTTCTGAATGTTCAAATTTATAAAAATCAACCGCTTGATCTACAAATCTCTGCGCAATGCCGAGGGTGCACTTCATGGCGAAACATCCATCGCGATGCAATGTGAGTCTTACTGCTCTAACGGATGCTACCCTCCCTTCTCAGAAAAGTTCATTCAGGGAAATCTACTCAAACAAACTCTTGCTTTCTGGCCGCGAAATGCCTTGCGACATATCGGCGGAAATCCCACTCGATAATCAAAGTCTCACGCGAGAAAATGGTGCTTCGCAAATGAAAACCTACGCACCGGTTAATGGTGGGACCTTGAGGTGTAATAATCATGAATAATTTTTTCACTCGACGGATACAAACAAAATATTCCCAATACATATCACAGCTAAGTGAATGGCGATAAACCCTTTGTCAAAAGCCTTACTCACAAGTTCCCATTTCCCACCACAGCGGTGAACCATACGTGGAACAGTCTGGAAGGGCCTGATTTCCGTCATGAGACGTATGTACCAACATTACCTTCTCGCGCACCCCAAACTCTGTTCGACAGAAAAGTTTGATTTGTGTAGCTAGCGGAAAACGTCCATGTTATCTATCTATCGAAATCAGCTGAACTTCGCCAAAATTAATACGAAGGACAATCGTCGTTGTATAAAATCAATGGCCCCTTGCCATCTGTAATCTGAAGCCTGTCCCTCGCCTACATTCCAATATGCCAACCCTCGCATTGAAACCTGCTCTCCGCACTATCGACCTCTCCAAAGCGGACGGGCCCAGCGACGCAAAAGTTGTTGTCATCCCTCTTCCCGCGAAACTGTCGGCATTATCTTCGGAGTAAGTGGTTCAGTTTCCTGGCCGGTATATCATCAATCTTACAGCGGAGGTATCCAGCAACGCACCGGCGCAGAATGGGCGCAGCGTTATAATACTTACGTTTTCGACACGGATTATATCGTCATTGATCCGCAGGCCATTTGGGATCCCCCGTCTGATAATAGCCGCTTCTTGATTACGAAGATCGTACCGTCCGAATTTGATCAGAACCCCACTGTCCTCAGCATCGGTCCATTTAACGACGACAACTACGTCGCAATTCACTGCTCTCACTTGAGACCTGGACAGAAAAACTTCATTAATAGTGATCCTCATCACAGTTTCGTACGTCCTCAATACGGACGATGTCGTTGAGGTTTTCGCCCAGGGATTCTTCGCGTCTACGGATGGCTTTGAGGTTGCCTCAAATGAGGGTCACGGTGTTGGAGATGCGAACAAAAGCCATGCTTGATGGCATTTTTCTGCCCAATCTTGAAGTCATTCTTAAATTGGCAACAATATGTTAAAATCCCCTCGAGAATGCGTCGTCGCACCGTCAAGCGTTAAGCAGACGATGCGGAAAAGAAGCTATGCAAGATGGGGTCGGCCCGACGTGCCTGCTTCCCCGTCTTCTCCATTGATGTGTTGGTACCCTAGGTTCTGAGCCGTTGGCAGGTGCCGTGATTGGGGCAGCGACGGTGGTTGAGGGGTAGCAGTAGCAGCGAGGTGAGCGGTAGTAGCAGGCTCGCACCCGCACCACTCACATCAGAACCACCACCCCCATGACCACTCAAAAACTGCCCAGTCAAAGAATGTCAATCCCACGTCATAGGATTGTAACTGATAATTGTACCAAGTAGAATTCAGTACTGCTCATGTTACAACCACTTCTTCAACCTTCTACTGGGTTCTCAGTTACCGTGGTCAGAACAACGTCGTGGAAAGACGCGAGGAGACTTGTCGGTGATAAGTGGTAAACCCATGCCACTGCTGGAGCTCGAATGGAGACTCGAACGGGCATTCACCTGGACTTCCAGGGAAAGCAAAGGGAAAGTCGAGATGGCGCTCGAGTTTTTGCCAAAACAGAGCAGGATGAGGAGACAATGGAGAAACCAAATGATTTTGAATGGAGGCGACTGTCAGCTTTGGGTTCAAATTTATGGCCCAACGTAGGATTCAGCTTCACAATTGTAAATAGTGATTCCGAACTCAAGGTCGTAGTTGATGCGAAACAGACAGGACTACTATATTTTGACACCGGTAATTACAAGCGAAAAGATAAAAGCAAGATAAAACTTCCATCCCTTCTATTCAATTGTAATTACATCCTGCTCCATCTCTTCCTCCCATCTGTCATATTCTTCCCTGAACTTTTCCTTCATCGAAATACCCATAAACCCCGCAATTTCGAATATTTTCGTCCTGATATTGGCGTTCGCGTACTCATTACTTTCGCCATTTAGGTCAAAGCAGTCCATAATGATATTAGCACGCTCTTCTGTCAGTGTATAATTATGACGTGAACCTCCTTACTCGGCGGTATAGAAGAAACCCTGACGTACCAGATAGATTACACAAGTCATCGTAGTCCACAGGATACACTCCATCCGGGAGAACAGGTCTACCAGGAAAAGGAGGCATGGGCATGTAACATTGGCGGGGACAGCCAGGTTTCATCATGTTTCGGTACCCCGACGTTGTGAAGTTAAGACGTCGGAGTATGTCTCTACAATACATGTTAACTTAGCGTATCCAAAGGACTCGGAAAAGGTTGAAAATTTGACGTACACCTTCGAATTATATTTCTGACGCTCAGATACTTTCTTCCAATTCACTTGAATAGCGTTACTTTGGTCAGCGTTGGACATGATGGAAGTTGAGAGGGTGCTTGTTTTAGATCGCTGAGTAATGCGTCACTGATCCGAGACAATTATTCACTTTCCGCCGAAAACCTTGATTCTTAAAATGGTCAAACCTCACGTGAGTCCGGCAACTAGCAAAACCGACGCCGTCCAAAAATTTCACCAAGGTCGAAGTCGCCATTCCACGTCTACTATCTAGCTGCGTTGACAGATCAAGCTTCAAGTCTCATACAAATCAATATACGAAGTGTTTGCCACAAGCGGCTCAAGAAGTATAGGTATGTTGTGCATAGAAATACTGCCCGCTCACGACAGGATAAGGCGGCATGTACTGACAGTGATACAAACCGAATGGAACTCGCGGTGGGGCTAGGTTTACAGGCGCTGGTAGTGGTGGGTACATTGGATGCGGAAGAGGTACCGCCGTCGATGTTGGGAGCTGAGTTGGAGATGGCTGGTGAGTAGCTCCAGCTACATTCCTCGCTGATTCCTCGTTGAAGGTTGCGGTTTGGAACTGAACTTCCACTTATTAGGGGTGCTAATCTGTATCGGAGGCATGACAACATACCTGATGGAAATGTAAGGCGGATATGCAGCCGCATTCTTTGAAGGTGTGTCCATTGACGGTAATGGCGCTAGCAACTCAGACCTGAAGCCATATTTATCGAAGGGCTCGTTCATCTAGGACCGGCAATAACGCACCTGGGAGACTCCTTCGCTTTCTTCCCGCTCGCTGCGCCTGCTCCATACGCCTGATCCCCGATTCGCTTCCGTGCAGTCTTTGCTGCCGGCATCACCTTCTTGGTCTCGTTCCAGGTGCGCAAGTTTGGCGCCACCTTTTGACTGGCTGGCAGCACGCGCGCTTTAGATATGGGACCCGAGATGTCCAGGCATTCATCGAGGGCGGTGTTTAGGTTGGTGAGAGAAAAGGATAGTGCGTCGATTTCCCTGAGCCTTGAGGCTACTCTTTCAAGTTTCTGAATCATCTCGACGACTTCCAGGGGCTACTTTTGAGTTGGATTTGTCGACAGGCTGTGAAAGAAAAGAAGGAGAGGGTGGTGGCTCCTCGAGCGCGGGGGCTGTTGAATCAAAGAGCTCCACAGAGCTACCAGAAATGCTGAAGAAAGTTTGAACAGGATCCATGTGCTTGCAAAAGCGAATGCGAGGGAAAGCGGGACAACTACAGAGATACAAATCAAGGTCAATGTCGTACTGCTTACCAGGATTAGTGTAGGATGGAACAATAATTGAATATCTAACAGGTTTTTGTGAGCAAATATGAATGAAAACTGCTTCAATAATGCGTACCGTGATACTAGTTTGTGTGTACTGTTCAGCGGCAAGCTTGGCCACCTCTTTTCGCGCCGACACCTCGAGATTTGCACCTTGAAGCCCAAGCTCTCGACGAGACTGCTTCAATTTATAATGGGGAATTACTTCGTTGACGAGACAATGAAGGAGGTGGTCCAACCGATGATTCCGCTTGCCATGAAGATATTTGCCCTTCAAAACATGATGCCACGCCTCAAGGAGCATGTTGGTATCAATGTCCTCATGAATGTTTCGACCTTGGCGATAGACGTTTGACCACATCTTTTTGTAGCGTTCCGGAAGCCAGGTAATTTCAAGATACTTCACGAATGACTGGGGGGACAGCTCCCAAGGGGGTAGCGGGACGTGGATCCCGAACCAAGTAGGTGGGGGAGGTCCGGCCGAAGGCCGAAAAAAAAAGTGACCCCCATCACAGCGACATGCCTTTTGCAACTTTGGATGTTTTAGTAGAGTTTGAGATGCAGCAACGCACGGATTTCCATGGATGACGATGCATCCGAAGGTAATGGTTCAAGGATTTAGAGTCCCCACCACCGTACTTGCGTTTTAGGTTGGTTTTTTGACCATTTACATTGTGTGGCAATCCCTTGCCAGTGCTCCACACACCACCCCATCAACGGAAACTTGATTCCTCGACTCCCCATTTACCTTCAAGGATTTTCATCACACATTGATGCTCGGAAAGAAATGCCGTCTCATTTTGTCCTTACTTACCCACATACATCTTTGAACAAGTACATAGCTTAGAGCCATTTTGTTTAACTTAGGCAAAAGGTGGCCAACTGCCTGTGCATATGTAGTTGACTTGTTCCACGTAAATCTTACGAATTTTTAAAAAAAACATGAGTGTAAAAAAAAACATACTCTATGAGGAAGGTGGAGAACATGCCACCAACAAAGAAGTATCACAGCGCTGACCCAGACCTTCACACATGAATTGATCTCAGCATGGTCGCAGTCGGTCATCACATTCCGGGGGTGCACAGATGGATTTCGTATGAAGACAAGTTTGATAAAGTAGGTAATTGTTTCTTCGGTTCCCTTTGAAGCAAACATCCAAGCGACGGGAATCCCGTGGCCCCAGCCGTTGCACACCATAAGTGTTGTGAGGTTGAGATTGCGGTAGACAGTAGTATTGTGAGTCGCATCGACGCCTATAATGTGGTTGCCGAACTTCCTGAACATTTTCTCCTGCCATCGAGTCTGAATCATGAGGGAAAAGGTATCCGCATCAAGATCGGAGCCTAACAGAGGTGGATCTGATGTCGCTTTAAAGCATAGCAGTGCCCCTTGATCTTGAAGTCGCTCGACCCACGCTAACGTCGAATCGTCGATTGGCCATATCATCAGAATGAAGTCGTGTTGTTTCTGCATCAATATCCTTTTTCAAGCGGTAAATATCTGACATGGTGATAAAGAAATTACAATGGAGACTTTCATCGTCATCATCCTGTTGATAAATGCCTTGGTGAACCAACAAGAGCTCAAGGTGAGGTGTTATCATAACGCGAACCTTTGTCAATTGAAGGCTAATTTACTCACAATGTGGGATGGTTCAACACCTAAGCGAAGAAGGCCAGCAATAAACTCTCGAGTTTCTGCTAAGATACGCACATAGGGCAAATTGGCATTCCCAGTTTCATGATTGTGTACGGCCTCATAGAACCCAAGAACAGCAGAAGATCCAGGGTACGTTTTGACACGAAGCGAACAAGGACAGTCCGTGCGTTTGTTTGTAACCTTTCGATGCCATTCAGGGTGCTTTTTTTGATAGGTCTTAGCACCGCCGGTTCCATGTCGTGAGCATAGGTAATAGAAAGTTGCCTTAAAAGTAGTGCCGTCGCCATGAACAGTCTTTGAAAGCCGCAACTCAACTGTTTTCTCCTTCTGCTCATCCTTCAGCCAAGAATTGAACTCCTCCCAGCTTTCCCATCTATTTTTAAACTTATCGCGAGCCAAATCATATTCCAAGGAGCCCAGGACTTGCCCAGGACAGGTCCCAAAGAAGGCGGTGGCGTGTGCACTCGAAAGTTCAGGAATCCGCTATTGGCACTGAAGGAGGAAGGGCAAGGTGTGGAGAAAGAGGATAGATTATTGGACAAATTCTGCATCAAGTCATTCACACCAGGTAGCGGCGCCGGCAGAGGTACAGGAGACTGAGTGGTTGCTTGTTGCGATTCCTCGGTCAATTGCAAGGAGTTTCAGAGCATGGAAATCCACCGGAGAGCTGTCCTGAACGAGGGATGGCCTGGCGGAGTGGGCGTTTTGCGGTAGTGACGATAACATTGCTTTGCCGATGGCTGGAGGAAAGAGCGATTCGAAGGAAGGCGACTCAATGGGGCGGGAGCGAGTTTAAAGGCGTGGTAAGACATTATTATGGGAAAACAGACATAGAAAAAGAAGAATAAATAGGGTATCGCCAAGAACAAGGATGAGCGGGATGGATGAGGTAGCGCTGAAGTTAGACGCGTAGCGACTTTCCCGCTGGATATGTGACGTTTTACCACTTTGAGAAATAAGGTTTTCGGCGGAATCTCAAAAGTGGTGTGAATAAAGAATCGCAATGAGGCTTGATCAGGCTTGATCGAGTCACGTCACGCTCCGTTACTTATCTCCAGCTCAATCTAGATTTGATCGTCAGATTCATCCACAACGTCCACGGCGACATAGTTCTTGGTGTGGCTGTTTGCTACTACGTTCAGATTTTAGCCGCTTTATCTCAACGCTGACGGAGGTGTAGCACAACCAAGTAAGCCTTTGCGTGCACATCTGCGACCTTGGTAAGGTAGCCTTTTGAAAATGAGGGATGCATAATTCTTCGGAATCACTTTCCGATGGAATTTCACTTCTTCAATTCTCAATTCTGAATATGCTTCAAGTCTACAAGTTATCAGATGTCTTCGTTCTTCACGACAAATCAAACCCAGCGCCAGAGCTTATAGCTTGAAGCAGCTTTGACTTCAATATTCTCGCGTTTGGATACCTCGGAAGCTGGTCAAGGGTCAATATCAGAAAGATGTAAATTGGTATAAAAACGCACCTTCAGGAGATTGATACAGGTGCTGGCAGTGGGCAAACGCTGTGGGTCGGCGCCAGCATCCCGAATGCTAAAATTAGGAACGAGTTCTTTGAATCCGCTAGAATATCGTGAGAATGAGGGAAAGTACACGAACAGGAGCGGAGGCAAGATGAACCTACAGAAGTGGGGGCCGACTGCAGCTGGTAACGAATCTTAGCAATGCGCGACGTTGATCTTGGTCAAATGTATTGACAACCTGAAGGGAAGGTATCAACGGAAGTCACAAAATGATATGGGCGAAATGAGAGCATACATTCCAAAAATCGACAATGTTCTCGTGCTTGTCGTCGTATAGCCCACCATAATTTGTGTGCCGTCGTAGATCATCGAGATCGATCAAGGAATTGACGCCACCGATGAGTATTTGAACTTCTTGCTGATTGAACATTCTGTCCGATGTGGTTTTAATTTGCACAATCGCAAAGAGAAGGAAAGGGGAAATGGGCACCTGAGCCATTTAGGATCAATCATTTCGCTCAAGCCCTCAAAGAAGGCATCGCTCTGTCGTCTGATTTGCTTCGTGAGTCGGTAATGGGATACCAGGTAAATATATTTCAGCCGGTTTTCCTTAGTGACCGCAATGTTGCTTCCGTTTGGAATGAGGTCGATGATCTTCGTCACGCCGATTTCTGGGTATGGTTTAGGTATGATAACCGAAATAAAGGGATAAACGTACCGTCGACGGCAATAGTAAAATTCAACGACAGGTCATCTGTGTTTCCTGTGTAGTGTTTGAGGAAAATCAGACCATTGTATAAATCTGGGTCCAAAGAGACGAGGTCGTCTAAAAAGCTCTGTTTCCCCAACCACTGAGGTGCAGCGTGAGCGCGAAGACCTCGAGGGTACAACTGCGACGACGAACCTTTGCCAAGAAGAAACCTGCGAATGCTACGTCCACAAGAATGCCTTCATACATCGCTTTTCCAAGAATACGACCAATAAACCGGTACCAGTTGAGGCTGTGGGCTGCGAAAACAGAGAGTAAGGCCAGTAACACAACAACGAGAATTAGCGATAGTGTACCTTCTGTAGCATACGCATGTGGGTTCGGATATAGTTCATTCTTCTTATTTTCCAACCAGAGGCCACGATCGGTATCGAATACTTCCTTGCACAAGGAGGTGAAAAATTCCTTGAAGACGCCTCCGCCATCAATACCAGCCCTAGAAACGATACAGAATCCGTTAGATATGCGCGATGACATTAGACTGTAGAAAGGCGAGATATCGGGGAAAGGAAATAGAAGCACATCGTATGCGAACGAAGACGGAAGGTTGGGGCAGAGAAGAAAAGAAAGCGAGGAGAACGAACACTCACTCCTCCTGCCCAAACTGATCAATAAACGTAATCTCAATCGGCGCCTTCAAATCCACCTCCCCCAGTCTATCAAAGCCGTCCTGAGCAACCATCCCCCTACGCACTTGCACCCTCTCCCGTCCATTACCCCTCAAGCCCCTAAAAAACATCGCGTGCTGGCCTTCTCGCGACATCATATCGCTCATGACGAAATTCCGAAAGATCGCGACACGTGCTTCGAAGGGGATGGCGAAGGGGATGTTGTTGAGTACCCCCAGGCGTGGTGACATGCTGGCGATCTGCCGTTTTGAGAGAGCGCGTGTGCGGACGGGTCGGGAATCTGAAGATGTGAAGAGTTGTTGTTCTTCGAGACTGGTAAGGCGTTTCAGTGTAGTTGTTAGGAGGGGGAAAAGAGATACGCACACAGCAGCTTCTATGAATGAATTAACGTCGATTTGGGACGTTACGAGCCACCCGTCTGGGGGTATAAACGGTTTCCTTGAACTAGGCGTGGCGTTAGGTCAGAAGATATCGAAAAAAGGTGATCATACTCTCTAGCGTGAATAGCCAACAGACACTTTGTCACTTTCTCTCTCACACTCTCCCACGTATATCGAGGGTTCCCTGGGATACCTCCTTCCTCGGCATGCGATTGATCGTCCCGCCAGTATAACGTGAAGGCGACGTTGAGTAGCTGCCTGCTCAGCGATGTGAGCTCGTCGAGCGAGAGTGGGTTACGAGTTGTGGCGTTGCTCCCAAAGAACTCGTCGTCCCCCATCGTGAGGAGTGCCTGAGTATACAGCTCACACAGGAAAAGTAACGGTGGCCAATGTTCGGCGTTAGCTGGTTCTACGAGATGATCAGTGACTGACTTTTGGAGATTTACGACGACGTACCCAGAAGAGCGCTGCTATTCTCCTCTTTGCCAAGGGGGGAACGCCGTACAGAGTCGCGATATATCTCACGTACCAATCCGCCTCCCGTTAGCGCCAACACCGTAGCCAAAATCTGTTCTCGAGAAGAAGGCCAGACGGCCGTCAAGGCCGAAAAAAAGGCGACCATTTCTTTCCGCGCATCCGGATTTGAACGGGTTGACGTGTTCAAAGAATCGATGTGGGCGGGCGCAACAACCTTAGTCAGGCGGGTAAGTGTCTTGGAGTCTAGCTTCGGTAGGGGTGGTGGCTTGTTGAAAGACGAAACGAGGGAAACGCGAGGCCTGGGTTCATCATCGTCCGAATCTGAATGGTACTCGAAGTGGGCTACTTTGGGGATGTGTTCTCTTGGAGGATCAAATACGGAGACAGGGAGGGCGTTTAAAATGGTTGCAAGGAAACGGAGATACATTGACAAAGAGCGGCCACCGAGTTTCGAGTAGTGAGGGGCAATAAACATGTGTAGGTTTGCCACGAGATGAACTTTGTCTTCCGTACTCGTGGAACTTGCTATGGTGGCGCTATATTGCTCTAGGACGTACAGATCCGAGAATGGGAAGCGGGATATGAAATAAGACAGCGAGTCAAGTGGGATCCGGTTTGGGAGAAGCGGAACGGTAAAGATGTGGGTGAATATGGGGCTGATGCACGGGGAGGGCGATGGGAAAGTGGCGAGTGGCGCCGTGACGAGGGAAATGAGGCTAGGGGATATCTTGGATTGCGTAGGCTAGAGACGAACGTGAAATCAGTAAAATCGAGTATAGGAAGTGGCTTACTGTCTGTCGGATAGCCTGGGATATTGATATGTAGAAATTACGTTCCAAGAGATAAGTGGTTATGGCCACACACGCCTGCGCGCCTGGTGGCCCTAATACGCGCTTCGTCGATTCGCAGGAAAGAAGTTGATTGAGGACTTGAATGTGTGATGTTGCGTACAATGATCTATAGATGAGAAACGGTGAGAGTCTCTTGATATATTAGCTGGAGGGCGTACTGTGGATGTCTCGAAGTCGACTGCACTAATAGTAAACTGACTTGGCGTATGAGCACTAACCAGCTGTCCCCAGACCCTTGCAATGCCGGTGAGAACAAAAGCGCTATATCAGAATTAGTTGCGGTGAAAAAGATGCTTTACAAGCCACTCACCTTCCCCGCCTTGCACCATCTGGCTTGACCACGTCCCCAGCGCCTCCTCATCCTTGCCTCCTATCAAAACCAAACACCTAAGCCCATCCAGCCCAGCTACATCCCTTTCGAATGCGCCCCTCAGTCTTATCTTGACCTCCCTCGCCTCTCTGACTCCGCGCCACCACGATTGGATTCGTACAGCAGCATCACTCTTGCGTTTTTGCTCCGATCTCTCATTACGTCGTCCTCGCGCTGCTTCGAGAAGTTCGGCCTGACTCGCGACCTTCGATGCCCCGCCAAGATTAATCTTTCGTCGTTTCTCGTCGCCGAAAAGGTGGATCATCGTGGTGTTGAATGAATGACTCAAAGTCCGAAATTCGTCAGCTCTGTGACGCCAGGGGCACGTGATTCTAATCTTATCTTATTTCATCCATGCTCACTTCTCCTGAGATTGCGCGTTGAACGGTGAACGTTGAGGTAGTGAATTGAGATAAGAATACGGTAACTTTAATGCAGCAAAATGACTTTGAGCAAGCGCAAGAGCAATCGATTTTGTGGCATTTTTGCTGCTTTGTAATTGTTTGCCACACACGGTTCTCTTGCTCATGACCATTAGATCCATACCAATAGTCTCGTCTACAGCGCCCTATGGCACCTGATCATCGCCTATTACAGCACAAGCCACAACTAAAGGGTACGTCCTGCTATTCTCCACAATACGCGACGTGTTTACTCATAATTCTCAAGGCAAACGGCATCGCAGATGTTATTGTCGACGCCATTACTTCAGAAGTCTACCACGTCAAGAAACGCCCGTCCGAGGCGGGGCGGAACGTTCTCGTTCATACCAAATTGAACAAGGACGTAGTCGGGGAAGGTTGGAATGTCCGAACGGGCGTTCAGGAATACGGTGGATCAGCGGCGGTCATTCACGCTGGTGTCATTTACTTTTCACATTTACCGGATGGGCGCATCTATCGAATTTCGGATGGTAATCAGCCAGAACCAGTAACGCCAGGTGAGTCGTAACCTTCTCACAGATATCTTTATTAACATTCAGATTTCAAGACAGAGTCCCTTATCGATACGCCAATTTCGAGCCTCACCCCATACACACCCATCTCCTCCGTTCTGGAAGATCATACAGACGACACCCCTGCTGGCATCGTAACCTCGTTATGTATTATCAATACCAAGGAGAAATCCATCCATCCTCTGATTTCCGGCGCCGATTTTTACGCGTTGCCAAAGTTCTCTCCGGATGGTACCCGTCTTGCATGGAATCAATGGTATCACCCGGATATGCCATGGGAGGGTGGCCAGATTCTCGTTGGCGACGTATCCCTCAACGCAGACGGCATCCTCGCGATCATAAACGAAACCCACGTCGCAGGGGTCAAGGAGAAAATCAGGCGTGCTATCCTTCCTGGGCAAATAACGACACTCTCATTTTTACCTCTGATGAATCAGGCTACGTCAATCCGTGGAAGTATACTGCAGGAGAAGCCGCAGCCCTATTTCCCGAACCCGTACCAGAAGATTTCGGTCGACCTCTTTGGTCACTGAATTGGTCTCCATACGCTGTGATAGATGCTGAAGGCACCAAGGCCATTTTTGTTGCTATCAGGGACGGGCGCGAGATCTTGTACTTCGTCGATTTATTGGGGGGTTCTCAGCCTCTTTTGCTTGAGAGCCCGTTCATCGTGGTCAACGTTATTCGTACAGTGTCTTTGGAGAAGGGGGAGTTCGTTTTCAATGGCCATGCGTTAGACGACGAGGAGTCCATCTCCCGCGGACCGGTGTCTCCATCGAAGGAGCTGAGACTCGATTTCCTACTGAAGGCCTCTAAAACGGTTACGTTCCCTGCTGGTATTATATCTATACCTCGTCCGTTGACGCTCAAGATTCCCCCGAAAGACGAACCGCTCCATGTTGTGTATTATCCTCCCCAGAAACCCGAATACTCCGGGAGCAGCATGGAGGGGGAATTACCCCCTTGTGTCCTCAATGCTCATGGTGGTCCCACAGGCCTCTCGAATCACGCCCTAGAGTGGAAGAAACAGCATTTCACTTCGCGTGGTTGGGGATGGTACGTGCTTGAATCACTTCGAATTGAGTTTTCTTATACACTCCCGTAAAAGGTTGGACGTAAACTACGGCGGATCCTATTCAGCTTGTCGAGTACAAGCTTGCCCCCTTTGTTCCGCTTTCGCTTTCGTTCGCTTTTTCGTTTATCGAAAACATTTGGTTTGAATTATTTTTATCTACAGCTTGTGGTTCGATTTTTGGGCGAGTTTCTTGAGTATATCTAAATGTGTAGATACATAATCAGATTATAATAGTGCTGTGCGATACAATGGCATTCACGCACCCATGTTTGGTTGAGAGAGAGAACGACGAAAAGTCGAGATTAGGGGGAGCAAAGCTTGGACAGTTTCATTGAGAGCATGAGCTTGAAATCGACAAGAGAACGGCTGATCGATAGAGTCGTGGAGGGGCAGAATAACAGGGCAAGCTCCGCAAGTAGAAGCGGAGCAAGTCGAGAGGGCCAACATATGCATAAGGTTTATCGTCGGCTATCGCCCGAGTTGACCACTTCAGAAGGCATGATGTCCCGTCTTCCCCCGAGTATTATAACCTGAGGCGTCCTCAACTTGAAGGTCTGGCTCTGTTTGGGGACATCGCCAATGTGGTGGGGGCCACGGTCATCCTTATCAAAAATGGATTCTCGACGCATGCTATTGTACGTGATTCTTTTTGTTTCTTCAATAACCGCTAACGCGTCCTGTCACACAAGAACATGGGCCAACGTCTCCTTCAGCTCCAATGCACCTTCACCGGGTTCAACAATAACACCGCCCTGCTCCACGTCAAAGTAGGGAAATAGGGAATGAGAGGTGAAGCGAGTGCGAGAATCGACAAATGAACATATCACGAGCGACATGGGCGGGAGAGAACCGTGGATAATGCGGAATGGGTGATACGCGTCATCGAGTGTGCGAGATGCAAACGTAAAAGATGAACGGGCGAAGGATGTCAATCGAACGGAAATACGGAGAATAAGGATGACGGAGAAGCGAAGAGGGGAAAAGTAAACGAAGTGCGAGGTACAGGTAGGCCCAGGAGAGAGGAAGGACGAGGAGGGCAGACGAAGAAGGCGTTATAAGGCAGAGCGCAAAACAAGTGCTCATAAAGAAGCGAAATGCAAAAGAAACAATGCATCCCTACAAAAGTGGACGGGGGTAAAAGTGGACGCGCAAATGTGCATAGATGGAAGCAAGGATGGAAGATGGGCAGGGAAATACGTCGGGTAAGAAAGGTGATAAAATGAAAAAGAACGTGAGTGGTGATCCATCAAGTGGAAAAGAAAGGCGGGGAGGAACACGGTGGGGGAAAGAAGGATTCGAATGCGGATGACGATCAGAAAGATGGGTGAAATACAGATCAAGGCAGACAATGTAGGGGCTGCGAGAATAAGATGCAGAACAACCCAATGCGCAAGGACCTCAGACGTAGGAAGGCAGTAGCAGAAGCAACATCGAAAAGGAAGGAAGAAGAGAAGACGCAAGGAGCGCACGGGCAGAGCCTCACTGAATGGATGAAGTGGGAGAGGAAACAGCCCAGGAAAATGAAGGAGTGTCCTGGTGGATGTGGAAGGGGGAGAAAGGAGACAAAAAGGAAGGCCCCAACGTAGTGAGGCGCAAGAAGAAAGAGGTTGGAGGATTGCAGGAAATACGAGTGCACAGGCAGAGAAAGAGAGAAGAATTTGCGGAGAAGAAAGAGGCGTAGAAAGTGGAGTGCGCCGAGGATGGTGAATGAAGATGAAGGGTGGGCAGCGTATCCAGGGAAATGGACGTGCGGGGCAGGGAGTACATTTGAAGCTGGAAACGATCCTAAGGACATATATTGAATGGAAAATGAAAGAAAGGCGATGCGAACGAAGGAGATAGGTGACGGAACGGTGGCAAAGAAGACCAGGGAGCAAAAAAAAAAAAAGGATAGAGGGAACACTACTCACTCTTACTCTCAACAGCCCCACAACCTTCATCATCCGCATCCGTCCTAGGTTGAACACGCATAACCCTTGACAGCGTCGGGTGATCTGGGGTTTCGAGGATACTATGAAAAAGTAGGTTCAGACAAGTTGTAAAAAAGAAGGGGAAGGGAGAGAGGAACGTACTCATCGGCGCCGTCCCTTGTATTGGAGTTTGAGAGAAAAGAGGAATGTGCGCCTTCTTCCTTGTCCTCTTCCTCTTCATTTTCCATACGCTCCGCGACGGGTGAGGAAGAAGCAGTGTTTGTAGCTACGTCACTCGTGGTCGTCACCGCCTGTGCAGCAGCAGCCAAGTTGCTATGACGTCGAGGCTCCACGCGGGTTCCACGACCCGTCCATATCAATGGAGGTCGTTGATTGTTTGGTTGTTCGTGGGTTGCGTGTGGTGGGGACGGCGGAGGTGAATGATTCAGAGTTGTACGGTCCTGCTGTTGAAGGGGACAGAAGGAGAACTGATGGTGGAGGGAGGAGTACCGGCGTTGGTGGTGGTGGCAAACGAGGCGACTTCGGTTTTGACTTTTTAGACTTTGGTGCGGGAGAAGGCTGGACTGGTTGGATGTGAATTGACCGGGTATTGCGTCTTGTAAAACTGTAGAAGCAACAACAGTGGCGTCTGATACTGCCGCCACAAAAGCTTCGTCGCTTTTCTTCCCTTTGGCTTTCCCCCTTCCATTCCCCTTTTCTTTCTCCGTCTGGTTCGTATCCAGTGTCCACACGAACACCGCTGATCTGGGCGTATCCAATTCCCAAAGCTCTAGCAACGACGAGGACGGTGAGCACGGATAAAAGCTTTGTGAAGAGCCCATTATTGTTGTAAACGAGCGTAGATGTGATCCTGGGACCTCGGATAAGAATGCGACGCAGAGTGCCAAATTATTTCTGACGTGGAAACTTGAACCAATAGACGAATTCGAGTCCCGCCGGGGGACTGGGCGAGGGCAGGCAGGGCGAGAGAGCAGGAGAGTTTCTACGATTGTCAGTTGTTTATTCTGCACTTGATTCTGCAAACATTGGACCAAATACAGCCACTCGCATCGTAGGCCATCCGCAATCATTGGCAGCTCGAGCTGAACACACCAGAGAAGACCTGAAAATTTGAGGGTACGAACACGCTTGGGGAAGCCCTGCAAGGTGCGACGGTAAGTAAGGACGCTACCGACATGCCCAACTATCGACTTCAAGACTTGAAAGTTCCTGATTCGCAACCGATTCGCATATCCGCTTCCTAACTAAACAAGAATGGGTTAGCGGAATTCCCGACCACACTCTCGCAGCGCTACTCAACGGAACTTCAAATGAATATGGGGACCCGTAGTTCACACGGATCTCGTTTAGACCGTCATCTTCGACTGTTGCCATTCAGGATCCGGGACACGAGGAGGTCGCAAAGTCCGAGGCCTTTCAGCTAGGATATATCACAGGACCTTGAACGTGACATCTGTAGCAGATGATTGGCCAATCACGTTCTTTTGGCAGCTTGCACACAGAAGGAAGGAGCAGCTGATGGCGGCGCTGCGGGTGGGGCGTTCACCCAAGCTCTCCTTTTACTCTAAAGTCGTCGGGTGCGGATAAAATCACCTATACCTCTCTTCTCGAGAGGATGGACAAGATACCATCGTAAGTCTGACCAACTGTAGTACCGCCACGGCCGACTGACGTCGTTTCCCACAGCCAAAACCCTCAGTGTGAAAGGTTGAACCAGAACTGCATCATTTACGACTCCAGAGCACTCACAACAGGGCGTTTATGTTTTCCTACCAAGATGAACGGCAGCGTATACGAGATGCAAGCCGGATCTGCACATGGTATTACAGAGGGCTCCGAATTCAGTCTATACAACGACAGTCTCACCATCGACGACTCACCCTCCCCCTGCATCTTCGTTGTTGCTTCTGCGGCCGACATTGGCCCATTCACCACAACACTTCAGATCAAACATACATCCACCGCCACCGTTACCATTCTTTCCGCAACTTCTTGCGTTTTGCAGACGACAGCCGGGGACTCGGCGGAGGATCTTTTGCTATTCGCTCCCCTCGATGAAAAACTTCTCGCCCTGTATAAAACTCTGGCGAAAATGATGAAGGAGTTCCATCCTGGTAAGAGGCAAATCCGGCCTGTCCTAGAGAAGGAAAAGGCGAGACTCGGCCTTTCGATTGTGGACAACATAATAGCGTTCGATATCCTTGATCCGCGTCTCGCAGAGCATGGCTTGACGGGTATGCCTCATACCGTAGCAAACAACCCGCAGGAAATCGTTCTGGTCCTTCATGGCGCTGCTCATAGCTATTGGCATCTTAACCACGAGGTGAAAGATGCTCTCGTCAACACTCATACCAACAAGTGATTACGACTCCTCAGGAAAAGCAATTTTGAAGCCGACTAGGGACAACTACTTACAGCTCGGTGTCATTGACGTCGTTGCGTCAGATCGTACCATGTATGGATATAAGATTACTAACAACAGCGCTCGCGATCTCTAGATCAACGCCTTTTACATCGACAACACCGACTTTAGCATTGGTAATTTATAATTCTTACCGCCACTGGCCATCGTTAACTTACCCCCTTCTCCAGAAACAATCTACCAATCACCAACAAGCGGTAAATACAAAACCTACCTCACCCTCCCCAAAAATGGCGGCTATCTCACCCTCGGCTACGGCTTTGGCGGGGTTGATCCATCCACCTATCGCCTAGAGGAAGGCACCGATATTGACGTGGGGTATCTAGTATTCTTCATCGCCTCGGAGAGTGTCAATCTCTCCAAGATTATCCCGCAGAAGACGCCGTTCGAGGGTCCGGGACGCACGTCAGTGTCAGTGTCGCCAATTACGGCACTTTCTTGGTGCCCATCGTCCAGCGCCATTATCCTGTCCAGGGGCAGTGAAGGCTCCGAAACTTTGAAACCGGCGTTTATCTGCTGTCGATTTTACTGGAGAAGTTCAGATGGAGGTCGCCATTTTAAAGTTTACTTGCGTAGGAATGTCTTTGAATCAGAGAATTTGAAAGCAAATGTTTTGACTTTGATGAAATGAAGATCCGCTCTCCGAGTCGCGAGCCCACTGTTCACAACTAATGCTCTGAATCTGAGATCGGCAGACCAACAGAAATTGCTCGAAAGCCTTTCAGGTTAATTGACCTGAATATTGCCTGAATACCAACAAATCTGTTCTACAAGATTCGAGTAAGATGTGGACATATATGCGTCTAATAAGCCCAAGCAAAGCGGCGGGGCTTCGGATGAAGCTGAAAGACCCAAGAGTGGTCTTATTCTCAACAGAGGCGGGAGTGGGCTGGTAGGCAGCAGTGGAGAAAATCAGAATCAAGGAGCGAATATCACAACAGACAAGTACCTGCCACCACTTACAATCATAGACGACTAGCGGAATGATTTTTTTAATGTCACAGTCGTCCAAGATTTAGAAATAGGAAAGACTCACAGCCCTTTCTACCAGCGGAGTTCATCGCAATATATCCACTATAGGGAGAGTTTGCAACTGAAAGAAAGAAAATTGTCCTTGTGTTGCTTATGTGACGGTGAAAAAGATAATCACTTGGCAACCCAGTGATGTAGCCTTTCGTTTTGACGCCATCTGTAAACATGATCTCGTTCTCCACGAACGGAAGCCAGTCTGATAGAACAGTCGGATTTGGATCTGAAGGAAATTATTTCGGTGTAAGGGGTATACGATAACTTTACTCACTCCACGTTATCGAGCCTTTAAGCTTTTTGTTAAAGCTTGGTTCTGGCACTAATTGGGTGTCCTTCTGTGTTTTCTCGGCCTTTTTCGGGCTACAAACAAGTGTTATGGGTTCATCTTCAACGTGTCCTGGATAGACCTGTGCTCGGAGAGACATGTGGTCATTATCATTCATTGGCACCTCGCCGTCCATATCCCCGAACAGTTGAATCTTGCGATCAGCGATGCCCTCAGCTTTTACAATTTGTGACTTCAGGGAAGACACAGTTTGAGGGGGCACGATAGAGAACGTGTCAATGCGACCCAAGGAAGAGTCGTCCGGGTCAAAGGATGTTTTCGAAGCCATTGCACCTTCTTCCTCGTAAAGCCGGTAGTAAACTGATTGATAATGAGTAACGCGAGTGTGCATGATACATGATGAAATTGCCGTTCGCACCATAACGAGGCCCGGGCGTCACAGCCTCAGGGAGACCCTTCGATTGCGCCGTGCTCGCTGATCGCTTTTTAGCATCTTCCGCTTCAACTACCAGAACTATGGAGTCATCCTCAGACCACCCCGGGCCAGAAGGATCCTTCAGCGCTAATCGAAAGGACTCCGTAGCGGCAGTCTGACTGGAAATTGATTCGAAGAGTGTGGAACTCGTAGCTCCTGAAAATCCCTCGATCTTGCAGAGATGCTTTGTGATGGATAAAGCGGCACGTGGAGGAGCGACGAGTTTCAGAAGAGTGCGACTGATGAATAGGTTATCTACATAGATCGGATTGTGCGTTGCAATTGGACCGTCTTTGGTGAATAGGCGATAGTAGACTGATTAAGTAGAGAATTTGTATGAGAATCGGAACAGGACTTATGAAGGATGATACAACTGTAACGAGGACCGCTCGTGTCAGGACTTTCAACCTGCATGGTGCGTTAGTACGCCAAGTTTTCTGATGAGAACGAGTCTAGTAAGTATGCCAGTACTCACCGCTCCACCCCGTCCGTCTGATGAGCCTTGCCCAGACGCACAGGGCTGGGATCTTCCGTCGGATTCAGCTGCGATTGAGGCCATTTGGAGAGCAATCTACAACGATGCTAAGTGGTGAGCGGAAGAGTTTGATCAGCGGGCGTTTGATTACTAGGCACATCTGTATATGTTCCGTGCTGTGCAAACATGATTAGATTAGGTTGTAGCCGAAAAGTTGCCCAACCAATGATCCTCACCATGCTTAACATCCATGTTGAAAAATAAGTGGGTATCGGGATGTGTTTTCGTCAAAAAAACCGCGTCACCTCTCCACGCCCTGTCGATGAACGTGGTCAAAGCCGTATAACAGCCTACAGTGAAATCACTTCGTAGAGGTATAATTTGACTCCCCGCCTCGGATATTCGAGGATTGAAAGTGAAGGACTAGATCGGAGTTGTCTGTAAAGTTGCGTGTAATATGCATATGGTGGCAGCGAATGCTAGGAAAAAGACCTATTGGTCCATGACAAGTTGTCGAAGAGACTCCTCCATGCAGTCCAGGCGGTCTCGGTCCAGCCATTTTCTGTTCCCTTGATGAAGCGGTAGCTCCGGGTCCTCTCTCGACAATTCCTGCGCATCTACCTGTCCCTCGATATTCAGTCCGAAACTGTCGGCTCTCGATTCACTGCAGCAGAGAATAGCTCTGACCCGCGTACACTGCAAGTCGAAGTTCAGCTGGTCATTCTCTATAAACACTATGTAACCCAGAGACATCGTTTGTGGAGTTACACCTCCTAACCTATCATTGAATTTACACGTGTGGAGACGTTACATCAGGAAAACTACAAATTACTTACGGGGCTTAGGTAGCTTGAAATGACTTGAGAACTGACTTGAGTCACTTCGGCACTTCAATGTATAGCCACATTTTCGTTTGAAAATATAAGTGATTCAAGTTGAATTCAAGCCAAACATCAAGTCAGCCAAGTTCATAAGTTGTAAGTGCGAGAACACGTCAATCTGCTTGAATTAGTATAGTCGGATATTGCACAATTCACACAATCAAGGAAGTCGTGCACAGCTCATTTGTATTTACCATACATAATTGTGTTCCACCCCCACCTAATAAAGATATGTAAGTGTATGAATAAGATTGTGTGACATGCCAATGCATGACGTCTTTGCGCCCTCAGGGCCTTAAATTTGGGACTTGTTGTAGCGTATGACGTCATACACGCCCAGCAAGTTACCGAAACGCTTCAATTACGAAGTTTGGTTTTATTTATCCGTGCAATATTTCTTCGCAGCAGTCATATTGATGCGCCAGCCGACCTCAAGCGCACGCCCCTCCCTTCGTGATACTACTCAGAGTTTGAACATTTCACCCCCGGCCCCTTCCAAACAAGGCAGATCGTCCAAAAAGCTGACATCGCGAGCCACGACAAAGGCGATCCATGTGGCTGAGAAACAAGCTGAGGTCTTCCTAAGTCCACAGCACAAGCATGCGGCTCGGAAGAGTGCTCTGAAGGCTTCCTTGAAGATAACCTCGTGAGTGTACTACACTATAGTGCCTATCTATATTAGAGTTGCACTTGGTTTCCAAGTGCACATACCCTGGACCCCCGCTCCCATTTTTTGTAGGTGGGTTCAGATCATTGGACCCCATTGGGGTCGACGTGGTTTTCGTCAGGGTCCATCAACCCTGGCTCGGCATTGACGTAACAATAAATATTTTTTGCCAAATCGTTCCTGACCTTCTAAAATCCATCTTTGAAAAATCGTGTTTTTTTTCCGACCTCGCCCCAAGTGCATTTGGTCGAAGTCGGCCTCAGATGTCAGACCCCCCTTTAGCTTTTTTGTGGGTGGGAAGATGTAGGGTGGACGCACCTTTTTACAATTTTTCACATGGGGGACGGTGAATCTGAGCCCAAGATCTTAAGAACCGTTTTGATGTCACTGCAGATGAAGAGTCCCAAGTCCCAATAGGGCATAGATCTGAAACTCACCTCGCATTCAATGACCTGTATGCAGGAGAAATAGAATGGAAACCATTGCACGCAAGAATTCTGAGGCATCCTTATCATCGAACGGGGATCAATCAACTCGTCCTGTGAATATGTTCCGCTCTGGTACACTTCCATCTCCATCTGCTTTTCAAGCTATCATCTAGACAAGATGCAGTTATGAATCAATATATCAGTGAGGCCATGCATGTCAAGCAAACAATCTCAACAAGTCCATATCTACCAACAACAAAGGATCTCAGTGTCAGACATGCAAGATGAACAAGGTGTAAAACTTACACTAAGTCAGCAAGTTCTCCACCATGATTGTCAAGCAACTTGAACAAGTCCTACAAGAACCTTCTCAGCAAGTCCAAGCAATGTGTATAAGTCTATCTGCAGCAACAAGAACCAAGTGTAAGTCAGACATGCAAGTAGCATACCATTATGATAACACCAGGAAGTTCTCTATGATCTCCATCTGGTTCAAGTCCATCTTCTATACAAAGTGTTTACAAGATACACTTGGAATAAGTAACCCAGCATCAAGTCTATCATGTGCAAGTGAAGTCAGACATGCAAGTAGCATACCAGGAGATGAGGAACCAAGGAAGTTCTTTACGATCTCCAAGTCCATCTTAAGTATGGTTGACCTTGGTTTATGGTAGACATGTGATGGAAACAAAAGACTTGGCAGAGCAACTTGGAGGTATGTTAAGCACTGGAGTCAGGCTGAAGGTTTTGAAACCCTATCAGGGCGGAGCCGCCCGTTAGGGCGGTGGAACGGCTTGACCTCCTCAGTGCAACTCGGTGCTTGGAACCTCAATTCATATACATAACAACATCTCAAATCCAAAATTTTGGACTGAACAGACCAGAACTCGGGGGGTTACAGAGCAAACAGTATGGTCACATCACCAATGGTCATTGTTTGGTAGCACAAGGGTTATAAACAATAGTATACAACCAAACAAACACATTCCTTTCCACCACCCACATCCTCTTCCATCTGATACCCTACAACACAGTGACAACAGCAACAACCACAATGATGCCACATCAGCAAGCATTGGCCATGACCACACCTGCCAAGAAACAACTGCCTACAACACCACCAACCTGATTTTTTGGAGCACCTGAACATGAACTCAAAGTACTGAGCACATACCTGTGGTAATAAGTGTTTAAGGTGTTAGTGTGTGTGTATGTGTTGTTTAGGTGTTCCTGCATGCCATGGTCTTCTCACCGCTCGAGAGCACATGCTGTTGCATGAATGAATGTGCTTCTCCTATCACTCCCCCTCCTCTTGTGCAAGTCCCCCCCTACAGTTCTTCATCTCCCCTCTCCTTCCAAGCACCTTCCCCCAGCACCATTCCTTCTGCAAGAGCATCCTCTCTTATTGCTCATATTTTGCTTGAGAGGTTGGTCTTGATGTCGTGTGTGGCTGTTCTTTGCTTCACACTAAAGCCCTTCCAACCTACATCTTCGTCACCACTCACCTTCAGCTCATGGCTCCTCCTCCCTAACCCTAACCTAACCCTAACATTATATCAGACATATGGTGGTCTGCTGTGTTGGAGTAACTGTGAAAATGTTGAAAATACATCTTCTGAGGTCTTTACCCTCACCCACATAATCCATGTCTCACCCACATAATCCATGTGGATTCCAGTGGAGTCCAGTGGATTCCAGTGGCCCATTTGTCAGGCCAAATTGGCTTGCACAATCCCCTATCCTATAGAAATGTGTCCAAAAATAGCCACAATCAGGGGGAAAAAAAGGGGTGGTGCTCACTGAGGTTGTTTTCAGGTCCAGGGCACATTTCTAAATATGGTAAAATATAGCCAAAAATAGTGGAAAAATAGGGGAAAATATGAATGGTGTATAGGACATCAGGCACTACCTTCAGGGTCCACCCCAAAAAAAGATATATCAACTGGCTTGCACTGTACTTTCTAGAATTATGTCCTAACATGCTCCTGTTGTGGAGATAGATTTTCAAAAGTGCCATGTTTTTTGTTTTTTGTTTTTCTCCATGAAAACAAAAACCAAATAATATGATTTCAACAACATTTAGAAAGCTAAAAGAAAGGGCTACAATTATCATACCATGGGAAAAAATGACCAAAAAAGGAAGGTGCATGCTCTAAGACTACAAAGTTTACTAATGGACTACTAATAGACTATGAAAGACTACAAAAGTTGGACATAGACTACAAATTTATACTCTCACACAAGACTGACATTGACTACAAAGTTTATAAAAGTAAGACTTAGACTACAAAATTTACTGATAGACTACAAAAGACTAAAAAAGGCAGACTTAGAAATGTGCAAGGATTAGATTGGATGATGAGTTGGCAATAGTGTTCATTTTCAATACAGCCAAACAAGGGACTTACAACATCTGGAAATGTACAACAGTTATTCACTTTCTGCCTTGAACTTTAAATATAAAAGGAAGGTCTGGGAGTTGGATGAAATTTCTCTGACTCTGGAATGCACCTTTGTTTATTAGTGCCTTTGTTGAGGGCAGGACGCGCCGTTGGTAGAATTCTGGTCATGTTCAGTTCTCACTATGTACTGCCCAGTTCCAGTTGAGTGTTGAACTTGCAATGTGCATCAATGGAAGTGTGAATACATAAGGATACATTCTCCGCTCTGGAGGCTACAGCAATGATGTCAAGTGTATATATTAGGTGTCTTTTTTAGCCCAGCATCATTGCTGCTTAAGTTTCTGTGAGGAGTATTTAGGACATCACGCGACTAGCTATGCTCATTGTATATACTTGTTGTTATGTCTGTACATATCGAGGGAACTCTATGCTAGGGTTCCCCATCATCTTATATCATTACCATTTTGCATGATATGTCTACCGACTAGCGACTCGTGACATGCAAACCTGCAGGTTTGTGCACACCACAACTACCATGTCAAGCCGGCTGAGCACCCTGTCATCTGCTCATTCACATGGAATAAGTGCTGACACGTCATCAGCCATCCACTACTCCTCCCTCGCACTTTGCTCACGAGAAGTCCTGAACATGGTTTCACAGTGGTGGGGGCACTGCGGATTTCACCAAAGTGAAGTGAAGTCCGCCAAGCAAAGGGAGACGAAGTCCGAGTTGACAGTTGAGGATGATCATGATGGGGATATGAATTGAGGGAACAGGAAAGGGTACATGGAGAGAATCCAGGGGAAATGGACAGTTGCTGCTGACAGTCCTTATACCAGGATATCTCTCAGAAGCCCCTTCTGACAAACTTTCAATCACTGCTCGCAGCAATGTGGCAGGTTGGAAGCTCCAGGAAGGAGGGTTCTGCCCGAAAGGCTTAAGAGAGACAAGGAGTATGCGATTTCATGACCATGATCTCTACAATAGCCTGAGCCTCTTGCAGTAGATGAACCTGGATACGTGAATACGTGACTGGATTCATTGAAAACATCGTCTACTGACTACTAGACTTAGAATCGTGTTTACGCGGCTGAGGAAGGTAATCGGTAAAGACGACGATTAGGGACTACCAAACCATTCAGGAAGCAGCAATCGATCCAGTGTCAACTTGCATTCGCGCTGTTGGCTGGATTGTTAGCTGTAGATCGAAGGGTAAGGTGCCACTCAGATCAAGGGAATCAAGTCAGTGTTAGCATGGCAGGTAAACCTTTGAGTGAGTCAATCTTTATAGAAGTGGAGCCTTTATTGAAGGACAGGAGGATACCATGATATCGCGACCTACTGTTCATTTGAGACAGCACTGCTTCTATATCGATGGGAGCAATATTCATTGTTCCAGAGTCCCGGACCCTCTATTTCTCATTCTCTAGTAATCTAGTTATCAATTGGAGATGACGACTTATCAATTGGGTCAATCTAGCAAGATTCAGTCTGCTGCCGACCTAAGTGCTATGCCCATTTGTATTAAATACATGCGGTCGAAATGGGGCAACCCCATCGATATCTGAAATTCACCCCATTTACTCCTTCCACCATCACTATGACTGGTTCTAGTCGAAAAGCGCTCCTGGGCAACCATCCTCTAGAACTTTAAGATCCGCCTCTACCCTCAGCCAACTACTTCTTCAACAGTTCAGAAAGGTGCTAAGAGTGTAATGACACTGACCGTACCACAGTCAGGGGAGGATCCAAATAAGACGCTACAGACAGAGGAGGGCAGTCTGAGTCGTGCACAGAATGAATCACCTCTCCCGTCTCCACTCCCTTGAAACCTTCAGTTTCCGAGTCCACAAGGGGAATCATCAGTAGGATCAAGAGAGGGAAGGAGAAGGAGGCTCACTTGTTCTCTCATGTGCCCCATTTGAAGATGGCGAATGCCTATGAGGAGACATTATCAGAGTCGATTGCACGTTGTCATCACACTTGGAGCCCTGAGGATGACGACAATCCACTCACAGGGTTTGGAGTACTGAGAGGAGCTCTCCCAGGTCTCACTCTAGCTGAGACTGTCCCCTTCCATGACATAGTCATACAATGGACGGAGCAGCATCAGAATTGCAAGTGGCAGTCCTTAGAAGATTACACTCAGATGCTTTGCGCCATTGAGCTTACTCCAGGCGACATACAATTAAACCCGATCAATGGAAGCTCCTACTACTCCCTTTGTTACACTCATCTGATGCACACCTACAAAGTCTCACTCGGTATCTTGCAAATCATTCAAACCATAGATCATTTGATGGCGTGATCACACCAACGTTCCTTTAGTATTGATAAGGGTTTCATTATCCTCAAACAACTCACAATGGGAGACAATGAGAATCATATCCAATTATCATTTTACACTTTACAAACTCAGTGTAGGGGCGCAGTGAACCATATTCGACAATCATACAATGACTTAAAGACAACATTCGGCCAATTCCACAATGCATTGACCAACCATTCTTACAACTCTACACTATCAGATGTGCACTCAAATTACAGTCTTTTGCTGCCACAACTCGAGGTAGCAAGGCATATTATGTGGGAGGACTATCAGGTGAATTTACCAGAACACCTACGAGGGTATAAAGACAAACTGGTAGGAGAATGGGTTCAATCGGGCCGTATGGTGAATATGCACCCCTATCAGAGAAGACCTGCGCATTACCTGCAATTTCACGAGGAGGATCGGCCGGAGTCTCCTCGAGCGTGGAGCCAAACTCAAGGTTTTATTTCAAAGGATCCTAAGAATCAGGAACAGAGTTAGCTCTCTGTTTTTGGAACCGTTACTTCAGTAGATCGTAGGCATATACCACCGACAGCTTCGATTTCCATGGCCCTGCATAGAAGTCACCCGCTCCGTCACTTCCCCAATTGAAACTCTAACCTTGTCGGAATAACCACGAAAGGGCAGGAGGACAAAGACCCTCATAATCCTTGGGTCACGGTTCAGCACAGTCACTCTCGAAGTGTCCGTTCAGGGCTGAGTCTTCCTAGCAAAAGCACATGCTTCGTTAGTCCTCAAGGAGACAGACAGAATACTTCTCCAGATCAGTTCTCAGTGACAAACTATTCTGGTTACGATCGTTCTGGGAGGAGTGGGGGGCCTCTGAATGGAGGAGGAGGCAGACCACCTGGAGGGGGACCACCAGGAGGAGGACTGCCAAGTTCAAGGAATCATTGGATAGATGGTGGCCCACTGCATATGGGAAGTGATCCACATAGCACAAGACAGGGACCACCAGGAGGTGTGAAACCGCATCGTCGTTCTTGGCTCCTTGATGAAGGCGTAGACGAGTTAAGGTGGCAGAGAAGATACGAGGAATGTGTGAGAGAGCATGTGGAGCGGTCACGGGCATCGTGGCCGCTCTTCTGTGGTCCAGTGACCCAGGACAGGGGATGCTGTCACCCAGCGTGGGGCTCTGGTATCCCAGAGGGGAGGCGCTAGGCTGCATAGCCGTATATGATAACGTTGACTTGCTCCACATGTAAGTTAATGTGTAAGTTTGCAAGTGCTTTGTTTGTCTACAGTAACGTATTATAACAAGATAACAAATATATGTACATACAATGATCCTATGTCACGCAAGAGAAGATAGTATACCATGCTATCACAAAGCCCCCCTGTGAAATTGGAGCATTGATCAAGATGAGAGAGTCCCTCTACCGTCGGCGTCGCCGACGTTTACGTTCCTTGCACCCCTCGTCGTGTCTCTGGTAACCTTGAATCTTCTGACCACTACGTCGTCCCCTCTTCATGTGTTTGTACTCGCCTTCCCCCTCATCTCCTGGATCGGCCTGATCATCATCCACGGGTTCTTGGGTGCAAGGTGAATTGCCTTGCTTCTGAACCAGGGGGGGAGCGTTCCGATGTGGCAGAGTCCCTTGCCATGAACGGTCCGTCTGTAAGGAAGGAAGGCTGATTGACTACCATGAGATCCGAGGCTCCGAGACGGTTAGCCAACGATAACTCGTCAGGATCTGTTAGCCTTGCAACCAGTGTAGTTGGGGTACTTGGGTTGCTCAGTCTCACTGATAACTGATCAGTCATGCGGGACATGAGGGTTGGCTGCATGGGAGTCGGGGGTGGGGAATCAGGCTGCATCTCGATTGTAGTCGAGATCCTCGACGCTGAGGTCGACCCCCTTAGAGTAGCGAGAGAGGGTGGAAGCATATCTATGTTCGAGGTAGGCAGTGTTGTAGCTACTGGCCAAGGCAACAGGGCACTAGGAGTTGGTCCGGCAGGCGCCATCAGGTAAGGCAGCACAGTTGTATTACCTTGCAGAAGGACATGACTAAAGGTATTACCGGAGGGAGACCACATAAAGGCAACATTTGCGCCAAAGGGCAGTGGGGCGTTGTGTGGTAATCCAATGAAAGCTGGCACGCTAGGGAGAATGGGTAGGGGGGGAACCTGCATTACTGTGTCCCCATCATTGCCTCGGACGGGCGAAAGGCTAGGGTTCCTCTGTCTTCCTGAGGGTCACGTAACCACTGACTCCCAGAAAGGATGATGAGATTGAGGCCCTGGAGATCTGGAACGGTGGTATGGGGATTGAGTATGATATTGGGGCGATGGAGATCGTTGGTGCCTTCTGCGAGGGTAGATGGAACGGGAGGAGGATCATCGGCGAGGGAGGGGCGAAGGTCTCCTGCCAAACCTGTAATGATCAATTGAGGGAGATCGTCGGCGAGAATCACAGGATCAGCGATGTTCTCTGTTGTCTCGTATCCAAGATGAAGAGCCAGCTGTGGACGAGAGAAGAAGGACCTTGGCTTTTGCCACTGGCGATCGATTCTGGCCATCTGTGGGTAGAGCAAGCGAGAGCTCCGACGTAGTTCTCGTAATCTGCATAGGCTACTAGCATTTCCATCCCATTTTCCTGCCTGTGATGCATACAAGTTCTCATCTGGTGCACTTGATCCATGGTCTCCATTTCAAACCAGAAGCTTTGATTCCGGTCGGCGCTAACTCTAAACACTTGTCTGACCATTAGATGAAGGCGAGCGGCGATTGACGATAACAAGGACTGGATAACTGTGTACTTTACACTCCCCCACATAGTCCAGATGGACTCCAGATGGACTCCGGCTGTGTGATCCTGAAATACATATACGCAGCTAGAGTCCATCTGGAGTCTGCATAGACTCTGTCTGGACTCCACCTGACCTCAGATGGACTACACTCATTTTTGATTGTCTTATTCAAAAAAAAACATTGACTCCAATACTATATAATACATCCAATACTACATAATACATCACTTTAGTCATCATCTTCCACATCCCAATGTCTCTCTATAATAGTTTCTTCACTGTCATCATCCTCATCATCATTAATTTGAATGATTTGGTGAGGCTCTTCCTGCTGTCCTTGCTTTTGAATAACATGCTGAGTGTGATAGAAAAGCATGGTATGCAAAAACTGATCAAAATTTCCAGTTTTCATTCGTTTGAGAATGGACTCAAATCCTCCAAGCCAAGAATTCAATTGTTCACATGCCTAAAATTGAGTCAGTCAAATCAAATTAAAATTAATAGAAATGCATAATGCATACCTGTGTATTAAATGCCCATTGAAGATATGGTCGACCATTCTTATCATGAGCAACTTTGACAAGATTTGGAGCAGAACCATTCAATGGACCAGGGGTTACACCATTTGCGGCACAAATAAGCCAATGTGCGATGATTGATATAATGATAAGAGTCAACAATGAAACGTGTGGTTTTCTTCCATATATCCCAGCTTCCATTTGCAATAGCTGTTCTAAGTACTCGACAAGCTTTATCAATGCAAATGTAGTGTGGTTGAGACTCCTCAGTAGGATACATTTTCTCTAACCAGTTAAGAATGTTGGTTGGAGACTCAGCTCTGTCAAATTTAACCCATGCAATTACAACACCACATGGTGCTGTAATGGTTTCAACACAATAAAATCTGGCTGCTCCAAAATAATTGTGTCATGGAATTATAACATCATCATCAGCATCATGGGGCTGAACAGTTCGGCGGAGACCAGGCTCCCAAGCATTTCTTTCTTCTGGTCTTTGTAACATCCTTTTTACTCCAAGCAAGCTTGAACGACTGTGGTCAAGTTTGTATTTCTTCCATTCTGCTTGGTGAGAGCGGCATGCCAGTGTATTTTCAACTCTATCTCGAGCACAGTCACGGATACGGCATCTATTCCCATATTCTCTTTCATATTCCTCACAAAATGCCCCCCCTCTTGTATTTTGTAAGTCTTTAATACATCCTTCTGCTGCACAGTGCTAAAAAGAAGTCAGCATCCAGTTTCTAGAAGGCCAAGTAAGTTTAATTACCTGAGGGCCCATCACAACACCATCCAAAATGATCATTGAACAATCAGCATCATCATCACTGACATCCATAGCATTGGGATCAGTATTATTGAGATTGTTTGCTCTCAATTGGGCTGCTTGTCTCTCTCTTGTAGTATCTTGTGTAGATAAATTTGCATATTCTCCTGTTAAAACAGGTACAGTAGAATTTTCATCTGCTCCTATCACTGCTGGAGGTCTTAGCAGTGCCCCCCCTATTCCTGCAGGAATCCGGTCATTCCGGTGGAATTCCGGTGGATTCCGGTGGAATGGAATTTAGCAGAAGGCCCTGCTAAATTGTTTATTCTGGTGTTTTCCATTCCGGTGGATTCCGGAATGTACACCGGAATGTTCCCCGGAATGGGCAGGAATGGTGTTCCCCGGAGTGGGCAGGAATGGGATTCCAGTCCAATCTGTTTATTTTATTTATTTATTACTGTATTATAGTTTATTTATTTTCAATGGATCACAAACAATGCACCAAACATGGCCACTCTCTTCTTCCACCACCACCACCATGCTCGTCACCGCCGCCAACGCCACGCCATCACCGTCACCCATAGCCACCACCGCCAACATCGCTCCTCGATCACCCATGGCCACCACGACCACCAACATCAACCACAACACCCTTCAACAACAACGCGGCGACGCCACGTCACGAAACAACGAGCGCCGTAACCCACGAAAACACCCAACGCCCACGAAAACAACGCTCCCGGACACAAAACGACACCTGACGGGCACACAACGACGCCCACCGCCCATGTACACCGCCAGCGCCCACGAAAACCATACCCCGCCCACGAAAACATCCCACCACCCACCGAAAAACACGAGCGCCCACCGAAAAACACGCGCCGCCCACCGAAAAACACGCGCCGCCCACCGAAAAACACGCACCGCCCACACGACATACGACGGCACCACGCCGCCTACCAAAACCACCACGTCCACACCAACGCCACCCACGACGACGCCCCCAATGGCAACCAGTGCCCACGACGACGGCGACGACAACGTCACGAATAACGCAACAACGCGGACACACGATGAAAACGCGAACACACGACGAAAACGCGAACACGCGACGAGGAGGCGACAACGAAATGCGACTCAACGATGGGATGCCAACGCGGGACGACCATGGCCGAGGTCCCAGCCACACTCCCTCTCCCCTCCACCATTCCCTCCCTCCCTGCCTCCTTCCCCCTTTCTTTGTCCCTCCCCCTTGCTCCACCATTCCTTCCCCCCTTTCCTCCCTCCCCCCTTTCCTCCCTCCCCCTTCCTTGCCCCCCCCCTCCTTCCTCCC